CTGTAAACATTGCTCATCCGATTTCTCGGGTTTTGTCATACTTTTTCATACTTTGTGTACAAAATGGGCTGGAACTTGTCCCACTTTTTCGTGTTTGACGTGTGCACTTTCACCCTGTTTTTGATATCATGTAACAGGAAAGTTAGTTATGTGTGGATGGAACAAGTGGGTTGACAATGCACTAATTTATGGCTCTTGTGGTGGCTGCTGAATGCACTCCCATAACCGTAAAGTAAAGTTTCTTAGTACGACGGCTGCCAATAATTCTGAAGAATCTGCGTCCCCTTTTTTGTTGTGTTGTGTATCTTCTCATCTTTTCGTGTTTCGAGATGCTTTTTTTGCGGTACGACGCTGCGATACGAATTCCCTAACGCAGTTTCACGTTCACTTTCAACCGAAATTCTTGGATGGCATGCGAATAGTGTAGCAAATTTTTTGCACACTATGCAGATAACCGGATCAGATGAGGCGAACATTTCCCACTATTGAGTCAACCTCGAGAAAGGTTTTAACAGCGCTTCGTGAAATTAAATCGCTACCTTCACCCATTAAAAATGCAGACAAACTTAATCTTCTAGAAAATTTGGGAGGCCTCAACAGAATGAATTTTTGATCCATTTCACTTGTCACTGTCCTCGTTCTTTTTTCTTGAATTAGCGTAGCGCAGAAGATGGACAAGGAAACTGTTCCTTGCACATTTTAATGTTCTTCGAGATGGAATGCATTTTTTGTTTTGCGTCGTTTTTGCGAGGGTGACACATGCCAAAATGAGGAACAAGTTGGCACGAGGAGTACTATCATGAGATAGAAATTCCGACTCCGTGAAAAAATTGGTGCTGGTGAAACGTAATGATTTTTATTTCAGAAACATGAGATTTTTCCTTTAGTATAAAGTAAATCAATTTCTTTTTTCAAACTAATTTATGCCTGATGATGATCCGCTGTAAGCGATCGAAAGCTCGCAATAATCAATAAAATCAAGTCAAAATGTCCTCAAATAGTACCGTCCAAACCAATTTAAATAAATCAATCTCGTTTGCCGGAAGTGTGTAAGAATTTTGAAGACGTATTTATTGAAACATGACAAGCTAGATTTATGATGAAATTTGCTTCTTAAAATTGACAATTATTGGCAAATAATGATACCATAAAATATGAAAATGAGTGCAAAAATGTCTGCTACATGGAGATTAAGAAATGTATATTTTACGGGAATATCCAAAAAGAGTGCAAATCGGGTAAGCACTTCATGAAATTACGTTTACACTTTACTCCTGGCAAATGTAAAATTTTATTATATTTTATATACCTAGTGCTGCCATAAGTTTTGACCACTACACAAATAAATGTAGCGGACTCAGTTTATCGAATTTTGAAAAAATAACGATGTCACGAGAAAGCCCATTAAATTCCCCACAGAATACATTGAGCACTTTTCCAAATTTCCTCCTTTCGAAGCTACAAGAGCCAAAAGTTTAGGTATCCAAATCCCACTTGCGGTACGCACTCATTTCAAGGAATATTAGTCTGATTTCTAAGTGACAGATTTTTTCTCGGATTTCAAACTTGTGTGGGGTTTAGCACATGTATCTAGCTTCAGTTTGGATCACATGTCATATTCCAGAAGCTTGAGGTTCGGCGACAGTGAATTTTGTTCTTGGTCCGAAATGGAGTCAGAAATTTTGGAATTCTACCCTTTTTTTACGATTTTGGCCTTATCAGAAGGTCCTGAGCCCTGCTTGAATGTCCAGTCGCTATTTTTTAACAGGGTGTGGTCCAGTGGTTCTCCTATTTACTAAATAACTTCAAAAACTATTTTTTGACAAGAAATTTCACCCCCAGAGGAAGAAAATTCACTTTTTTGATCAAATCCAATCTACTCCGAATAAAAAAAATCACAGAATCTGGATGGTGGGTCCGATTACTATTTTTAAAAATTTTACGAATAATATGGACTGGTGGGGTGTGGACACAGCGCTTTTGCTTATTTTATATGGCCTCAATTGTCAAAGTTTACTTATCTCTTAAAAATACTTATTTCCATTTTTCAAGCGCGTACCTCATGATCAGTACTCGGCTTTGGAGAGTTCTATTTTTACTTGGCATAAAGTTAGCAAGTGTTTCTCTTCGCATCTTAAAGACATAAGTCCAAGGTCGAGTTTAGGGGCGTTGGACGTAGTTTTACTTAGCCCGTTCATTTGTAGGGAAATTTTTCTTAGGGTGCGGCATGAATTCGGCCGAATTCAGGTTTTGCGCGCCTTCGTGATTTTTTGTGACCCTTTTGACCGTTCCCTTGAACTCGGTTTTCGGTTGTCAACACCGCCAATGTTAGTGGATCATTTTATGGTACGGTCGACCATCTTGCGATTAGTGCCGATTTTTAATGAGCTATTGAGAAATGCCGGATTTTTATGTTTACCAAAATGTTTCTGAAAAATTGCAACACGTCGATTTGTCCGATCTGTCATTGTAGCAAATTGTATCACAAAAAATTTCGGAACATGGTTTCTGACAGACAATTGCATGGGGAATTCAATAAAAAATAGTACAACTGGCTAACGTAACTTCTACTGACGTTTTTTGCGAGCGGAATGCGTGAGACATAATATATGGCAGTAGTAGGTACGTTGAATCCTAACATCTTCTTATCCCAAATTAAATTAAATCATTTGTGATATTGAAGCTATAACAATTCGTGAACCTAGCACATTGGAGGCTGTATCCATAAATATGAAAATGGGGTACGTAATCTGACAAATTCTTGTTGTATAATATTTTTAGACTTGGTTGAGTTTAGTTTTATCCAGATTTGTCCACTTACTCCGTCATCCTACGTCGCACTGTTTTCCTTATCGTTACTTATCTTCAGAACTACGTCAAACCAGATTACTTGCTGGGACAAAGGCTTATCACACTTCAAGAACTTATTGTAAACACATTTCGTAAAGGTCGGACATTCGGATTGGAATAACAAGAAAACAAGTTGTCAAATATCAGAAATTCATGATCAATGTCACTTTCACTCGACCAAACACCCCAAAAAGGCTCCTGCTGTGGGAGTTCAAAATCCAAAATCATTTACTAACTCGTGTCACCCGTCAACTTGATAAGTTCATAAACACCGACGAAGAGTGCATGGCGATGTCGTTTCGGCAGTGACAAAGTGACAGTTAAACTTACAGTACTTACGGTCGACTTAGAGGAAAAATAAGGTGATGACGTTAGCTCAATTTTTCCGAATTTTAACTACGTATTTAGTTGGCCAATTAAAAGTTAATGCCAAAATCTTTGCATAAAGTTATTCATTCATTGGTACAGACATCTCTTTTGCGTAATAAAAAATTTACAGCTGAGTGATAACATTAAAAATGCTGCTAATTACGATTTCCTAAAGTTTTCCTTCAACTTTGACAAAGTTTAAGGACGGTAATTTCAATCGCAATTGCACACTATACGATCTGCCATTGGCCATTAACGGTTGTCCCGTCAAGGAGAAAAGTTAAAGGAACCCGATCTCTGCAACTGCGAGTGAAAGTGGCAGATATCTCGATGGCTATGCAGTCACCATGCGTCCCACGACCGCCACCACTATCTCGACCGGCCTGGAGAAAGTCAATTCCACTTTCACCAGTGCAAACCAGACTTTTATGCGATTATTCCTTTGCACTGCTGCATATCTCGTCTCGTCATTAGCATAATCCAGTCGACCATTATTACGGCTGAGCTAAAAGAATGGATGGATTACTTTCTATATGGCTTAGAATATTTTATTATACGGGAAAAGTGGATGGAGGAGATTGCGAGCTTGCTTTCACTTGCTTCCACGTTTTCTTGTAACAAGGAAGAGAAATCAATTCCATTTTTTTTATTGTTTCAGCTTCAGTCGGCCACATTAATTGCGTCGTCGTTGAATACCTGGAATTTAATCTCAGTTATGGATTTGACAATGATTCTCGCTATTAAGTATTTCAGGAAGATAGCAAAATTTTTGGATCTTAACATATTATTTATTACAGTTCGTTACTATTAAGTAAGGTACTATTATTAAGTTTTTTTAGTAAGTGGGAAGAGTTCATCTACAAATCACTAAAAACAAGTAATCATCCTAAATTTGTTTATTCGTCTTCGAAATATTACAAAAATTTTGAGTTTATCATTTGCCTTACAAGCAATGATATTTGCAAACATTAATTTAATTGCACGTATTTATTTAATGGAATTATGGAAATAGAAGCTGAACAATCTGATTTCGAGAATTGTCAAATTTTTATTCTACGATGCGGGTTACGTCGCGGCGCAAGTTGTTACACACCATCATATTCATAAATAATAGTCATCAATTTTCATATTTATCCAGAATGGAAGATGTTCGATTTTGTACTAATTTTATAAACCAGTATGGGTCACTAACACCGTATAAATAAATTTATCATAAATCAACGAATTTCGCGTATCGAAACCAACCTGAAAATCTGTATTTGTTTCGATTTTATTAAAGCGGATCTTTGCATGAAACATTTTGCATGAAAATGTCTCCACAATTAATATATAATATACATAATCTATGATTAACATGAGCGGAAGGAAATTACATAATTTGATGCACTTTATTGCCTGGAATATCTTGACTTGGGATTAGTATGTACAATAATTTGTCAACAATGTCATTCATGGTAGTTTTAAATATAATAAATTTCGTTAAACTTTTTTAATAATTAATAATTAAACATTTTTTCCCAAATCCTCTCCTCTCCTCATAAGTATATAAATATGTACGTTACATCATAAGCGAGAAAACTAATCTATAAAATGTGCTGTAAATATACCATGCATGTAAAAACTTCAAGGTTTTATCTTACCAAAATTGCATTGTCATCGGCTCGTGCTATTAATATAAATATCCCGTGACCACAGAGTGGACTTACAATTTGCAGTCATTCATCAACCATCATTCCATTCACACGAACAAAGTGGACATAAATCTATCTCAATAATTTTTCAGAATCGAACTCGTTCATCTCATACAAAATACGCAAAATTTCATTCGATTAATACGTAATCATCATGAAGTTCAAAATTTAGACTAACTTTTTAAAAATTTTCTACCGTTTTACTGCATGAAAATCCAAACACCTTTGTCTCTCTCTTGTTACCCAAGCATCAAAATCAAGAGCAGTAGCATCACTCACAAAACACAGTTACCAACCAAAAAGCGAGACGAGTTCCTTTGTTTTTCACGTGAAAGTCGAATCCATCCAAATAACATTAGCCCAAAACTGGTCGTATAACACAGCTGCATGCAGCTGACTGACGCACTAACAAATAAGCAAGCACGGCCAAAAACTCTCTAATCTAATAAAGTGGCAGCCAATATGCGATGCTGCTTGCTGCGTTAAAATATTTTAGTTAAATAGATTGACTCTTCCTTCCTTCTCACCAAGTAATAATTAAAGTAAGCTGTCTAATTATAACTAACTACCCAATATGGGAAAAGGTCTGTTTGGTTAGTTAGGTTTTTAGCTGGTATTTTACAAAAGTCTCGAAAAAGGGTTGAGCTGGCTGGAGAGAGAAGGAGAGAACGTTTTATTTGTTGAATTTACTAGCCATCAAATCAAAGACGAAGAGGAAGTGAAATTGATTTCAGATTAAAAGAAAGACTGAACTGAACTGAACAGAACAAATATTATTTTGTATTTATGACCTTCTTAAGCAAATAGTGGTTAATGTTGGTTGGCCAGTCCAGTAGTTAGTTTGGCAGATAAGAGAAGACAAAGGAGTTTACAGGTGTGAGAACTATTTGGTAAGTTTAATAATCTATTGGGCTGACTAATTTGATAAATTGCGTAATAATTATAAAATTATGTACGTATAGATTAGATAGCTGCTCAATATGGACAGGCATCGTCTCGGTCTTGGCCTTGGCGAGGATGACATAAATCTGTCGAGAGTTCCTGTCTTTGTCTTCCCAACTACAGTCTTCTTCAACGCCAGGGATCGTGACAAATTGAAACAGCTTCTTACCATTTATAACCCCTACGAATTTCCGATAAGATTTAAAGGTAAGAAGACCCATGAGGAAAGAATTATTTGATTGTGATTAATTTATTCATGTACATTTTACTGCGCATTTTAGTGCTTAGCAATGCCCCTGACACCTACACTGTGATAGACCCCGAAGGTTCCATCCAGTCTAAGAATTGTGTTGACCTCATCCTCCGCGTGTCTGATCCCCCAGTCGATACTGGTTCTCATGTCGAGCACAAGTTTAGAGTTCAAATCGCCCATTATGGGGATCGAAGGATAATTGGGAAGCGTGACTTTGGGTCGGTCATCCACTGGGGAAATTTACCCCCACATCTCGCCGCCCTTGAAGCTGCTGAGTCAGCAAAGCCACAACAAGGTTCGCGGGATCCTTCTTTTCAACAAGTCACACAAGGGCCGTCGTCACCCTCATCATCGACTGGATTACGAAGGAGCGACTCAGTTACGACGAGAGATCATCCGACTGGAGGTAACTTTGCAGGACATCAACCCAACTATATCGTCATAATCACTGCTGTCTTCTGCATTATTGGACTCATGCTTCCCATCACTGGAAGTGGAAATTGTGGGGGGAAGGATGCGGAAACTTCGTCACCTTCGACGTTGGCATCCTCGACTACTTCGATGACACTCACTTCCCTCATCCCAAGCTATCTTCACGTCACGATGCTCCAGAAACTCTTAGCGGCCTATGCTCTAGGTCTTGTGACGATGGTAATATTTCGTCATTGACAAATTCACTCGTGTTATTATTGTTATGATTATTACATTACTATCAGTGTCAGTTGTTTTGAAACTGCAAATATTTAATTTATGCCATGAGTTAACCTTATATACAACAGCCAATCCAAAATGATGAGCTAGATACATAGATATAAATATGTAGACGAGATTGACGAACTATGTAAATACGAAGACGACGCAATAATATATGAAACTTGTAGAAACTTATGTAGCAGATTAAGGTTATATTATATACTTGTTGATTTATCCTTGTTCCTCAATGATTAAATTGTCTGATTTTGCATTAGGAGGAAATTAGAAGAGTTGGTTTATTATAAACAGTTATGATTTTTTGTAGGGAAGGAGGTGTGATATAAAAATAGCGAAAATATGTAACATAAAATTGAGTAAGAATTGAGCTAGGATAATTGACAGTACAATTTTGACTAATCCGTTTTGTCCCTCCTGTATAAATGTGGCTAATTAAATGATTTCATTAGATTAGATTTGTTTTGTGACAATTCTCGTGATACAGAAATATCTCGTCACAAGGTATAATCTAGTATTCTGTCTTATTTGGTCATGTATACTCAATTAACTTGTCATCAAATATCAGAAGATGAAGAACTAACTAATTAGTGTGTAAAAAAAACTATTTAATTTTTACAAAACAGGAACGAAGATGATTTCTCAGGCAGTTGGCAATTAGTTAATTAATCATTGTTTTAATTTGTACGCTTTTCGTTATAAATTAATGTGTTAGATGAAAATGAGTTACTGCGCAGCTATTACCACTTGTCGATTAGTAAACCAATTGTTAAAATGTATGACTTATAATTTGAAAATTTTTTATTACTCGCGTCTTAAGTTGTAATCATAAAACTAATTATTTTATGTCGACTCGTCATGTCGTTCTAGAAATACTCGCAATTTTTGGACACGATGGTAAAATAGTTCGCAATTATTATACTCGCAGTTAACTATGTATATATTTTTGATGTTGAAGTGAGACCTGTCTTTTTGTTGACCTGAAGAAAAATAAAGACGAAACTGAACCACATAAAAAAATCTGTATGCAATTATCTATGTACTTAAATTACACACCATGGAGTTTAAAAATAATTCACAAGCAATCTATTTATATTTAGTCATTCACAATTATCAATTCTGAGCGCAATATTATACTTTTTAGTAGTGATTCAAATTTTGAGGGAGTTTCTTTCCAGGAACATAATGTATTTATACACATTTCTCGCCATCGTCGTGGCGTACCTATCGAGGATCTCGAGCTTAAGTGAGTGCAAACTACTAGCAAAATTTGTACGGTGTAAAATTGTGAATGCATTTGAAAATCTGAGTTATTTTATCAGATAGTACAGGTGACGAAACTTCTTCGAATTTAGGATCTGACCACCACCACGTCACTAACACCCCGTTTGACTGTGATCCCACCGACCCAGGGAATTGGACATGCTTCAACTACCACGGGATTCTTGGCTTTGGGGAGGTGTGCATGTCCGACGGGGAAAAACGGGACCGATTCGTGAGTGAAATTGATCCTCACGGAGATGGGAACACGACCTATGACCACGACGCCGTCACGGAAATCATGAACAACCGATCCTGTGATACGAGGAAATATTTGGAGTGTCGCGAGGTCGGCTCCACGCCCGACCATCAACCAGAGTACCGCTGCACCTGTCCAGACCATGAGAAAGGAGATTCGCCCGACGCCGTGAGGAAAAGTTTGGCCTATTATGACCATGAGATGGGACACTGTGTTTTGAAGGTGTTGAAATTTTACACTTATTTCTACTTTTTGAACATTTAGTAAATTTTGCCTTTTCAAAATTATATACTTCTAAATTTACAAGATTGTACAATTCTCTCAGGTCCGAGCGAAATGCGTCAATCTAGTAATTCCTGACCGGGCGAAACGTTTAAATGGTAGTCAGCGTTTCCTGACGCAAAGTATGATTCGCATCGTGGATGGGCGTCGCCAATGGTTGAACATGCACTGTGTAAAGAACGCCCACTGCAACATCCCCAGCAACATGACCAAAATGACCACCTCGCTCTTATCACCTGGTGGCCGATCTCATAAACCCGTTTCTGCCGAGGAGAAGATTGTCACCTCGATTCACGAAGGTGAAGATGAGGACGTGTCTGGAGGGGGAGCTTATCGTAAAACGGCCCTCGACCATCTCGAGAATCACTGCGACTGCAACATTGGCTACATTGCGGAGGAAGACGACGAATGTCATCCCATCGACACGAAAGAGCTTGGATTCTACCCCGTGTTGGGCATGATTTTAATTTTCATCGCATTTGCACTAACATTTTATTTCTTGGTGTGTCAAGATGATGCCAATTTTTATCATGAGAAGGGTTACGGGAGATATTGATAAGTTCAATTGAATAGGATAACTGCACAAAATATGTACGTTAATTAGTCAATAAATAAATATTTTACAAAATTTCATCCTTCCACTTGGTCATTGTTCTTTAACAAGGCTCTAGAGCACACCGAATACAGCACAGCACAGAAGATTTTTCCCAACTGCATGAGTTGCAAAATTTTGTAAAGTTAAAAAAATCGAAATTTTTCTTCTTAATCCTTACACCACACTTACACAGGATGCATAATGAAGCTGTTTGTACGGCATGTCCAACAATTTTCTCGGTGGGGATTTGAAAATCCGATTTCTCGGAGCGCAACCAAACCTTGGGTCCTGACAGTTGAACATTTTCGCCTGGAAAATTCCAAAGAGTTCGAGCAGTCCTGCCGACGCGGCGAGGATGCAGCAGCAAACGTTGGTGTTCATATTCTAGAAATGTTGTATGATTGATTTAAATAGTAAATTGGGTACCATTTATTGCACGCATATTTATAAATACGTACCCACTGATCCCACTTAATCTGACACCGCACCTCTCGGTAGAGCAGGAGCATAAAAATGAACCAGATACTAAGTATAATGCAGATGGAAAATATAATGAGCGAAATCCAGATCAAGGGGGACGCTCCGTACCCGATGTACAACTTTGGGGTGGGTGAGAAGCCTGGCATTCCGAGTCCGAGCGAGATCAAAGCGACCATCTGGTCCAGACATCCAGTTATTAAACTTATTTCGTTGTATTTAGTGATGAATTTTAAATGATACATAATTAATTCACCAGAGTAAAAATCCGCATCAGTCCAGCCCTTCCCGTGAAATATCTTCGGTCAACTCGCAATGTCAAGTGGAACCTGCTCCGGACCAGGAAACTGCCAAATGTTCTCGGGCCAGAATAAATTTCAGAGTATCGGTTCTTCCGCTTAGTTTTCAATTCAGCGTTACGCTTTACAGTATTCGGGTCACTCCTGGAAATTTGGACCTCAGGGGCACTCTGTAAATTGTGAAATAACAGGAGTTGTCCAACTTATGTAGCATACGTTTCATCAGAAAATTAAATAATTGCCGTATTAATTACCTCCACCCTGATAGTTGGTACTTCATGAATTTGTGGTGGAGCTTTACTGTCGGTATGAGTTGATTGAGTCGGTAAAGGCGTGGTTGTCGCCATTTCATGCATTCAAAATTTATTAAGTATTACGTAACTTTGCCCTCATTTGTCTTGTCAAAAGGTTATTGGTGCATGAATCGTCTTAACATGTTACGCAGACGACAATAATTATGATAATGAAGTCAGAATAATTGCAGGAATAAAATGACCAAATTTTATAACCGTGATCCGTTCCACCATTTATTCCGTAGCAAAAGAAGAGAGGAAACAGATTTTTACGGAGGATTTTTAATAAAATCTTATTAATCTTAAATTTTCTAATCCTCACTGCCCTTAACTTCCTTCTTTCCTCCTCGGATTCGTCCAGTCCTTCTGGCGGCGATAAGACCGACCTTTCGTCCAGCAGAGGTTCCTCTCTTACAAGTTGAAGCCTTTCCAATATGTTGATGATTACCACCACCGTGGGGATGTTCGACGGGGTTCATACACACTCCTCGTACGATGGGCCAAGCGTTCCTCTTGGCTTTGTACTTGAAGTAAGCACGTCCAGCCTTGAGGATGGGTTTGTCAATACGACCACCTCCAGCGACGATGCCGACCATGGCGCGGTTTGCCGAGGGGAGGACTTTCTTCGCGCCGGATGGCAGCTTTACTCTGATAATTAAGAGAAATATTACATATGATTCATAAACAATTACAATTAATAGAATTAACAGTGCTCAAGTAATTTACACACCTCGTCCTCTTGGTGTCAGGATTATGTGCGATGACGGTAGCATAATTTCCCGACGCTCTCGCAAGTCGGCCTCGATCACCAGTCTTCTCCTCCAAGTTGCAAACGATCGTACCTTCTGGCATGGTTCCGACAGGCATGATGTTTCCGATTTGGAGAGTGGCTGCAATTAAGATATTTTAAATATATTAAAATCTGTTCATTAACGGGATTAATTAACTAAATTTTTATTTATTTTTATATTCTCAGCAAAGGTTTATCATCACTTTCGATGTCAGAAACTCTAGTCTAAAACCATCATGTTAAAAAGATACTTGAAATGATAATTAAACCAATTCAGTTACTCACCCTTCTTGCCGCAGTACACGAATTGACCGGTGTACATCCCTTCAGCCGCGATGAAAAGTTCTTTCCTCGTCTTAAAGCGGTAGGGATCTCGGAAGGAGACCATGGCGAGTGGGGCGCCACGACCAGGATCGTGAATAATGTCCCTCACCACCCCCTTGATGTATCCATGCTTCTCGGAAAAGTCCAAGGGGCGGAGTTTTGGGGCTCCTTTGCGATGATGGGTATGGGAGGTGAAGATGGAACCTGCTCCCTTACGTTGGGCTCGGATGACACGACCCATTTTCTACAATTAAAAAGTATAAATGAGTTAATTAATCAGTGAAATATTAAATTACTAAGATCTACAGTAGATCATAACCCTACAAATTAAATTGCTACTAAATACGACTAAAATCCATTCAAACTAACCCTACCACACCTGCCCCACTCTAATAATTAAGTTAATTAATTAATTTCGAAACTTACTTTGGGGAATGGATAAAATTGGGTAAATTTCAGAAATGTGCGAGCCAACACACACCACACTTTCGGATTGAAAGATGGTCTGGTAAGAGCACGATGCGGTGAAATTAAAGTTGACCGCCAGAGGAGCGCCAAGTTCAAATATATCAGTGAGAAGCGGCAACAAGTCTCACGTCATATAACTCGGAACTTGTCAGCTTTGTTTGCAATTTTGTTTCTTTACTGAAAAATTAGTTAATTATTTAAAAAAAAACGTACAAATAATTAATTAATTAGTGACATGCCGGGTGAAACGAGCACTGCGATGGATAAGGATAAACCGTACCATCTTAATCTGCCTTGGTATAATAAGATAAACTTGCATTAAAAAGGTTAAAGTTTGTCGATTCATAATTTTAAGATTAATTAATTATTGCATTTTCAATTTGCAGGGTGGAAAAGTACCGTCCCCAACATTTGGATGAATTGATTTCGCACGATGAAATTATCTCGACAAGTAATGGAGAACAGTATTAAATAATTACGAATTGCATTGTTTTTTGTTATAGTTTACAATTTAAACTTTAAATTAATTATTAATTGTTGAACAGTTAAAAAATTCATCAGTGTCGATAAGCTGCCCCACCTCCTCTTCTATGGGCCTCCCGGGACTGGAAAAACGAGCACAATTCTCGCCTGTGCGAAACAACTTTACGCTCCGAACGAGTTTAGTTCTATGGTGCTCGAACTTAACGCATCGGACGATAGAGGAATTGGAATCGTTCGTGGACAAGTTTTAAACTTTGCGTCAACAAGGACAATTTTCAAGTCAAAGTACAAACTCGTCATTTTAGACGAGGCGGACGCGATGACGAATGATGCTCAGAATGCGTTACGGCGAGGTTTGTAATTTCCAAATTAATTGTGCTAGTAATCAATAATCATGATGATTATTCTGTATTTTAATTTACTGACTGCTCATTCCAGTTATCGAAAAATATACTGAAAACGTCAGATTCTGCATAATCTGCAATTACCTATCGAAAATTATTCCTGCTTTGCAAAGTCGTTGTACCCGATTCCGGTTTGGGCCCCTGAAACCAAAACAGATTCGTCCCCGACTCGCAGAAGTCGTTAAAAAAGAGAAGTGAGTAATTAGCCAAGCTAAACTAAATATAAAACACTCCCTCTTAAGTAATTACCAAACTTTTCCAATTAATTCTAGTCTCGCTGTCAATGAAGAAGGCACCAAAGCCCTCCTCAAACTTGGTGAAGGTGATATGCGAAAAATCCTGAACATTTTACAAAGTACTGCCCTCGCCTTTAGTGATCCAGGAGGATCCGGCGTTGGAAATACCGTCACACTCACCGCAAACCATTTCTACCTCTGCACCGGAGCCCCCCTCCCAGCCGACATTGATACGATGGTGACCTGGATGCTCACACTCGACCTGACTTCCGCCTTTACTAAAATCCACGATATGAAGACGAGGAAGGGAATCGCACTGGCCGACATACTCACCGAGGTTCACAAAAGTATGGAGAAGATAGACTTTCCCCCCACCGTGAGAATTTTCCTGCTAAAAGAAATGGCCGAGATTGAGTATCGACTCTCGATCGGAACCAGTGAGAAATTGCAACTTGGTGCACTCGTCGGACTATTTTATGAAGCTAGAAACAAAGTCGAGGCACACGCCACGGAATAAATTTAATCAGACAAATTGTATGAATTACTTTTCAGTATGTTTTTATTTCCATTTTTTTCTAAGTACAGATATTCCTGACTTTTTAACCAGTTATTGTCATCTGATGTCTAGTACACACTGAGGATGAGTTTTTCCAAGTCTTATACGTACGTAATTACTACTTTGTAATCTGATTATACAGATTCGCCATTCTTGAATAAATAAATACTTTCATTCTTCTTCCATTAGTTATTGAATCAATGCACAATATTTTGGTTTTGTCCATCCAACATCGAACTAACTAATCGCAGTACAATTTGTATACCAGTAGTTAATTATTATTGTATTAAGATAATCGATTCAGTACGCATGCATACACACAAAGGTTTAGGATTTAGAGACATTCACATCAAATATATAATGGAATTGTGTAGTATGGACATGGAAAATAATAATACGAACAAACTGTAAAAGTACAGTTTTTTGACTGATAATTTGCAATGAAATGCAAAAGTACAAAAACTTGAAGTACAAAATAGAATAGGTACACGAGTGAATAATGATATGATCAGATTATGTAGGGCAGTTGTATAACAAGTCTTGAACATCACAAAAATAATGGACTTAACTAATTTTCATAAGAGACGACCAAACGGTTGTTGGTATAATAAATTATTAGATCAACCTCCCATTCGAAAGTATATAATAAAATAACTAACGAGTAATGATACGCAATCACAAAAATACGCACGAATACATAATAATTACATGATAATTACTGCTGGGCATTTGTCTCCTATTGTCTATTCACACGGATTACTTTTTAAATCTATTTCATGATGCGACCCTTGCATACCATCCATAATCGTAATCCTACCCGAATTTTTTATAGTTTCATAAATTAGCAACCACATTTTTGTTTAGTATTTTTCAAGACCAGATTCATTTTTTAGACCCAATTCCGGATTTTTACACCAATTAATCTCGTTCAATCAATCTTTCAAGCGTTATGACTGACAATTCACTAGCAATTTTTTAAGTCCAACTACATTCGTACGACTATTAATAATTAATTCACCAGTGTTTGTTATTTTATGACTAATCAGTCTTGTAAATTACAAATTGTAATTATGGTTCTGGTTATTGTGTCAATTACTCCTTATAAATAATTACAATCTATTTGCATATCCTGTTCTCGCTCCCATTTATAAATACCCTGGTTTAACTAAATTCCATATAATTAATTTTAACTAATTGTAGCACAGTATCAATCAAACTATATAATTGCTAAAATTATTTCGGTGGCAATGGTTTTGTACATTTCACTTGACTTTCACTATCAGAATATTCCTAAATTTTGGTGATGTTTGCCATGTTTTACAAACTGCTGGCTTATAATATTTAAAGGTAGGTGACAATTACATAGATTAATTAAGTTGTTTAACCGGGTTTGAAATCATGAACACCAACGTAATGTATACGATATCGACCACAGATCGATGAGGAATGACTAGTTACATATTTTCAATACAATTTTAACAAATACTGACAACCAGACCACTTTTCATGAGAGAAAGAGAGCATTCGTTATAGGATAGAGATTGCGTAATGTACTTCTTACAAGGCTTGGATTGGATTCACAAGTTTCTAAAAATTCCACAAAATACTGTACCATTTTGAATCCTGAGATTTTAAAAACCGTTTAATTTACACTTGTTGAAATCATTTAAAGCAATGATTCCAATTCTTACCCTATATTCAGACAGTTTAATAATAATAAATCTTATCGAGGAGTCGATATGTTAGTGACAGAAATAGTAGGACAACTACAATAAGATTATTTAGGAATGTACTATCTGTCACAAGCGTATCGTATTTTTTGAGTTTAGCTTCTCTTCGATTATACTATATTATTATGCCATCCTTCCTTCACTTAGCGTAATGCTGACAAAATATCTTCTGTACTTTGACTCAATTTCTGTCGCGACGTCGAAGATGTAGAACATAACCTGGACGAAGAAGAGCCCCCCGTCGGAATACTAGCAGATCTTCCTCCTATTCCTTGTTGATTCGAATCTTTGTTCTTCATCATAATCTGATTAGGTTTCGACGAGACGGAGAGGACATTTCCTCCCGAGATGTCAGTAACCGATCCAGTTTTCCGTTTAGTAATTCCGGGTGAATTGAATTTCTCGAGATACGCGGCAGGTGCCCAACCCTCCATGGGACCGATGGCAGCTAATTACGTTTAATAAAAAACGTTATCATAACATTGATCATCATCATGTTGATTTTGATAACAGTGTTTATTTCCTTACAGGCCGTGGAGTGGAGAATCTTGACAAACCACCATCCCCCACATCCAACCTTGACAAGTGATACGATGTCACCTTCTTTCAACAATACTTCCGCAGGACCCATAGGACCATAATCCGCCAGAACGACATATCTCGGACTATTTTCCACATTCTCGCCCACTCCGTACACATTCATCGCTACGGCAGATTCGTCTCCTATGGAGAGTGGTCGAGAGGGTGGCGTCGCTGTGGAATTATCATCATCGTCACTATTCGACATTTCAGAGCAGCTCCACAAGTCCTCATCAATGTCACATTCATTAGAAATACGACTCTTGGGTCTCGGTACGACGTCAGGATTATCCCAGGAGGAAACTTGGCGGAGTGGTCTGCGCAAAAAATAATTTGCATAATCAACTAAATGTCACCATTTTTAAAATATCTCAATTCTCACCGATGTCCAATATTCGTTGTCCTCCACCCATTCACCGTTATCCCTTTTCCGGACATCATTTTCTGTCTTCGAGCAGCAGCCAAAGGTTGTAAATTTGACACCCCGAGAGACTGTGATGATGACATCCCCGCTGCACATGCAGCGATTGTTTGCGACTTTGTCGCTCGAATAGACTCCAACTGTTCGAGTAGCAATTTCTTAATTTCTCGTACCCAAATGTCCTTCGTCTCAGCACTCTCGGCCTGAAGGAGATAAACTTTCTGCCTCCCGTTAATCCAAATTTCAAACTTTTTCGAAGCCCCAGACCCCTTGAGAGCCTCTGTTAACCCAACTTCAGACAAGCTCAACTTATTCCGGAACTCGTATAGGGACGATTTCGGGACTTTTTTGCAAATCAGGACCGATCGCTGGTATAGGAAGAGGTGGCGTTGATGTCCCTTTAGGCGGAGGCGATCTTTCTTGTTGTCCGTCCAGAGGAGAAAGGAACCTTGGAGGAGGAGGTAGCCTTCCTCAATTAGTTTCCCCGGATAACCTGTAATTCCCAATTGGTGCATCCCGTCGTTGACACAGCGTAACACGACCAACATGCATTCAAGGGCTTCCAACAGTTCGGCATAGCCTTCGCAGCCCTCTGAACTCTTTATGAGGTCCTGCAACAACAATTAACAATATGCAATTAACAACCCAACTCTACCAAAATGGCTTTGATAAATTGACCAACCTTCAGAAGCAGGTGATATTTTGTAATTCTTTGCACCTGAAGGGAGAATAATTGGTTAGCGAAAAATAGTAGGAAATATGAAGAACTGAAGAACATTAAAGGTACCTACCGGTTTCAATAAATAAGCTCCGAGGGGAAGTTTATGTCCTAAACGGTTACGACATGCTACAAACCAGGGGTGATTTTCTCCTATATCCTTTCTGAGTATTTCTGAGGCAGGTAAAAGTTGACAATATTGACTGTACATGGATAGAAAGTCAGAGTGCTGCACACAGCAAAAAATTAATTAGTATGGTAATAAATAATATTAGAAATTGTACAATTTTAGCTCAGCTTAATAAGTATCTTACCCTCTGAATAAAACAGAGGCCAACAAGTTCTATTGATTCCACACAATTTGACAAATCGGGTAGAAATGATTTAGCATGGAATGCATGAATTTCGTCCAAATTACAAAACAGTACTGCGACACTAGGATTTCTTCGTTGCAACTTTGTCGGAGTAATTATTGGTTGCAATTGGGCAGGTAGAAGCGATCTGGCCTCTGGATTACTGATTTGATCCCGATATTCCTACACAAATTGTTCCGATTTGTCATTAAATTTAATAAACCAAGTAAAAGCGACTCTTTTACTATTCGTTCAGAATAATGCAGACAAATAGTTAAATAGTGGTCAATCCAAAGTAAAAATAAGACTTAAAGTTTCAGTCCCCATTATCCAATGAACGAACAGTAGCTTATCATTAATTCAAACTTACAGCAAGTATTTCGCCAATCTCTTCCACATAACTTCTCTCCGTTTGTAACAATTCGTTCAGAACGTGGCCCCTTTTAATCTTCTTCAACTCCCAGTCGCCATCCGGCCGGTTGCTCGCATGTTTCGAATTATTCCCATATCCACCACTGCTCCCATCCAAGGAGAGCGTCGAACTGCCTGATCTCAAACTGGTCGGAGATGAGTAGTGATCCTCCGCCATGCCAGAGTCCAATTGAGATGTGGATTTTGCAGATTTTAGTTCTAAGTTATTTAGGTAACACGAAGTCTGACTTCCGCTGGATGGCGTGGAGGCAAAAGATGAACCTGAAGATCGTCTCGTTTTGGTCAGTTTTGATAATTGTTGAACAATTACACTTTTTCGCTTGATGCACATCACTTCGACGTCTTCGACCCGTTTTAAAACCTAAAAATTAATTAATTTTTCAGATTTATGATTTTGATGTTAGAATTTTTTAGAATCAAATGCCAATTGATTATAGAATCTTTTCAACGTATCTGATTGAACAAATTGTTTGGAATATTTTTTTGTCTGGACAAAGTTTCCATCGAAGTTCCAAAGTCAATAAATTTGTTACGTTTACCTGTTTGACCAGTGGTTTCGACTGCGACGTCGTAGGAGATGTTGGCGTCGTTTTGAAACAACTCAATTCCTCCCGCATGGTACGAATTCGTTCCAAAAAATCATCAATTTTGGAAATGAGTGCACTTCCACATGATGATCCACCATCACGACAATCCGTCGAATCTTCTCCCCCCGTGAGTTGATCGGATATTTGGCACGTCATCAAGTCCATTCCTTCATTGCATAGTTGATTTGCCTAAAAATTCCCCAAATTATGTAGAAATCTCCTTCCTAAAAAATTCAACTATTCTTCTTACTCACCTTTTCAATCACAGCCTGGATTTCTCTCCATTCCTTCTGTTTGGTCATCTTGTCTTCCAGTATAATCTGAAATTGGGCAATTATTCTGGAAAGCTCGTAACACTTTGGTTCCACGGAATCCACTGCAGACTGATTAGAGGCTACAATTTCACGCCCGATCCGTTCCAGCTCTTGAGCCCGGGACACATCATCTCTAGATGAGGCTTCAAATTCGGACGTATCGCGAATGAGAAACTCCGTCGCGGATAAACTTTCTCCCACTTCGCCCAACTCTTCCAATCGTTTCATTCCGATGTCGAACGTGGCCTACAAATAACATAAACCAAATTTCAAGTTTGTTTTACTAACTTTCTTTAAACTTCATAAAACCGATTTTTCTTAAATTTCCGATACCTGCATCTCTCTAAAGTCGTGCTCGAACCTCCTCAACTGCAAACACTGCTCCAAGCTCGTTTTCTCCTTGATCCAAAATTCTTCAAATAGTCTTGCCGTCTCCTCAATTTGAATGATATACCTCTCCACCGAAATCACATTGATGAGCTGGACTGACGAACTGTTTACTGACCTCTGACCTAATTTCCCCTTATGATTTTTAACAATATCTCCGCCCCCGTTCTTTCTCGCGTTGCTGCTGCCCATCCCGTTATCCGGTTCCGGCGTGTTACACATATCTTTAATCCGAAAGAGTAAGTGTTCCCCATGGTCGACCGCTTGCGTGAGGTCGCTGCGCAGTCTTTGAAACTCGGAATGCTTATCGGAAATCAGCACCTCGGTGGAGCCCACATTATTGGGATACTCCAAGTCATGAAATACTTCGGTGAATCCTTTCAAATCCCGTGACAGACTTTGCAACGCGTGGTGGAAGGCCTCTACTTCAACGCGTTGTTGAACCCATTTTACTTTGTCGTATGAGATAAGTCCTCCCAGGTCTAGGGTAAGTTGGGAAGGATCCACGAAAACGAAGAGATCAGCCATACTGTTACACACGGTGAGACGAAAGCGGAGATTTTCTGTGCGGAATAACTTTGAAGATATTTCAGACAATGCTTTTTGGAAAATCCCGACCGGGCGGAGGACAAAGACGCGGTGGATCAGGCCAGGAAAATAGTTCTGGAAATCAGTACATAATTAGTAGTCTGGTTGAAACATGGTTAATAAATCATTTGAGAAAATGCAGCAGTCTCACCGATATTCTAACAAGCGTAGTTTTCACAGAATTCCTGCAAAACATTGCTCATTAATATTCACATTATTTTTGCTTGTCCATATATTTTTTACCATTTGTCATTCCTGCGATCAACTATGATCACGAACCCTGATTCTGAATCGTGCATCCTAAAAAAATAACACCTTACATTATTTATGCTCCACCCACACACAATTGCAAATATGTATTATGGCTTATCAAATAATTACGGTGGCACTGCAGTCAAGTAAATCATGAGCCTCCTGTAATCCTCGTCCCCTAACAAGTGAAAGTTCCCACGATCCGGAAACGTCAAAATGTAATGGTCGTCCAGTGACTTTGCTCCAGTCAGGAGGGCAAACTCTTGGTGCATGAGATCCATCACGGAATCGACCGAGTAGTGGGAGGACGATGGGCCCCCACCACCACCACCATTTTCAGACGAACTCTGAGATGCGATTCCAGACTCCATCGATTCTACAGAAACAAAGTAAAAAAAAAGAATCAAACACAATTTTTCAATATGGACCCACCGATTACTACAAATTTTGTACCATTATTGCATTCAATTTCTGACAATGTGGTGCAAGATTGCATTATATTTTATATATTATATTTATCCGTTAGTGCTGCTGGACACTTTCACACTACATAATAAAGTATTAACTATCATCGTCATCACACCACCCACAACTAATATTTGCAGGCAGGAAGAATCCAGACACCATATTTTTCCTCATGGTAGTAAAAACTTGTTTAAACTACAAAACCGACCGACACATTATTTTATTGCTTTTACACTTTGCATGCAGGGGGAAATTCCCAATGTAAAGTAAAATGCACATTATTTCCACTGACTATTTATTATTGTTACACTATTGTTCACTAATAAATAAGAAATTCCTGGTAAAATAATAACAATTAAATATGTACATATATATTTCTTAACGGTCGGTTAATTGTTCACTGTTTCCTTTCTACCATCAGTTGTATACCAAACCCAATAATCAAAACCTTATAAGTTGTTATACTCATTCATTTGCTGCAGAATCTAACAGAAAACACCTCTCCCTCACTCACTCCATATTTCGTAATAGGTACAAATAAAGCCAGTTAATTTGGATATTTTGATTGTGTCCTAACCATAGATGTTTGAATTACATGGTCTCAACTACATGAAACCCGTGCATGCAATGAGTCGTAGCACGCTCAACATTACTAAACTAATGATCAACAACAAAATAGTGCACTAAACTAATGTATATCTGCACTATCACAGCAATACCACCACCAATACCACCAGTACCAACTAAACTAAAGACCAACTTGTCTCAAATTACTAACTAGCTAGTAAAGCTTTAATACAAGCACAACCTCGTCAAAAACCAACGGCTGCAGCAGTTTGATGGAGCAAAATAGATTTATATTACTTATTATTACCTGCAACAACACACCTGCTTTATTTCACGACCGGTGTGCAGTGTGCTGTATGCTTTGCACATAGTAAAAATAGGGGAAGCCAAGCAAATACCACATAATATATTCCCTTTAGACGTCTTTATCTCTATTTCACCTGGCTGGCTGGCCAAAATCGATCTATTCCACATACACACACACAAATAACACACCTCTTCTTATGTGACTTCATCGCAACAAATGTATATTTCTGTCACCCCACCAAAACTCTAAAGCCGACCGACCAACTTCTTTTGCATGGCACGTCGTCGTAGCTCAAAAAGCTCTTACAATTTACAAACCTCACTCAAACAGCTAAATTACACGGCTTCACATTTCAATTTTTTATATAACACTGAACATCCTCAATTTTCTTCCTTGTGCATCGTCACAAGGAAATTTGTGCATTCATTCATTCTCTCACAGGCAATTACACAAAATATTCATTAATTATCAAAACCACCACAAAAAGAAACGAAATATCTATCAAAACCAACAGCTAAAAACCAAACTAAAATGCGACCCACTAAACTGATGACACGTTCTTTATAATTTTTCACGAATACTGAGACAAATTCAGCTAAATAAATACGTTCGCACCATAAAATAAACCTCGTTGCAGGCATGAAACGCAGTAAATCAATCCAATATTAAGAAGAGAGATGTTACTTACTTATATAAATAAATATGTTAGGTTGCATAATCCAGGTGTGCCAGGACCTAAATCGTACATATGATGGGGTGTCATCATTACTCACCATTACTTCTCACTTTGCTTTACTTTAAGACGGCAAAAAGCGAAAAGTGAGAGGACATTTTTCACAAGAAGAAAATAACATCTTACTTTTTTTTACCCTACAGCCAACTAAATATGCAAGTAACCAGAACCACATACGATACGTGTGAATGTGGCGAGATGAAGATTGAATTCGCAATTAAATTCACAATTAGCATCGCATTCTCAGAAAGCGAGGAGAATATGTCTGTGTGTCTCAATTTATTTTAAAGACCTCTCCCACAAATTGCAAATTGTGGGTCCATTAATATTTAAAATGTGATAAATATTAAGCATAAATGGCAATTTTGTGGTATGGTCTGGTCTTCCCGACATGAATTAATTTCTTGATTAGAGACACACCAAGAAAGAGGAGAGAGAGGATCAGGAACAATAGGATCACCATAAATACATATTTATGAGATACACTCGTTTGTGGGTGTGGGTTCCATTAAATCTTATGAAATTGTTATCATTAATTTACTTGTATTCTAAATAATAGCAGGCCAAAATTTGTATAAAGCAAAATAATAATAATCAAGGTATCCAATTCCACCAAGAGAAATAAATTCTAAATTCATCTTTTAAAGTAAACAGCTTCATTCGTAAATCAAACATGAAGTGGAAATAAGCCCAACAAAGGGGAAAAAAGGTGCATAAAACATTTTGTATTTTTACACAGATTAAACAACGACTTGATAAGTAACTAACTCGGAAAATATATGTTTACTTATCGTGTGAACAAGTTGACAAGTATGACGTAATTTAATCATCTTTGCATGTCGAACTCGCTGCACCAGAATTACACTTTTTGTCAAGTGTACTGAACTGACACAAGCAATGTCAGTCAGTCACTCAGTCAGTTGTCACATTGTTACACAAAAAAATCGTGACAAATATGTAGAGTTCTCAATGGTCCGGATTGGTCCGGATCAGCCCTGATCCGAAACCGGACCGTGGCCCGAAACCACCAATCCGAAACCGGACCGAAAAATTTCCGCTCAGCCCAGAACCGGACCGGGACCGGACCAGGACCGGACCGGTGAATCCGGGCGGACCGAAAAATATATCATTATATTATAAAGATCCATAGTACAGTATAATAATTACCACATGTAGTATATGTATAAATGTACATTGAGATTTATACACGTATTATGCATAAATGTCTTATGTAACTATGCATAAGACATATATGGTACATGTATATACAACCAGAATGCCAAAAGTTTCAGATTTAAATAACATGTAGCGGATGAGGTCTCGTAAGTTCCATCGGTCAGTGTGTTTATACACATAATCTCAGGACCAATTTACAATTTCCTTTTTTTAATTTTAAAAATACATTAGTAAGAGTAGGAATTTAAAAAATCCTCCCAAAATCAAGGAGCGTAAAAATTTTAAAACCTAAAAAACATAATTTTTATGGATCATGTGGAGAACTTTTGAAATCTATGTAACATAGAATTTGAATACACTGAAAATTAATGAGTTTGACTGAAAAAATTCAAAAATTTTAGGTCAAAGTATTAAAATTTTCTTCGCGCCAAAATATTCGGGCGGACCGAAAACCGGCGGTCCGGTCCGGTCCTTGAAAAGCTGATCCGAAACCGGACCGAGGACCGGACCGAAACTTTCGGTCCGGATTGGCAGCTGGCCCAATCCGGGACCGAACCGTCGGATTTCGGTCCGGTCCGGGCCAACCCGAAGCCCATTGAGAACCCTACAAATATGCGTAGGATGGGTAAACTCTAAAAGTGTTTCTTTTCCCATAAAAAAGTACAGCTAACTGTTAACAGAAACGCTATATATCAAAAAATGCATAGTAAATATGTCTGTCGTTCCAGTGGCCGCGGAAGCTTGAGGGGACAGAGGGTGGAACAATGTCCCCAGGGTTATTCGATGTCCCCATCATCTCCTCATCTTATATAAACCCCTCCCTCCCCCATCCTACAATGTTAATGTCCCCACAGCTTCCGCGGCCACTGTGTCCATCGATAAATTAAGGTGACACATTGCGTGTCACCGTATTTATGTGCAGTACCGTACTTGAGTTGTGTTGCATTGCTCCAAATAAATAGTGAATTGACAAGGATGAGCTGCATTCATGATTCCGAGTGAAATTGAAAGTGGTGGCGTCGTGTTGCATTTATTCTTCTTTTTTCCAACGGAACTTGAAAGGGTGAACAGGGACAATGGGAAAATGGATAAATAAATAAATAATTAGTTTTACTCTACCAACGACGAGGGAAGTTTTGGGACAAAATAAAGGCCACACACACAACAAGCACTCATTCAATTATAAGAGTAGAATAGCTTCTTTCTTTACTTAAGGTTGAATTGGTTCAGTTTTCGTTTTATTTAACAGTTTTCATTGAACTGAAATGAAATGGATGTTACTTCCTCTCTAATATTTTAATTAAACATATAAACTCGACTTTAAAATGTTACGATTTCCTCAACTCATTATTAGTTAGGAACTGAATCCTCCTACCCTATTATTTTTTTCATCTTGTTTAACAAAACAACTGCAAAAGTGCAAGCCAAGCCAACCCAATTTCAACAAACAACCACAATAAGTCCATTATTCTAGTTTAGCAAACCGTGTGTAAATTGATAGGCTGGAATTTGCCAACTGCATAATATTTTGTGCTCCTCGGTAAAGTGGAGAATAACAGAATATTTTGACCATGAAATTAAAACCACATATTTTTTTACCACTCAATTACTCACACATCTTTTGTTACTAAATATTTGATTGACGTACGTATGCATTTTTATTCCGCAATTTTGCAGAAATTTCATAAGTCCATTATCAAATTTCCAGCCACAGTGACACATATTCAACACTATTGTGTTTCATTTCCACCCCGAAAAACACAAACTAAAGAAAACGAAACAACTCGCAAAAGTATTTATTTCCTCCATCCCTTCCTGTTCTTCCTTTTATTTAGTGGGCTATTAGTAAATAACAAGGACAAATTGATCCCCTTTCGCTTTCTTTCTTTCTTTCTCCACCTCCACGAATTCTTCAACTTTCATGGAAATTCTCTCTTTCTCTCTCCGCCGCTCCCTAAATATCTGCAACATCCGTAAGTAAAGTAACTACAGTAAAGTAAAAGCTTGGCGAAAGGGAAACTGCGGTGAAATCATTCACCCACCAAGCTGAAAACGCAATGCATACAAATACTCGATTTCCAGCCAGCCAACCAGACTTTCACTTCTCGAAGACTTACTTGGATACAGTAAAAGATGTTGGCGAGATTCTTGCAATGTATGTGCCATGCATGGAAGGAAGCAATTCCTCCAATTGCCAACCATGCAAAAACATAAAACACGCCATGCAAGCCAAGAAGAAGAAGAACAAGGTCCTTCTTCTTTCTTGTAGCAAATTGTAAAATATGTTGTAAAATTGCCATTCCGGTTCCATGCACGTAACAAAGATTTGGCTCTTTATACTCGGTCCCTTTAGTCAGAATGGAATGAAAGGAGTTATCGAATCGAATCCTACGTTGGTGGAGCAGAAGTAAATAAATGTAAAGTCCACCAATTCTAAGTATGCCGTTTTTTAATGATAAATATGTATATATGCGAAATCCTACATCAAAACCAAGTCTAGTACATAGAACTTTGCACATTACAGCCAGCTTTACATAATTGCTCTATTATGCAGACTTCTCTTTTGGCATCTGGACTTTGTAATCCGATGGATCACACTTTATACTCATGTAAATTATTCATGCACATGTTCCCCCCAATTAGGACGAAAACATGGTGAACTTACCCAATAAAGTGGGCAAACTCCTTCCCAAACTTTTATGAAAGTGATAAAAGTCTCTCGAACTATAGTCTGCGTTTCGGCTAGAAAATCCTGACATGGATTGACCTCCTCCGCCGTCTCGAAGATTGTGATGCTGGTGCCACTGGTGGAACTCGGGGTCTCTCTCGGTACCAGAAAAAATCGGGGAGTTCGGCGTCCCCGTAAAAAACTCGCCACAACTGAGACGATTACTCCCAGACGAGGAAGAAGGAGGGCCACCACCACATCCACCACTGTTTACTGTGTAATATCCACCCCCACTGCTACGATCACTGTCGTAAGATGCGTTTCCGGACGAGTAATGTTTAGAAATGGGTCCAACACTGCTTGACGTGGAGGCACTGCTACGTTCACTTCGAGCACCCCCACCGCCGCCACTCTTGCGGCGAAATATTACTTGGTTTTGTCCCGTACTAAAGTCGTTCCCGGTGCTAATTCCACCACTACCGGAATGTGTGGGCGATTGTAGGTGTTGTTGTTGCTGCTGATTTTGGTGGGATGATGACGACGTCGAATTATTCGACGGTTGAAATCCTCCCCCTTTATCGAAGGATCCGAAACTCAGTCCGAAGAAGACGTTGCTCCCACCGCTCTCACTCCCACTCGGCGATGGAGAATTTCCCCCTCCGACAAAAACGGAATTAAGCGTAGACGACACAGAGAGGCGACTTTTCGGGATGTTGAGGAGACTCGAGAGATTCTGTTTGTTTAAGAGATTCGTGAAGGAGAACCATTTCTTGGGTTTGGGAGGTGCAGAATTTTCACGGTATGAATGAGCACTTGACGAGGACGTTGTCGAGGGGTAAGAAACGCCTCGAAATCCGTTCCCGTTCCCACGATGAGGTCCAAAATTCTGATTACTTTTTACCGAACAAGGTGAAACTGGTGGTGGTGGAAACACATCGATAGGACTTGTCGTCGTGGTCATGCTAAAACTGCTCCCATTTCGTGTCAATTTCTGTCCCGAGTTTGCACTTTCACAAATATTAGTTTGAGATCGGAATCGTTCCAAAAATGTGGTATTGCTACTATTTTCTTGACTACGTCCTCCACCTCCTCCTCCTAAAAAGGAAGACACATTTCCACGATTTCTTCCAGAATTTTTATTATGTGGGAGAGGAATTTGATGGAATTGGAAGTTGCTCGTTCTACCAGAATTATTGTTTCCAAAAGTGGCCGACTGCTGACCCGTCCTCGGACTGTTGTACAACTTGCCATGTCCAATATCTTGAAACACAGGGCTTCTCCCGATGCCTGCTGTAGCTGGTTCGTTACTACTGATAGCACAACCGGAAATGGTTGAATCTTCATGATTTTGTTTCGTCTTGATATTCTCTGTTAGCCCGTCGGATAGTAGGATCGGTTTATGGCTACAGTTCTCTTCTTCCTCTACTACGGAGGAGGACTGCTGCTGTTGATGTTGTTGTTGATGATGAGGAAATAGGTTGGCCATTCAAAATCCTCCCCAATTATTAGTTCCGGTCGATAATCTTTTGTGTGTAAACTTCGTCAGTCGTCAGTCTTATTCAATTTCAAGGTGGAAGAGTTTGCCTTCATCTTTCTTCTGTATTACGTGGTCGTTTCATGGTGGATGAGTTTAGAGGAACCAAGTCCAGTTTCTTCTTTTTGTAGTAATAAAACCTAAAAAAATTGAAACAGATTAGAAAAGTGTGGAGTTATCATTTTGCTCATCTCCCTGTAACATTAATCATGCTCGATTGCCCTTCCCATGAAAATTAGACCTTCGGGTGAACAACAAAGATAAGTTCATTGCTATTCCCATCTCCTCGTCGGCTAAAGTTGAATAATGCTCTAGTTACAAATATGCACATCTAATTAACGCGAGTGCAAAGCAGCAGAGCAGTAATAGTAATAAATCTGTTTAACTTTTGCATAGTGTCCTCTTCATGGCGTGTTTATGTCATGATGCAGTTTCGCAATAGTAAAAAATATTTATAACAGACAGGAATCAGGACCTTGTTCTGGATTTTGTATTTTGATAACAATTCGGAATTATAATAATTCTCTCATCGTAAATATATCTCATCCAGTCTTTCCGTTTGAAAGGTCGTAATTAACTAATTAATTAGTTGAGTATCTTATCGAAAAGCAAAGTAAAACGAAAGGCGAAAGAAAGGGAAATGGTTGGTGATATGAAATGTGACTTTTTTTTAGCCTAATTATGATAAAAACAAGCCTTTTTTATGACCCAGTCGACCGACATTATGCAGACTGACTGCGTTTACATATAATTATTTATCTTCATAGTTTCACATTCTATGCTTATAATAACTCGTATTGTTTAAGTTTTTCATTGAACTAGAAGACTTGTGAATTGAATCGACGGAAATACTAAGCATTCTCTTCAAAAAGTGTCCAATTCGGTAATTTAAATTATAAATGGACTGTAAGCACGTACATGCATCAAGAAATCGTGGGAATTAAGGCTAATTGCTTTTACTGGTCTGTCAACTCTGTTCTTCTGTCACTGTCAAATTAATTAACTAATTGACAATAAATAATTACTTACAAAGTTACAAACCATGTCGTCCTTGTGGAATTTCGACATCTCGCAAATAGCACCCGTCGTGTCTAACTCAAGTATTGAGAATGACCAAAAATTAACTAACAGCTAATTAATTATTATGAAATTCTCCAATTTAGCTTGACACAAGTTGTCAAATTTTTTTCATGAGGAACTGATAAATTAAAACCGACTTATCACAATCAGGAGGAAGGAAGGAAGTTACGTGAAGTCGAAAAACAAACAAAATTATCTTGTCATTATTACTATCAATTAAGTAGTATCAAGTTTAAGATAAGCCCTTATCAATGATGATGAAATACTTCCTCCAGAAAAAAATTAAAACATGACACAAAAAAAAGAATCAACATCCCTCCACCAACGAATGAAGGGTTGGATTGAAATAAAAACTGCCGCTTATTGGCCCTTGAAAATAATGAAAATATGGAAAGTGACACTTTAATTTCTCAGATTCCGAATTATGAAATATTTTTGAAATATGCTCATATTTGTATTGATGCAAGTGAATAAAAAAACCTTAATTAAAATAAACAAATTAAAATCTTACGGTTTTCCAAGTCTCAGATTTTCTAATTGTAAGCGAGTGAGTAGAAAATCAGACGAGAATCCGTCTCAACTTGATCATTAAATGCACAAAATCTAACAAGTCCGTATGTAACTTTGTTTCGAAATGTAAAACATTCGGTAACAAATCCGACGTAAAAGTCACACAAAACTGCAACTTGCTACAATTTTTATTTCGTGCAATTTTATGTAGCTTCAGTTTCCATTACCTGAATAAGATTGGAACTAAAGGCACAAAAGTCTCAAAAGTTTACAAGTTCAACTAATAATTATTCACGCTATTATTCATTCACCACTACCACTTGATACTTTTCACGTCAAGGATCCAATAATAAAATCCCATGACTTTTAAACACCACAACCACAATTTAACTCTGACTGTATCAGTATCAGTACTAAACTCAAAAGTGTTATAAAAATCCAATATCCATTCACCTCGTGGGAAAATTGTCTGCCTCATATCCCATCTTCAAATCCAAATCACATTCATTTAAATTTTATTGAAAAACTACTTTATCAAGTGTACTTTATAGAAGCAGATCATGGGAAATTATAAGAATGCCATCGTCACTACTAAACCACGTAGTCGTCGTCGTCTTCTTCATCCACAAATAAATATGCAATTTACAATACAATGCCCTGTTTTACTATTGATTTGCAAAGTCATTCGTGGCTTGGTTCAGTTTTTAAGAAAAGGCCGACTTGCATACATACAAAACTTCTGTTGAACCGTAAAGAAATAAAACTTGGTTGCTTTTTAGTAGATGAAAATCATGCGTGATGATGTAATACAAAAATTCCCATAAAAATCGAAACATGCCAATAAAAATCCACTTACATTTTAATTTTTGCATCGATGAAAATTCCTTTGTTCATTGCATTTACGTAATCCTTGTAAGAGGGTGATTATTATAAATGTTTGTTCTTAAATCTGGTGGAAGATCTTCAATTTTATTGTTTGAGGTAGCGTTATTCTTGATACATAGTAGTGTAAAATAATTTGTTTTCAATTATTGATGACAACAATTAGATAAGTGCGTCGCCTAATGAGGGAGGGAGGATGTTCTTATAATGCCATTTTTATGTAATTTGCTAATTTCTTCGTGTCATCATCCCCACACTTGAATAAGACTTTACGCAATTTGAAGCTGAACTTGATTTGATAAATGACTTATTGATGCGTGCGTAGCAGTCAATTAATTTTTTTACATGATAAAAGTCAACACTTGTAAAAGTCTGCGAATGTTTTTAGATAAGTATCCAATCTTGATAAAGCTTGTAGTTTGTGCAGTGTGGCGCAAAGGTGTCGATTTTGTTGCAGTTAGAGCAAAAAGGTGTGCAGAAGAACGGGACACTATTTTTTACTTACTTACTTATATGTATTTACTAGGAGTAGGAAAGTTACTATGTTGTTGACTGGTCTGTTGTGTGTCGTTGTAATGGAATTATTAGGAGAGAGAAAGCAAAAGATCTACCCTAGATTGGAGGTGGTAGTCACTACACAAGGAAAACCCGTAATACTTGTCAGATTCGGAGATTTCGGGGAAATCGTGGTAGGAAGATATACGAGAGAGAGAGAGATGCCCGAGGGGGGCGAAACTTTCCCGAATTCGGAGGAAAGCCGAGAACTAAGGGAAAGTTGGGTCTCTCCGTGATATGATAAAATCAGGGGAGAAATGCATGCAATATGACAAATTCGAACTTGGTTGGTAGCAGATATTATTAAACACTTGGTTTTGGACGGCAATAAAAATATTCAAATTTTATGTATAAGAAGAATCTTGTTCTTGGTGATGTTTGATAACACCCCGTCACATGCTAAACTCGGTGGATTTTCAATTGCAGTTTCCAATTCCATGAAATAAGGAGGATTTAGTCTAAATCTATCATGAAAATAATGACGATGAATTGAATGCATTTCTATAAAAATATTTAATGTCAGAGATTCAATTGTAGTGACGCTTCAAAATTATATAAGTAGAATTAACTTTATTGGATTTGCAGTGAAAAGCTGCTAGAATCTGATATATTTTTATAAATTTGGCAAACTACTTTTGCAAATCTTCATTATTTTTATAGAATATGATGAAATTTTTATTGATGTGGTAGTCCGATGTTTTTTTAGAGAAGGGTGTGCTCTGCTTGGCTTTATTCTAAAATTATTAAATTTTTTAGCATTGCATCCTGCATCTCAATAACGTCAATAAAGGATTACATAGATAGTGACTTTTTCATGGGAAAATACCTATGGTGTAATAATTTTTCCTATTTGAGTGTCAAGTTTTCCAATTAGTTTCGCAATTTCGTCCACCATATCCGTCAGCGGTTGCATCTCTTGATCCAACTCTATAAAATATTATCATTAATATCCAAAGTTTAGACAGCATATCATAAATAGCTTGATTAAGTAAATATATTACGAGTTTTCTTAACATTTGCACTTAGTTGTCCAAAGAATGTCGACTTATCCTCTTAAAATACAATAAAATAATTATTTCTAATCCATTTAATCCATTTAAAAAAGCATGCACGTAAACGCGTACGTTCAATCTTCGATTGGATGCGGGGACCACGCTTTTCCAACTTGGATTTTTCAAGTTCCATCTGAGCCTTCAACTCCTCTAAAAAACAAAAAAACAAGCTAAGTTAGATGATGGATGAAATGCAACTAAAATCTATTAAAATATTAAAGCTACTTAGTTATGTATAAAAAATAGTAGGTCACTAATAAAATATATTTAGTTACCCAACAATTCTTTCAGATCTTCTCTTCCCGTTGGCATGTTTCGTCGTGGGAGCCTTGACTATTAGTAACAACAATAACTAGTTAATATGCGACTTTAATGGTCCGTTGCTAGTTAGGAAATGTGACACGTTGTCTCTTACCAGGATTTCATTTGGGATGGAAGAATACCCCATGTTTGAATGAATTAAAGAAAAATATCGAAGATGCTTTATTCAAATTTGTGTCGAGATTATTAAGCTGGAGGTATGCAGACAGTATCAATGAATTAAATCAGTCTTAAAATGCAAATGGTGGTCAAACTACTGAAACTTCCTCGCTCACAATGCACTCTGCATGGATCACATAGACTGCAGGAATTTTGGGTTCAATTTTCAAGGACATAATGTACCAGCATGCCTTAAAGTACGGATATCATTCATCCAAGGGATTTGTGTGACACAAAGAAATTATATTTAGGATTCGTGTCCCTTTTCATGCACCTACGTGGTCTTTTGATCATTATCAACGTTCAACGTTGGATCGTTAGTTTCGAATTTTGCACACATGAATGTTTGACAAAGTTGGATGAGCAAAATCGGTCAAGTAGTTGACCTTTGGGGGTCGTATAGGTTAGAGGGATGTTCTGCAAATTAGTCCTATTATAAGGATTTCACCCTTTAAATACAATTCGTTGGATAGACTTTGTATGACAATTTAAATAGTAGAACAAATTTTGATTTTACAAATATTTGCATATGTGATGTGCCAGAAGTGAAGCTATAAAATTAGTTCAGTATTATGTACACCCAGTGTGCACATTTTTTGAAATACCGATATTATTGCAGTATCATTTTCTCGTAACAACATTTTTTGTGGACAAATTGAGACGAATCTTTATTGCACGAAACATGCAGCTTCAGCTCAGACATGTGATGTTTAACATGTGTTTAACCAGTGAACCAGCTCAGCTGAAAATATTTTCAGAAAACTTTAAATTTAATAAACGATCATGATATTACCACGAAATTACTTATTCCACGGTTTGAGGTGTTCAAAATGTGTCAACTTTCTTCAATCCTCAAGGAATCTTCGTCTTGCTGCAGCATTACAAAACTTTGTGTAAGAAATTAGAGTTAAACCAATTTGACGATTTAATTTTGTCAAGATCCTATTAATTTGAAATTCAAATTTTGAATTGATAAATTCCCTTAACTATTTCAGGAACTTATCGCACACTGTGTACAATCCTGACCAAAAAGTGCCATCACCGCCATCGCTATCGCCCCCACTTTTGATAACGCATGGTCTTCTCGGATCGAAAACTAATTGGAACTCGATTGCCAAGGCGGTCACGAGGGCTACGAATCGTCAGGTTGCTTAAATAGTGGACTCCAGACTCATTTTAACCAATAGTCTAATTAATTGTGTTATTATGTAGGTCGTTGTCTTCGACGCTCGGAATCACGGCGACAGTCCGCACGTACCTCAGCATGGGTACGATGTTATGGCGGAGGACGTCCTTCACCTCGTGCAAAATACCCTAAAAGTCGAAAAATTCACCTTGATGGGTCATTCCATGGGAGGTCGGACCGCAATGGCGTTGGCGTTACGGTATCCAACCCTTTTAGAAAAACTTGTCGTCGTAGATGTGTCACCAGTTTCGCTGCAGTCCCAATTTCACTCGGAAATGCAAGGTATTCATTCATAAATTAGTTAAATGCAAGGTGACATTAAGTACTTTGACATTAATTTGGATCCCTCCCTAATTAGATTACATCAGAATAATGATGAGCATTGACTTTACCGGTGTCAGCAAGTTATCTGAAGCTAGGAAAATTGGTAATGCCGCTTTAACAGAGTTAGTTCCGGTATGTGCAAGTTTACATTGAATAATTACTTGCAATTATCTCTAATTAATCATTTTAATTGATTACAGCAAGCATCAATTAGAGCCTTCCTCCTCACAAACCTATACGAATCTAACAATCAAATCGCGTGGAAACCTAATCTCCCCATTTTGCATGAAGCTGTCGGTAGTGTCGGACTATTTCCTGAAGACTTGATGTCGAAACGGTTCGAATCTCCGAGTTTGTTTATTCGAGGAGCAAAATCAAGCTATATTCCGGACACGGATATTCCCGAGATCAAAAAATTGTTCCCTGCCGCAAAATTCGATACCATTCAAGGCTCTGGTCACTGGCCACATGCTGATAATGTGAAAGCATTTTTAGATTCGTTACTACAATTTTTAAAGTTGTGATTATCTAGTCGATTTTTAGTCAATTTATTATTTTTCTGCCAGAAAAATAAAAGTTTATTTTACTTATATTACTTTTTGTGGGTATACAAAATTTAGGGGGTTGACAAATAAGCCAAGACCAGCGTTCCAATATGTTTGTTTCGAAACACTTTTAAATTCTCGATTTCATAGCTAATCGGAAGCACGATGGTTTCCACATGGTGGGAATTCTTTCCTGGTCTCGTGGTTTGCCGACCTTCGACCTTTTAAACGGGAATAGAAATTTGTATAGGGCAAATTTTTCAGAACTAATCTAGCGTCGTTACCTTGAGATTAGTTCCATCCAAGAAAAATGTTATCTCATCTTCTCGAAATCCTTTCATGTCAATCAACCATCGTCGATCGGCCCCAGGTGGGCTGCAAGTTAATTCAAATCATTCGTTAATTTTCAATTGGATTTTTTAATTGGATTCCAGATTTATGAACCGGATGTCAAACTGTAAATATTTTGCGTTCGAATCTAAGGCGAAGTATTTCAAATTATTTAACAGTTTTAATTGGAAAGTGAGGATAGTAAGAATTTCTTACCATCCTGTTATGAAAACGTTCAAGAAATACATAATTAATTTTAGGCCAGTAGTTTGATTACGTGGCATTTACATATTTATCAAAGAACCAACAGCAGACCATTTTAAATTGCTTTCATACTAATAACCCTCACCCTAAATCACTCGTCTCAATGAAACTATTGCACTCTGGGCGTGACCGTGTCCTCGTCGGGATATAAACGGAGCCCTTTACGACAGCAAGGACGGCTTTCGTTTCTTCCCGATAATTCCGAGAGGCCGTTGTGGACGACGCCATAAAGTGGGCATGCTTGGCGTGGTGGTGAACGTGCTCAACCTTTTTTGAATTACCAGCCGATTCTACGACCACTTTGCCCGTCTCGGCGACACCTTGTTGTTGTTTTCCTCCGAGGTGGACATGATGGTGATGATGGTGGGTGTGATGACTTGGTGGTTCGACGTGGGAAGAAGGGACGGGGGCAGATTTTGAGCCAGTCACCACCGCGTGCTATTTTATTTATACGATGATCAAACCTAGTTAATTTTGGATGGATAACTAACTTTTTATCCAAAAATACCTTGTTATCGTCGTCGTTATCAATGTCGGACATTGACATTTGATGAAGCTTTTGCTTCACGTGGGGTGAATTTGCTCTCGACGAGGGGGCGGGCGTTCCTGGGCGGAAACGTGTCGGTGGGGTCATCGTAGGTTCGGTGGGTACTTTGTCATCATTATTACTGACTCCAGCAGCATCATCATTGTCGTCATCCTGGTTGACATTTAGACTTGGGTGGATATCCTGTAATTGAAAGGTAGCAGATTTGTGTGATTTGGGTTTTTTGGAGGAAGGAGAAGATGGTGGCTCCATTATTTGGTCACAAGAATTTTGGGCGCATGGAATTATGTCGATATCATTAATTTTAATATGCATCTTTTAGCGAGGTGTCACAATTCACGGTTTTCATGCAAATTTCCAGTAAGGGAAGTTACTTAGCTACTAGAAAACTCGAGTAATCGTGATAATTTAGTGGTGCCACAACTGGCACTGGAATAAAGGAAAGCGTTGTAGTAACGCCGGATTCAAGCAGTTTTGCCCATCTAAAGGCTGGGAATTATATCGCCAATTTATTTAAGAACATATGCAAATCTAGAGATTTTGAAATGCCGATTATGAGGGGAAAATGAGAATCGTGATATATTTCGGTTCTTTTTGCGAACTCGTTTTTTTTTATTGGACTGGTCTCTGTTTGTAAACAGAACTTTACAATTTTCGAGTAAATAGGATACCTGCTTCACTACAAGCAGGATTTAATTTAAATTACGACAAATTACGATTTGCTAATTTACGAGATAAGGTTGAAAATCTATAATTCCAGATTTATCTATATTTTTAAATTTTATAACGTCATTGGTTGGCATAATTGCAGGACTACTGGCTCATCAAATTCGCAAAATCCAGGTTTGGTTCTGGTTGGAATAATAGTTTTTCAAGATTCCTGAATAAAAATGAATTCTACATATCATCATCAGAGAGAAATCTTGAGCTTGAAATCACGGTCAGTTTTTGTAATGTTCTAATTCAATTCAGATATAGTAAATTAGTTCTCTGATTCACATGATAAATAAAATTTCTTTGTAATTTTAGTGCCCTTACCATTCTTGTGGATAATTACACGACCATATTTCAAAATATTGACCATCACAAACTTCGGACTCTGATACCGAAACCATTCCTGAAGGAGATCTTTTCCCGTCTTGCATTCAAAGGGATTCTTGAAGGCCCACTATTTCGCCTGTTGGACCAAAGGGCGACCATAATTGACCTCAAATCCATAAGGAACTTTAATAATGCTGCTTGTTCCGTACTAAAGAACTTTTCAAATTTAAGGACTCTTTATCTCGACGAGGTTTGCGCAGATTCAGAATGTAAATTAATACACTTTAATAGTATTCTGCAGTATTGATCTATAATTAATAATTTGACCTCTACCCTTCACAGCATTATGCGACTTATTTTCGACAATGTACAAACTCTCGATCCTCGAAATCACGAAATCTCCAAGTTTCAATGATTCTGTCGCCAAAGTTATGAGCGAATCTTGTCCCTGTTTAAGAGTACTGAATGCCAATCGTACCGGGTTGGGGGATGAGGGATTGATAGCGTTCGGACAAAATTCTTTGACCTTCGTGGCATTAGATATTAGCAATACAAGTGTAAGTGTTATTTTTATACGAGATAATTTTCGACGGTTTACATTTACCGTGTTTTTTGTCAGGTTTCATATGCAGGGATTCAAGGTCTCCTCTCCAGTCCGACCAAGGGGACCCTGAAGGAGCTAAAGTGTCGAGGAACCAAAGTAAATAATCGTGAGGACATATTGACAATAATCATGGGATTCCAACCACTGGAAGAATATACTTTTGATTTCGCCTCTAGTGGTACTAAAAAAACTCGATTTTTCATATGACCTGATAATAATGACTATTAAACTGACTAAATTCATCTTATCTACAGATGACGCAACCTGGGTTATGTCTCGAGTCACGAAACGACCGAAAAATTGTTACTTCTCTGTAGAAATTTAAGTAATTGCTGGAACAAACCAATTAAGAGTAAATTATCTAATCAATGATTAGTAATCATAAATGTGTCCCATATGATCTCATGTTCGCTATCGTCGCTAATTTTTATAATAAAGGTCCCATCGAACCTCAGGACATGAATCATATTTTTTGATTTTTTAAAAATATCTATTTTGAGAAATTGTTGCAAATTTTACAAAATTATTATAAAAACTCATAGCATTATCAAGCACAAATATCGCTTTGCTGCCCTCCGTGCCATCTGCGGAGCTCATTTTCCACCCGTTCCGCTCACCCGGCTCTCATTTCAATTCACTGCCCTGCATGCTCTCAGTCCTCGAGAGTGGTTGGTTGATTAGTGGAAATAAATTAATTTTTCCTAGGGTTTCCATATTTTTAACTTTCAGAAATGTCGAAGAGAGGTAAACACACTAACTAATTTAGATGATAAGCCTCTTATCGTTCCTTTACTTAATGTTTGTTCGTATTTTCTATTTCAGGTCGTGGAGGTACGGCAGGAGCCAAATTCCGCATCTCCCTTGCTCTTCCCGTTGGCGCAGTGATGAACTGTGCCGATAACACGGGTATGTCGATGATGAAAAGATAAGGGGATAAATAAATGTAAAAACTAATGGTTATCCGTTTTATGTGCTAATTTTAGGAGGAAAGAACTTGTTTGTTATTGCTGTCCAAGGAATTCGAGGTCGGCTTAACAGATTGCCAGCCGCCGCCGTAGGTGACATGTTCGTCTCCACCGTGAAAAAGGGAAAGCCAGAGTTAAGAAAAAAGGTCATGCCGGCTGTGGTCATTAGGCAGCGGAAACCTTATAGGAGGAAGGATGGCGTGTTTCTCTACTTTGAAGATAATGCGGGGGTTATCGTTAATAACAAGGTGAGCTAATCTGTCTAAAGCGCAGATCTCATGGGTAGACTTCTGAATATTAAGTAATCAGTGTGACTGTTCTTTAAATATTACTAGTTTTGTACCATAATTTGATTGCCCCAAAATTTTAAAAGAAATGTCATAGCTAGTGTGACATAATCTTTGATTTCTAAGCCAAACTATGTCTATAATAGGTTAATGACAGCATTATTTAACTAATTGAATTTATATTTTCTAATTCCTCAGGGCGAAATGAAGGGTTCAGCTATCACCGGTCCAGTCGCGAAAGAATGTGCCGACTTGTGGCCCAGGATTGCATCCAATGCTGGTTCGATCGCGTAGGATTATGAAGGATAGTGAATACCAATTTCTCTTTTTATTGACGAGTTAAAACTGGAAATAAATATATACTTTCCAGAAAAACTGAAATTCGCGTTTCATTTACATAATCCTCTCAATTCCACCGACTTAATTTTTAAATCTTTTTAAAATGCATTCGTCCTCATAAAACTAACTGAAATTGATAAGTACATGGCATGCATAAATGAAATTCGTACCATTCATTAAATCTTATGCACTCAAATCTCTCATCCACCCGTCAAACTAGCCACAAAAAAGATGCGGAAGACACGTAGCACCACAAGCAGCACGTCGTCTGTTCTGTTAGCAACAGTAAAGTAACAGCAGTTTGACAATTTACATCAAATCGCAAATACGAAAAATTTTCAATGTAAGAATTACTACCACTTTCTTCTAAAAAGCGGACTGGAGAAAGCAAAATTATTGGGTTTGGTCGTCTCTTTCTGCCCATCATCACCAACTTTCACTGGCATTTCTCTTTCTCCAACTCATTTCTCCAGATAAAAATCGTGTTCATTTGGTGAGTTCGTGATGATGAATGTCAATCAATTTCTCTACTTCAGCAACGGCAGCTGGTCATAAATTTCTGGGCTAAAGCTAAACTCAAGTTTTATTCGTATAATTTTCAGATTTTTTGATTAGCCAAGTTATCAGAACTTTTAATTTTACGACAATGGATTCTCCGAGATTTGACCTGGATAAGAAAACTGGATGGAGGAACAGTCATAATTCGTCCTTCAATTCCAACAAGAGCACGGGAAGTGGGAGTGGCAGCGCGTCGTCAAACTCCGCCTCGATGGATGAGGATGAATTTCAAAGCGAGAGGATAATTCGTACGTAATAAAAAGTTAGCATTATTTTGAATAAATTGTGATCCTAATTGTCATTATAGAATCGTTAACTTCAAAATACACGGAATGTGAAGAAGGCAGTGATCTCCTCGAGAAAACTTTGGAGCATTTACGTGAAAATATCAAAGCTGGGATTTGTCTTATTTGTATAGAAGATGTCGGACGGAATGAAGCTGTGAGTAAAAAAGACTCGTTTCTTCTTAAATTTTGTTCAGAATTATGATGAAATAATTTGATACTTCCGTAGGTCTGGTCATGTGAAACATGCTATTGTATTCTTCACTTGGTATGCATTCAACGATGGGCTCGTGATAGTATGGATAACATCAAGGAGAAAGCGGCTGATCGAGGGTGGAACCTTCCCATTATTTATTGCTGGTTAGTTAAACGTAATAAATAAAACTATTACCAAGTATCTAATTTGCCACCACTTTTTTCAGCCCAAAGTGTCGCAAAGAGTACCCTGAGGCTCAATTTCCGGATAAGTATCGATGCTACTGTGGCAAAGTCACCAATCCAAAATCAGATCCTTGGGTAAATTTTATAAAAAAAAACTTATCGAAAGTTACAAAATAAAGATTTGTAAAAAAATATTTATTAGAATGCACCCCATTCTTGTGGAGAAACGTGCGGAAAACCACTGAAACCAGAGTGTGGTCATCATTGCTTGCTCCTCTGTCATTCTGGTAAGTAATTTAACCACATACATATACTTATATTTAATTATGAAACTAACTAATTAATTACGCATTATTCATAGGACCCTGTCCCCCTTGCCCGAAACAAGTCACTAACACCTGCTACTGCTCCAAATCTACGCCAAAAACGTTGCGTTGCTTCTCGAAAACATGGTCATGTGGGAAGCCCTGCTCAAAACCACTCCTCTGCCAATTCCACAAGTGTCCGGATACCTGCCATCCTGGAGTCTGTTCCCCGTGTGAGGTTCCAGTTACGCTCACCTGCAAGTGCTCCAACCCAACCCAGATTATCACCACATGCTGGAAGTTGACCTCTCAGGAAGATCCAAAATTCATCCTCTCTTGTGGAAAACAGTGTGGAAAGCCGCTGGATTGTGGCGTCCACTCGTGTAGTCAACCTTGCCACGAAAACCAGTGTTCCACATGTGAACGGACCTGTCCCTGTGGGAAGGCCAAAGCCCCTTGTTCGGGCGACATCGAAGTTGGAAAACCTTGTGAAGATACTTGCGACAAACTCCTCGACTGTGAAAATCACTCCTGCACCCAAAAATGTCATCTCGGCTCTTGCGGTTCCTGCTTGCAACACGTCACCAAGAAATGCAAATGTGGTCAGTACGAGAAGGAAGTCCTCTGCTCGAAAGAATTCGTCTGCGCCACGAAATGCAAAATCCTCCGCGATTGCAAGATCCACCCCTGCAATAAGAAATGCTGTTCGGGAGACTGTCCCCCGTGTCGGAACGTGTGTGGGAAAACGCTCTCTTGTAAAAACCACAAGTGTGAATCGATCTGTCACTCAGGCCCATGTTATCCGTGTCCGGTCACGGCGCAGGTCAAGTGTCGCTGCGGAGAAACAGTTCGATCTGTTCCATGTGGTTCGGAAAAACGGTGCAAACCTCCAGATTGCTCTCTCCTATGTGCAAGGCCCACGAAATGCGACCATTCCAAGATCCAAAACCATCGATGTCACTTTGGAGATTGTCCAAAGTGTCGGATTCCATGTGGGAAGACTCTTCCTTGTCGACATCAATGTCCCGCTGTTTGTCACACGACAAAAGTCAAGGGCGAAGTTAGCAAACCGTGTCCGAAATGTGTTCAGTTTGTCGAACCGAAATGTCGTCTACATCGCGAGGTGAAAGTCCTATGTCATGCCGTGGATCAGAGATGCACCCAAATTTGTGGAAAAATTTTGTCTTGTGGTGAACACGCCTGTTCTAAACCTTGTCACGAAGAGTTGACCTCGCAGGATTGTGGGGAGTGCACCGAATCCTGTTCCAAGCCTCGCCTTCCGGGATGTAATCATCAGTGCGAGTTGGGATGTCACACTGGACCTTGCCAGCAATGCAGTCTCGTGGCGAAAGTGGCATGTCACTGTGAGCAAGAAGTGATGTTTGTACAATGCTATAAACAAGGGAGGTTGTCTGAGTATGAAAAATCTTGCAAGAATCAGTGCCCCAAAAAGGTATGCCTACTATGAAAAATATGATTTTATCAGATTTACAAAAAGTGCTAATTTATTTTCCCTTATTTTGGCCAGCTCTCTTGTGGTCACCGCTGTCTCACCCTCTGCCACTCAGGACCTTGCCCAGAACTAGAGAAATGTCGCCGCAAAGTAAAACTCACCTGTAAATGTAAACACGTCAAAAAAGACGTCGAATGCTTCCTCCAGGATGACGAGCAAAATAAAATCATCGAATGTCAACCTGGACTTTGCTCTATTCCAAAAGCCGTTAAGGACACACCGTCTGGCGGTGGGGCGAAGAAGAGAACACGAAAGAAGAAAGTTTCCGAGGGGGATGCCGGAAAAGATGACGATGATCCGGACGGTACTTCCGCCAACAATATAAAAACTGACAACGATCTCCAAGCTGGCGTCAAAAAGGGGAGCATTTTCAGCTCAAATCTCAAAGCCATCTTAATCATTGCCGCATCTGCGTTTGTTACTGCCACCGTGCTAAAATTTTACGGCAGCTCGATCATTCCAGACGAATATCGACACAGTTATGGAAGTGGGGCGTCGTAATTCGTTAAAAATAATCTTGTTCCTTGTTACTAATTAAAATAAGTTGTAAACTAGATTAAGATGTGATAGCCACAAAATATATAAAAATGTGATATCATACACAGAGTGAAATGTAGCATCTTAAAAAACATTAGTCCTGTTGTTGTTGTTACAGAACACGGTAGTTAATAATTGTTGTGAGTATGAATTATTACTTTAACTTGTCATTCATTGTTGTACCACTGTCTGACTGAATCTGTTACATATTTTTAAATAATTTTTTTAACCCTACCACATAATAATTATTGGTTTATATTTCGTTTTTTTTGTGGTATTGTCCACCTTTTCACTTTCGATATGCATTTGTTTAGCTTACGAATGAATTAATTTATTGGATAAAGAATTCACAAATTTTAAAATTGTATGGATTACTGAATGAATAGCGTACATATTAATGTGTAGAAGTTTTGACCATATGTCATTAAATAGAATTGTTGAAAATATTAAACCATCCCTTCAACATTTACTTACACATTATTCGCATTGCATGAATGAGCGGATACCAAAAATCCGGTTTATTAAGGAGTAGATTCAACCCAACTTGTTACCAACTTGACCCAATGATCTTCAAGTGAGAGTGAAAGCCATGAAATATATGCCTGCCTCACAGTTAGTTGATAAAAATGTGTGTCACTAATTGTTGGTCAAACACTAACTAACGTTCTCATCGTACTTTGTGTTCTGTGTATATTGCTCTCGTTAGTTTTGTAATAACTGGTTTGATTCAAGTTTCATTTTTTACACATTTTTTTAAAAGTTCGCCGTCGTCTCTCTATCCACTCTTACTTTCAAACCGATGAACAGAAATCAAGGCCCTCGTCATCATCATCTCTCTCTTGTCGTTTCATTAAATATTACAGGTGACGAGGAACGAACGCTTCGTGACATTTAGTCTTGCCAATTAATTTTCGTACGTACCCCATTAAAAATAAATGGGGTCCATAAAATCCACTTCCGGTTGTTGTTCTTGTTCCGTCGTGTTGGTTCTTTTTGTGGCGTGTATTTTAGTGGCAGATGTTAAAACGGAGGAGGTCGTGAGGAGTGGATCACATTATGATGGAAGTTTGCTAAGTAGTCGACGAGGGGGTAAGAAGATTTCTGGATATTGTTGGCATTTCCGGTTCGATTTAATTTGCCGTTTTTTGTGTCACAGTTGGATCGACGGTGTCTTCTTCTTCCGGAGAAAATAGTCCTTCCTCCGGAAAAATGTATCTCCTCCGGAGAAAAAAGACCAAGAAGAATGGTCTCGTCGTCCCAAAATCGAACTCTTTCTCGATCCCGATCTCTGCAGAGAGTTACCACGCGTATAATTCCCGATATGACGACGCCACCCCGGACATTGAAGACATCGACGTTGGGACGATGTTATCCCGTCCCAGTGATAACGACAACTGGGTCTCATCCCTCCAACAAGCTTATATCCTGTCGAAAAATAAACAAGCCCACCAAACCCCCATCATGGTTGACGGCACCTCTTCCTCATCAAATACCGAATTTCGGAGCAACATTCCTCTCCCGAGTAATCCTTTCATGCCAAAAATTACGGAAAAACATTATTCAAAAGGTTCCACTTCACATCATCACTTTCAGAAAAATAGTAACCACTATTATTCACCCAACTCTCGTGCCGACAATTTTCTGTCGTCTCTCTCCTCAATCACGGCCTACTTACCAAAGCTGCCGATCGCACTTCCGTCCTGGAACAGACTAAAATCCTCGTCCTCCTTGTCCAAACCAGCCTTGCAGGCAACAACTCCACCTCCCACCGTGGTCGTGGCCTCATTGACCCCGGCAGAATCCAAGGTCCATCCCATCATCGCTTCTGCCCCGGCACGTCGCTCCCAGATGGAGTCCATCCTCTCCAAATTAGAGAAACTTGACGAAATCAAGGCCGCCCTTCCTCCCAAAGGTTCCTACACGCCGTACGGCGAGAGGACAATTATCATGCTGAAATATCCCGGACTTCCTGAACGGCATCGCGTAGCTCAAAACGACATCAGTCTGGGCTCTTTTGGTCGCGATATGTACGCCCTTGGTGGCATTCGACCCATCTCGATAACCATGGACGACTGGCAGACGCCTTCTCGAAAACCTATCAAACTCAAAGATCCCGACGTGGGGGTTATCATCGCGCAGAATTACATCCTCCAACCCGACGTGTCGTTGAATTCGCATTATAAATACCAACCCCAAGGTGGGGACGATTCCTCCACGTCCGATTTCGACATGGTGTCACAACTCGCCAAAGCTCTTGCGGAACGGAATAGGATCATTAATAGTTTTTCGGCTGGGAAACATGGGTCATCGGGACCATTGAAGGAACCACCTTTTGTCCTCGTTCATTTGGAGTCCTACACGAAAAAGAAGAACACCACGACGCCGTATGGTTTCGACGAGGAGAGGGAAATCAGTTACTCGAACGGGACAATTATCTACCCCTCGTTGGACGATCCGACGACCTTGGCGAGCACGAAGTTTGAGTTTGAAGGGCTTAACGATGTCGAAAATGTGTTTAACCGACCCCTTCAAATTGGACAACGAGGCGGCGGTATGAAACCTATCGTGCCACTGGGTCTGGTAGAAATCCAGAACTATTTGCGCCTCATGTACACCATGCATCACGACATTCATGACGGGGGCCATGTCAAAATGGGGGAACTTAAGGGTTTAGCCGCCACGGTGGAGAGGCAGCCGCTGGAGGGCTCGCGTCCCATGGCGGATTGGGAGGTGGAGCGAAACATGGAAAAATATAAGGAAAATTGGATGCACACGTCGACCTTGGGGTTGAGATCGATAAGCGATTATCCACCACCACCACCCAAGCTTCCAATCCCTTATCCGACGTAGTTGTATGATAGTTATAATAATGATATTATATTTTTTTAATTTAATTATATTTTAAAGTGTAAGAATATGTAAAAACTTGTTATAAATTATTTATGAAAAGATATGTATTTTACGGTAATAATTTAGCAAAATTTTGCATATACCAGACCAAACGTAGCGAAATCCATATCATGTTAATTATGCATGGAAAAATGTATTACAAAATTTACAAATCGAAATCGTCAAAAAAATGGATAGGACATACGACAAAATGGACGCATTCAAATTCAATATTTACATTTTCATAACTTGTTCTCCCCATATGAAACAGAAATTCTCGATGAAATGATTCACTCCCTTGGAGTATATTTTTAATTAATTAATATGAATCACTTCTGCATGTTTTGTAGATCTATCTAATTCACGCCTCTAAACAGTATTTCACATTTTTTTCCAAATCGACGTTCAACTCATTCAACCGTTCCATAAATATTTTCATTATGACGTAAGCAATCCCCCATAGGTAATTAAATTATCCCCCCCCTCCCACCCTACAATTTATGCAATCGCTGCTTCAATATTCTGGGCCCAACAGTATTTATTTATTTATGCATTTCTCTGATCACCTCTCAAACACTCAGCTAAATACAGTTGACATTTTTGCTTTTACGATAAATTATTATTATTGTTTTATATCTCATTTTGAGAAACAGTTCGGCTAATCCTTATTTTTCTCAAAATCAAATTATTAAAATTAATCCAAATATTTCCAATCTACAAATTAAACAGTGAAATCTCATCTCATCTTATTTTCCTCAATTAAATCTTCAATCCTTAAAGTCACCAAACTTTATAAGTCGTTTTCAATCTCAATGCAAACGAACACGTATTTGTTTAAATGTCACTTCATTTTTTGCCTACTTGTCATAATGAATTTCTTTCCATCCATTTCACTCTTGTTCTCATCGAGGAAATTTGCATACATGCAAATTCAATTCTTCTTCACAAAAAAAAGTTGCGGTGTGTGATATGCTAAATGTCCTATACGAAATGGGACTTGATTTTGATATCATCCACGTGTAAACAAATTTAATATGTTTCTTGCTTCTTGCAGAAAAAGGGGTCGTGCTTTCGACTTAAATATAAATAAGTAAACATGGGCGGATGATGGGGACATCGAACAACCGTGGGGACATTGTCACCCTTCCGCGGCCACTGTTTCTACCTCATCTCAACAAATTATACAGATTCGAGCACCGTGTAATAACAAATATGCACTTAACTTTTGGCTGGTCGGATGGATATATTGAAGTCTGTTTTACTAAATAAAATGTATCATCATCATCATCTTTTGTACGCCACAGTTCCCACCGCGTTGCATTATTATACCTGCATTGTTGTTGTCGATTTAAAGAGCGATACCATTTATTCATCTCAATCTCTTGCTCGATCCCTTACACGTTACAAATAATGATATGAGAAATAAATAAACCGTCGCAAACGCGCATACGGAAGTAGCTTCAGACGTACTTCACCCCAAACGGTCCCACCACAACTCGGGAACACTTAATTTCACTCTATTTCACCTATAGATTAATTTTTTGTAAAAATCTCATTTTGCCCCGACCACACCCCCTGGCGACGAGGGGGTGTGGAACAACTCGGGAACACTTAATTTCACTCTATTTCATCTATAGATTAATTTTTTATAAAAATCTCATTTTGCCCCAACCACACCCCTGGCGCCTAGGGGGTGTGGCACAACTCCGGAACACATAATTTTACTCTATTTCACCTATAGATTAAATTGCACTAAAAATCTCATTTTGCCCCAACCACACCCCCTGGGGCCGCGGGGGTGTGGCACAATCGGGGAAGCACTTAATTTCACTTAATTTCACTTAATTTCATTTAATTTCACTCAATTTCACTTAATTTTACCCATAGAATAAATTGCACTAAAAATCTCATTTTGCCCCAACCACACCCCCTGGGGCCGAGGGGGTGTGGCACAATCGGGGAAGCACTTAATTTCACTTAATTTCATTTAATTTCACTCAATTTCACCTAATTTTACCCATAGATTAAATTGCACTAAAAATCTCATTTTGCCCCAACCACACCCCCTGGCGCCGAGGGGGTGTGGCACAACTCCGGAACACATAATTTTACTCTATTTCACCTATAGATTAAATTGCACTAAAAATCTCATTTTGCCCCGACCACACCCCCTGTCGCCAAAGGGGGTGTGGTCCGGTTGCCCCCAAAAGTTGATAGGATCCTCCCCCTGGGGTCCTATGTATGATGGCGAAAACCGATTTCGATTATCTCGATCCGTTCTCCTGATATCCTGCTGACAGACAGACAGACAGACAGACAGACAGACAGACAGACAGACAGACAGACAGACAGACAAAGTCTTCACATAAAGTAGCTGAAGCTACTTAATAAATTTGTTTTGTAGCAGAGTAAATAAGATGAGAGAGAGATAATTTTTTAGCTCTAAATTGGATTATGCTGACGGATGGATGGATCATGAATGGCTACTTATCAAGGGCATATTGTTCATTGCAACGTTAAATAAGTGGTCCATTTTTCAGTCGTTGGTAAGATTTTGTTCATGAAACAAGTCAAAATAAAGAACTTTAAAGAGTTTGTGAAATCTGTTTTGAATTAGTAATAAGGCCCAAAATGGGTCCGTTTTTCTATTTCGGAGTTATTTTAGTGTCCTCAACTTTTTCCGTGGCGCAGTTAGGACTGGATAATAATAATAGTGTGCATAATAATAATAATCTCTTGACAGAGGAGGATTTTCCGTCGAGCTATGCCTCAAATTATAATAATTACGATAATAATAATTTGCCAGAGGAGATTAATTCCTTTATTGGAAGTTTGTTCGAACCGGAAGTGGGGGGACAGTCGATTGGAGGAGGGGATGAAGTCGGTATGGAGCAGGTGAATCGAGGTCCAATTCCACTGGAAGGACAGGATCAGGATGCCTCGGCGTCTAGTATTTCTCCCGTTATGGGACAAGCTCCGTTAACCAATGCGGTAGCGTTGGGACGACCTTTTCGTAAGTTTTGGGTGGTTTGATAAGCTATGATTTTTAGATATTTATGACTCATAAAATAATTAATTTGTGAAAAATTTAGATTTTTGAAGATTGAGGTTTGCATAAAAAGCTGAGATTTTGGGAAGAGTTAGAGTTTAGGGAAAATTGAGATTTGTGTGAAAAATGAGATTCTGGAAAATTGAGATTTTTTTAAGAGAAAATGAGATTTGTGAACAATCGGGTACATATTTCTATACTTTTTCTACTTTTTAAGCCACTTTGCCCTTGTTTCGAGTACTCTATGCCCTCACAAATTTACGGGTCGGTCAGTTATGATTTTTTTATCCCATCCCGACCTTGTCTACATATCCTCACACACGTAAAACTCTCCTGTTAAATAGAGCAGATTTTATAAGATCTTCTTCATTTATCTCATAACCCATTAGGCACAGAAGTCTGACTACACGATAAGATTTTGCCATTATTCCTCATCAAGATAAGATCAATCTTAATCCTGAGTGTTTTTACATACATACAAAGATGCCTACTTTGCTACTCCTTCTTCCCAAAGTTCATCCGTGACGCTATATAATTATCCGTCGTACCTACGCATGTCTTATATAAATTAGCTTAATTGCTACTTCTAAACGTGAAAAATAATACAAATGGTTTATTATTTTACAAACTTTTCTTTTCCTAATTGCAGCAGTCTATGCGGACAACAAGGAAATTCAGAATCAACAAGCCCACCCGAACTATCAAGGATGGGGAGACGATAATCTGAACTATGTCGAACAGAATCAAGTCCAAAATTCAAATCATTTGGATGAGCAGAGAGTAAAACAACGAAGGCGAAAAATTAAACGGTATCGAAACCGCGTCGCGTCGACGACACCTCAACAGCAAAATGTCGCCGTTGCGTCACCCCCCGCCGAGCCTACGCCAACGACACAAATGCAACACCAACAACCAACTCAAAGAGGACGTCAGGTTTCGAAAAGTTATCAAAATGTGCAACAAAATTTTCAAAACGTGCAACAAAATTATCAACCTGTCCAACAAAATTATCAAACAATACAACCAACTCCCCACCGCCAACGCCAACAACAATTTGCTCAGCAAACCCACCACCATCAGCAGACCGTCCCCACGACAGGTCCCCAGCAACAATACCAAACCCACCAGCAGCATCAAGGTTACAATCACGTCGCAAACAACTATCCCCCCCAACAACCCGCCTCCTCCCCCCAAAAGCAAAAATCATACCGACAACATCAACCCTTGAATCAATATTACGGAAACACTTTCAATTATGCAGTTGAACCCCAACAACAACAAATTCCGACCCGACAAGTCGTCCCCACTCCTCCGAAACAACACCACCACCACCACCACCAACAAATCCCCCTCAACAAAAACCACCCTCAAAACTATTACACCCAAGAATCACGCCAACTTCCGCAGTACCAGCCACGCCATCAGAATAACAGACAACGCCACGCTCACAATTACAACCAGCACGCCGTCCCACATCCCCAGCAGACAGTTCACCACCACCACCTCCCAACCCAACAATGGGGTGGTCAAGCTCAATTACCCCCCAATAATAATTATCAGCCGATCCATCCTCGCCAAAACTATAATAACAATCACCCTCAATTTCAACCAGAGGCGATGCAGCCAGCCATGTCGAACCCACGTCCCGTTGCACGGTTTGGTCATCGAAGCGGTCGAGGGAATAATTACTATCCCACCACCTCGTCCTACACCTACGGAGGAGCACAACGGTCACGCGCTACTTACTCGGACGACGCGGATGACGACAAGTACTACACGGTGAGTGGCTACTCGCCCACTTCGGGGGGAGGATATTCGCCCTCGTCCGACGGGTATGCTGAGTACGACGAGGAACCCGTCGCCGAGAAGAGGAGGAAGAAAAAGAAGAGTGGAGGAGGAAAGAAGGCGAAGGCTGAAAAGGAAAAGGAGGACGCCGCCAAGGAGGAAAGTTTCATCAAGAGGGGCTACACCAAGACGAAAAACGTTATAGTTAATACCGCCTCGGCTGTTTTTGGGGCTCCGAAATTCATCTATACGAGGTATAAGAAGGCCTATAATAATTTAGGGTCGAGTAAAAAGCGGAGTTCGAAGGTCGCTGCGGAAAATGATCGTGAGTATGACCATGAGGAGGGACCGGTGCAGATAAGTGGAGGTGGCGGATATGTCGGCGGCGGCGGTGGTGCTTATGGCGACGATGATGCCGAACAGCAGTGGAGACTGCATGCGCGACAGGATGACGATTCCATGTTGGGCGGGGGGAGGAGGGGATGGGCCGCGGACAGGTCGCCGGGTCGGATTGGGACGGCGGTTACGGGAATGGGGGCGGATCCAGGTCCTCCGCAGATGATTGACGACCAGAACCACGTTAATAATATTGAACCGTGCAAGTTAGCGGGACATAATCATAATAATCGGATGATGTCGAGAAGTAGGGGGCCAAACTCGTACGGGGAGCGAACCGGCGGCGGTGGGAGGAGGTGGCAAAATAGCAATAATTCGAGAGGAGGTGGGGAAGAGAGATTGCTTTCTCTTCCGTCCAGACCGGCGTGGGGGAGAGTTTTTATGGGATGATAAGTGATATTAACTTATCGATATGTACATAGAGCAATTTTTGTCCAAAATAGTTTTAACCCAAGCCACCCGACTTTCAATATTTAAACAACATTATCAAAAAATTTGTATAACAGTATGTATTTAGCGTCGTAAGTATTTAATTTTATTCTTGTTATGAGCTTTTTTTGCAAGTATTATAATTTAATTAGTAAAATATAACTTATTTAATCCTTAACTTAAATCGGTACGTGACAAAGCCTCCGTTATTTATTTATGTAAACAACAACATTTTCAATTGTACATTTCTTTTGCATATTTTTTACAGTGAGAAATAAACTCTTCATTTCATAATTTTGCCAATTATACTTTATTATCAATTGCTTTCGCACACGCAATGCTCATCAACTTATAATTAAAACCAGCTCATTTTTTTGTTACCTCAGTTTAAAAACTTGACTCTGTGCCCAATTTAAAATGAAAGTAAAATTAGCGACGTACATTACTTCTAGTATCGATTTGAAAATACATGGAATGGTCGTCGCCAAAAGTGTCAAGGCCAAAAAATCGTAAAAAAAATTAAGTAGTCTTCTTTCAAAAAGTAAACCTAAAAGTAAAAGTGATTCGTATCTGCATATGTAAATATTATTTGGCTTCTTCACATCCTCGTCTTGTTTGGGGATGAACTTGAATTATTGTGATCATACTGATCATCACATCTCTCTATCGATTTCATGATAACCAACACGAACGAAACAACGCCACTGATATTCATCCACAAATTGGTCTTGATCATCTGTATATTGAAAAATGTTGCCCCCAACTTGATACAAAACGAGTTTTCCTCATAGAAAGTGAAACCTGAGAGTGGTTGGATTTGGATATTGAAGTATTTAGTGAGGTGGAGTTTGAGAGAAAAGGTAAAAAATCAGGTTTACAGTTTCGTTTAAGCCAAGATTTCGACAAAGCGACAACTTTTCGACCTTCCTTCAGTCAGTAAATGAATGGATGATTTTTAATGTGTGGGGGATTGGGTGGGTTGGAATTTTTTATGCATTTGTGACATGACTAATAACATGATTTGGATGAGCGAGAGAATTGACGATGCTGCGACTTCATAGCGTCTCACTCAGATAATGACGGAAGTGGGGCTGACATACACGACACACCACTGAGGAAAGTGGCCCCGTGAAATTATAGTTTCAAAATAGGTTCTTAAAGTGTCAGATTTTAAAATGAGGGTGGGTTCAAAGTGGAAGATTTGTCTAGTGGTAATAGTTCTTATCCAAATTGAGGACATTTTAGGACAACAACAGCATCCTGGAGGAGGGCATGGTAAACGTCCAGGGAGAAAGTTTAGAGTTCCGGGAGGATATGGTAAGCGTGTAGAAATTTGGACATGATCTAAATTTTCGAAATTTTGAGACTTTCTGGTTTAAAAATTTGTCTCAATTTTTTGCAGAAGTCCAATTCGGCACCTGGCCTCTCATGGAGGTCACAAAACTACAGAAACTACGTGCCCAAAACAACCCTCCAAAATCATCTCTGGGTGGATTCATGCAAAATGCGATTTATTCCAACTTCAACAACAAAAGGAAACCCCCACACGGCCATAAATTCCAACCTTACCCAAACAAATTAAAGTTCCGGGGTGGAGGACCACCCCCAATTAATGGGAAACCCGTTTTCTTCGCCGACATCAAATCCCCCTTGCCTCCACTCCCACCCCCACAGCCGCACGGGGGCCCGATCGGAATTCCCATCCCAGTAGGAGCACAAATCCCACATAATCTTCCCCCCAACAATCTCCTCTTCAAAAATGGTCCACTTCCGGTCAAAGTTGTGCAAATCTTCCAGGCACCAACGACCACGACCACGACGACCGAAGCACCATTACCGATGCCACCTCCTATGTCGTCGGTCATGGCAAAGGCGGCGTATTCAGGATTTTTCGCACCAAATTTTGGCACTAATAATGTACAGAGCTTTGGTCCCGTGGTCCACCAATCTCACGGACCACGACCATGGTTCCCTCACCATCACCACGGTCCCCCACCAATTATTAATCATCGTCCCACCGTCTTTTTGCAACCACAAACCTCCCATTCTTTCCACTCTCACCAATTTCGCCACCCTGTTTCCGGCTCACCCGTATTTTTCGCGCAACCTCCAGCACCCCCGGTCGTCGTCGCCGACCCAGCCCCACCACCGATGGAACGTCTCTTCCAGATGAACAAGGTCCCCCAAGTCCCACCCACAATTCAAATAGGCAACCATCCCCCCAGCGGATACTCCATGACGCACGGAGAACAACAACTTATCACGTTGAAACTTCCCGATGTCAAAATGGGCAAGAAAATGGACTCCATGTCGCTCCTCCGTGGCGCCGAGTTCCAATCCGGCCCTGGGACGAATCGTCGCCAAGATTTTTTCAACAAACCACGCAACGAAGATAAGAAACTTCCCGATGTTGGAGCAATCTACACGGTGAACATGGTTCTTCAAACGCCAAACATCTCGGCCCCGATGAACGGGTCGGATTCTCCCCATTTTTATCAAGGGATTGAACAAATGGCACGGATTTATGGGAAACCATCCTCCTCTCCGTTAGACGGACAGGTTAAACTGTTAGGAAAATTGTTCACCGAGTTGCAACGGATCAAACCTGGGAAATCTAGAGTGGTCGATGAACCAAGTTACACCGTGTCGACGACGACGACAAATAGCGATCCGTTCGGGTCTCATTCTGCGCCACAGAAGACGTACTACACTCCGAAAGTGGACGCTCCCCTTTTGGCGGTGCATATTCAGAGTTATTCCGTCCCAGAGCCGGGTTCCAGGTAAATCTTACTCCAAATTTTTTAAAAATTACCAAAATTATATGTCAAACTAAATTTTCTAACATTTTCACCCAGCGATCCCGACGTACTCGATTCCGCCCGAATGTTTGGCCTCCAAGGGCACAAAATTGAGTTCGGATCGACCAACGAGATCATCAACTTGATGGATGCGGCACAAAAATCGGTCGGAAAACGGATTCCATTAGAAGAGTTGGGTTACTCGAGGGGGGAAGTTAACCACAATTTGCAAGAGTGGGTCCGGTCGTATGTGACCCTGACGAGAAAAATGAAGGACCAAGCGCACTCCAAGGGGGAAGGGATCGCATCTTCGGCCTTCAAACAGCATCAAGTCCACCTCCGCATGCCGGACAACTCGATGCAAGCCATGGACCCCAAGGTCTTCTCGCAGGGGGCGTCCATCACAAATGCGGGCGCTGTAGCGACTTATCAAGGCTGAGGAAATAAGAGAATAGATAAAGTTCAAATTGCTTATTATTTATTTAAAAAAACAAAACAGTATATTTAATAAAGAAAATGATTTTAAAAAAAAACATGAAATTTCCAACAAAGGAGATATGTAGAAAGTTTAATGGCTAATTGAAAAGTAGTCAATTATTAGACGGCGTTATTGCTGTCTCAATTATATTTACTGTGTAGAAGTTGTAAACCAACTGAAGTAAATTAAGAAAACCAGTTTGACTACCTATTTTATTTGGTATATTAAACTTATGGCAAATTTTTACTATTCCTTCTTCGAATTTAGAAGTTGTCTATTAAATTACGTCTTAATCTAATTAATTAGTTAAAAAAGTGGTACATGAATAACTGTAAATTCCAATGAAGTATCTCATTTTGCTCTAGTTTACGTTTTTTAAGAGAAAATAGTGGATAAAATGAATCTCCATGCTTAATTACCATAAAATAATGGATCCGACTTCTCGGAAATGACCATGGTCAATTTTCCAAGTTATCTCATACACAATTTTAATTCTTCTTTTTCGAAGAACTTTGGTTAATAGATAAATTAAATTACTGATAAAACGCAATTTACCAAAAGATGATGAGTTGCAAAATCCGACGCTTTCAAGCCATGCAATTCTTTCCTTCTTACAAATCCAATCTTGTAAAACGTGATTTATTATTCATCGTCCGTGAGGACTTATTAAACTTATATTTTCTTTACGGGTAAAGAATTCTTACTAAGCAAAACATGCCCATAAGTCAATCATGTGTCACGGATTGTGCAAATGTATACCTGAAATCGACACCTTTCGCGAAAACTAACGCTCTTTTTGCCACTTGAACAAGTGAAAAGTTTATGAGCTGGGCAAAATCTTGGAGGTTCATGTCATGTTGTACACGGCGTCATTACATATTAGTTATTCTAAAGATATGATTTAAGATTACGGAACGACCCATTATGCAAAGTGGATTTCTTTACATCGGACTAAAATTGCATTATTTATTGCTTAGTCATAAGCACAACAATGAACTTGAGACGAGGTGATGATTACGTATTATTTTAATCAAAAAGGTACCAATCACGGTGCTAAAACCGTGATAAATAAGTAACTATAATAATACTGCAACGTTTACCTGGCGAGAGGATTAGTCTACAAAGTCCAGTTCATTAGGAAGGATCATTGTCCTCACAATTTCTTCAAATCTACTCCATAATGCTACATATTTTCCTGTATTTTGCGATATTTTCAATAACTTGGATTGAAATCAGTTCGGTACTTACATACAATCATTTTCTTGTACTTTTTAACTGAAAATTAAATTACGCAATAATTAGGCTCCAACCCTACGACATGGCGTTGAAGAAGACGAAGAAGCAGTCACTATCGCGCTTGAGTTGACTCGAGAACTGATCCCGGACTCGGAACTCGTCTCCAAAATTCGATCTGACCTCCGTCTCATCCGCCGGGTGGACCCTGCCTTGAAAAAACTTGTTCATCACGGCCGTTGGCATCCGGGTCAACTAGTCACGAGAGGACTGACCCCCACACAGGTCAAGGAACTGGAGGAGAGTGAGTTTAAACCGGTGAAAGTTCTTCCGAGGGGAAATCGGGACGTTGTCCTCCTCTTCAAGAAACCTTATCATCCCGAACATCTCGCAAAATTGGTCAAGTTCCGTTTTGGCTTTGACTCTAAGCCAAACTACGTGAATATTAAAGAAGGGCGAACTCGTATTTTGTACAGGGGTGATTTATCGACTTATTTCTGGAACTCGGTAAATGGTAAGAATTGCTTGGACGGGTGCGACACGCAGTATTCTGTGTCGTTTAAGGAACAAGAAGTTGAGCACGATTACAGATTTGATTCTAAAGTGAAAAATTTATTAAAAATTACAAATGCAAAATGACAAATTTTGATAATGTGACGAATTAGCTCTTAATGAAATAATGAAATAAATGACAATTATCTTGACGCCTTATCTCACGGGTCCTCAACTCTTCTTCTCGATTTTTACGATGCATCTCGCCCACAGCAGCGATTGCACGAGCAGCATGCATTCTCTGCAAGGGAGAATTCAATAATATTTACATGTTTAAAATAAAACTAATTCGAGTAAACTAATTCTTCATTGCATCAAAATATGTATTTACTCACGCGATACTTTTGTTCTTCAAAACGTCGAGTAGCTTCAGCGGCCAACTCCTCCAGGGGATTTCGTTCTTTTGGAATATATTCCATTTGTGCTGGTGAAATGCAGTTTTCTCTCTCAACATCGCCATCTTTTGGATTGGTTTCCTTGTCGTGCAAGTGACCAAACTCTTCATCGTGTCTCTCCATATCGTCATCCATACCTTCTGGAAAAATAGACCGAGCCCGACCGACAAGAATTTTGCAGTCGTGATTAAAATCTTCCGGCCCGTTTAACTCTTCAAACACGGTTTGAGTTTCTTTCTCATCCACAAAGACTTCGTCTGCAAGGACTGCATCTTCAGTACCACCAGCGTGCGAGACGATAAACGTCAACTCCTACAAATAAAAATAGAATTATTAGTTTAAAATGTATAGGTAATATTTGCAGAAGTGGACAACCACTTATAAAAATTCAGTGCATCGACTTTATCTAATTCGGTCAATAGGTTTGAGTACAAGACTATAAGAACTACCTGGATAATTAATTCTAGAATCGTGTGAAAACTGAAAATTTGCGTTGAATTTCTATACTACTATGCATTTTGATTTTGAGTCATAAATGGTAGGTATAAATTTTAAAAAAACCATGTACATATACCTGATGAGATATGATTCTCTACTTATGCGGATATTTTTTATCTACTTTTTGGTGAAATATTTGTTATCAATACTAAAATTTAAGTCTCTTGCAAGTCAAAACTGAGGTAAAAAAAACATTCACACAATTAATAATAAGAGTTTCGAAGAAATAAATCTTACAATTTGAGGATCGTGAGTGACGGTGCCCGGCTTGTCAAAAAGTCGAACTCCGCAATCACTTGGAGTCAAATTTCTCGATTTTGAAAACAATCCGTCAGGGGTACGAGGGATTTCTGCGTTTAATTCTTGCTCAGATTCGGACTGCGAGGCAAACTCCATAAACGATCCGTGAGGACTCTGGTGATCTGGATGTAATTTGTCCTCCCTTGCTGATCGTGAGGTAAATCCCATAAATGAGTCCTCCGTATCGGGCAGAATATAGTTTTCTGGAATTATTAAATAAGTATTAATTAAGTGTTCATGATATTACTTGTTGAGAATGATCTTTAAACGACAAAATGGATCTTCGAGTTTCATACTGCATATATAAATTAATCTGCATAAATAAATTATTTTAAATATAAATATATTTATATAAATAAATCTCTTGACTTCGCTTGAGAATTGAGTATTTTGCAAACCATACATAGATGACTTACATTACTGCTGAGTTGACTTTTGAAGCAGGAACTGGCGAGTTAGCGTTGATAGCAAGGTACTCTGCAGCGGCTTCGTTCGCCAACTGTTTTGCCACTTCTTTTGGTTGGTTGTGGGTATTCTTTATGTGACGGTCAAGATTGTCCTTACGCCGAAATGTCGTTGTACAAATCCAACATTTGAACGGACGTTCGCCTATACAAATATTAAAATTTAAAAATTTAACATGTATTCATTAGTATTATTCTTATGATGTGACGTACCCGAATGAATGACAAGATGTCTTCTGAGATCCTTGCTGTTGGAGAAAGCTCGTGTACATTGATCACATGCATAGGGTCGTTCACTGGAATGCGTTCTCAAGTGATGGTCCAGCGTCCACTTTAGTCCAAAGCTCTTTCCACAGTGAGTGCACACATAGGGACGCTCCCCTGTTTTGTAAAAAGAATCAATTTGATTAGAAATAAGGAAGATAAGAGAAACATTAGCAGAAAATATTGCATTCATTAACCAACCTGTGTGAGTAATTATATGTTTCTTTAAGTTGGTCATTCCAGTGAATCCCTTGTTGCAATACTTGCATGAAAAGGGCCTTTCACCAGTGTGGATCAAATTGTGGGATCTAAGGGCTTGGGCGTTGGGGAATCCACGTCCACATTGATCGCAGACGAAAGGTTTTTCTCCAGTATGACTGCGCATATGACGAGTAACTTTTCCCCTCTGATTAAACCCCTTGCCACACTGAGGGCAGACGTACGGCCTTTCACCTGCAAAAATAACAATAAAAGGGTTAATATTTATTTCAATAGATATTTATGTTCAATAATACACTGCATAGTAGGGCAGATATCACCTGTATGGGTTCTCAAGTGATACTCGTAGTGAGATTTGGCAATAAACCGATGTCCACACTGCTCACACTTAAAGGGCTTCTCGTTCTCACTATTTTGACAAAATTCGTGGTACTTAATGTGAGCTCTGGTTTTAAATCTCTTCATGCACACGTTGCATTCGAACATGGTGGGTTCACCTAAAAGAAGTAAACAGAAATATGTATTGTATAAGTAGCTTACATGATTATTGAGTATAGATTTTCATATTTTTTAATTTATAGCATACCAGGTATCACACTTATATGATCGTGAATCACGACAGGATTTCGCTTCTTTTTATTGTTTTCCTTGTTGGGGTCCAGTGATGAAGAATCGCTTCCTGAGCTCTGACTTTTTGATACTTTCGCCGTAGCAGCAGTCTCAAGAGAAAGGGTGGTTCGGGTCGCAATTGTTGCAGACGCTGGAGGCAGTGTGCGTAGACCGTACACTCTCAAATTTGCGGGGCAGCTGCGAACGGGTGGGGTAGAGTCAAATTTATGTTGAGCTGGAAGCGTTGCTACTGAAGAGTTAGAGGTGATAGCCTTGCGGGCCGAACTGGCTGAAGAGGGTGTGGCTTGAGCCTTCGCACATTGAAAGCAAGATGATGTTTTGATCAAGCATCGACGACATCGAATATGCCCACAAAATTCTCTCAAAGGTCGATTGTCAGTGAGATCTAGAGGACTTTTGCACTCCTCAGGGCATTCTTCCACACCTGGAATATTATCATGTAATGAACATACTTACATATAAAACATTATTAAACACAAGTTTATTGAAATATTAAAGCACTCACCAAAGAGTTTTAAAACACTGTTTACTACTCCGTTTCCTCCTATACCGACGATGGCATTGCTGGGGTTTTGGGACGATGTAGGCCACAATGCTGCATTTTCACTTTTTGGATCCATTGCCGATAATAATTATCGGCAATTAACAATTCAATTATTGAATTGGTATTTCCTCAAAAATTTAATTGATAAAAAAACCTTAAGCACGAGGATAAAAAAAATCTGCCTAAAAAATTAAAAATGGCAAAAACCATAGTCATGCTCCTCCTCTACCAGTTTTTCAACCCAAATATAGAGGGCGAAAACTTCGCTTCGAGAATTCAACGCGAGAAACCGAACTGAAAATGAGACGACCAAAAAAAAAACCAAAACCTAAAATTAATATGGTCAGCATGCAACCTCGACCATCACGTGCTCGTATCCTTCCCACACTGTTAGTATGGTAGGGATACGAACGCGGGAATCAAATTCTGGCCGAGGTTGGATGCTGAGAACTATAATTTGAAAAACAATTCAACAACTTGAAGATCATCTTTGTTCAAAGGAACATATTTACAAAATCAATGTAAAAATTATCAATTACAATTATTGTAAATTAATTATTAATTTCTCCAGGTCTGCTATTATTTACATATTTAAATTGTTGCAACATGGTTTTTAACTAACGATAAACTGTTTTTGCATTTAAACGAAGAAAAATTCCACACCATCAACATAACAAGACATTAAAGGTTATATACTTGCGTCACCCTTTTACATACATGTATTAATTACATATAGGTATTTTTGAACAATAAATACATCATTAAATCGAACACAAATTGTGTTACACAATCAAATCAAGACTGCACTGGATTTTCACATGCATCAAGTTTATCAAGGTCGAATTATACATTCTTGACTGCGACCAAATAAAAAACTTTATTCTGCATTGACAAATTGTGCGGACAAGTTGGTAAATTATTTAAATTACATTGACAATTAGGTCTCAATGGGCAGAGTACATCCACTCTCTTGGATACTACTCCTTATCGTCTTTGTCCAGGTTCGAAATACTGTCTGCAGCTAATAAATAATAAAATTGTCACATTTTTATACCTACTTATCAAATCTAGGTCCACGCAGCAGCAGACGACAACGATGATCCCGGTTCAAAAACCACCGATATAAAAGTCGGGTTCGAAAAATTCTTTAATCCCAAAACCGGTGCCGATGCATTCCATAAATTTTTGAAAGAAAGTGGCCGAAAAATGGGACTGAAGGGTTTAGACGATAAAGACGATGAAGACAAAAAAGATGATGATGACGATGGCAAGAAAGATGACAAGAAAAAGCTCTCCGAAGAAGAAGCCAGCCTCCCCGCAAAGGTGTTCGTCTTCTACTTGAAGACGTATGATTGCGCCAAGTCGAAAGTGTACAAAGAATTCGCCACCAATTACAAGAATAACTCTTTGATAACGTCGGACGTCGATGAAGACGTGGATGACAAATGGCTCAAAAAGTTGGCCAAGAAAGATATCGACGTCGATGATCCGGATAAAGCGTCAGGTGAGACAATTATTTCATTTTTGGTAGATTTACACCCTAATTTTTCTTTCGATACGCAGTTGGAGTTGACGAAGCTAATAAGAAGCTGGCAAAATTGAGTGAGGATCAAATAGCAAAGTTGGACAAGGGAGTAACAGAAATGCCACTGGAAGCTCAAATTGTTATCCATTTCGTGAAAGTTATCGGATGTCAGGACAGTAAACTTGACGACTACAAAAAATTCAACGACATGATGAAGGAGCAGATTAGCAAGGCGAAAAGTAAGGGCAAAAAAATCACGGCGTCATACTGCATTGCTAAAGCTCAGACCATTTTACATGACGAATTTTAATAAGGAATTTAATTAGTGGCATTTAAAAAAATGCTTAACTTATACGTATAAATTTTATTTTGATTTTTAAATTTTTAACGCCTCTGTGTAAATACATACATAAAATTTTATTGAGCTTTGTCGTATTTTAATTACATAAGTGACATCAAGGTAGAACGCGACTTTGACATGGAAGAGTCTCCCAAAGTGCTCGATTTTGTGGTAGCAATGGATTTGGACTCGGTAGAATAGACGGAGACTGAAGGTCCGTCAAGGTTATCGTCATCCTTCAAGGGTCCATAATGACCAGTATCCTTGATAAGTACGGAAGCAGTGTGGTTATCATCCGCGTAGAGGAAGGGTCTCGTTTCATCGCGAGATCGGAAACGGGAGACGGGATATTCGAGAATGGGTCGGAATTTTAAGAGATGAATGGCAGTTTCCTGTATATCGAAATTAATTAGTAATCAATTAATTTTCATGCATAAATAGCAATTTATTTATGCAAATACCTGCACAACCGGATTTGCCGTTGTGATTACGAAAGATGCGAAATTTCCTGATTTCGCGAGGTTGCAGCTTTTTGCCAACAACTCTTCGACGAGGACGACTTTCTCTCCGGGTGAAATGTTTGAGGAGGACGTCACCCCGAGAAAGTAGCACCGCGCTACGTGACCACTAGACTTTCGCCACATTTCGTATCTAGTATTCCCAAAATATTTTACCATTCAGTCTGATATTTTAGTAATAATTTCTCACTTTGACATGTCCAAACACGAATTGAGCAGTTCCAACCCGTATCGGATTTCTTTGGGTGGTTTCGGAGTTAGAATTTTGTGCTGGGCATCTCCATTTATGGCAACGCCGACAATGTTGATGCCATATTTGGCCACAATGCTATACACAGAGATTTATTACATGAAGTGAAAAAATACCCCAATTTTTCACTCTTACCACATTTTGAAGTCTGACACACTGTCAACCACACCTCTCCAATATTTCAGCACCCCTTGAGGATTGACCAGCAAATGAGATGGGAAATCATTCTTCAAAAACCTACCAAAAAAATTGTGCATTTAGTTTGAAAAATCCACACCACACCAATTTGTACACATTTCTTACAGCGTCACTTTCTGTATCTCATCCACAGACATGACTTCAAACGAAAATTTTCCATCGAAGTCGTTCCGCAGGCGTGACGGTGTTGGAGGTACCGCTGCCAGATCGTTATTCGAATCCAGCAAAATCGGTTGCTTTTTCGACTGATTGAGCACATCCGCCAAGTCAGCGATTGTTTTCGCAGTGATGAAATCTTTCATTGCTAAACACAATTATTAAAGTGACCAATTAACTAAATAATTTTTGTAGAAAATGATAACTTATGCAATTAATTAATTACTGATCGGGTATCCATTATCATTGCACATCTTCACCACAATGATTGCATTGACCCTTGTTCCTCCCAGTTCTGCGAAACTCTTGGTAAATCTTCGCACGACGAGGATCAAAGGCAGTCCGGTACTCAGGGCGATCGCTCTGCATAAAAACCTTACCGTTTCCCCGTCTTCGTCTCGGTGTAGCGTTTTCCACTCGGCTGGGTCACACTCGAGGAGAATTTTTCGAAACAGGATTCGCACCTGTTTCTTGTCCACGCGACCGTTTTCCATGAGTGGAATCTTGTCAATGGCGAAAACTGTGGGAAGGATGTTGGTCGAGTTCTTGGCGCCGAGGAGTTGTTTTCGCGTGTGAAGTTTCCCAAGAACTTGGACGCACGTCATTTCTGGGCGAAGCACGACGGCAGCAATGATAACTTGAGTGTCCCTCCCGCGATGATATGCGACCACGGTGGCGTCCGTGACTAAATTCGTGCTCATCACTTCCCCTTGAATTTGACGGAGGTTTACGGACTCTCCGCCAGTTTGGATGACCTCATTGTCAAATCGGCCCTCAAAGTGGAGACGTTTCACTCCACTTGGGTCGACAAGAATGCGACCAATGTCACCAGTACGGAAGAGGATGTGGCGCTTGTGTACTTCATTTAAAAAAATAAATATGTTAAAGAATGCTATAAAAAATCAACACATTAAATTAAACATTCTCACGTTCGGCTTTAGAGTTTGTCTGGTTATCTGGCGACTTCCCATCTTTACGACCTTGCCCCACGTACCCTCCACTTGGCAAACATCCCCCTGACAGTGCAATTTCACCTCGTCCACCAACTGGCACAGTTTTATCGAAGCGGTCCAAAATGGCGACAGATGAATTGGCTGGTGTGACCACAAGTTAATTATTAATTAGCAATTAGTTTAACTTCACAGCATTTTAGGTATTACTTACTGATCGGAACCCCCATTGAAAGCGTTCCCAACCCCGGAGCAACCTTCTTGTTGAGGTCTTCCACGTTGAAAAACACTTCAAACGTCGCCTCCCCCAATGTTTCCGTCATACCGTAAAACGCAACCAAAAACACGCCGGATTTGTACACACCGGAAAAATTGGAAAAGAATTTTCTCCCAGCTTCCACCTTCAGCCGGCCCCCGCTAACGAACCAATGCGTCACGGAAGCAAGTTTGTCCTTGTCTCTAGGATTTTTCGAGACGTAATTCATCAGAGCTTCGAAACAGGGTGGGGTCAACGTGACTCGGGTGAGTTTCACTTCTGCGATCCGATTCATGAGGAGATCCGGAGAGAAGAGGTCAGTTCGAGAGAGGAGCGTGACCGGTTTTCCAGACAAAAGGGGCGTCAGGATTTGGACGAGGGAACGCGGATCGGTGAGTGGACTTGTGATGGCGAAAGCGTCAGAGGGAACGATGGGGAAAATTTTGGACTGCCAGTGAATTCGGTTTATTATTTCCCTGAAAATTTGTCAAAAATTTGCATATTTTCTCCAATTTTTGTAGTAAAAATTGTTAACCCTACTTTCCCCCGATCCTGACAGCATGCGGCGACCCAGACGACCCCGACGTGAAAAAGATGCTGACAATCCTCTGATTCTGTGGAATGCCGCCCCAAACCTCAGGGTCGTTCATGTCCATAGCGATCCCTTCGTCCTTATCCAGCGTCACGTTATCTTTCCTCGCCAGATCCCACAAGTCTTCGAAAGTTATCCGGTTGTTGCTCATGTCCTTCGAGATCGTGTCCAGTGTGGCCTTCAAGTCGGTCGGAAGTGCCATGGAGTCAATGAGGAGGACAGGTTTTATTACGTTCAACGCCCAGCCGAGGTCGTTGGGGTGACTGGTTGGCGACAACGCCATGTAAGTGATGCCCAATTTAATTGTGGCGAAAATCAAGGTGATCACTTTCTCGTCCCAGGAGTCTTCATTCAACAAAAAAGCGAGGACCGTGTCCCCATCGGAGTTTGGAGTTGCTGGAGAAAGAAGAAAGTGAAGTTTTGTGAAATTTATAAATTTCTGACCATACCTTTCGACTCTTCAATAATTCTCGCGATCGCTTTCGCCATCCGGCTCGAAATTTCATCCAGGGCTCGAAAAGTCATCCGGACCTTGCTCCGGTAAAAAATGACGGGTGCTTCGGAATAAAAGTCCTTCTTTTGAGGGCGGAGGCAAACATTTGGGCGAGAGATTGGTCATTCTTCAACGCCGTTTGAGACGGTTTTCCATGGATTTCAGAGTCTGGGCCGTGTGCTCGTGGAAATACTGTGGATAAGATGAATCAAACACATTTCTTAAATTTTATACGAAAATTTTGAACCTACAGGATCCACTTTTAGTTTCGTGCTGAATTATGGGCCACGGGAAGAAAGCATTTTTTGCCGACATGGTGAAGTGGTTGTGTGAATCACTTTTCATACCGTCGAAAGTATGAGACAAAAAAGACTAGACTTCCGTCAACAATTTTAGAACCCCACGATTAATTGGCCTGGCGCTGTGCCCCATAAATGTCTAATAATTTTGTAAGATAAGCAAAAACAAAATTGGTTGTGATGGAAATGCATACGATCCATAATCTTGCAATGCTTCAACCAAGAATTTCACAGGGACGGAAGGGTTGAAGTTTATCAAAGATGTCGGATGAAGGGTGTCACTGGTCACATAGGTCAATTTAGAAAAATAGTGTAAGGGCCGAATTGTGGTCTCGGAGAGGTTTTCTGAACCCACTAACATTTGGGTTTTCCTCCCAAATGTGGTTTGTACTTTATGAAAAAGTATTTTGAATGAATACCTAAATACTAATTAAATAGAATTTCATAATGCAACAATAACTTTCCATTTATTCCACGCTAATAATTAATGAACAATTTTGCTAATCCCCTAAATAAGTACGCTAACAATCATCATTTGTCTATACACTCATCGTGACCATTAACTAACTATTTAGACAATAAAAATAACGTAATTAATCATTCATTAGCAATAGCGCAACAAAATAAATTGTGTTTATACTGGATCAAATATTATTTCTGTAATGATAAGTACTTTTGTATAACAAAGTTAAAACACTACATATAAGCAATTGTATGTAAATATGTACCTGACAGACTAGGTGTGTTCTTGTTTAGCCATACATTTCCGTTCAGTCAGTAGTTTAGAAAATCCCAATGTTACAAAAATATTAAATGCACTAAAAACAGGAAAGAGTGATATATATTTTTCCATAATAAGTAAGGAAAGCAGCAGAGTAATACAAATATAGGTACATAAAATCCTTCAATTCGATAACCTTGTTTGTGTATATATTTTGCTGGCAGTGTGAATGGCAAATATTATCAAAAAATGAATACATACTTGTTTGTAGTAGATTTTGTAGTAATCTAAGTAAACGACTAATTTTGCATACATATTTCAATTATTATATTATGTATTATCTTGTTTTGTCCTTGTAAATATTCAACCTGTGAGTTTTCATTTCATTGATAATAATAATTGGTTTGTCAAGCTGAATAAAAGCTAAGCAGGTTATTTTCTTTAGCTAAATAAATTTTGTCCTAAATAAATTGGCTTCACAGTCTGGACGAATGAGTTGGTGGAGTACGTACAAAGAGTTTTTTTCAGATCCGTTATTTTAGTATCAGTTGATTTAAAATTGAGTATATTAATAAATTGTGACAGATAATTTGTTTTTGGAGAGGAAATCACAAAATTTTGGGATATTAGTATTTTGACAGGGAAAGCGAATGTACATAGATAGATACAGCTAAACGGTTCACAATTTTGATAATGAATGTTTAAAATTAATAAAAATGGCAACAATTAGGTAGTAATTTATAACTATCTACAACTTATAAACATATGTATGGCAATACTTATTACGTAGTAGTAGTAATTAATATTTCATATATTTGGACATTTTTGATTTCTTTCTTGCACTTATTGTAGGCGCAACAACGCGCAACAACGCGCAACGGCTTTAGTTGAAATTTTACTTTCCACGCCCCTTTCCATCTCCACTAGCACTTCCACTTCCGCTAAGTTTTTGACCCACTGCTGAAGCAATGTTGATTCCTGTTAGCGCTTGTACACACGGGTTTAATGTTCCAATCGTCTTTGTCAGTTCTCCAACTAGACTGCTCCCATCTAGAAAATATACACATAAATCCATTTTAGATCAATTTCTGTTTTGTTTATAGCTGTGTATTTTTTATCACCTTTGTTTCCTCCAATAATTAGGATATCTTCAATCTTTGCAAGTGGGGCTGAAACTTCGGCCGCGATTTGGGGCAGGTGTTGAGTAATCATAGCACAGATCTGATAAAAAGATATGTATGTGAAATATCACTGAATTCGAGTATAAAATAGAAATTATTTCGTAATTGAATCCAGCTTACTCCAGCATTTCCAAAGTTGGCGTACGAGGAGGCCTTCGCCTTCATTGTTTCTGCCTGAGATTTTCCAACGGCAGCGATAGCTTCGGACTCTGCTTGACCAATTTTTCTGATCCGTTCCGCCTCTGCTCGGGCTACTTCCAGTGTCTCCGTTCGTCTCCCTTCAGCCACGGTTTGAACTCGGTAAGCTTCTGCTTCGGCCGGCAACTTCACGGCAGCTACACAAATGAACAACAGTTAATGTGTTATCTCTCTGAATCCATGATTAATATTCATTTATTTATCTAACCGACTAAATCTCTTTCCTTCCTTTGAACTTCTTGTTCTTCAACTTCAACCAATTTCCTTCGTTCGATAACATCACACAATTTTTCCTCGTGCTTCAATTTCTGACTCACTGCAAAGATAGGAATCAAACGTCAAATTCATTCTGATTTGAATAAAATTTTTAAAAGAGTATATTCACCTTTGGCAGCAGAAAGTTCATAGGCTAGAAAAATGAGGAATACATAATTTAATGTTAAGTTCTGCATTCTTTTAATTGAATATTAAAATCAACTCACCTAAGGCAGCTTCTGCTTTCGCAGTGTTAATTTCTGTCATGAAAAGAGAAAATACACAAAATTAATATCAGCAATATACCAATTCAAAGCAAGAACTTGTGTTCAAATGATGAATATTACCTTTGTCAAAGGCAGCTTGTTGAAGTTTGTAAATGCGGAAACAATCCTCCACCTTCCTGCAAACGAAAAGATAAAGCATTTTAAGTATCGGTATGTTGCACGTACAAATCATTGAAATACAAATTTTTACTCACGTGTCTGTGGAGTACTTGACATCCATGGCAGATTTCTGGCATTCTGATTCCTGCAAATATGACCAGTTCCATCTTACTCTTTCATTTTGCGACAATATTAACCTCACGAACTTACCCGAATTCCAGCATCTCGCCCAGCCTGCGCCACACCGACATCGGCGTCACGACGTACATTTGCGGTCTGAGATTTCCCCAGAGAACTGAGATACTCGACATCATCAAATACGTCTTTAATGGTAAATGAGAGGATCTAAAAAGAAAACATTTACATACGTGAGTCAAAAATAAAAATAAATATAATTAAGAATATATCCCACTAACTTCAATTCCCATCCGTCCCACGTCCGGCGCAGCAACTTCTCTTACTAGACTCGCAAATTGGTCACGGTCACGATACTGGAAAATATAACAATATTCAATTAAACCATGATGAATGTCATACTTACAACACCATCAATATATGAATAAACTTACCACTTCTTCCACAGTCAGGGTTCCTGCAAACAAAAACAAAGATATTCATGAGACAAATTGCACACATTTCTCACCTCGGACTTGGACTAATGCCCAAGCCCAGCACCGTCGTAGCGCTTCTGCATATGTACACCAATTAGTCAAACTATTTCTTATCTTCTTTTTCCTTCTCGGATGGAGATCGAGCAAAGAAATTAGGGAAATGCGTTTCGTTTGACTAGATAACTTATGTATATGTACATCAAACTTTTCAGCAAAGAACGACTAAATACCTAAGTCGAACCATCTGATCTTGTTTTACTTATTATTACGCTACATTATAAATGAATTTTGATTTTAAGTAATCGTTATGTTAGGTTTAAGTGGCCCCGGTCTGATCACATTTTTAGCCGGACTTTGGCTTATCCCTATACCAGTGACATTTTTCGGTTATACAATGTACGACCTGTACGATCCGGAGGGAAGGCCTTTCATCACGACGGAGCTAGAGTTGTTAGCGCAGTATGACGTTATCGTGGTGGGGGCAGGATCAGCAGGTATATTTATTCATGCATTATTTATTTCATAAATCTTGCATAACTAATTTTACCCACAAAATTGGAAATTAGGCGCAGTGATCACTAACAGACTTTCAGAAGTTAAGGAATGGAATGTACTCCTTCTCGAGGCTGGTGTAGACGAACCAGAAATGATTTCCAACGCTCCTGCGCTCGCTGGTACAATTAAGTCCAGACCAACAAAATTTTCTAATGTAAATGTATAAATAAAATATGATCCCCTTACATATTTACAGCTTATCTTCAACTCTCCCCTGTCGACTGGCAGTACAAAACTGAGCCCATGCCGACCGCATGTCTCGGTCTGGAAGGGGGGCGGTCTAACTGGCCGCGTGGAAAAGTTCTCGGAGGCTCTTCCGTCCTCAACTATATGCTCTACGTTCGTGGAAATAGGCGAGATTATGACCAGTGGGAGGAGATGGGTAATCCTGGCTGGGGATATGACAATGTGCTCCACTACTTCAAGGTATACCAAATTTTATGCCAAACACAGAACCAACTTATCCACGCAATTATGTAAATTGACTACTGATTGCCTCCAGAAATCTGAAGATAACCGCAACCCCTACCTCGCTTACTCCCCTTATCACTCGTCCGGTGGCTATCTCACCGTCCAGGAATCCCCTTGGCGCACCCCTCTCGCCACCGCTTTCGTCGAAGCGGGCGAACAGCTCGGCTACATTAACCAGGATATCAACGGGGAGAGTCAGACCGGCTTCATGGTGGCGCAAGGGACGATCCGGAGGGGTTCGCGGTGTTCCACGGCTCGAGCCTTCCTACGGCCCATACGGCTCAGACCGAACCTTCATGTCGCAATCCAGGCTCACGTGACCAAAGTAAACGTCGACCCTGTGAGTAAAAGAGCGTGGGGTGTGACCGCTTTTATTGGTGGGAGATCGCGAGTCATTCTCGCATCGAAGGAAATTATCCTCTCTGCGGGGGCGATTTCATCCCCGCAACTTCTCATGTTATCCGGAATCGGGCCAAAAGATCATTTAACCGAGATGGGAATTCCGGTCATACAAGTAATTTCGAGTCTAATCCATAAATAAGTAATTAACTAACGTAACGACTTGAATTATCTTTCGACCAGGACGCTCCAGTCGGAGAGAATTTACAAGATCACATCGGTTACGGCGGCCTTGCCTTCACCGTTGACCAGCCCGTGACCTTAGTGTCGCCACGGTATGAGAATTTAGAGGCTGCTTTGGACTACAGTCTATATGGAGATGGACCTATCACTGTGCTCGGTGGGGTCGAAACGCTGGCTTTCGTCCACTCAAAGTAAGTAAATAAAAAATCCACACTAATCCATCCAATCCACAAATTCAATTTTGTTCAGATACTCAAACGTCTCTCTGGACTGGCCAGATGTCCAATTTCATCTCATTCCAGCCAGCGTGGCTAGTGATGGTGGGGTTACACTCCGACATGCCCTGGGTAAATGCATGACAATCATTCCATTGCTCCCTACTTATCAGGTCTAAATATGGAGACAACCCCCTCAATTTTTTAATAGCAAGTATTTACTATTTTTTTAAGGGGTCAGTGACTACATGTGGAACTCTGTCTATAAGGAGCTCTCCTACCGAGACACTTACACCGCCCTGCCCGTCCTCCTCCGCCCCAAGAGTAAGGGCCTCATTCGCCTCCGATCTGCCCACCCATTCGTTCACCCGTACATCTACCCCAACTACTTGGCCCACCCTGATGACGTCGCAGTGCTCGTGGAAGGGATAAAAATCGCCCTCGCGCACTCCGTAACTCCAGCCATGCAACAGTTCGGAGTTCACCTGCATGCAAAACCATACCCTCAGTGTGTTCAGTTTGGTCCCTTCACTGATAACTATTGGGCCTGCTGTGCGAGACATTATACGAGCACGATTTACCATCCTGTCGGTAATTAACATATATAACTATTTCTAACTGCACATTAAATACTGCCGTATTTTTGACCCAGGTACGTGCAAAATGGGACCAGTCTCCGATCCCGAGTCAGTCGTGGACTCTCGCCTTCGTGTCATTGGGATTCACAATCTACGCGTGGCTGACGGTAATAACTATAACTTTTCCCCGCCTCGAGTTATAATTAGTTAATTGTTCCAATAATTTCAAAAATGACATGATTTCATAAAAATTTCAGCCTCAATCATGCCAAAATTGGTGAGTGGAAATACAAACGTCCCAGTAATTATGATTGGTGAAAAGGCAAGCGACATGATTAAGCAAGACTGGGGAATTCCAATCAATCCGATCGAACCACCACCACCACCAAAAACCACTCATGTCTGAAGAGTTTTCCCATTATTTGCTCCCTTTTCATTAAATTGTTACTGTTAGTTTGATGATGATAATAGTTTTCTGCATACCGAACTTAATTACTAGTCCAATAATAAAAATAAAATGGAGGAATTAATTAATTAATTACCCAGAATGGCACGTAAATGGCCTTCCAGCGTTTGATTAACTGTTCCCCTAAGCTGGTTGACTGGAACGCCCAAAAATTGTTCAGCCGCCGTTCTTAACAAGTCATCCGCACGCATCACTTTGATTTGAGCGACCCCAGTCACTGTGAGAGGGACTCCTTGCGCCGTCTCGACATGTTCACACATTGGATTCACGGTCATTACCTGTTGAACAAGTTAAATTTACATGTGCCATTATAAATTATTAATTCAATAATTAGGCTATAATTGTTATCATCAATATTGATTTTATTACCTCCAATGACAATCGCTGTACATCAGTCACCAACCACCATGCGAACGTCCATCCACCCACGATGGTCTTTTTTGTCGTCGAACCGTAGCATCCTCCTGCAAGTCAGAGAAAAAATATGGTCATGAGTTCACCGTATTTTTCATAATTCTTTATTTCAACATAAAATAGAAGTTAACAAAAAGTTCAAGGTTTGAAAGGATTACATAAATCCAACCTTCATCCGACCACTTTTTGATCCTAAAATCCTACCTAATAGAATACCTTGATCAAGGACCAGACAAATCCCTAACCTAACTTTTCGAGTTCACAACTTTGTTCAAGGACACATTCCCAACCCGTTATGATGACCTCCAAATTCCGAAACTAACCACAAACTCCAGGAAGTTTGTTACCCCGTCGGTTACATAGGTGACGTATTCCCATTTCATCATTTCGGTAAACCAAATATTTACATTTTATGATACAAACACTTTTAGCCATCAGCATCGTCATTCAAGGAGAGAAAGCACTTATTCAACCCAGTTAAACGCAATGCAAGTCATCCTTCGTAATGCTAATACCGGATATTGTGTATTATTAGCGTCATTACATTATCGCACATCAACCAGCCACACCTACAACTTAATCTTCATCTCTTCGTAACAATTTAAAATCCATTTCGATTTCACTCCTAAGTACGACACCGATTACGAGTGGGTGTGTATGTATGGATTTCATGATCTTTATCGCATTTCGTATTGACACAACATTTCATTCTCGTATCAGAGACTCGGTAAAGTTCCGTAGCTGATGGACAGGGGGCAAATTCCACGCCTTTTCTTTCCTCCTGGGATCAACAACATTTAAAATATGCACCCACAACTATAATAATACTCACACAATAAGATTACAGATCAGAAACATGCTGCGTTTCGTGGTCGACTTGTTAGTGTATCAAATGTGAAAGCTAGTCAAACAAGATGACCCAGCCAACAAAGTAAAAAAACCTTGTCAAACCCAAACTCACACACAAACCAACCACATATTCACACATCAAACGAACCGTCAAAACTTAAATTCATCAGCTATTTAGCAAATAGCGACAACAAAGGACAATTATGTGCATCTAATTCAGTCAAAGGCTGCGTATGCATGCATGTGTTTTAATCTACACATTATGTCTTCTCCCATGGACGGAGGTTTGTATTAATTAATAATCCAACTTTCTTATACGAGAGGAGATAACAAGATATGTATGAATGAAGCTATGATATTTTTCAGACGCATTGTTTCAATCCCGTGTCCTTATCCTTGTTTTAAACATATTAATCAATGAAAGTCTGGCGTACACAGACAAAAATTTGCTAATTAGGACGACTGATTGATTCACTTTTCACATTTCATTGTCAATTAACACTTCTTATCTTGTATCAGGATTAGTGATCGTTTATTACGAAAGAGAAGGAGACCATGGGGAGCAAAGTGTTAATAATACTAATTCAATGGGAAGTTCACACTTTTACTTTTATTCGATAATTTAATTTCATACGTAATTTCATATTTCAATATTTTGGACTGGAAATATGATGATGATCAACTTGACTATTAAATGTTTATTAAGAAAATACTATTAAATTAAGCGAGAAAGAGGGTCTTTGAAATGGATTCCTAATGTCACATTTGCGGTCTTTTACCAAACACAATCCAACATTATGTACATGTTTTACTCAAAATTTTGAGCAGACTTCATTTTTTTCTCGCCTCTTACGTATGCAAATATTGATCTAGGTACATATACGTACTAAATATACCAACCCATTTACCCACATTGAAATTTCTCGCCTTCTTTCTTCACATTATATAAAACTATTTAAACCATCATAATGTCAATCTTTCACGGAAGGGTCCCGTTTTTCCTGTAGTAATGAGCAAGATTATTACGAATATCAAATGGGTACCCTCACCACATTGCTTAATCTAGGAATTAAACAATACCACACTACATCATCTTATCCAATCCACACAACAATAATCATAAATAATGATACATTTCAGTCATCTCCGTTTAAATCTCGTCTCTTTTTAACGTATCTATTTTCACACAGTAGTACATACCGCAGACATATGTACTATACACACACGAAACACTGTGTATATGTAAAAGAGAGGCCGAATCTCAACCGGTGCTTCGAGTATCATATCATTTCGTCTGGGAAGGAAGTGTGTGCATATTGCATTACAAATACATACGTGTGCATGCATCCACTGCAGTAAAGATGAGTTTTTAAGACAATACTCACCAGCAGTATAATAGTGGTCAGCAGATCAGTGTGGTAAATACTTACATACGCAGCATAACATTATCTCTTCTTCTTCTTCAAGTGGTGGAATCGACCCAAAAAATCTCAGTTTTCCTTTTCACTCCTCACTCGACGACTCACTGACCCCCGATCATCGTATCTCTTCAAAAAGATGACCATTTAACAGCTATACCGTGTGTGTTGGTGTCTTACCGTGGTGTCTAACCACCAATTTATTTAAAAACTTGGGCTCTTCATCATCATCATCTCGTCCTCTTGGTCAACAAGGGTTGACGAATACGAGTCCCTTGTCAAGTTCAAAGTTTTTATAAAACTGGGTGAAACTGAAACGAGTCATTTTTCTGAGAAAATTCAAGTCAAAAATCTTCTCGTAGGTTTTTCTCGTCGGAGTAATACAATTTTGTGTTCTCAGCTAAAAATCAGAGCCACGTTACGAATACAGAAAGGAAAAGGAACATTTCTTTCGAGAGATGGGATCAGTTGAGTTAACAGATTGTTATGTAGAAGAGTTGAGGTGATTAAGGAGAAATTAATCGACACAACAAGTCTGTCGAATGCGAATGAAAGTGAGTGAAGTTCATCACCAACCACAACACCTCAAGAAATGAGAGGAAAGAGAAACAGGTGAAGCTAATGTAAGTGCACAATCATCATCATCATTCTTATATTGATGATGATAAATAATTTGTGATACATGGGTTGGGTCACCCACCAGCAGCAGCATTGTCGTAAAGATTTAGTAGTGTGAAATATTCGAGAAATGTCAAACCCAGAGTTGCAGTGAATTTCCGACGCGGAATGCTTCCAACATGAGACAAGAGAGGAGTTTATTGTTTTGTATTGAGTGATACAGTGCGTGTTGGTTTGGTTATAAAAAGGTTCCTGTTGTTTTGTGTGTGTCAATAAATTCATATTCGGGGGAGAAGAACAAGACTAAATTTGCACAAAAATAAGTGGATTCACTGACGTGTGCGAATGGAGAAGGTAAGTGTCACGCTGGATATTTAACAAGACCAACATTTGACATTTTACATACTCGCATACTTTCTCAAATACATATGTCCAACTTTACAAAAATGGATTGAGCACACGTACGTCGTACATGATAACGGGAGCCGGCAATTTAATATTCATAAGTAACTGAATACACAGCAGTCTTGCAAATTTTTGGAAGTATGTAATTTCATTGGACTTGTATGTGCATCTTATTTATCAATCTAGAAGACGTGCCACTATAGATCTCTAATATATGTATGTAATAATAATACTGCAATCAGCACTTTCATGCTCGCTGCATTATCTCACACTCTCAATTTCGTTTTGCAAGTAGCCAATTCATGCCTTAAAGATTTACAATTTTACTTAATTCTTGAATTTTTACATCTTAAATTTCAACAATAATAATGAAAACTCTGTCTGCTATAAAACAAAAAAAAGAGTGAGTGAATTATGCGTTATGAAAGCAGCAGTAAATTAAATACATCATCATCATCAAAATAAGTATGTACGTACATCTCTAAATTCAATTCACTAATCTATTGCGCACACAGACATATGTAGATCCAACGGCAAGATAAGTTCCCAGTAATTCTTTTCACTTTCATTCCACGTCATATGTACATACATATTTACCAATAAACTTCGAATGTGCCTGCAATTTATAAAAGTCTGTGTGGTTGTTTGTTTCAATTTTATTTTTCATTGTTCCTGCCACATCATCTAATTCCTACCCTATTTGGCGTATGTACATATGTACAAATAGTCGTGTAGTCCTCCGAGTAGTATTTAATGTCACTCCCAATAAATGGCAGGTGAGGTGTGGGTTTTTTTCTATTCTGTAATTCAAATCAACAAAAGAGGGACCCCACCTCACCTCCGAGTACGTTGTTGAGCATCATTTATTATGCGACACGACAAGTGAAAGGCCATATCGACGCAATTAAAAAATGCAAGTTATGTTATGTATGTATTTAAGGAACAAGACATGTAGGTACATACGCGTGTAACCCTATTTTATGTACCGATTTATGTACACTTACGTAATCCAACAACGGTTATTACAAAACCTTGTTTCATTTTTTTCATGACTTGACATCCGTCCAGACTGCATGCATTAAGAAAATTTTGAATCATGTCACTGTGACGTTACACATTTTACTCGTGTGATCCAACAACAATATAAAATGCAGGAGCGTGATGATGATGTGTGCGAATTTTAGGGCAAACTGCACTTTCCTTCCTATATATTATTGACTTGAAATTAGCCATGCTTCGCCCAGTGGATAACAAAAGACTGCAATAATATTGCAACTAAACAAATAGTTAGTTGATGCATCTCAATAATTATGACCGCAGCTAATCTGTACTGTCCACTATTTAAAAATTGACTACGTGCGGGGCACATCGTTCGTATAGTGATAAAAAGTGCGTCCTTAACCATTTTTGGATGCAGTTGGTTGACAATTGTGTAGTAGCAGAGAGACATTAGATAATCCTGCAGGAAAACAAAGTGGCGAAAAAAAAATCTTTTAAGAAAGTTCAAAAAGTTTACTAAATAAAATCAGTAAAACTAAAAACTCATCCAAGGCAAAAGTGCAGTTTTACTACTACTTACATCCACACTTTTGGGTTATGCATGGAATGCTGCAAGTCAGGTTTTACTTTCATTCTCATTTCATCAATGAAACGAATGTGTGAATGAAGAAACAAATTCTTTGTTTAATACATAGAACTTGCAGCAATTAGTTATTAAACTAGTAAAATGTGAACCAAATTCATTCACAAGTGAGTTAAAAAAAGTGTGCAATTTTTAAAACGGGGTGGCTCTTGTGATTGCTAATTCCAGGTTAAAATGACGCCGTAAATTATGCAGCATGGCAATACTGTCAAGTGGAGTCCTCACCGCAGGACTATGGATGGTACTTTTAGTCAATTTTTTATCTACCAAATTTTTCTACGCATTTTTGACCATGGTTTTTTCATCAGGTTCCCGTCTTCATGGGTCTCATGGGCTACATGAAATACGACTCCATCGACCCAGAGTCCCACCCAAGGGACAAGAGACATCTCGACCACAAGTAACCAAAGACAAAACCTAATTTCACTGGCTTGGTTATTACATTTTCATGCCAATTATTTCCCCAGCTACGACTTTATTATCGTCGGAGCGGGTTCAGCAGGGTCCGTGCTGGCCAACCGTTTGAGTGAAATTCCTAACTGGAAGGTCCTCCTCTTGGAGGCAGGGTCCGACGAGAACACGGTCAGTGACATCCCCGCAGTAGCGGCGTATTTGCAGGGTTCATCTCTCGACTGGCAGTTCAAAACGGAACCACAACCAACGGCATGTCTGGGACTAGTCGGTAATTAATTTGATATTCTCTCACCATAATTTTATTCCGCATAAACCAAAATTACGATACGTAACAAAAAATGCAGGTGGACGATGCAATTGGCCGCGTGGAAAGGTTCTCGGAGGCTCTTCCGTCCTCAACTATATGCTCTATGTTCGTGGAAATCGGCGAGATTATGATCTGTGGGAGGAGATGGGTAATCCTGGCTGGGGATATGACAATGTGCTCCATTATTTCAAGGTATGCATCCCATTCTTGTACGATTAAACGGCTAAACGATTAAACGTCGCTTCCCTGACTGAGATTTCTTCACTTCTAGAAATCTGAAGATAATCGGAACCCATATCTCGCCCAGTCCCCATACCATTCGTCCGGTGGCTATCTCACTGTCCAAGAAGCCCCTTGGCGTACCCCTCTCGCCACCACGTTCGTCGAAGCAGGGATGGAAATGGGGTATGAAAATCGGGACGGAAATGGTGAGCATCAAACCGGCTTTATGATAGCGCAAGGAACAATTAGACGCGGGTCGAGGTGCAGTGCGGCCAAGGTGAGATAATTGTTACTATTTAACTAAACCATCATTTACTACCATCTTAATTATTTATTTAGGCATTTCTACGCCCCGTCCGCCTCCGTCCTAACCTTCACATTGCCATGCACTCCCACGCCATGAAAGTTCTCTTCGACGAAAACAAGAGAGCCATCGGGGTGCGTTTTAAAAGGGATGGAAAGGTTCAAAACGTGTATGCCAGAAGGGAAGTCATCCTCTCCAGTGGGGCAATAAATAGTCCACACCTTCTCATGCTGTCCGGAATCGGGCAGGCGGACCATCTCCGAGAGATGGGAATCCCTCTAGTCAAGGTTTTAACTATTCAATTAATTAGTATAAATACATAATCTACACAGTATTCACTATAATTTTACATATAATCTCATCCATCCGAACAGGACGCTCCCGTCGGGATGAACCTCCAAGATCATTTTGGTTTTGGTGGTTTAGTATTTCTAGTCGACAAGCCGGTAACTCAACGCGTTATAAATAATCTCCAAGTCATAGTCTCATCCTATCAAATTCCAGGTGTCCATGGTGCAATCGAGGTACGAGAACATGGGGTCAGTCATGCAGTATGTCATGTATGGCAAAGGCCCCCTCACGATTCTGGGAGGGGTCGAAGCTCTCGCCTGGGTCAACACCAAGTATGCCAACGCCACGGATGACTTTCCCGATATCGAGTTCCATTTTGTAGCTGGATCGTGAGTGCTGAATTTTTATTTGCTAAATATGTCCAGACTGACTGACTGACTGGTAGACAAGGTGCTGTCATAATAGTTATGAAGCTATCAAAGTAAATTGGTAATACATACTCGAATTTCGTTATTTATCTGCGTTTCTACCCGTAATAACTTTCCATTCATAATTTGTCTCTCGTATGTACCAATTCCCCTCTCATGATTGGTGAGAGAGATGTTAAAAGCGAGGTGTACACTTTCTCCAATTAATTTGTCATCCTAAAAGCCCTTTTCTTCTGTCAAACAACATCCCAAAAGCTCGTTCCTCTCATTACGTCTCGATCAATACTATTCTGTTATACAGCTAAATTGAATATAATTCACTCTCCTCCTCGTCCTTTTCGTCTCCCTGGACAAATAATAATCCCGTCGTGATGATGCTGAGCCGTGTTTCCTCTCCTGCTCCATTATTAACAAGACTTTGGTCTTTTACTTTACCCTTTTTCACTATCTCTTTTACCATCATTAGATTCAATCCTCACTTTAATCGCTTCCAACCACGCAGGCAAATCCTGCTCAAAACTTTCACGGGAAATATAACAAACCAACCGAAACGAGACTGTTATTAGTATCAACAAAGGAAAAAACGATGCGAGCCAGGCATTATCCCAAAATAAGTTTAGAGCTAAAATTACCAAACTTTTACTACCCAGCCTTCAATGTTGACGTGTACACGTAAATGTTAAACAAATGGTGTGTGTAACACGTTCATATGTATTATCGACGTAGGGCATCATCCGATGGAGGAAAACAGATAAAAAAGGCGCACGGCATTTCTGATAAGATGTACAACGAGATGTTTCGCCCCATCGGTAAGGATTTTTTATGTCCATTTAATACCATTTCAGACAACCAATTTTTACGACGTGAATTTCAGTCAATCGTGACACGTGGTCCGTCATCCCCATGATTTTGAGACCCTACAGCAAAGGCTATTTGAGACTAAGGTAATTTTATATATAATTCCAAGCAACACTGACAGCGTACTAATTACGCCCTCGGCGTAATCCGATTCTTTGTGACGTGGTTGACAAAATCTCATTTGTTCCTGACTTGTTCCTATTTATTTACGAAATTTAAGTAAAATTAATTAACTTGTGATTAATATCGAGGTCGAGAAATCCATTCGACAAAGTCCTCATTTATCCAAATTATATGATCGGTAAGACAAAAATAAATACCTCATACGCATCTTCTGACAACATCTCTTCGTTTCCTTATTAAGATGACCGCGACGCCAAGATATTGGTCGAAGGGGTCAAAATTGCAATCGCCATGAGTAAAACGCAAGCCTTCCAGAGACTTAATTCTAGAGTCAATCCCTACCTCATGCCAGGCTGTAGACATTTAGTCCACTGGAGTGATGAGTATTGGGAATGTGCCATAAGGTCAGGAAATAAAAAAATAAAACAGAAATTGAGTGCAAGTTTATATCTCTCTTTTTTATGACAGACATTACACAGTCACAATTTATCATCACTCTGGAACCGGTGAGTTTCTATATTTTATTGAACGGATCCCTAAATACTAAATGAATGATTACTTACAATTTGTGTATAACGGTCTATTCTCGCATGAATAAGTTAAATTAAAATTTCTTTGTTAGCAAAAATGGGTCCTTCCTCCGACCCCGAAGCGGTAGTTGACCCACGCCTAAGAGTTTATGGGGTCACTAATCTCAGAGTGGTGGACGCCTCGGTACGAAAATCTGACCAACTTTCCTTCCACTCACAAATCTTAATGTTTAACTAATGATTATCTATTTACTAGATAATGCCAAACGTCGTCAGTGGTAATACTAACGCTCCTACAATCATGATTGGTGAGAAAGCGTCCGACATGATTAAGCAAGATTGGGGCGAGTCCACAGTCTCAATACCTCCGCCAAAGGACGTCTAAAACTACATTTTAATTCTAAGAATCAAATGACTCGAAAAGTATTTTTTAATATTTTTGATACTACTTGTAAATAATGAGACTTTTATAAACTGTCAAATTATTGTGTACATAATACTACATAACTATGCTGGCCATGCAACCCCACCAACCAAACCTAATCGAATAGTGTCATATTTTTAGATACGATATATTAAATACCATGTTTTCTATTAAATTGTGTGTGTACATACACGTTAACAATACTGGATAACCTGTACAGATTAGCAATTTAATGTGAGTTAATCATATACCTTGTACATACCAATTTGTACAGTATTTTTGTTGGTTTTTGGTTAAGAATTCTTCCCTTAGAACTGTTTACTTGGATCCAAATAATTCAAATACTCACTTTTTTCCAATGTCTAATAATATATTTCATACGTCCCAGTCCTTAAGAATTTTAATTAAATGTAGCATTTAAGCAAAAGCCAAATGATATCAGCATTATTACGTGTAATAGAACAGTGTGTACAAAATGCCGTCATTTTATGTAAGACTGGTACATTGCAATGTGTATAAGTAAAGTATAATTAACAACGACGGTTAATGAGCAAATAAAGCGTGTTTGTACAAGAAAAGAGGGAGAAAGTATAGTGCAATGCGGAAATTAAGGAAACATTGATTTTCATGAGGCATCGTCGGAAGTGAAAGAGAAAGTCTGATCGGAAATGAAACCGGAGAAAAGGTTTGCGTTGAATGACGTTCGATGTTCGATCCTTATTTATTCCCCACTGTTTTTGGCACATGACGCAAAAATAACTACTTCATTAATTCTGTACAGCAAAAACCTCGATGCAGCCCGAGCGAGTCATTTACTTTCTCTGATCGACTCAATTTTGACCCCTGACCAATATTTTATTACTGGACCGATCATGAACATCTTCTACCTCATTCAATGCCTTGTCGAAATGCGCATTTTAAGACTAAATTGGTCGAAATCTGTGGAGTACATACTTAGTTTCCCAGACAGACAAATAGACTGACAAGTGCAGAGATAGATAAGCCCTGACTCAAGCTAAGAAGCCAAAAGCTCATTAGTTAGTTCTGCTATCCTAACTACTACATTTGTGTCTAGTAAATAGTCGCTGTATTTTATTCTATCTCTCCATGGCCCTTTTAAAATACCGACCCGCAGTAAATTGCACTCACACAACAACACATTACCAACACGAACCCATTATAAAGATAAATTAAGAAAACAAGTTACTCATGCTTTCAATTTCGAGATCATGTCCGCTTTTAGGAGAAAAAGCTTTGATCTTTCTTGTGCATCATCCCTTCTAGACAAACTTTGTACCAGAAGCGATGTGAAAGAAATTGGATTGTAGCCGGCAAATAACCGGAAGATTTTTTTTCCTCACAGAGAAAGTCAAGCCATCACAGAATGAACATGTCTTTTCTATTAAAGCTGACATGTAGCAGAAGGACAACTTTGTCTTGCTTTAGACAAAGGGAGAAGAGGAGGATGGATAAGCCTGTTGAACGTGTGCGAATGGCAAGAAACTCACGTCAACAGACAGCCAGAGACCAGCAGAAAGCGGGCGACTGACTCAGCGAGCAACAACCGGGTAGTAGAAAGCCATAAAGACCGAGTTATTGCTTTTCTGGCTCCACTGGGACTAAATTGCATGCGAAAATGGGTCTATATATGGGCGGACGTCACCAAGAACAAGAACACCGAGCAAAGTTCATGGCGTAATATGAACTCTGATGCAACTCGATTCGGCTGATGGAATGGAAAGAGAGGAAACTAGAGATCACTTCTTGATGAATGATAGGCTTAGGAATCCAAAATTGATTCACCTTTGCTACACTAAACCAAACATGAGTAAATTCCTGAACAATACTAAAATTGTTCCAACTTTCAAGAGAGAGGAGAAACATAATCTTCAATCTCAAATCGAAAATGCAAATGTAAAATATTGATGAAGTTTGGAGGAAGAAATCAGTCAACTAAATTAAAATTAAAAGTTTTTCTTACCTGACACGATAAGGGCTTCGTTGGGACCGACGGTGTGAATGTTGCCCATCTTGGTACACGAATAAGCACTCCCTCGATGCCGATTTCCCACAAAGTATGACCAAAGCCGCAAAAAAAGTTTCCAACTTTCACAAAACTTTTCCTATCTTGAAGAATAATATTCTTTGAAAGACAGAGTATCGAATCACATTTTGTTTTGGATTGAAAACTAAAATGATATAGGTGGGGCTACACTTTTGAGGAATGTACACAAATATTACAGTCGTTCACAGATTGATTTGTTGGTTTTCCGTGTTTAATTTCAATGTATCGTGTTGTTCGTCATTTCCTGGCACGATCTGTTGCTCCAACTAGAAAAAGGACAACAAACAGAGAAATGTTAGTTACGCTGGTAAAAGATTACTCCAGACTCCAGAGGTAGCGTCAGCATAATTACAGTGCAAGTAAAAAGCACTATTTACCGAACCATAAACTATGTATACATAACATAACTACATATATTACATATAACTACATATGCCGTGTGACTATGCCTCAGCCTCATATCCATGAACGCTATTACACATTCGGAATTCTGAGAATTACACACGATAAAAAAATCTGGTCCTGCTTAAAATGCAAATTATTCTACAGGACAAAAACTGCATGTGAATGTACATATGTTCAACATAACCAAATCACTGTTGCTCTGTAATGCAAAATTGTAAAATTGAATTGCTATTCATACCACGTAATGTACCCAACTATGCATCTCTAAACTAAACTAGACATCACTAGTTAATGTTAACGACTGTTGTTAAATGCTTCACTGGATTTCATGCTGTTCGGCGACTTGTCGCATTAGTGATTAGACGGAAAATGTCAGTTTCCTTCCTTCACTCACAAAAATGCCAGGTTTTAAATCAGATTGAAATTGAAATGTCAGTCAATCTTTAACAACTACATTAAATTAGTTTGTGAGCTTACTAAAATAGGACGGTGCAAGATTTATCAATGAATTTAAATATTATTTACCTTAGATTTCAAGCAGCCGAGCCAAGCCTCTATTTAAATGGGATTTAAATTATCAGGGATCTGACCAGCCAGGCTAAATCACTGAAATCAAACAAAGAATGTACCCGATATAAAAACAAACAAGATAACACACTGATAACGCTAAATACAAATAAATTACCTACGAATGTCGATGAACCTGTTTGTAAATAAATCGAACTCGAATCGCAAATGTTGAGTGAGTGAATGCAAACCCCGCTCTCCAAACCCAAACAAAAACTGAACTGGAATTTTATGTTACCGAAAAAATGGGAAAATGTCTCAAAAATTTTTTCATTTTTAGCAAAAACTAATCAGATTTTGTAAATTCATTGAGGAAAATTGAGACTCTTTTTTGGAATTTTAATTTTCTAGGGAGTTGTCTATGTTATATCAATGTATTTATTTAGCCGTATCAGAACAGAACTTTGTTTTGATTTTCCGGGTGAACTGAACTCACCGAAAAAACCGATTTACTACTACCAACAACTAAACTATCTCTCACAAAACTTGACAAAAAGAAAGTAGTAGAAAAAAACTTACCCATCGTCATCATCACCCACCGCTACCCGGTTTTGGTTCGGAGACTCTGTCACTTTACTTTATCTCACTGACTGACAAGTAAGTAATGCGGGTAGTATAGAAAAAGCCTCCTTTTCTCGGGTTTCTTCGGGGAAGTGAAATTCGGTTCGGTCTTCGCTCCTGGCTACGCTCTATCTCTAACGAAATAAAAGCCTTTTCTGATACCCGTTTTCCGGGGTGAAGTTGTGATATGTTTTGTATGTATACATTGTATGATGATGAGTAAGTTGCATTAATTTCATGGATTTTTGGTTGGGGTACTGAACTGACTTTACGTTCTGGTCTTACCACTTTTGAATAATGCCATGATGCGTATCCACTCGAACTTTCTCTCGGTGTGTGAAGTGCCAAATCAAACAAAAGGGTGGGCTGGAAATGGAATGCTTGTATGATTCATAATCATAATATTATTCAGTCAGTCTCAAAGCCATCAAAATAAATATGTAACAGTATATTTTTAACTGAACGTCACTTACAAAAAAATAATTAATACTCGAAACTTAAAGTATTTATAATAATTAGTAAATATCATAAGTCATATCGTTACAACTTTCTTTATTAAACTTGAACCATGAACGATTTTCTACCTTTTTTGTATCTTATCAATCGGTGATAAATCTGAAAAAATCGGAATGAGACAATTTTCTCAATTTTCCCATTTTTCTCACCTTACTTCTGATGAGACATTTATAAAAAATTGTTTGGCATTTGATACAGATTGCTGCCCTTTCGTTTCTTCACACCCACAACGCCACTTCATCCAAATGACGATAACCCAATTAATTAATAAGATAACTATGTAAATATGAAGCTAACTATTTGATAAAGTTTCCCGTAAAGTAATGCCACAACAACCTCCATCTCGCGAGCCAAGTCTCAATCCACCCAAAATTGAGCGAAAGCCTCCACTCCAAACCAAACTGAATCCCTTTTGAACGAACAAAAGCATCAAGAAAAAAGTTTAATTTTATTATTAACTAAATACAAAATAACAACGTAAGTAATTAGTTAATTAAAGTTACCGCACTTACCACTAAACTGCTCCTCCTTGTTGTTGTTGGTTTCGTTCGTTTCGAGTGATAAGTTATTAATTTTAAGTGGAGAGAAAGATAAGGGTTTGTGTTTGGGTATATAAATAAACACAAATATCTCACCCCGCTCTACCAATATAAGTCAAAGAGTCAAAGGTCAGGGTCTTTATATAATCACAATAATTAAGTACAAATAATTCACAATTAAGGTTGTACAAAGATTAACTAAACAAACCTATTCTATTCTTATACAGGGCACAAGGACGACCTTTAATTACAAAGCTCTCTCTTCTTCTCGTCACTCGTCATTTTTAGTTTTAACCACCTTCACCTTTTTAATTGTGATTTCGTCCTGATCTCACCTTTTTGGGTGTGATCAGCCCATCAGCCGTCAAGATTGCTGCCAAAAAAGGAAAGACGACGACGGGGGGTGGTTCGGCAAGCACGGGAGATCTCGACCGACAAATTGAACAATTAAAGAGATGTGAAATCATTAAGGAATCCGAAGTCAAAGCGCTGTGCGCCAAGGCGAGAGAGATTCTTGTAGAAGAGTCAAACGTTCAGAGAGTGGATTCTCCAGTAACGGTAATTTTAATTTGTTAGTATGATGCTTTATTTAATGAAAGGTAGAAAAAATAAAGAGTAAGAGTTAAAAATAATATTATGCATTAAATTAACAATTAATTAAATTAATCTTATTTCCAGGTGTGTGGCGACATCCACGGACAATTTTACGACCTCAAAGAGCTCTTCAAAGTAGGAGGCGACGTTCCTGAGACGAACTATCTATTCCTCGGAGACTTTGTAGACCGTGGATTTTATTCTGTGGAAACGTTTCTGCTTCTTCTTGCCCTAAAAGTTCGTTCATTCATTCAACATAAATAAACAATTATAAGCAAGTGTTTTTGTAAAATTCTTAATAACATAAAAATTTACTAATTCTAGGTCAGATATCCCGATCGGATAACACTCATCCGCGGAAATCACGAGTCCAGGCAGATCACCCAGGTCTATGGTTTTTACGACGAATGTCTCAGAAAGTACGGTTCCATCACTGTATGGCGATATTGTACCGAAATATTCGACTACCTTTCCCTTTCAGCAATCGTTGACAACAAGGTGACCTAATTTGATAGAAATTTGATAAATAATAACGTACATGCTTACTTAAAATATGCCATTCTTCTCTTTAGATCTTCTGTGTTCATGGTGGACTTTCTCCATCAATCCAAACCCTCGACCAGATTCGAGCTATTGATCGGAAGCAGGAAGTTCCTCACGACGGAGCAATGTGTGACTTGCTTTGGTCCGACCCTGAAGGTATGTCACGTCGTCAGACTAATCATCATCATCATCACAATTTTCTGTAACATTTACGTTGCTCCTTCCGTTTCCCCACTAGTTTTCAAAAAAGCTTTCTTTTTCTTTTATCACTTGCAGATGGTAAGTATCTCTTGTTCGTATCTACTTTTGATTGAACAACATCCTCTCTGCTGTTCTGACGATACCGCAACAAAAAAAGCCTTGTCTTGTTGTTCTTGCTGCTGTGCGCGCAAAAATTTAATTAAAAGAGCCAGTTTTTTTGCACATCATGAAAGAGCGATCTGCTGGTAAGGTCGCGTAAGTTAAGTGTCTGTTTTACTTTACATAATTAATTGATTGTGTTGTGTACTGGACGCGAGTAAATTTTAACAACGATTACGTAGCTGAGCTAGTGAGCTATTTTATACTGTGTTGCAAGTAGTTGTAAAATTGACGCATTCACGTGTAGAAATGAGTCAGTAGTTGCACGTTAAGGCTTTTAAATAATGGGGAATATAAAAGTGGTGACTAAATTAATTGGGGTTCGTTCAATGTGATATATGATGTGACTGCGTTACTTCAAGTTAAACGATTGGTTTATTATTTTACAGACACGACAGGATGGGGAGTTAGTCCGCGTGGTGCCGGTTATCTGTTCGGATCCGATGTCGTCGCCCAATTCAACGCTGCTAACGATATAGAAATGATCTGTCGCGCCCATCAGCTTGTTATGGAGGGATATAAATGGCATTTTCAGGATACGGTATTAACTGTGTGGTCGGCTCCAAATTATTGCTACAGGTACATAACTCTTACTTTCTTATCAGCATCAATGATCAAGTTACAACTAAATCTATATTTCTTTGATTTTCTTCCGTAGATGCGGAAACGTCGCAGCCATCCTCGAACTGGATGAACATCTTCAACGAGAATTCATAATTTTTGAAGCTGCTCCACAAGAACAGCGCGGCGTCCCGGCGAAAAAGCCTCAGCCCGACTATTTTCTATGATCTTATCCATTTAATTGCAAACGGAAATTTCTTTTAAACTTCACTATACATTTCACTCAATAAGTATGTAGTAATAAGTATATTTACTTCTCAACAAAACATAAATCGCAGATAAATACACGTAAAAATCAGTAATCGAACGACAATTAGTAGGATAAATAAATATAATTTATTTATCCAATTCTATGGTATAAATCAAAATCACCCTGTCCTCTTTCCAACCAACCACCCTACCGATCCGACCAATAATAGTGTAAAGTGTACTCTTTTTTACGTACTTAAGTAATTGGCAACAGAATCTGCATGAATTTTAGTTGTCTCACTTTAGGGTTATTTGTAAATGAGAGATTTATGGCTGTTGTAATATAATGTCAATTTGTCAATGATGATAGTGATAATTGAAATAAATAATTTCTATGCAATGATATATTATATTCCTCCATGTACTATCTTTCATTCTGCAAAATGCTAAATAAGGTTCATGGGTTTTGGCTGCAGAAATCATGCAAACAAACAACGGGTGACGGATGCGGATAGTAGATTTTTAGTGGGCTGATGACTCACTCAGACTCACGAATCGAGCTCTTCGGACGAAACTAAATTTTAAGTTAATTTAGTTGAACTAATTTTTGACTGAACAATAATCTTATTTGCTCATTGATATGTACTTATCAGTTTACGACATTCCAGTAATCCAGTACTTTATTTAGGTTATCCAGTACTTGATTAGAGAAAACGAGGGGAGAAAGTTTCAAAATTCCCAATCTTACTTTATATATAACCAAGCATTTGTAATTAATAGATAAGACATGTGAGTTTTATTGAGAATTCAAGACACAGATCCAAATGTTATGAAGTAGTTTATAATTTTCTATTTTTGTGGCTTACACACTTGTTTTTTATACGTTGATTCGATACTATGTAGCAAGCAGATAAGTAAATGAACAGCAGGTGACATGAAATGGACAAAAAAAGTCATGATATCTGAGGTGAGTGATTAGTTAGAAAGGTTAGTTAGAAATAGTGTTGTTTTTCATTCCAGAGAATAACTGTTATCTTCTTAATCACTTGCGCGTTCGAGTCAAGTCAATGAATAATCTTCCATTACAACAAAACAACACAAGCAACATTTTATAATTAAGTGCCAACTCGTCCAACCAATCCCTCTGCAGGGGGTCACGGATAAGTCGTTATCATCAACGCCGTCTGAAGAACAACAATGTCCGATATTTTGGGTTCGTCAAGAACAATAATACAAGAACAGCAACGAACAACCTCTTCTTCCACTGCCAATACTACCATTACTCTTAACAACAACAACGTTTACGACACCCTTTCTTATGCTTATCATTTATTTAACTGTGACTTATACAACTACCCCTTTCTATTCTGCACCGAGCTAATTTCCGAATTTTTCAACCTCCTGTACTTCCGACGCATTCGAGCCTTTATTTTCCAATTATGTTTGATTTTTCTTTTGTTTACATATTTTTTTATGATTTTAGTTTCCGGTGGAATTTTTTTAGCAATCGTGGTCATTCCTTTTGTGGGGTACAAGCTGTATAAAAAGTTTGCTGGCAAGTGTGGCAGTCATGTACCCAACTCTCTCTTCTTCTGTTGCCGAACACGAAATCGGAATCACGAAAATTATGGGAATTTCTTGCGAAAAAGGATCGTCCCAAGGGTCGAACTTGATTTTCCGGCTAATTTACGGGTTGGACAGACTATTAGTTTGAGAGTGATTGTAAGTAGAAGTTGTTGGTATAATAACCAGCAATTGGCTGTATTAATCATTTACATAGTTTAAATCTAATTAGGCCACAAAGTAACTAATTATCTTTTCCTGCAGTTTCCCCTCTGCCGTCACCGAACATTGGAAATCGTCCAACACGTCTCCCAACCGGAACCCTCCCTCCAAGAATCCGTCTATCTCCAGGAGGAATACAATCTTGATCGCTTATCCATCGACATCGTCAAAGTTTCCGGATCCGTCTCGACGCACCACACTTCTCCACGAGTCCCTCCGATACGTGAACTTTTACCGCGTCCCCCTTCCGCATCTGAGGACACACTCCTAGTTAAATTCCTTGTCCAAGAGGCCGGCTTTTACCAGATCAACATCCTCTATGAAGACGCCCATGTTCCCGGCAGCCCGTTTCCTATTCCTTTCAACGCCGCTGAACTCGACCCGGAGAAAACCGTCGCCCTCCGCGAATCTCCCATTGTCCTCTCCATCTCGGGCGACATATTATCCATGTACATCTCACCCAAAGATCGGTATGGGAATGAGTGCAATTTTGGAGATGTGGATCCTGCACTTTTCCACTTTTCGCTACTCCAACTTGACGACGGACACCATCCCGTCCTCGTGGAATCTATTGTGTTTAATTTTTCGCGAGAAATTAAGAAAATTCTGGGAGCCCCTTTCGACGAACCATATGAGGAGACATTGGAGGTTAGACTCGATGTCGAAATTTTCCTTCCCGGCGTCTTCCTCGCCAGTATTTCGTATAATGGGATTCTCATTGGAAATGGAACCTTTGACCTAGTCACATTATCACCTGACGAGCACAACAATCTCCGCAGTTTGATAAGCAATAATCCAGGAGCTAGATTCCACGAGGCCAAATTGCTCTCAAGTGGACAAGACTTACAGAAAAAACCGAGGCAGGTTTATATTTACGTGGCAGCAAAAGTACTTACCATCAAAGAATTCTATTTGGGAATTCTACCCTTTCGTCTTGCAGTATTTCGAATCCTCCCGGCGACAAAAGTCAAATTACTATCGTATAATGTCGAGCGGAGACAAAACATTCTGGAAATATCGGATCGAACTCAGCCAAAGATTGTGCTAGAAATTGAGCCCACGACAAGTCGCATCGTATTAGCAATGTTTGCTCTCTTTCTCAAACAGAGGTTGGGAGGGTCTGAATCTTTCGAAAACAAGCAAAAGTTTTTTTATGAAGAGTTGAAGAGTTCCAAGGATGTGCTGAGAACGACCACTTCGGTGTTATCAATCAATAGGGACTCGATTCTTAATTCGGTACAGACAACATATATTCATTTCCATTTTATGCATATTTTTTGTGTAAAGTTTCCGTACTAATAAAACAAAATATTTCTTTTCAGACTCTCTCGGAAACCAAAAACTTTAGCACGAAAGACTGGTGTCGAAATTTTAAGATTAATTTCGTCTCTGAGGAGGGATCTGACGATGGGGGCCTTCGGCGTGAGTGGCTCAACTTACTCTGCAAAGAAATGTTCGACAACTCCGCGGACGGGATGTTCACTGCCATGGGAAATTCACGACTTGTACATCCCAACGCGGCCCGCGACCGTGCCAAATATACCCTAAAACATTACGAGCTGGCTGGGAAGATAGTTGCGAAATGCTTGTTTGAGACTGCCATGGGGGGATTTTACAAACAGATGGTGAATGCGAGATTCAGCAGGTCATTTCTGGGACAAGTGATTGGATTCTCACCACATTACAAAGTTATTATAATATTTAAACAAACAAGTACTTATTCGAAGTAAACTTAAAGACCCGACAATTAATTTTGTACTTTACATAATTGCAGTATTTTGAGCAAGATGATCCCGAGTTGTTTATGACCAAAGTGAAATATTTGCTGGAAAATGACGTCGCTCCGATGGAACTCACTTTCACCGAGGATGAGTACAGCCAATCGAATGGAAAGCTTCTCAAGGTAACCGACTGCGTAAAATTTTCAATTATTAAGTTTAAATGACAAAAATCTTTTGTACAGTGCAATTAAGTTGTAAATCATGCACAATTCCAGCAATTTTTTCCCCTGACATTTTATTTTTTGAGATAATATTATCTTACAATTTCTAGAGTGTCGAACTAATATCCAACGGACGAAATATTGCTGTAATTAACGAAAACCGAGAAGAATACTTGAACCTCCTCGCCCAATATCGTTTGTGCACCAAAGTCAAGCGTGAAATCGAAGCATTTGTTAAAGGATTGAGTGAAATCGTGCCGGACGGATTGCTCACAAATTTTGACGAAAATGAACTCGAGGTAATTTAGATATTCATGTAAATATTTTGCTTAAACCATGCTAAATTTACTCTTTCCCCAGATCCTTATGTGTGGAAGGAGCACCTTTTCCATCGACGATTTGAAACTGCATCACATCCTGAGCGGCGAGGGTACCATGTACGACAGAATCCTTCCCTGGTTTTGGATCGCTCTTACCAACATGACCGACGATGAGCGAGGTCGCGTCCTCCAGTTTACAACGGGCAGCAGCCTCCTTCCCCACGGAGGTTTTAAAGATCTCCAACCCACATTTCGCATCACAGTGTACGACAGCATCGGAAAGTTACCACTGGCGCATACCTGCTTCTCTGAAATATGTCTCTCCGTACATCGCAACTATGAAGAATTTGAGAAGGCGTTGAAAATCGCGATTAACGAGGGCAGCGAGGGATTCGCCATCATGTAGAAATAATTAAATAGTGCCAGAATTGTGAAACTAGACGACTTTATCTCTCTACAACTATACTCAAAATCAACTATACTTTCATATCGTTGTCCTTCTGATCTGATTATTGAAATTAATAGAATCCATATAGTCTTCAAGATCTAAACATGTTCCTATTTCAACCAACCAGTTGTGCTACATCTACTCAAATACTTAATTGTTAACTATAAACCGTCATCATCAACTGCAGCAATACACTAAAAAAGTCAACTCAACTATAGAGCAATACAAACAACAATGCAATATAATATGTCGTAGTAAATGAATTAAGCCCTTCGTATTGTTTGTGTCTTATTAACTGATTATTATTATCCAATTCAACCAAATGCTCAGAGTATGTAAAAGTATTGACATTATATAACTAATTATCGTCATATCTGTTACATACATACATAGATAACTGCATATTATTCTGTGTTACAACCGTATAGTGAGATCATTTAAGTATTATAAATAAATATATGATATTATTGAATAGAACAGAATAAAGTCATGATGGGTCTCATTTAATGGGCCAGACTTTTAATTGAAATCACATAACTAAATATATTGAAATTCCACAACTTGAATTTCCAGTACTTTATATGCCCTAAAACAACCTCTATAACTGAATCCATCAGACACGGAATTTCATAACTTATGAATTCATTGATATGCAAAAATCCATCAAAATAGTTACTCTTGAGGTATCCCTTGCTCTTCTAATCAATGGTAAACCATACAATCATAATCTAGGAGTGCACAGTAGTAGAAATCGGAGACACCAAGGAATTTTGCAACCACTTCACTGTCAGAAATCTGGTATACTCGGGCTGGTATTGATTTCTCGGTATTATAAAGTTGCTACCGCTAGTGTTCTCAATGGTCCGGTCCACCGACCGGACCGGACCGATAACTCCGGTTCGGTCCGGTCCTGGTCCTGGGCTTAGACCGGACCAGGACCGATAAAAAATTTCGGTCCGGTCTCGGTCCTGACTGTTTAGGACCGGACCGATAACCTTCGGACGATAACTTTTGGAGAAAATGTGAAACGGCTACAACATAGCGCTTTAATTTTATGACCACATATATCTATTATATCTGGCTTTTGAATTAGCTTATTAACCTCTTTCGTATCAATGATTTTTGTGTAAAATTTCCTTGGGTACGATGTTGATTTTTTAATTACACCGAATAGCAACCAATGAAAATCTTCATGATTTCCTACAAAAGACGGTATGTTTATTTCAACCAGTTTCCAAGTACCGGTATAGAGAAAATTCCATAATTTGGGATGATTTTAAACAATCGACTATTAACCATCTAATTTGCCACAAAATTGCCAAACAAATACTCAAACAAATAAGATTTTTTTCTCAAATGTTTCACCCTACTGCTACATTGCGTTTGCTACAGTTTATGACGTTGTTTACTTGCTTTCACTCTTGTCGGTCGCACACATGCCGACCACTTTCATCTATCTAATTTTTTTGCAAGGTTGGGGATAATTGTTATTTATTTACCAAAATTTATGGTAGATTCGCCAACCAATATTTGTAACAGATGTAAGCTTAGATTTAACTTAGCGTGCGATTCATTCTGAGATTAATCTCTGTAAATTTCCAAATTTTTCACAAATTCGTTTTAAAATTTGTCCCATTTTTAGTCATCGTTTAACGTAAAGAGTATTTATTCAATGGTCAGGTTCAAAAAGTTCATGTGGGTCATTAAATTTTATATTGCGCCGCAGGGAATAACAAAATTTCTTTTACTCAATCAGATAAAAGACAGTAGGTGAGACACTAGTAATGGCACACTACTGAAAATTTGGTGACCCTCATAATCTGTACTTGTGAAAACTTGTCACTATCTTTAAATCTATCAAAAAAATAAAATTCTAATAAGAACTTCGAATTTTACGACGTTAAAATAAATTTTGAAAATTAAATGTAAACTTAAATTTTTCTGTGAAGCAACTAACGTGTTCTGAAGTAACTTGTAAAATCCGTAAGGTTTGTCTAATATTGAAAGCGAAATCTTATCGGTCCGACCGGGACCGACCGATAAGACTCGGTCCGGTCCCGGTCCGGTCCCGGTCCTGTCAAAAAATATCGGTCCGGTTTCGGTCCAAGCTTATCGGTCTTCGGTCCGGTCCTGATCCTGCACTGGACCGGACCGAACCGGACCATTGAGAACACTAGCTACCGCTTGGTATTAAAATCATAATTTCCTACCGACATTGTAAAACTTTAATAACGAACTGTGATGTGTTACACCGTATTACTTATCAATACCACTTTGGTAGAATCATACATTTATGATAGCCTGATAATGAATACTTGGTATTATTTGGATCTTGGATTTCTAAGGGTGTTCGAAACAAAATTTGTTAACCAGAAGTATGGGGCCTAAGCTCCAGGATTCCCAAGCACAAATCATGTACATAGTTGAATCAATAAATGAAAACACTTTTAGAAAACGAGTCCAGTGGTGAGCCACATAATGGTAAGCCTTAAGCATATGAGCGTTGTTGGACAGGGACTTCGTCTCGTTAGATTGCAAAATAATGCTCTACACCGACATATGACCTCGTTCCAACTTTAAAGAAGCTATCTATGTAGGTTAACTGGAGCATTAACCGGAAACTATTTCCCTAAAAAGTGAGAAGGGGTGCCGGGGACCGTTGTTTCCTGCGGTCTAGGAATTGCAATAATTTGGAAAGGTTTCAACATCAGAGAGAGGACGCCATGACCGTTCCTGTTGGGACATTGAGCCTTCGGGGTCTGCCCTGCCAAGGCCGGCAGGCCGCCTACTTGTTGACGGAATTTTTTTATAAAAAAATTCAAAGAAATGGCTCATCTTTTCCTAAAATTTCTAAAGGCAAATCTTCGAAATTGAGTAAAATGTATGATTCAGAAAAGTCTGGCAGATTTCAATTTTACAGTTTTTAAATTGAATTAAAGCACTGGAAATTCAAGTTATGCGATTTCAATATATTTAGTTATGTGATTTCAATTAAAAGTCTGGTGGATTAAAAATAACCCAGTCATGATTATTGTCCCAATAAGTATTTGACTTGATAATTCTATAGCCGTATGCAAAGTTAAACTTGCTCCGTTAGTTTTTACACTTGTTTTGAATCCAAACTGTTTGATTATTCATTTCCACTTTTTTCCCTGTTCCTACTACTCCAGGCGGATTCGTTATTGTCCAATTGGATCTGAAATCCGCTTTTTTGTCCACTACTACATATACCTTGTGTTATGTAAGAGGCCGAAATCTCAAGCATATTTTACTTACCTGGAGCAATCAACCTAAACAAAATGGACATTAAAATTACAATTGTCCGTACTCGCACTCGCTTGGCTTCTTACCAATAGATATCTTTTATCTCTTTCACTAATTGACTGGATTTTTACGGAAAAATCCCGTGGTAAAAGTACCAAGGTGAAGCGCACAGGTAATGAAATGATGTCGGCATTGACGTCATTCTGTCCAGAACGATTTCATCCTTCATATAATTTCAGCATGATGAGATTTTACACTTAATTACTCGAGAAGAGCAAGAGTCGTTGGGCAGATCTCAACATTTTTGAGAGTATCTAAACGTCGCCAAGATTATAATTAATATTAATGTGTATCAAGTCCCACACATTGGCGGCGGAAGTAGGGGGACAATATCACCTTGTCCCCCCAGAAATTCCGCAAAATCGTATATCAAAATGTTCCTCCTCTCCCAATTCTAAAGTCCCCACATGTCCCCCCAACCCAACTTCCGCCGCCACTGACTCCCACCAAAAACCTGTTACACCCAGCACGGTCAAAGCCAAAGATAACAAAACCCACCTTGACCAATTTGACATGATTCATGCATTATTCTTCTCAAAAATCAAAAGCATATATAGATCTACTCTACATAATATTATCATCCCTCCAATAATTTGTGTATCAAGATGATGTGAGTAAATAGATGTAGAGATAGGTTAGGGTAACATATTTGTAGTTAATTGTTCATCAACGTAACAACCCCACCATCACCTCTAACTCCACAAACTGACGGTCAATTAAACCATGTGGTGTGGTCACTCTCAGTCAGTGGAATCGTGTACAACCACATATGCACCAGTACATACATACTGAGCAAACTAGTCATATCATATCTTGCCCACAACAATTGATGTCTTTTTTACCTTACGTTGAATCGAAATGAAACTTGCCGTGAAAATGTTGAAAGACATCGCATCGCATCAACGTACCTGGATTGGATCCCATCACTGTTTTACAAGACTTTGTCCAAGTTGGACGCTTTTGTGTGGTGGACGGTTCGCTGATTTTCATAACTTTGGAGGAGATTGCCAGCCTTGTTTTATAGCCAAAAAGTAAAGTGTAGTGTGTAATACTTGCATTATTTATTTAATCTTTGTGCAGAGAAACTTGTTAAGAAATTAATTGTCCGGTTGGTCTGCCTACTTACTTACATCCTCATCCTCAATTATCTTCATCATTAAAATCCCACCAAGTGGAGTTTAACTCGTCGCAAAAATAAATAAGAAAAAATTAACTAGTATATAACCAAATTGTTTTGGCGTGAGAATTTTCTCAACTATATTCCTCCCTAGTTTTTCGTTACGTTACATTAGAATTAACAAAAGTGTGCAAATTTACTTTATTGGCAAAATTGGTCCTGGAGGAAGGAGAAGAAGGAAAACGCTGGACTTATTATTTCCAGAGTCAGAACTAAATTCGTACTTTGGCTGTGCGCATGCATGTCAAGATTCCAGACGGACTTGATCAATTTGCGATATTGCTTAGTGGTCAGTTCCCAGAAGGATTTGTGACTTGTTGTGCGTCTAAAACGAGCCAACAGAAACCAATTTTTAGTGTATAAATGTGTATTCTGTGTACGTCAATAATTTGATGCTCATGTAAATAATCGTGTATTCTACATATTCCGCAATTAATAACACAAATTGAAATTTCGAAAAAGTTTATACTTTAAAATATCCGAATATGCTCGTTTTGCACTTCGTCGAAAGACCAATAGTGCCCTGGGCTTGGTGAAAGTGGTTATCGAATTGCAGTTACATATGTATGTGTGAAAAGTTTGATAAGCATTTGCATAATAATCACGGAATATTAAATGCGGTTACCCGTACTAAACAATTAAACGTTAGGATGCACCTACTACATTTTAAAAGTATGGCTGGAAAAAGGATGCCAGTGTCTTCCAGAATGTTGCACTATCTCTTTTTGAATCTCTGTCTGACCGTGGTGGTTCTAGTCCCAGGTAATAAATAATTTAATTAATTCATTAATTAATATAAGGAATTGATCTCGGGTGAAGATTGGATTAATTAATGGGTCTACTTTATTTATATATGTGTACAAAGTATTGCGCAAAAAGGTGATAAAACCTGTTTATTTATATAAATTGCAAAATTAATTAAATATACTTATTTTTAGTCGCATTTACAATTAATTTGTAGCATTTTCACGTCGATAAATACATTTTTAAAGTTTTTTATGCGACAAACATTTCCCAAAGATGAGATGAGACAATAATTTCAAGATCATCATACATAATCTAGTTTTTATTGATTTCGCATGAAAATTGAATCTTATATAACATTTGCATAAATCTATGCAATTAATCGTCCCCCTCCTCTTGTTTTGCTCCAATAATCTGCAATTATTGCTGAATGAATCTAGTCTTGTCTTGTGTGTGTCTTTCAATACGATGAAATTCCTGCATTTTTTTTCGCAGATAATGCCAATGCCAAAGGAACTTGTAAAGTTGGAGAATTCCGTTGTGAAACTGGAGAATGGTAAATACTTAGCCCTCAATTATTTACTACTTTACTTTACGTTACGTTAGGTTAGTTACCTATTGAATTGCTTACATAAAGATCATTAAAGATCATTTCACTCACAGTTTTCCTCTTTATAAAATAATTCCAGCATTCCTAAAGATCAAGTGTGTGATTCCAACCGTGACTGTCCAAGTAAATGTTTTAAAATATTCCACATAAATAGCAGAATTTAACTGCTTCTATTAAATTCTAAATTTAATTTTAATTAACTTTTACCCATAATTATTTTAATAGGCGGACTTGATGAATACGTATGCACCCCCAAGTTTCGAAGGGGATTATGTGGGTAAGACCTTATCGAAACTGCGTCTTCGCCTAGTCAAACTTAATCTCATAGCTACTTATTTATTTATTTTCTGCTAAATCACTGCACCATAATTAACTATAATTATTAGCACATTGATCACGATCCGGCCCGACGGGATTTGTCATTCTCCATTAATTAATTAAATTTAAGACCTTCGCATCCACTTTGCGGCATCCATCCCAATTTTATCGCGAGTTTATAATTAACCGTGATAATTAAGATAGCATATCATAATCATTTTCTAGCAGCAAAAAACTTGGACAATACTGCAAAATAAATCTGGACAGTCATCTTATCAGTTGACAAAAATACGACAATTTCATTTCATAGAAATAACTTGTACTTTCAAGGTAACTCTCTTGGGAAAAAGGGACGATTATATAATTCCGCATGTCCATCCAACCAGTCGTGGATTGGATTTATTTAATGACTGATGATGATGTTTGATAACAAACGAGATTGCATACAAGACAAATAATATGTTTCATTCTAAGTAAGTATTCTATGCTGCTGCGCTTTGATCGATTCATTTTACTTAAATATTTAACTACTTAAATACACAATTTTTAATTGGAGTTGGAATGCATGCATATTTCCATCATCATGTCTTTTGTATATTTACAAATAAAACGTAGGTACATGGAATCTCAATAGGACAACTTTTTCTGCATTTTGCAGTCTGGATTCGCCATTCATCAATGTTACATATGCAGGATTCGTGCATCTCAAAAGTCGGCATGCTTTTAATTGATTCCTTATAAAGTTGCAATAATAACAAGTAAAAAATCATGGAGTGTCAAGATTTATTCAATTTCAATGGAAGCAGGATTTCATTTACTACTATTTATTATTGACCATTACGACAAAAACACCTAGATTACAGAACAGACGAATATAATTAAAAAACAATAATGATTAATTAACTATCGTGTCATATTTACTATCCGTGCGTGAAGGTGACTGCATTCATTCAGTCAATTTTTAGTAACCTTTTTTAATGATCTGTTTTTTTTCAAAGGCAAGATTTTCATAATCAAGCTAACAAAATGACTCTTAGATTTCTCAGTAGCGCACATGATCACATTCACTGCTAATTAATCACCTATTGGTTAAATAGTTAGTTTAGTCACCTACTTACCTTCGTGAATTATTATTAATTATTAATTTCTACGATGCACAATGACAACAAGTTCATCTTGTCAAAATGAGACGCAGTAAGTAACGTACATGCATTTACTTAAAGAAGCAAACCTGATTTGGTTATGGTTTTAGGTATACTTTGATTTTAAATTATATTTCATTGACGACCCCGGTGACGAAAATAATGACGCGATTGATTATCTAAGTTGATAGTTATCAAGTAGGTCAGTCTGGTTTGCTTAAGCACATTATTTAGTCTGGTTCTGGTGTTTATTGTTTTGATTTTGACACTAAATTCTCACCTTTTTATTGCCACAATTAATGTACCGGTGTGTTCGGCTCCCATACAAAAAGGCGAGAATTACATATTATATTTACTAACACCCGTCATCATCCGTAGTCACAATGTGCGTCATTTTGTTTGTACGAAAGTTGGGAGTAGAATGCTAATTTTTGAAATTAAAAAAAATTATGGTCACGTTGTTTTCTGTGTGTATGCAGTTACCATCGAATGCGTTATCGAGCCGAGGCCGGTTTGGGTGATCTGGCCCAAAATGTTATCACCTATTTGCAAGGGTGAGTAAAAGCTAAAGTATTTCACTCTCCTGAAATTCAGTTTAATTAAACTATTTACTTCCTCCTTCTCTTTTTATTAACTAATTAATTAGTAGAGTAGAAGTAGACTAACAAAACTTGGGTGATTTATGCATTTCCTTTAATTTCTGGATTTACTAACAAAATAACTTGGAAATTAATATTGAAGGAGAGAAATTATTAAAATTTTTTAAACATGGAAGAGGAAGGTGAAGGGTCGCTGGCTTTCATACTAACAAACGCTGCATGATGAATAAGTTGAAGATATTTAGATAACCACGTATTTTGAGAATTACCCAAAAGTTAACAAATTGCATAACTTTCATTCAACTTTGGAGATGGTTTATCCATTAAAAAACCTAATTGACTTCGTTAAAATTCCCCAAACGAGTAAACCAGCAAAATTTTTCAAACGTTTGCTCGTAACTGCATCGTATATCTGACCAAATCCAGATTTACGTACTTACCTGTCAGGTGTACACCCTCCCTCCTACCTACTAAAACACTAAATAGCTGCAAAAAGTGGTCGGGTCAAAACTGATGCTTTTCATTCTGCCCACTATTTTATGACTTAACGACATCGAACATCATGTAGAAAGTAACTAACTTTTATATTTTGCTACTCGGTGATAAGGAACAGAACAATAAAATGCCAAAAAAGTGGACCAAACTGCATTTTTCTGGAATTGAATGATCCCCAAGCATGACCACGAATAGAGAGATAACATCATTTACCGTCCACTTAGTCCACATTTTCTACGATTTCTTAGAAACGAGCACAATTAAGAAGATGCCAAAAACCCAGCGTTGGCGGACTGGTCACCCACCACACCGCATAAAACTGAAACTTGTGACCCCCATTTCCGAGAAGAACCTCTCGACATTTCCTGATTTTTTTAAAAGCAATTTAACCAAATATCTGATTAAGACGAATGGCTACACGTCAAAACTTGAGATATATGAAGCACATCCACTAAAACTGTGGATTATTTATGACCAAACTCCAATCCTAAAGGTACTTTAACCTCAGAGAAGGATACTTGTACTCGTACATGAATAATTGCAAAAAAATGAATCTTGAGCAAAATTATCTGCAAACAATACACCGTCGTGAATTCAATATGCACCTGCGACCTGCACACCTGTTAATTCACTTATGTACATTATAAAATGACTCATCCCTACCTTGTAATCTTTACCTGCAATCTCGCTCTCTTATTAACAGGCAAGGTCTCGCTAAAACTGCTTAACTGCACGTTTTCTATGCAATATCTCTGGTCAAAAGTATATATACTTTTGCATATGTATACATATGCAAAAAAACTACAATAATTTTACAACTCTGAGAACATACTAACTACACAAATATTGTTTCTCATTTCCTTAATTCTTTGTTTGTTATGCATGTAGACGAGGGTTGCCTAAACGGACGGGAATATTCCAGTGCCAATTTGGTGGTAAGGATTTACGGCAACAATTATAAAATTAATTAATATTTACATACATACATTGTTAGGCTGCATTCCTCTAAATCGACTTTGTGATGGGAACGTAAACTGCATCGGGGGCAGCGATGAGAGCCAAATATGCGAAAATAACAGGTAAAAATTAAACCCCACGTTAAAATTGTTGTTTTCTACATATTTTCAGCATAGGAGTTATTTTGTTATAATTTGCTTGGTAAAATACATAAATGTCAATATTTACTTGTGGGATTCTCCTCTTTTTACTTTTAACCGGTAAAGAAATTACCCATTTTTCCAGCCAGTTATCAATTTTAACATCCTTTTTTGGCAACAAACTCTACTTTTGTCAGGGAATAATTGCATTTTGCACTTAAATTCTACGAGTGTGACCAACAAACCACAACATGAACTATGTATGCATAAAAATCCTTTCGTTCTGTCTCAATCCCATTTAATAAGAAGCAACCTGTCTTCACCTCCGGCTTAATTTTGTATCATTATTCTCCTTCCAACGACACGGTTCAAGACGCCCAACAACTTTTTTTCAGCAAAAATGTCCGTACAGATTCGTAATCAGAGACCCAACAAAAAATGCCCGTGTGGTTTCGTCTCATATTTTCCGTAATTGTTTTATGGAGGTGTTATATAACTCGGACATACATACATTTTTATTTAGATCAGATAAGTACACACACACGCGCAGATTTAAAGGCAAGAACAAAAGGTCACTATATTTATTTACTGAACGAACGCGTTTTCTTCTTAATAATGTTGCAAGAAAAAAAGGTACACACTTTTGGATGAAATTCTGAGAACCAGTTCATTCAGTTAAATCAAAGTATGCAAAAAATGATCAATCCAATTTTGCACGCATTTCTTCAACTAGAGAAAATTAGGCTGGAGGAGATCCATGTGTGTGATTTACTACTGTTTTATTTAATAGGCATCCTCATTTTTTCGTTACTGTCCAATTAGTGTGGTTCATGAAACGAGAAAATTACAGATTTTTGTATTTTTATTGGATAACTGATTTCCTTTAGATTATGCGAGAAGTTTGGGGTAAAAAATCGTGCAAAAAATGGCCACGCGTAGTATTACTTACGCAATTGCTAAAATATTCATTGAATAAAACATGCGCATGTAAATATGTACGAATTGCAAAAAAAACATGCACGCGTGATGGTAATTGTTTTGCATACACAGAAAAGGTTAATCAGTCCAATACTTACTTTGGTCGAATTGAATAAATATTTTGTATCAATCAATTATTGTTTTAAGCAATGTGAGATGATGTTCTTTTATTTTTATTTAGTTGCCTTCCTGGACAATTCAGATGTAAATATGGTGCTTGGTAAGAGAATTTAGTGCTAAATATTTGCATTAGTCACCCGTTTACTCTGTAAAAATCAACTTTACTATTTTTCCAGCTATTAAATACTTTTTTTATGAACTTGCTTTAATCTTTAGTCAAAATACTTGGAAAACAAACTCATCGTAAATAGAGATCGTAAAAATAATGATTTATTTGCATCCTTGTTTTCCACAGCATCGCCGATTGGCAACTTTGTAACGGACGCGTAAATTGTCCAGATGGTAAAGACGAATTAAATAAAAATTGATGACATTTTGTTAATTCCTGGAAATTTTGACCCATTTATTCATTAGGATCGGATGAAACGCCAGAAGCTTGCAAGCACATTACGTGTAAAAGTAACGAATTCCGGTGCAGATATGGTAAAAAAAGCTGTTTTTTTAAACTACATAGTCGATTTATATTTAAAAATCGTATGAATTTTAGGTGGATGCATTCCGAAAGACAGAATATGTGACATAAAAAAGCACTGCGCCGACGGTTCAGGTATGCCAGCACCTTTTAATTACCTTCATAACCAGCCACATTAAAAAATTATCCTGACTGGACATAATTCATCCCGTAATTTATCTGATTTCAGACGAGTACGATTTTCTCTGCCTTATCACCCGAGCTAAAATGGTTGAACGATGGGGCGCAGAATCCAAACTTATCAACCAAGAGCAAGACCAACGCTTCCTCGCTGTCGCGGAAAAGGAACGCAAACGGAAAGAGGAAAGGGAAGCGGCCGAGAAATTGACGACGACAACAACAACAACCACCACCACCACTCCCCCTACAACCACCACTCGCCGACCTGTCCCAATTTACGACAACACCATCCCAACTTTCCCTGCTACGGAACAGGAAGGTGAAGAACTGACTTATCCCACGGAAAACCCTCCCCTTCAAGACGACACTCCTAAAGTAGTCGCCACCATCCCCACTTCCGCCGCCGCTGACGACGATGAGGATGACAATGTCCCCTTGAAGCAGGACGAAAGTGCGGAAAAAGTTCCTAATCCGTCACCCTCATCCGTGGTACAAGATCAAAATCACGACGAAGAATTAGCCTCCCTCCATCGAGAATGTCTCCTTCCAGCAATTCCTGACAATTCAGAAGCTAGTATTAGCTCTTGTTTGTAAGTCATCATCATAGCAAAAATAATTTCTGAAAAAAAAATAAGTAAGCATTTTTCGACTTTTCCAGATCCAATCCGTTCGCCCACTTTTGTCGCGACTCGAGTAAAACAGTCCCCGTGGGTGTGATCATCCAGTACGAGTGTGGTGCAGGTTAATAAATAATAATTAAATAATAATTTTATAATAATTTTGAATGCCCCATGCACCATACGCAAGAGCGAACTGGCTCTTATATAAATGAAGTCAAAAAATTATTTACTTATAAATTATACGTATATCGCTATATTATGTAGAAACAATTCATCGTACAGATTATAAAATGTGCTATTTATAGCTAGATTAAATTTATAATACAAAATTCATTTAGTAGGATTGGAATTGTCGTGCCATCATGTAAAATTAATATCGGAGGTGATTTCGAGAACCATCAATAGTTATAAAGTACTCTTCAGGGGGATATCCAAATTCTTCAACCAAGCGATCAAAATTTTTGAAACTTTTGTAGTGACGCTTGTCATCAGGGAAGTTGGGATCGTATCGGATTATCAGATCTTTCTTACAGATCGTGTAAGGGAGCGTAGTCACTAGGTCCAGGGTAGCCCAGAGGGGTGGGTTGGACCGGTCCAGATCTTCGACGAATTCAAACATCGGGACTCCATCGACGGCATATTTATGCGCTTTCTTGATGAGATCGGCAGGTGGGGTTGCGGCTTCAGTCATGATGTAGCGCTCGACTCCATGGATTTCGTTGTATTTGTGTCCATATGCCTGGATTTAAATAATTAATATTTATTTAGACCGGTCTAACGTTGAGAGCAGTGTAATTAGTAAATGATATTTACCATCAGGAAGCCTTCACCAATTTCTTTTGTATAGGTGGAGTTACATAAGATAATCTTCTTTTCTACGCAATAGACTGAGTCATCGCTGTCAACGGTTCTGTTGTAGATTTCTTGGTTACCTCCTGGCTTAGTAAAGTTCGAACCTCTCATTGAGAAACGACCCTTATTTCCATTATATTTCCCGACATAGTCTCGCATCTTATTCCCTTGTTGAACCGGTTCAATTGATTTGATAGTTTCCCACAAATCAACACCCATGTTGTCCGGATGAATTAGAGATGCTACATATACGATGTCCATGGGTGGCCTAACTTCATTAGTTGTTTTCCGACTATTTTGAATCGAATCATGCAGAGGGTGTTCCGGGTTCCTGTAGTTGGCATTTCTATCTATCCTAGCTTGGGATGCACCTAATCTCATGTTCGCAGCATAATAAGACGATAATACATTCCGTTTCCCTTCTGCTCTGAGGACCCAGTAACCTTTTACTGACGAACCTTTTAAAATTGAATCATTGAACCGGTTCAATAAAAACTATTAATTTATTCACGAATTGTAGATAAAATTATAATTTCTTACCTGTAATACGGATATCAAAATAAATCTCCCGATGCTCCCGATCTTCCTGCCTCCAATTAGCTGCCAGCTCAAGCTCCTCGCGTCGTTGATCAAAGGTCGCTCGACCTGCTGATGGATTCTTTTCCACCTCCTTCAACCAATCGATCAACTCCTCACGACATTCCAATTCCCGGAGATTACGGGAAAGCTGAAATGTAAACAAAATTATTGAACCGGTTCAAATGACAATTGTTTACATTAATTTATATTCGAGAAAGTGAGTAGTAAAACAATAACTACATTTACCTTTCCATATCGTCGGAGATGAAAATTCTCCAGGAGGTCCAAGTCCACGGTCATATCTCTGGATGAGCCAGGCTGAGGATCAGGGTTGGACCGGTCCAGAAAAACAACGTTTTCGTCATCATCATCCTCCGAATCAGAGCAAATAACTCGCAATTTCCGTCCCCCTCTCCGGAGAATCACTACATCTTCGTCACTGGACTCCATATCTTCCGACAAAAGCCCACTATCATCAGCTTGATTACTATTATTAACAAAAATAATTAAACCCTTTATTTATGAACGTTCGATGAAACTTGACCGGTCAAGATTATATGTTTTAATTAATTATATTTAGGGGGAGGAGAAGGGGGTGGTTGACTTACATGTCGATAGACACCGATGAACTCTCGTCCGTCTGCATTGTGATTTGTAAAGCCTAATGTTTTTCAGGAAGAAAAATCTGGTTCTTCTTTAGTTTTTTTGGGAGCACTTTTTCAATAGACTAATCCCTTCAGGTGCCAAACTCAGACTGGTTGAACGTTTTTCGTTTGCCGATGCTCAAATGCCCTCATTTCGTATCGAGTTTCAACTTGTTTGCTTGGCGTCCGGGACGCCAAGCAAACAAGTTGAAACGCCGCGTCCCTCAGCTTTCATGTGTCTCAACTTTTCATACGAAACGAGATATCATTGAGTTTGACTCCGCTCATTTCAAATATATTTCAGTTCTCTATTTCTCAACCTGACGTTAAAATAAACCGTTGCAAACGAAATGTAGCAAAGGGGTGAAAACACACGAAATTGTGTCTTTGTGGCACGCCCACGACGTCTTTCAGCACTTTCTCGTAATTGTCTCACATCACCCCACGTCTCATTGTGCCCCCTATCGACACCCCACCCGCGTATTTCGAACGTACACGACAATACCTTTCAATAGATACCCCACATGACAAAAGTCATTTTTCGACATTCGACACCCCCCACACGGTCATGGAGTCGTCGCACGTCGAAATGATGGCGATTTTTGCAATCCCCGTTCAAAACTTCGTCTAAAACGGTGGAAGTAAAAAATTCGACAATTTTCGACTTTGGCGACATCACCGTGGCCTCGTGACCTTATGACCTACAACGCCCATCTTCGAACTCATCCGTACTTCAAAAATTAGAAACACGTTGGCGAAAACCGGATGTCGAAATTCGAATCCGTTCTAAAGTTATCGTGCATACAGACAGACGAACAAGACATTCCCATAAAGGGGTTTTCATCCCTTAATAAATAACTCTTAATTTGTCTTAAGGTTACCTCCTCTACGGTCCTCAGGCCATCACCTGCCAATCGGACGGGTCTTGGTCGGCACGACCTCCGGAGTGCGACCCATGTAAGATTTTAATAAACCAAATTAATTATAAAACTAAATTAATTCCGGTGGTGACTGATGACCGACTATTTACAGTGATCGACGTCCGCTTTGGTTTCGGCTCCGCGCTGCCGAACAATTTCGACCCGCGTTGTCCACCTCTCACCCCTTCCAAAGGCGTCAGTGTGGAATGCATCGATCCTGAAAACGTCGCTGTGAAACCATGCTCAGAAAAACAAACGGCCGGAACGGAAGCTCGTTTTACCTGCGCTCCGTACCACAGACCGTCCTCGGTAAGACTAAAAGAGCCAAGAAAAATGCATGATTTTGCAGATTTTCCATTGCGAAATACTAATCCTATACTTTGTTCACAGGATTTGCCCACGCATTATGAAAAATGTGGCGAAGATGGGACCTGGGGGCCGGGAAGTTATGAGCAGTTTTCTTGTTCGCCAGACTGCGGTTTATTAGAGGTGCCTAAAACGCCCTACATCCTGAACGGAGTTAGCACTCGGAGAGGACAATGGCCATGGCATGTAGCGATCTATCTCAAGCACAAGGGTGCGAATTAATTATTAATAATTAAGGCAAGGTGTTAATGACAATTAATGTAAAATGCATATGTATCTCAGGTGAATTTAAATACATCTGCGGCGGAGCCCTCATATCTGATAAAGCTGTGTTGACCTCTGCTCATTGTGTGACTCTGCGTGGCGAGGCTAGAAATGCGTCCGATTTCTTAGTCTTGCTGGGCAAACAAAATATCGGTAACAATTTACCAATTTCGTTTCCTGTTGACAATTTTTACTATAATTTCCCTCATTTATTTCCAGTCCTTCCCGACCCTGACCCATTTGTGCAGAAACGTTCCGTATCTAAAATCATGGTGGAAGAATCTTTCAACTACCGTGCCCTGGACTCTGACCTGGCCATCGTGTCCCTCACTACACCCGCCGTCCTGACCTTCCACGTCCGCCCTGTGTGCTACCCTCAAACGTCAAACAGTTTTCTGGAGGAATATCAACTCGCCGCCGGAAGTATTGGGACCGTGGTCGGATTCGGGCTAACGGAAAACGGATCGTTGTCGAATTCTCTCAAAATGGCGCAACTTCCCGTCGTCTCGGTCACGGAGTGCGCCTCCTCCCACGGCGATTTCTTCGCCTCCATGACACGTTCTACCAACTATTGTGCCGGGTATCGAAACGGGACACAGGTTGGGCTTATATATTTAATCGTTTGACACTTAGTTTCTTGACTAATTAAATACGTTACTATTAGGTTTGTAACGGAGACAGCGGCGGAGGGCAATATTTTAGGGCGAATGTGAAGGGAAGTACGCGATGGTATGTGCAAGGCTTGATTTCCTTTGGGGTTCCTGACTCGAAAGCGGGGACATGTTCGAGTTCGCAGTACGCCATCTTTACGAGGGTGGGACGCTACGGGGACTGGATTGTTAGGACGTTATCCAGAGAAAACCTTATTTAAGTATTGATGACATGATAATTAATTAATGTTATGTAATAACTAATGAAGGACACAGCAAGAGTGCTTTCAAGTAATCATGATACTCAGTAGAAATTTAAGATAAGCGTAGTCGGTGGAAGGGCAGAAAACCAGACTGATTCGACACTCAGGCTAAACAAATAATGAATTAGTTGCAGGCAACTCGACTATTAATTATCAGTTAAATGTGTAAATGTCCATCTCAATTACAACTACTAATTTTAGTTCAGTTCAGTTAGCTTATTTATATCGTGACTGTTAGATATATGAAATATGATAAAATTCCTATTACTAAATATTGTAAGTAACGTTCAATTAACAAAATAAAAGTAATTTTATAAGGAACCTCAGAAGTAACGGTCTACACACAATTTATTAAATTGCATTCAATTTTTCTGCGCTGTTCAATACAAAGTCTTTTAAACGTTGAATGACTCGTTATTTAATTTAGGTATTGTTTTTACATCTTGGAATTAAACTTGGTAATTAAATCATAGTACTTACATAATTAAATCTACAATGGCAGGCTATTTAATATTATCTTCCCATTTTACTTGCAGCTCGAAGTTTTGTTTTCTTCCGCATCGGGAATGACTTCCAATCCCTAAAATAAATTAATTAATGCTAGTTAATTACTCAGATAACTAACCACAGTACAATTAATAAAATATCGACAAACCTGCAATTGATACGCAGAACCAGTTAAACGTTCATCCCTTGAATAATGTGTAATTTGTCCGCTAGTGATTAATTGCCTGTAACACGGCTGCAGGGGAAAGATACGTCATAATTAATATTAATTACGCATTCAACATTGATTTTAAAACTTTCAAAATTAAAAAAATTAATTAATAATCTCACCTTTCCGTAAACAAGTAGTGGCACCCAGCCCGTGGCGTAGCACCCCAAAGTCATCGCCGTGAAGATGACCCCTATCGAAGGGAGGACTTCGAACCACATTGTTCGCACTAACCAATTTAACTAATCACAATTAAATTTAGTTTCAAATTTATTGACTTTTTCCAAACAGCCAAAAATATTGATCTCATATTCTCACGGCATACGAGTCACGTGATTTTTCAAGGCGGAGATGAAGCAAAATGTGGTTATTATTGCAGCAGGATTTTCATGTGTGCTTTGCGAAGTTTGGAAATATTTTTTAGAAATTTTACCGTGTTTTTTTAGGTAAGTTGTAAATTTAATTTTACAGTGATTATCTCACTTATCTGAAATTCTACGTGATCATGTGTATAATAAATTGTTGCTCATTGTTTTTCAGTGTCAAAATAAGCTCTCCAAAATCCCAGACACAAATCTTATGAAATTTCTTTCTTTTTTAACTGACACTGAAATTTTATTTAGTTAAACAAGTTTCCAAGTATTATTAAACTCTTTGACGGTTACATTATCTTTAATGAGTGCCACTAGTCCGGCCAGAAGATTGCATATGCTTCTTCGCCCTACAGCAACTTCAGCGTCTAATTTTTTCCTGAATAAATCATTTAATGGACAATTTACTGCGGTTGTGGGGTTATCCAGCTCTCATAAAGTAGATCAACAGTATGTCAGTTGGACAAGCACGAGACGAAATTATAGTACAAAAAGGGACGATGTTGTCGACGTCAAGGAAGTTATTATTCCAGTTCCGTGGGGGCACATTGCTGGTTGGTTTGAAAGTTTGAATTTTGAAAGGAACTCATACTTCGAAATTGATATCTAATTGAAATTAATTACCAGCTCGTCACTGGAATGGGTCCGATCCCACCAGAAAACCTATATTATGCTTACACGGATGGAAAGATAACGCTGCAACGTTCGACACCCTGTTCCCCCTCCTTGTTCCTGAACTTCCGCAATATCAATTCTTAGCGATCGACCTGCCTGGGCATGGCAAATCGTCACACTTTCCTCCAGGGATGATTTACTCAGTTCAAGACATGTGGGTCGCCATACGCCGAATATTGAAACATTTCGATTGGAAAAGAATATCAATCATTAGTCACTCGATGGGGTCGCAAATCAGTTTCAGTTATAGCGGTACGCATCCCGAAGTAGTTGAAAAATTGGTGGGTTCATTAAAACAATTAATTCATTTCAGCGTTTAGCTAATTAATTTCTTCTGATAATTACAAGGTCACCATTGACGCCCTTTCCCCCCTCGTCCTCTCTCGGGAAGAAACAATCAGCATGATCCCCAAATTGACCTCTGACATATTAAAGTTTGAGCATAAGCTTGCAACTGGAACCAGGCCGTCGTACAGTTATGACGATATTGTTGCCAAACTGGTGAAAACGCATGTCGGCGGATTGGACGCAGCGTCGTGTAAGAAATTAATGACTCGCGGAGTTGAAGAACATCCCCCAGGTTCTGGCATGTATCAGTTTACACATGATATTCGGGTCCATTACATGCCCGTTACGGGGATAAGTTCCAGACAAGTCAGCTTTATCGCCAGAAATTTCAAGTAAGTCAAGTCAAAATCGTGGTTAATTTAATTACGTGAAGAAACATGTAATGAAAATATTTGCAAAGCACTGACAAGTATCGCTTGAATAATTATCGACTAATTTTTTGTAGGAGTGATATTTTGAACATAAAAGCCACTGAAGGTGTCAACTATACCCGTCCCTACATCAAAACCAGGATCGAAGATTGGCTCGCTAATGGCGAGGACGGCAAACCAAAAGGTAACAGTAATTCAGTAAATAAATTTAATATCAAAGTTAAATTTTTGATTAAATTTAATAAAATTTGAATTTACAGGAAATCTGGTCCGTTTTGTCGACGTGGAAGGAAATCATCATCTCCATTTGATAAATCCAGTCAGCGTTCTACCCTATATCGTCAGATTCCTGGATCACGAAAAACATCATGTACAAAATCATCTCCACCAAAAAAAGCTGCGTGCTGCTCACGATAAAAATTTTAAAAACTGATGGAAAATTATTGCTTTAATTTTGCTCACATTATTTTAATACGGTGCTCTAATTTCTGAGATTTACCTAGTCTATGACTAGTTTCGTATTAAATTTAACGCTACCTCACACGGTTTTAATGCCTGTGTTCATAATACTTATTATTGCACTGACATGATATACTTGTAAAGGAAACGAAGCAAATAAATTAGAATGTTTAGATTTTTACATAAAAATGTCTGATTAAAACTATTTTACATATCAAGTCACACATCATCAACCATACTCAACTTAATTACAGTTATGTATTTAGTGCATCCTCGTTGTCCATCGCGATCTCTAAATCATTCTCAGTCTATTTTGTCCTAATTTTGTCCAAAGAACGACATTAAATTCAACAATTTTAAATTCAACTGCTTTAATTTTATTTTGATCATCTTTTGCAACACACAAATTTTACGGGTAATTTCATTTAATCTTAAATCATCATTAAAAATTTTATCTTAATAAAACTGGAGAAAATAAATTTGATTTTCATTTTCATTTTTCTTCAGAAAGATGTCTAGCTCCCGTTCTTCTTCGCCCTCCAGAGCTATCAGCTCGGCAAAAGTAACCCTGCAACTCGTCGCCCTCGGCGTCCTGACCGTTCTCGCGGCCGGCCTGATTTACGAAACTGTGCTGATAATTTTTAACAAAGTTTTGGGCCTGCTCATCCTCTACGTAATTGGTACTAATCCAATTGTGTATTTTTAGGTCTGGTGTACTCACTAAAATGCTTTCACTTGCTTTCTTTAGGACGCCTCGTGTACGAGTGGAATCCCAATATTTTCTTTGTGACACCCTTCCTCTCGTACATTCGAATGGCTCTCAGCTTCCTTCTTCTCATCAGTACTGAGGTAAAATTAGGACCATAACGAAAATTAAGGATGAATAAATATACCTCGTAATAATGAAATATTTGTATATTACCAGACGATCGGGAACTTTTGCACGTACGTTGCCGCAGAATTATACAAGTAAGGAGGTACTACTTACATATGTATGTCCTCACGTGCTTATTTGTTATGAAAATCTTTTAATTTCCGGGCTAACTCTAAATTTTTAATTTTTAGGAATAAGGATTGGGCGAGAGAATGATCCAAATGTCTACAACTTTGTCAAGCTGAAAAATAATGCAGAACATGAAATTCAGGAATGCCCGGAGTACCAAATAGTTTTTATTTTATCTTTTTTTTGTCGGAATAGACAGTACAGTATTTTTTATTTTGAAATTGAAATTTCTCAACGCCACGAATAAAATTAGTAGGGAAACCGTAATTACTTGGGATTAATAGATCATTGGTCGATGAAGGAATTCGTAATTTAGATTAATAGATTCCTAAGACTTCATATCTTTCGAGTACATTTATGTGGAAAACTGTGGGAAATGATCTCTTTCTCGTACAAATTTTTAACCACAGATTGAATTGAAACAACAATCTGTTCTTAATTTCTAAATGTCAAATCTCTCCCGACTTTCACTTCTTATTCTCCGATTCAATCAGTATGTAATCAGTAATGTCATTTCATATTATTATTGTCTATAGAACAAATCGACCAAAATAATCTCATAATTTAATAAAAACCTATTTTGATCCATAAAAAATAGCAATAAGTAAGTATTCTCACTTTACCTCATCTGAAAACTAAGGCAAGGGTTAGTATAGTCCATACATAAGTATGTACATATTACATGCATATTTACATTTCTCTACCTTTTTAAATAACCAATATCCTACCTGTTTTATGTACCGTTTTAGTAATGATATCCTCACCTACTTATCATACAGAACTAGCCATTTATTCCTACCCCACCCACTCATCACATCACAAAATCCTCACTTTTCATTCCCATCCTACTCCCATTATTTTCTAAAAATCGCTTCCTTAAATATCTAAAAGTTCATCTCCTCTCCCATCCTGACTTTACCCTCTTAAATTGTCTCCTCATCAGAACAATGAGAAAAAACTCTAGGTACATACACCGAATCAACCCGTTTTTCCTCCTTCCTCATTTTTATTCTAAACTAAACCACCGAAGCGGAGAAGATGATGTTGATGTCCGTACATACATAAACTTGATCCCCGAATCCATCTTGTCTTCAGTCTCTGGGGAACGAATCTCAATGAATATTATGAAAAAAAATCTCGTCGTCGTCGTCGTTTTCCCCGTCGCATATATTTCTTTCTGCCGTTTCATCCCATTTTGTGGTGCCACTAGCATTTCTTCAGCGAACATGTAGCTGACTTCTCCTTGGTTCGCGCATGATGATGCAACAATTGGATGGAAAAGCCGTGAGAAAGATATCTCGGTGTGGTTTTGGTGGAATTGAAACGTGAGGAATTTTCTCCTCCAGAAAACGAAATCATGTTGGGAAGAAAAACATGTTGCATCCCGGAGAAAGCAATCCAGTCTCAATTTAGTGGTCGCTGGTGAAAGAGGAGAACGTCGTCGTCGGCTGAAACAGATTGAGACGGATTGGAGAAAGTGAAAGTCGGGAGAGATTTGACATTTAGAAATTAAGAACAGATTGTCATTTTGATTCAAGCTTTGGTGAAAGAGAAAGGAGAAAGAGATATCATTAAATGCATAATTTTTTGAAAAAGTGTGTTTTTCAGTAAATATTTTTTCTCACAGTTTTCCACATAAGAAAATCAACCAGTCGAGGGAATCTTTCGATCTAAAAAAAATAAATGAAATATAAAAATACAATTTCCGACGTTCAACCTCCCGATCTGTTAATCTTCATGAAATAAATACAGTTTTTCATAATTTTTTTCGTGGCGTTCCGAAATTCCGAAATTTCTTAATAAATAACTTCAACCTCTTACTGTTTCCTCATCCTGGTACAAGTTGACTTTTTCATGAGAATTATTATCACCACTATTTAAAGTAAGTATCTACATACATATTTCACAATTTTCAAACCTTATTCAAAATGAAGTCATCAAAATTTCTCAGAAATTTACAACCTTCCTTAATAACCAGCTACTTACTAGATCTCTGGTCGTGGTTTGGTTTCTGGAATGAGAGAGCATTTAATTATTTGAATGTCACCATAAACTTCACTTCATGTCAGTCGCTTCATTTCCCAAATTAAAGCCTGGGTGGCCCGTGGTTTCGCTTTGTTTCGTGATGTAACCAGCGCGTTGGTGGCTTAAGTGCTGTTTCGGCAATTAAAATCTCCTACATTTCATCTGGGTCTCATTTTCATCGATTTACATACAACATTTAACACCCCTGGTGTAAATTCTACTTCTTATTTACTGATGTACTTACATAGTTTGGACTTTGCTTTGCACACGTATTTAATTTTCACGACTTTATTTACACCAAATAAAAACATGACATCACAATACTTCCGATTTTAATGTGGAATTTGCCAAACTTAACGGCAAATTTTACTCAATCGTACCAGAAAACAGGGCATTGTTCAGTTTATGGGGAAATAACTTCCATTGTTCCCGTGGACAATAAAGTTGACGAATAAATAGCTGAAATTTTATGGCTTTTTCCCCTCCGTATCTCAATCAAGTTTTATGTATTAGATTCCTGACAGTAAATATTTCCTCCTTAATTCACTTATTTGGCTTGTTGTTGATTAAGAATTGTTGATACTTCCTTCCTGCTCGTATTTACACCAAACTTTTACTCATACTTACATAAATCTCATACATTTCTCTGTGCATTTTTTCCCAAAAATTCGTGTCTAACATGACTTAACTAACTTATTTGTTGTTCCAAATTCCGAATAAGTTTTCTTTAATAAATCGAAATCCGTGCAAAAAAAATCGTGTTTTTTTTCTCTCCAACTTTCTCCTAATCCTATTTAAAAAGTAGTCACACACAACACACACGTCACCCTTTTCCATCCATCCATCTCTCTCTCGGAGGGCTCCTTGTCTTGTTCTCTGCTGGCGTTGTTTGTTTGTTGCTCCATTAAATTCTGTCTGTTACGTTTGTCTCTCAAGGAAAAGAGGAGCTGGAGTGGGGAGAAAGCAGAGAAAGTCTCAAGGACTCATCCACCACCAACAAGATCTCACTTTGTCATCTATTCATTCATTCGTTCAACTGGATTAAAGAAGTGAAAGTGAAAAAACCGACTTTCACCACTTATTTCCTCAGGGAGTGAAAGTCTCATTTCAAGCAGTGAATACCAATCAGGACGGGACTGGTTGGGACTACTTGTTGATTTTCTAGAGAGAAAACTTTCCTACAAACATCGGGCACTAATTATTTACCAGTGAAATTGGCAAACCGTTTCAAGATAAATACTTAGAAAATGTCCAAAGTTATCGAGTATGTGGGGTTTTTCCAAGTCGTTAAGGATCAAGTGAGGGAGGGTTGGACCCAGTTTTGGGGGCAGGCTTCTACCCCTCCTCCGCCCATTGTTGAGCAAGGTGACGACGCTTCTTCTTGTCCTGATAGAGAAACCAATTTCCGGACAAAAGTGAAAGAACGGCTGGATCGACTCAAGAAACAGACTGTTCGAAGGATTGATCGATCCTCATCCGTGGATGAGGATTTTTCACATCTCACACGGTAGTCGATTCTTACGCAAGGAAAAGTTGTGTGTTTCAAAATTGGGGGATTTTCTTAAGAAATTTTTGACTTTTCGTATTTCTTAGGCCGAAATCGAGACGAGAACTTGTCCAAGTTTCGGCGGCTGTGATGGGGATCGAATTTTCGTACGCGGCAGAAACAGGTCAGGTCATTAGTATAAATTTTTGGAGTTTGATTTTTGCTTTATTCTCGGGAAACGGGGGGACGAAAATCCCGGAAAATTTCAACGGCCGTAAAAAACGGACCATAAGAATGTTCCAAAATTTCCGGAAACTTTCCCCCGATTTCCTGACAAACGAATTTGCACGTTTGCACTACTAGCTAGCTTTTTGGCGAATTTGTTTGAACTATTTTTCATAATTTCCAGCCTTCGTTTCCCCACTCCTCCTCAACATCGGCCTTCGCCACCGACACATGACCTTAATGTGGTGTCTCAGCCCGTTGGTGAGTCATTTAGTCCGTAAAGGTCAAAGGTCATACATTAACATTATATCCTTTCGCCAGGTCGGATTATTCCTCACCCCGCTTCTCGGCTCGTTAAGTGACGGTTGTCGCTCTAGCCTGGGTCGTCGTCGCCCCTTCATTCTGCTCCTCTCGATCGGAATAATTCTCGGGTTGTTGCTCGTCCCCAATGGCAAGTTAATTGGGCGATGGCTCGGCGACACGTACAAGGACGATGCCAATTACATCGTGCCAACCACCACCACCACGCGTCCTCCGGGGGCTTTGAGCCGGATTTTCCTAAATTCCGACATATCATCCGACAAGCATAATGATAATCTGACATCTGAAGAAACCTCGTTCACGTTCTCCTTCCTGAACGGGTCCGAAACTCAGCCAACTTTCTCCACCACGAGACAGAAAAATACCGCCTACTACTCAAAGTACGCCACCACGGAGGAAGATCACGGTTTCCGAGCCAGAAATAACCTCGCCATAAATGACGACATGGAAGACGCGTTTCTCAAACAGCTAAGAATTAGTCAAGCTAAAAAGTTGGAGAAGCTTCCTTCAAAGAAAAGTATTAATTACGAGGCACAAAAACCCCAAAGTAGTCAAGAGGGCGAGGATAAAAGCCGTCATGAGGATGAAAATTCGGTGAAAAACCATCCTTGGGGATTAGGTGAGTAATTCAGAGTTAATTATTAATTATAACAGTGGTCGCGGAAGCTTGAGGGGACAGAGGGACAATGTCCCCACCGTCTCCCCATGTTATATAAACCCCTCCCTTCCCTATCCTTCAATGTTAATGTCCCCACGGCTTCCGCGGCCACTGAATTAGAATTAGGCTCATCATTAAGATTAATTCTGATCATTGATATCACAGTGTTCACCGTTTTGGGCACCGTGCTGCTAGATTTTGATGCGGATGCTTGCCAATCTCCGGCGAGAGCTTATATGCTCGATGTCACCATTCCAGGCTAGTTTTTTTTCTTACTAATTCTCCACGAAAGTATGTACATACGTAATCCGTAAGTTTATCAATTAAATTACACGAATAGAGGATCACGCCAGAGGACTTAGTACTTTCACGGTGATGGCTGGTCTGGGTGGGTCGCTGGGCTACTTTCTCGGGGCTCTCAACTGGGAAAACACTCTTTTGGGTGAGGCGAATTTTTATATGTGCAAGATTTTCTTAGAAAAATCCGACATGTTTGTATTTGTTAAACTTGGATGGAGTTGAGTAATTCGGGGGAGAGTGAAAGTTGTGAAAGCTTGGGAGGCAAAAAGTTGTTAAGTTTATTGGTTTTATATTTTCAGGAGACTTTTTCGGTGGTCAAGTGCGAGCAGGTACGTAACTAAAATGGCTAACTAAACGTATGGAGAGACAGATAAAGGATGTGATAACTGGTTTCAGACCGGTGTTAACGTTGGACTCGATGACTTATCACCAAAATCGTCAAAATTAACACATTTTTAATCATTTCTCGACTCTGGGAATTTATTTTAAAATTCTGGAAGACAGTGGTCAGTGAATTGATTAATAGAATGGCGAAGAGGTTTTTAAACCAGTTTCGATAAGTTCAAATTTTTCTGAAAGTTTCTTCAACTCCACTTTCAAAAACCGTGAAAATCAGGAGTGTACATTTTTTTAACTGGCAACGACTTGCTCCAAAGTGGTGTAGAATTTTTTAATAAATTTCCAGAGGCTAGAAACGATTAAAAATGTGCTAATTTTGACGATTTCCGTGATGAGTCATCCGTTAAGCTGGGCCTTATCAAAAATCTCAAAGAATACATAACATCCTTTACGAACGTCCGTTGCCAGAATGAGACGGATTTTCCTGTCGTTTTTTTACCAAGAATTTCTATTTTTCTTTTCTCCCCTTTCTCCAGTGTTTACTCTGGTCCTCTTCATTTTTATTGGCTGTGTTATCACAACGATTCGAAGCTTTCGAGAAATTCCGTTGGATCGACTTTGGGCAACTCAATCATCAAGCATTACTTCGTCTGGACCTGGGATTGGAATTGGGACGGCAAGATTTGTAACGGAGCCACAAAACCATAAGGTGAGTCCCGTGCGGATTACGTATTACGTATTTTCTGGACAAGAACTTCGAAAAATAAATACTTTAAGCCGATTACTCCACAAAATTCGGACGGAATGTTTGCAATTCAGATTTCTCCGATATCTCGGCTCCCAGTGGGGATGCAAATAAAGTAAAATTACGATGAATGACCCCGCAACTGTATCGATAAGCTCTCATCCTGTGTCCTTATCTTGTTTGCGCAATCTGCATGTACACAGAATTCGACACTGATGTATGATGAATGTCATCCAAAAAAAAACCTTCGCAAGTTTCACATTCCATTCCATACATAATTCGCAAAATTAAAACCGCGTCCGAATGATCAACGACTTTATTTTTACTAATCTACATACTTTGGACGCATTCCATTTCATTCCTAATTCGTAAAATTCATAAAATTATCTGTAAAACCGAGTCCAAACCATGAATTGATGAACGACTTTATTTTTGCGGATCTATTTTAGACATCGAATCTTTCCAGCCCATATGCCCGATTTGAAGGCGACCCAGATCACGAACACGACGTGGAAGCTGCCCGACCTGATGAAACCATCAAAGGATACGGATCTACGATACAGCATGAGACGTCATTCAGCCGTGGGGGCGGTGGCGGTGGCGTGGGTGGAATGAAGAAAAATGGAGAAAGCAATGTAGTTATTAGCTTTAATCCACACTAATTAATTGTAATTAAATTTTAACCATTATTAATTAGGTCGCCCAACCAGCATCCGAATCTGCAGAAATCCCTACATTCAAAGAATACTTAAAAACGATAATCCTCCTCCCAAAGTCGCTGCAGTGGTTGTGCTTAACCAACTTTTTCTGCTGGATGTCACTAGTCTGCTATTCCCTCTACTTCACGGATTTCGTGGGAGAAGCGGTTTTTAACGGGGACCCTACCGCCCCCTTGGGAACCGAGTCGAGGAAAAATTACGACGATGGGATTCGTTTTGGATGTTGGGGAATGTCAATTTATTCCATGAGGTGAGAAATACATGCAAAAATTATTGACGTCGGACTAGTTGACTCATCACTAAAAGAGTCAAAATTACATAACACATTTTAAATCATTTGTCAACTCTGGGAATTTATTTTAAAATTCTGGACTACATATTTGTAGTCAGTAAGCTGATTGATAGAATGGCCGTGAGTTTTTGAGGTCCAATTTTTCTGAAGGCTTCTTAGATTTGAGGTCTCTTCCTTCAAAAACTGTTAAAATCGGGAGTCTATATTTTCAAAAAATTGACAACGTCCTGAATTTTAAAATATAGAACCATACAGGCCCGAGAAAAATGTGTTGATTTAGACAATTTTGGCGATAAGTCATCGAGTCCTATATACATACATAAAAAATATTTACTGATTTTCTATTCATTTCATTCGCAGTTGTTCCATTTACTCGTTATGCATTGAGAGTTTCGTGAGCAGATTTGGGTAACAATAAATAATTAATTGAAAACATATGTAATTGATTCATGATGGATGGATAATTTGTTTTGCCAATTTTTTCACAGTGCGAAACGAGTCTACATAACTGGACAATTGGTATATTCTGCAGGAATGGTTTTAATGGCTCTCTTCCGTCACAAATTTGGCGTAATTGTATTCTCATGGACGGCTGGAATTATGTACGCCACCCTGTTTACAATGCCTTATCTGCTCGTGGCGAGATATCATGCTGCAGAGACGGTGAGATGATTATCCGCAATGTGTGATTCATACATAGCATATTTTGGGATGTGACACATTATTGGTTATTGATTCGTTTTATAATCAGTTCGACATTGATATCGACGATTTGGTCAGCAAACCGAGTAGTAATCAGGTATGTACGTGGTTTATACTTGTGTGAAATGATAAGCACTTTTCTCGGAGGTTGTGTGTGGTTTTCGCAGTCAGTCTGCCAGAATGAAGGTTGTTTAGACGGTATGCAACCGAAAAGTAATAATTTTGGCGAAAGTATGAAATGATAAATTGTCCGCATCGGGACAGATTAGGAAAATAATTCTGCGAAAAAAGACCAACTTTTCATATGTATGTACAATGGAGGTCAGGAGGTCTCCCAGCTCATAGATTTTGGCCAAACTAGTGTTAATCGATCACAAATCTAATTAACATGAAATTTTCAAATGACAAGATCCCAATGCTAAAGTTTAGCGGAGATATTTGCATCCTAAGAGGAGAAAGCGCCTTAAATTCTACTACACTTTCACTTTGCACGTTTCAGACACTAATTAATTAATGTCTGAATTAGTTAGTGACCAAATTATAATTTGGTCAAAGTTGGAGACCATATGCCGACCATATCAGCTCCATTGTCAGATGACCAAATCTTGCAGAAATTAGTTTCATAATTTGCACTGTTTCACCTTTGCTCTGATTCAGATACGAGGCCTGGGAACGGACGTTGCCATTGTGTCCTCAATGGTCTTTCTCGCCCAGATGACGCAAGCCATCATTCTTGGCAGTATCGTAGCTGCGGTCGGGTCAACGACAGCCATTGTCTGCGCAGCGTCCGTTTTTGCAGCGTGTGGCGCTCTCACAGCGACGAAGGTGTTGTACTTGGATCTGTGAAAGCGATGAGTAGGAAATGGTGCATGAAATGTAGAGTCATTTTAGGATGATAATTAATTTAAAGTTAATCAATTAATAATAAAGTTAATAATAAACAATAAATGTTGAAAAACTATTTTATATATTTTTTAATTTTCCAGAAGTACTGCTACTTACACAATCATAATAATTTATTTTCATGCATAACAATAAACATGAAAACTGCTCATGAAAAACATTACTTAACAAACTGCTAACTAAATGCACTAATACTTAATTTTTAAACAATCCAAACTAAAATAATTTCGAAAGAGCAATCATCAAAACAAAAACTAGGCTAAACTGAACCCTCTCACTCCCCGATCGGCACATCGTGCCCCCCAAATCTGACACGTAGTCGACCTCGCAAACACACCGTTTGGTCATCATGTCACACTCGACATGACCTTTAATTGGAACGGTACACTCTGCTTGCGTGTAGCAAATATCGCCCACCCTTTTTGGCAAGTAGCACTTCCCGTCCTCGGAATCTATCGCCGTGTCGACACAGCCACAGGTACGCGCGGTCGTCGAATTGCGGCACAACGAGTTGGCCCCGACACAAACGGCACATTCTCCGTCCAAGGAACACGGCTGGTTGTAACATTTCGGGGGAAAGCATTTGTTGACGGCACCGTTGTCGTTGTGATATCCGGTCCCATCTTTGCAGCGGCACGATCCTGCCAGACATTCAGAGTATGGCCCCATCCCTGCGACGCATTGGATTTCGAAGTCACAGAAACCACCCTCCACCGTAACGTTCTAAGAATGACAAGTCATCAATAAAGTTTGTTGAATATTTCCCAAAATATGAATTTATGCGGAAAAATCATTCACATCTGTTTATAAGCTAAGTGCGAGTTATTTATGAAAGTGTACTTCACTTGTAAAATTTGCATATTTATATACTGCTTGATCGCAATTTTTCGAAATAATATTTGTTGCGTGAATGCCAAAACATTTATTTCTTACCTGTCGACACTCAATATTAGGCGAGTTCAGAACGTTCACATAACCTCCCATACATTTACAGTAACTCAGGACCGCCCCCTCTTCTCGGATACAGTCGGTGGAGTCCTTGTAAGCCCAGCACTGTTCCGCATGGGTGCAGGGAATGTTATCTTGCTCAATAAAAATCCAGCATTTGTTTTCTACTTCAAACCCATCATTTTCATCGCACTGACACGTCTTAAGAGTTTCATTAAAGTCTCGGCAAACGGCAGTTAGGTCGCCTTGCAATTTTTTGCATTGTTGTGGAACGAGACATGGATCTCCTAAAGTTTCCGTGAGTGTGTAACATTTCCTATGTCCAACGTCGTAGTAACTGCCATCCTTCCCACCGATGCAGTCACACCTGTTCCGATCGGTTTGTCCATCATAAGCGCATTCAGCGTCGCCTAAACCGTGACATTGCTCATCAATGTCACATTCGGCCCCTTTTTCGTCCACTTTTATGATGCACGTGTCATTCCTGTAGTCATAGACTGACGTAGCGTCGTTGCAAGCACAACTTCCATACTTTGGATTATCACCTGGTAGGCATTCTACTAACTGGACTAACTCTGCGTCATTGTCCCCCCCAGTCGCGAGTTTTATACAGTGTAACGCCTCAATACATGTTGATCCAGAGAGAGTTTCGGGATAAGGGAAGCATTTATTTTGTTCACATTCGAGAAACCAGTCTCCGCGAGGACAAGCACAAATTTTGGATCCTATTTCCTCCAAATGTAGGCAGACCGAACCTTGAGGAGAATGGGTGTTGTCGACGCATTCTTGGTCATTCTCACAGCCGATTGGTTGCTGTTCCCCACAAACTTCGACGAGCGTGTGGGACGACGAATTACTTCCGTAAAAGTTGACGGATTGCAGTTTGGCGTGGGTGGTACTGCCCAATAAGATGATGGCCAGTAAAGGGAGAAAGTATCTCATTGTTGAATATACCTATGGCAACTTTCAAGCAATGTAGGTTGCTAACTTGCTACCACTCACAAATCCTGGATAAGACTAACTATCAGTGACAAATGACAATTTGGATTTTGCCATACCAAAAATGATGCTATGTTTCGTCACCTTGATAAGATAGATAATCGACAATCTGGTGGTGGGGGTCACAGTTTTATTTATCTTGACAACTTTTGTGACATTAATTACTGCTCGTTAGAGCATTATCTATCATCATCACAATACGTACATATGTACAAAAATCATCAAATTTGTCATCGCATCTTTTTAATAATGAAATGACTGATTAAAACAAAATGACGATTCGTTATTTTTCCCCTTTTTTCATAAAATATATTTTTCCGATCAATAAATTGAAGGGATCAAATTCTAATAAGTTCTGATACATTTTTGTAAATCGAATGCAAATATGCACATAATTATAATTGCATACGAATGATTATAATTTTTGCATGCATTTAAACCATAATTAAATTTTCTACTGCATCAAGTCAATTAAAATCTCAAGTTTAGCTCAACGGACGAGGGAATCAATAGCGCGAATCAGATGCGCAAGTTGACACTTGGACAACGAATTCCTTCTCGGGACATTCACTTCAAGAGAAAATAGCTCACAAAATAACGTCTATTTCGTAATTATTAAATTGCTGAATTTTTTTTCTTCGTAATTATTCTGTATTTTAACTGTTTAACTTTTCAACTAATTATCAGTTTGCACACTTCTTTGCTGGGTGTGTTTTGCATTTATTTATCATTCATCGACCATTTGGTCACTTTCTTCCATCATGCCGGAAGTTGTTGATGATTCCGTCTTCATCGCCGATAATACGGTCGAGTTATCCCAACTGAATGAAATCTCCGCCATCGTTCCCAACAGCAAGGGAATGTCTTCCTCCCAGTGGAAAATTACCCCCTTGAAAGGGACTGACGTGGAGGAATCCGTCGACGAAAATGGAATTGGAAATCGACGTCGCGACTCGGTGGACAATCTCTTTGAAATTGTGCCTAATTGTTCCATCGCCGGAAGTGGAGAGGATGGTGGAGGCGATTTTTGTGGAAGGGTGAGGAAAATGATGCATAAGTATAATTATTATTTATCTGTTTTAAATTATGAAATATTTGAATGCATATTTTGAACAGTAGCATATTAACATAAACTTAACTATTGTACAGAGTATACAATTAAATTTTTTTGTGGCATCAAACAGAATACAGTTCCTTCGTCTTTTTATACTTAAGCTTGAAATAATAATTGCATAAGAATTTTTGTTCGTTTTGTAGGGACCAGGCCGAGTCTTATCTACGACGGGGGGCTCTGACGCTTTAGGAATCGTTCTCGACACGGAGCTCTTAATTTTGGAGAAGGAGTCGACCCTACCACCACGACGGATCGAATTCGGAGCCAGAATAGATTTTATTTTGTGGCGCAGATCAATTATTTTGGCTGGGTTGGCCTCCTCGGAAATAGTTCTGGTCGATCCCAACACGTTTGTCGTAAAGGAGAGCAAGTAAGGAATTAAAAGCAGGACAAATAACTAATGATGAACTTACTCTTCCCCTTATTTGCTATTTATAATTACATTTTCTGTAGAAAAGTTGACTCTACTTTGAAACAAGACTGTGATCGGTTTTTTGTCGACGCCGCAATCCATTCCAATCCAGATCCGTCTAAAATTGATGTCGTCGCCGTGGGAAGAAATGGAGTCGTCTATTCCTTTCATAACATCAGCTTATGCGATGGAACCCTGGATTCGACACATGATCAAAATATGTCGGTTGACATTGATGTCGGCAGTATTCGTGGGACGAGGATCAAATGTTTAACGGATAAAGAGAATCCACAGGTGCCAATGTCAATTTATACCGAATTTTAATAACACATTTAAATAATAATTTGTATTTAACTCTTTAAAATGTTCAGGTCTTGTGCTGCTCATCTCCCTCCAGAAGCATATTAATTCTCTGTGAGCAGGGTGGAACGCTGTCATTTCACGACATCCAAGATTTGGCAGGTTTTCGAAAAGAGCTTAAAGCGAATCAATGCATTGATATTATGCAAGATTTAGGACTTAATGCTAAAACCATTACGGTAAAAAAGCTGGTTTCATTTGAAGGGTAAAGATTCTAATTTCTAATCAAGTTCGCAAATTTGAGAAACAACTAAAAAAATTGTTTGTGGTAATATTTAGGCTGCTCTTTATACTCTTATCGAATGGGAATCTCGAAATATTTCTTGACGACCTACTCTTCGCCACGGAATCACTCCAACTTCCCGACCACGCCTTTGTCGTTCACGATTTTGCACTCATGTTAAACGGCGAGGGTGAAGTAAAGCTCTGGGTCCTCTACGGACTGAAAGACTTTTCTCGAAATTACATCGGGATTTTTGGAGGCTGCTCATTCACACCAGAGTTCTGCGCCAAAATACCTGCACTCGCAATACAGATGAAGGACAAGGTCGTCTCTGGGTTGCTATTTCCCTCTCAAGCAACCCCGCTTGAAGAACCTTTCGGCTTCTTGGAAGTCTCCAATTTGGGTGTGACAGTGTACAGGATGTTAGAAACGTCGACGGACACGACAATCCAGAAACTATTGGCGAGAGGAAAATTTAATCAAGCAGCCGAAATGGCAGCACATTATGGCAAAGATTTAGATGTAGTATACAAAGCGAAAACCAGAGCAAAGTTTAACGAGTTGTTGGGAATTGGAGATGTGGGAAAAGCGGGTAATGCAGCAGAAAATTTACTTAATTTTGTAAATTAATTAGTAGATTAATTTTAAGCTTTGTGTATTCGTATTTTTACAGGTCCCGTATTTGAGGAACTTGTCGAAAGTTTGGAGAAAGTCAGAGATGCCACGTTCGTCTGCGATTTCTGTGCGCAGAAAGGATTCGCCTCTTTAGCTTGGATTCGTCGCCTATTGAATGTCGGAAAGGGTCGAGTAATGGAGTGCAAGACGACTCCAGCGGGGACGAATTTACTTTTAACCGTCAAGAAATTATTCACCTTTGAACAAGTCTTTCCTAATGCGGCGATACAGGAATGGCTCGAATTTGTCTCGATAGAGAACACCATGTTTCAACAGTGTAAATGGTTCATAAATAAGGTAAGGATTCATTTTGAATCTTAAATTATGACATGAAATACAAATCTCGAACTAATCTCTACTCCTTTTTATCTTTTTCAGCATGAGTTTGCCAAATGCGAAAAAGTTTGGAGACGTCATTTCGACGAGTTTATCCCAACCATCAAGCTCGACGACTTTGGTCCCTTCTTTTTTATAATGTTTAGCCAAAAGTTGTCCTCTCCATCGGCCGTTTCTCTCTTTAAATGCATTCTACCCTTTGCCGTGGAAAAGTGTGCTGAGCGACAAATTGTTCCAGCAACTGACTCGTCAAATCTCATCTTTTCTCCGGTATCATCATCTAATTTCGGACTGGACGCGTTCCAACTTGCCAAAGTTGAACAGCTTGTTAACATTGCAAAGAGACAAGTTTGTTCCTTCGAAAGAGAACGATTATGGCCAACGGAGGCGATACAGTTTTCCAAAATTGTGATATCCATTGTCAAAGAGGCGATGGAAAATTTAAGCGGAGGAAGTCGTATCGACACTAAAACCAAAACACAAATTCTTATCTGTGCCGACATTTTGTCCAGAATGGAAATAATTGTACAGAATTTGGTGGAGTTGTCTGATTTGAGGAAAAATCACTCGATCCGAATTCCATTTCAGCAATATATGGAGGTGAATTGATAATTACCATTATGTAAATGTTTGTTATTATTTTAATAATATTATAATTGTTAGGATGACGTAATTGAAGTTGTGAATTCAATGCTGTGTGAACTCTTCCATCGACCCGAGATTGAAACTTTCATCGCCAAGTTTCTCACACCTTTCGCCGCCAGAAAACATATTCACGTCGACGATTTATACTATAAACATATTGAGGTAAGACTATATATAAAGTGAAAAAAGTTAAAGTTAGCTATTTGTCTATTTTTGAAATTTATTTCCGCAGGCCGTCGTTTCCGACCTACCATTTCATATCAACCCCATCGACATTCCTCAAGAGGAGCGATTGATCTGCCTGATTTCGCACATTTCCGAAACTGAATCAAAACTAAAGAGTGTTTTAAAAATAGCAGAAGAATGGCCTGTCCCCTGGACTCAAAATATCGACAACTTGGTCGTAGAATGCCTGAAAATTGGCGTTCGTGGAGACGAAGTGTGTTCTCAGATTCAAAATACCATCAACATTATGAGAGTGCAAGTCCCATTTCGTTGTCTGTTGAATAAACATCGTTTAACGGCTACCAAAGTACAAAACTATTGTGGAGTTGTGGTGAGAAATATTTAGTTTAAATCCAAATTTAGTATTTCTATAATAAATGTTTATTTTTCTGCGTAGATGGCCTTGACCAGAATTATCAATAATGGGAAGCCAGATTATTACTCTGATTGTATGGAGTTCATTAAACATACAGGATTTGTCGACGAGGACAAAGTCAAATCCATCGGATTTGGTCTCAAACTAAGGAATGGTGCCCCCGTGGAGACTTTGGTGGATCCGACGTGGGACAGAAAACTCTTGAAGCGCCTTTTGGCCAGAACCCTTCAAGAGTTTCGAATGGTTAGTCATTAAATTATGTGCAAAAAAATAAATTATGTAGTGTAACTAATCTTTACTTTTTGTTTTAAAGGGATCCCTAGAAATCTTTCATGAAGAAGAACTACGACGAATAGTTGACGTTGGAAAAATTTTGGCAAATATTCTCGAAGATCGGAGAGCACTAGAATTTTTCAAGTTGAGGGAATTTATCCCAACCCTCAATAATCCGGATATTGCATATGAGGACTCGTACCCATTTTGTGTCCTCAATCACGTCATGCCAAGTAAGTCTTTCGTTGCAATTTTTACATGCATAACTAACTTAATTTGTAATTTACTTAAACCTATAATTAACTTTTTTTCTATGAATTAGTCTATTACAATAAACCCACGCAAGAATTAATCCATCTCTGCACTCAACTTTCCGACATTACCTTCTCCCACTTGCCCGATGTCCTGTCCACTGCCGCCGCATTTTACACCCGGCCTGGAGCGACACCCTCCGAGTTGAAGAAACTTTGGGAAATTGTCGAAAAAATTGTCTCCATGCCAGGATGCGTTCTTAGTAAAAATTCTGAAGTCGTTCACTCGTCCGCTGTAACGATTGCTCAATTTCTTATCTGCCAGTGCCCGGAATCTAGCGACGAAAATTTGGCAATCCTTCAAGATTTCTTAGTCATTCTCACCGAGTATGAGAAAAGCATTGAAGAGGTGACGAAAATGCTGACAAACCTTAAAATCTTTTTGACCCTGAGAGAACAAGAGATTCCATTGGAGAAAGAATTCCTCCAAATGTACGAGTGGCTATTTTTGAAAGGGATTCCGAGTGAAGAAACGCTCCTTCAGGCTCTCAAAGGGATGGGATCAATCATACTAAAGTTTGGGGACACGAATCTCTTCAAACAAGTTTTTGGATGTGTCGTGAAGGAGTTTCATAGTCGCATGGGGACCAATCCTGAGAATATGAGAGCTTCGATTAAACGCGTTTTGAAAAATGTGCAGGATCTTCAAAGCAGTTTGTACAGAAGTTTGGATCGACTCACCGAACCAGAAAATAACAGGCGAGTTTTAAGATTTTAAATTTAATCATGAAAATCTTATAGAATTTTTTTTTACAGGGAAGTAATACACTTGGTTGCCTGCCTCAACAAAGAAGTCGACATGACCCTCACCCCGTACGCGCTACGACAACGGAACAAGACCCGATTTTTAAACAAACTCCTCAATCGCAATAAATTCTCCCTTGCGGCTCAAATTGCCATCGTGTTTGAAGTATTTTCCGACAGCGAATCGTGGTCACGCATCTTGAAAGGATTCATGACCGATGGAGACGTCAAAGAACTTCGAAAAGTTTTACTCGATTTACGCAACGTTTCTGAGCTATGGATTCTGCCTGAATTTGCCGAAGGCTGGAAAATGGTGGCAGATAAAGACTCGTCATTCCTAGACCTGTGTCCTATCCCACTCGATTAATAAGTTACGTTAATTAGGTTAGTATTATTTAAATAATTGTGAATTTAATTTGAAATGCGCTTATTTAAAACTTGAATCGATTACGCTTATCAAGTGTCCTCCAATCACCTTGAATCGTGATGTAATTTTCAAAATCTTCTAAAGTAATTTTTCAAATTAAAATACTTGAATTTTCTATCAAAAATCCATGTTTTTATTTTACAAAAATTGAGATTTACAACGAAATAAGTTAATAACAACGATATCACCACCCATTCCATATTATTAGTTATGTATATATTATACACTCGTATGATGTATGCGCAATACTCACAAATGGTAATCAGACATTTACTTTTTTCAACAATTAACAATCTCACATAATTATTTACAACTATAATTAATTAGTACAAACTAAGTATGTATTCTTGTCATTAGGAACGGTAACAAATAAGATGCAAGAGCTAATATCCACAAGAGATTAGTAAGAAGGCATCTAGACGATGTTATTAGTATCACATCCGAAGACCCTCCCGAGCGACCACCTTTAAGTAATCCCAATCATCAATCAATACAAAACATTCTCAATTTCAATCAATATCAATCAACTCGTACACAATTTTTAATATGCCCCCCACGCAAAAACAAATATGGACGAACATTAAAACATTTCCATGCATAAAGTTTTCTTTTTTTGTGTGCCAAAACTAAAAGATCAAGAATATTACAAGAAAGCGTGAGTGTAGGTTCCCCTTTTTCAGTACAATTGTTTTTTTTACAATTAATGTTTTACAAAAGCAAACAAAATTTTGGCATTTCAAAATTCACATTTTCTTTTCCCCTCATAAAACGAGACGTATTAACAACACAAGAAAAAAAGGGTATTGTATTTACTTGCACGTTAAAATTATGTAAAGACCTATCAATTACTGAGACCGGTTCTCTTATTTACTTAATTAAAATAAAATTAGTAGTGTGACGACCAGCAGGGTAATTATTATTTAGGACTTGGGATGGAGACAGGATAAGGTGTTATCATATAGATTGTGGATCTGGATAGTCTGACTCTACAAAAGGAACACAAAAAATAATGCAAGAACAAGGCATTACATACATAAAAAACAAACTTGGCAATTTTTTGGTAACAAGTATTAATTAATTAGCATCCCTAATTAGCAGCCCTATATATTATTTGAGATTAATATCTAATAATTTGTATTATTAACAAAAAGCCACCCACACAGGATTAGTTGGCGTTGTTGCATTGACCCCACACGACATCACATCACATGCATCATCATCATCCGCCGGTAACATTTTACATAACAGAATATTCAGCGTCCCATAAAATAAAACAATAAAAAATAATTTACATGCATGACAAACAAATTTTGTAACAAGAATGAAACAATTAATAAATTGGCGAGCAATTTTGTTAAATATAGGAAATTAAATAAATATTCAGCCCGTGACCCAATTCCACATCCGCTTCCACCAAGCTGGTCTTTTTGCAGTGGTCACCGTGGGACCTTTGGTGGTGGTGGGGACACGCTCATGGAAATCACGAGGTTCACCGAGGTCATACTCACCTAAAAATTAAAAATTGAAGCGTAAAATTTGCTTAAGAAGGTTGATTTCGTCCGCTTTATAATTACGTGACTTTATATAATGCGAAATTGTATCATTTTCCAAAAGTTCCTTTCTGTGAACCTTTTAAAAACTCGGAAACTTTCGACTCAACTCACCTGTATCGTCGGAGGAGGAGTCCTCTTGGTAGTCCGAGGGGGACTTGTCAGACTTCATGTCTCTCTTCCCACAACCGTACCACCATTCGCCGGACGGCCGGGGGAACGTGGGGTCGGCCAGGTCAACCTAATTAAGCGGAAAGTTTTTTTTTAGAGATTCCGTGATTTGTATTATGAATCGAGGAGCCAGAACTTTTGAAATACAAATTCCAATGGCTTCGGAAGCGTGGGGACAGAGGGACAATGTCTCCACGGTTATTCGATGTCCCCATCATCTGCCCATGCTATATAAACCCCTGCCTCCCATATCCTACAATGTTAATGTCCCCTAAATGTCCCCGCCAGCTTCCGCAGTCACTGCATAATTCCATGATTATTTACATACCTGGAAGGTTCTATCGTTAAACCGATAGTAATCCTTCCCCTTGAAAAAGTACGTGTATCCGTTCGAATATCTCAACGCGGCGTTAACATTATTCGGAATACCGGTCCAATTGTCAATCGGTTTTGGATACCCGCCCCCAATGGGTGGATCCTTATGGGGGTCAAATCTCCAGTATTTATCCCCCTTGAAAAAGTAAATCTTGCCGTTCCCACTCCACACGAAGGCAGTGTCGATACTCTCCGGAACTCCGGCGAAACCTTCAGTAATTGCTTTTGGATAACCAGAGTCCAAAGTAAGATCAGTGTAACGCCAATATTTCGAGCCCTATAATTCAAAATATCATGAAACCTACAACCTACTTTGTATCTGAATTGTTCTTAAAATAAACGCCTAGGACCAAAAAATCCTTTTTCGGCGTGTCACATATTCTCTAAAATTTTATCACCTTGAAAAAATAAGTCTTATCATTCGACCAGGTAAATGCTGCATCAAGATAGCTCGGAAGATCTTTAAAGATGGCTTTGATTCGTTGCGGGTATCCGGGTGCGATCCCGTTATCCGTTAATTTGTAAACTTCCTCCCCTACAAAAAATATTTCCCAAATTTAGTAAACGAAAACATTAGCAGTATTTCATTTCTTGCGGATTTGTTACATTTCTGGCACTGCAAAAAATGCTAGAAATTGGAGGTGTAAGAAACTGCAAGAAATATCTAGCGACGCGCCGTATGAAATATAGCGGCGGGGCGTCGTTTCTTGCGCCTTGCATTTCTTGCAGGTCAAAATACCTACAAGAAACCACTTTCTTGCCGTTATTTCTTGCACCGGTTACTTTCACCCGAAACACTGACTAGTAATTCATGTTAATAATTATAAATAAATAAATGAGTTACCCTTAAAAGCGTACGTACTCCCATCCGCCATTGCGGTGATTGCATCAATTTTTGGGTCATTGCAAAGTTTGGAGTTTGAAGAGGACGACGACGATCCTTTGACGGGTGGTGGGGGTGGTTTCACGGGAGGGACTTGTGCTTCCGGATTGCTCCCAGGGCGTGACGCGGTAGTCTTTTTGCCATATAGGGACTGGAATTTAATTAATTAATGAACACTTCATGTATTTTCATTTTTCATATTGGACATTATTCACGGAAAAAGAAAAAGGTTAACAATCCATGACCCCAGTGCCATATAGTAAATAAAGGTTAAAAGTTTATCAACATTATGTTTTGCTCGGTTTCGCATTACATACGTCGTATTTAATTTGGCAAAAGATATTCTCTGGAAGAATTTGTCAAATATGTAGAAAGAAAAAATTGTGTTACCTGAATTCCCTGAATATCATCCTGTACGATAAGATTTAAATTAAATTAAAATTTAGTTTAGTTTTATTTAAAACTCAATTAATTAATAAATACTTATATTATATGTATATTTACCTCGTCTAATACGAAACTCGGTTTGTAGCCCCTGTAGAATAAATACATATATTCCATGTTACAATACATACATTTTTTACAGTTTACACTTTTAATGTGATAAGATAAGGTACCAATAAGCCTACCTGTAGAAGGGAGCCATCAACGCTGCTCTCTTATCTGAGGATTCATATTTACAATTTTAAAATATATTCATGTAAATATATTTATAAATTATAAATAGTTTATTAATCTTTCTAATGAGAAACCTGAATGCGAAAGTCCTAGGCTATGGCCAAACTCATGAGCTTAAAAATAAATTCAAATTAAAAATTATTAAAATACTCGAAATTAAAATATTTCAATCATTTGCATACCTGCTACTTGGAATAGATTTGTGCCACTGTACGATTTGAGCGTCCATCCTGAAATTTTTGCAAGTTATGAAATTTAATAAAAATTGCAAGATAGTACAATTCGCTGTTATAAATAATTGTCAATTATTTCACTAACGTTCCGCATTATCGAAATGAGCGTCTCCTCCGTAAACTGGGAAATAAGCATGGGCCAGAGTACCACCTTCTCCGTCGAACGGATCTATTTATCAAAAAACAGCTTATCTTTTTAAAAAATCTACCTTATCTTAATTTTTCTCTCGATTATTTATGTATGTACCTCCATCTCCATGCTCCCCGGTTTCAAATCTGATCGCGATGTGGACCTTTCCACTCGTCTTTTTCGTGAAGACGAGGTTCGCGTGGTCCTCCCACACCTTGAAGGCTTGTGCCACCTCGGCGTCAATCGCTTTCTCTCCCACCGACTTGGCAACTGTGGGATACTTTTCGATTCGATACGATAACTCACGCACCTTCCAGCGCGATCCTGCAATAATAAAATGGAATATTAGAAGTTATAAGTGGCAAAAAAATTCTGAAAATCGCAATTTGTCAGCTTATTTTTGGCAAAAGCGAGAACTTAACGTAGGAGACTCAGCTCCTAAATCGTCAAAATCAACCCATTTTTGGGAATTTATTTTAAAATTCTGGACGACAAATTTGTAGTTAGTAACCTGATTAATAGTATGACATTGAGTTTTTAAGCCAATTTCGATGAGTTGCAATTTTTCTGAAGGCTTTGTAAACTTGACATCACCTCCTTCATAAACTGTCAAAATCTAGAGTGTATATTCTCTAAAAATTGGCAACGACCTGCTCTACAAACATGTCGTCCAGAATTTTAAAATAAATTCCCAGAGCCCAAAAATGTGCTGTTTTTGACAATGAGTCATCAAATTCTACGTTAATTAATGGCATACAATGTACGTAGTCTAGTATTACATTAGCTTCAAAGTCAACCCAATAATCCACCATCAGCCAAAGCCATTGATTGCATGGAGATAAGATAAGTGACAAAATCGATCCAAGATGTTTCCCATTGATCAAACTTTTTTGCACTGTGTTGTATTTACTCTCCTCTTTTCTTCGTGTAATTGGGTTAAGTTGATTTTGACTTAACAATCACAATGTCAATTCTTATCCTCAAAGAAAACGGAACTCGAGGAGGGAAAGATAATGCAAATTTGCGGTGCTTGGTGAAAGTATGCCCTCCTTTCTTCCTTTTATCTTATCACCATCTTCCATTCCATTGTTGCAAAAAAAGAGATGGCAAACACAAAAACGGATGCCGAATTTGCGTCAAACAATAAAAGTTGATTTAGTACAAGTTTGACATTCTATTATAATTTTAGTCCTGACATTTCTTCTGACCCTCGTCGCAAATTATGTGGGAGAAATATGTGCATATGTATGATGCCCAAATTCAATATCCGGACCACTTAACTGACTTCAAGGGTGGCGTATGGATGCTAATATTATGCAGGAAATGTGTCTCCTTATCGATTACTTTGGGATGAAAGGGGAAACTTATTATTATTATTGGTTTACTTACTCGTCGTCGTCGTACTCGTGTGTGCCCAAGTTCTTTGGGTGGCTTGGCTTGGCTACTTATTAGATTAGGCGTGGCGAATTGGCTTCTTTTTTGTTGTGAAATGCAGTGTCAAAGTCAATGTCGCTCATTTTCCGAGTGGTAAATATTTCATGTTTGTGTATCATACCGTACAAGTATTGTGCATGACACTGAGAAATTGATTGGGAATCGATGCTGATAAATTATTTGATGGTTCTTGTTTCGTCACACCCCAATTTCGTGACAAGTCACACTTTTGGGTGAAATTTTTAGGTGAGTTTTTAGCAAAAAATTTCAATTTATGAGAAAAATTTCCACACTTTTTTGGCACATTTCCTAAAACTAGTGTGGCCGGGTTATGATACTAGTAATTTTCATGTTTTGTGGTAAATTATCCAAAAAATTCAGTTTACAAAAAATTGCAAAGTTTGGGGCACATTTCCGTACACATTCCATAAAAATCTCATGCCTTCCGGTAAATTTTTGCATTTTCGCGAAAATTACTATAAAAGTTTTATCCCGATAATTTTGTACACTTTTTTGCCCATTTTTTTTACCCACCTTGTAAAACGTATCGTTTCCTCCTCCTCGCATCATGTCCAATCTTATCTCGTACCCCGCATCTCGGCGTGTTCATCAACTCTATCGTCTCATCTGTATAATACAATTTTCACATTTTCTATAAAAAAATGTGTCAAAAAATTCGCACAAATTCTGCTAACCATCCAATTCTCCCGTGACGTTCAATCCAGCAAAGGATTGGAACTCCTCGATCGGTTTCCTCAAGTCGACAAGGGAGGCGGTCGAACCAACCTTTTTGGCAGCAGGGTCTAACCACCCGTACTGCATGAGGTACATCTGCAAACGCAAAAAAATGTGGTGTAAGTAAATAAAAAGGACAATAGGACAACGCTACGCAACGACCACTCTTCTTTCTTTCTTTCCTAAAAGAAAGAACGAGGCAACCAGGACAAGGTTATCGCAGGAGGAGTGAAAGCAAATAGTGAAAATATGTATCATCGGCCCGATTTCACCTTTTTCTAGGCGAAAAATAAAACACTCGTTTTTGTGCGTGTTACGTACGACTTTCACTTTCACTTTCCCAGAAAATGGACAGTCCGGTCAACACACCAATAATCAATCAATCAATCAACTAATGGGATACGCACCCTGGGACAAAACAAGAATTTTGTAAAAGGAGTGTAAAAAGGTGTGCGGATCTTTGCCCCCCATTAAAAGCTACCCATGAAATGCTACCCATTATATGCTACCCGTGATGATCTGCTACCTATCAAATGCTACCCATTATATGCTACCCGAGATGATCTGCCCCCATTATATCCTACCCGACCCATTTTCACTTTCTTCTTGCAAATTAAACCAAAATGTTTTGCGTCGTAGTGCAACATAAGAGTTACTGTTTATTTACGCAAAATTAGTCAAATAATAAATTCTCATAAAACGAATCAATACATAAAATCTTGAGGACCAAGTACGTCATATCACGTATTTGAAAATAATGCAAATTTCTCAAATTTTCTCAAAATGCGAGTGCTTCTTGGTATTTTGTGGAAAACTCGATGGTAAAAAGTTGACTTTTTTTGGATATTTTTCTTCACAAATTCTGGAATTTTCCCTATACCAACCAATGTTAAAAACCTACAGTGCAGACTTGATATACCCCGAGTCAGGCCTAGTTGTGATTATCACTCTCATTCGACTTTTTTGCATGAAATTTTATCGTAAATGCACATGAACATATTAAAAGATATAGTGATATCCCCTGGTCACCAGTATTGACCATGACCATAACTTTTTAACGAGCAAATAGTTTTTCCTAAAACTCTCAGAATATTATCCTACTAGTATTCGACGTAACATAAGTAAATTCCAGCCACGCGGGTGGCTAGGTTATACTTTTGTTGGTGCACACATATTTTCACTCATTCCGACTTTTGCATGACATTTTATCGTAAATGCATTTCAAAAAATTTAAAATTTAGATTAATTAGGAGCTATTACCAATTTGTCTATCAAATTTCAGCTCGATTTGACGAATATGAAAAATTGGTATGGGTTACCCCATAGTGTCTGTTCAGGTGAAAATGTGTTGAATTTCAATTCATATTCTTCCATTAGGACCCATTAACAACCTGTGTACCAAATTTCAGCTCAATTGGAACCTGTCATCTTATAAATTTCTGACTCGGGAATGATACAGTTTGTCAATTAATTTCGGACGTATTCCTAAAAACTAACCTAATATAGTCGTCTGCTCTACTATCACTTTTTAAGTTGAGACTATGTAAAATCTCGTAAAATCAGTCAAATAATAAATTCGTTGTTCCACTGATTTTAAGAGATTTTATATATTGATTAGGTTTTTGAGAATTTATTGCTCGGCTGATTTTACGAGATTTTATGTATTGATTCGTTTTATGAGAATTTATTATTGGACTAATTTTGCATAAATAAACAGTAACTCTTATGTTGCACTACGACGCAAAACATTTTGGTTTAATTTGCAAGAAGAAAGTGAAAATGGGTGGGGTAGGATATAATGGGGGGCAGATCATCTCGAGCAGCATATAATGGGTAGCATTTGATGGGTAGCAGATCATCACGGGTAGCATATAATGGGTAGCATTTCATGGGTAGCTTTTAATGGGGGGCAAAGATCCGCAATCGCGTAAAAAAGAGACCAGTTTGTGTATGTATCGTCTGGTTAGATCTGATTGCGGAAAACGTATGTAAAAGATCAATGCATTTTTTTTCACGTAAAACGGTGAATTATAAATAAGAGGCGAGTTGATAATTATACGGTATGAAATTATTACGGCAAACAAGATTGAGCACCACGCTTTCATTAAAAAATATTTTTTGTCTGCAAGTAGAGTCAATTTATGTATTTGTTTGGACGAATAATCTCGTACACTGGACAAGTTAATTAAACGGGAGGTGCTGTGATTGAGTTGATTTAAATTGCGTTTTTTTCGATGTATGTATGTATTTCTTATAGAATTTAATTTAATCCATTTTAATTTTACAACATTTTACTTAAATTCTCTAATTTTGAGAAATTTCTGAAAATTATGGAACCTCATTTTTCCATCAAATCGTACCTAATCATGTCGGAAGTTGTGATTGATAAACTGACACTAAAATTAAAAATTTTCTGTACTCCGCACACGCTAAAAGACGATCAAGGTCTCCGAGATAATAATTTATGATGAAAAGTCCTCATTAAAAACGATATATCCCATTTATTATTCGTTAAACTGGTCCAATAATTATTTTCATGTTTGTAGCAGGTTCCTTGCAAAAGTCAGCCATAATATTTGATGAGAATGATTTGCATTCGTAATTACAGGTTGGCAAGAATGTATGTACATATTTTGAGACTTTTTTTGTCTTCTTCCTTTATATTTACATACATAAACTGCTCAGAATCTCGGCGTACTTATTGCAAATTTTGAGACATCTTGTTTGACACGTATTTAATCTGCCCAAATTGTGCCGAGAGATCTGTAACAGTTTGCAAAATCACTTTTTTGTTAACCTACGACTATGATTTAACTTAAAAATTGGCAAATTGCAAATTGCCGAACCACAAAATAGCCAATTTTCAATTCGAGATGAACACTTTTAAACGAGATTGATTTTCCTCGCACAAAATTTCCACTTTATATTTCGACAAAAAATTTAAATTATGCAAGAATGTACGTAAATAGCTACACCAGATTATTGCATAATTTGACAAAGGACGCCTTTACAATTATGTATCGCCGAAATTCAAGAGTGCGACGAATTTGTGTCTCCTCCAATAAAGGTCCTTGCAAGTTAAGAATCAAGATTGCATCCTTCAAAACAGGCAAACTTTTGCATACTTGTTCACTTATTGGATTCACATTACATATTAGTTTTTTCCATGGTATAAAAATAAATAGGTCAGGTTCGACATAATCCGCGAGTTGTGACTTTGCCCCGGTTTTCGACCATTAGCAAAATTCCAGTAGCTCCGTAACATCCAGCTCAGCTTACCAACTTATTAGCAAGTAAAGTTCAAGACGGTCGTTCTCAAAATAAGTACGTGTACATATGTATTTGTACGTCCACCGACTGCACACAAACCGCATAAAAACCTGGATGCATAATTTGTTGGACTACGGAAACTGGGTTAATCGGAGTATCGCGAGTGTACATATAAGAAAGAACATTCCTACATTCCTATTTCCTCGCCTCGGAACAATACATACAGGAGAAGTGCAGATTAATATTCGCACATTTGCTGCATTACATACATACTATTGACCTCCACAAACTTTACCCATTAGGCACATATAATTCGTACTCTTAAATTAGTCGCTGAATTTAAGTTTTTGAAAAATTGTTCCCCAAAATTAGTGCGAATCATGCGAAATGTGAAGAATTCTTTTACAAAATGATTCACCCATATTTTGGCAAACAATTGAATGGAACCTTCATCCATCATTCTGAGAAGTTATAAGTGCAGAAGTAAAATTGAATTTTCATTTTCGCCCTAGTCCGGAAAGACTAATTATTAGATAATAATCTTCTTCGATGTACATATCTACGTCTTGCGTTACTCATGCACTCGTCTTGATTACCAGAGATTGGGGGAAATACCGATAAGTAAATAGGTAAATTGATAAGGATTACGAGATGCATTGGGTCATGATCAAGTTCTTCAAATGATTCTAGGACTTGTTTTGCATCTTTTTTTCATAAGAAATTATCTCACCTTTTGTAATATATAGGTAATTAAAAGGATGAGAGATTACAATTATGATGCGCATAACAAGTTCTTGAACTTGACTCACAATCTCCATCAGACCAGAATTATCATACTTTTTGGAAAAGTTTCTATCCATTCCACGTTTCAGGAAACCTCTGTCGTCTAATGTCTCAATCAAAGTAAAAAAATCTCATATTGTGCGTCTTCATTTTCATGGAATAAAAAAAATCTTAAAATGCACATCGACCACATTTTTACAACGGAACTGGTCATAAATCTTGGCAGTAGAGGAACTAGCGATTAGTTGAACAATAATAATTAAGTGCAGCAGACAGACGAATGAGTCATCATAATTATACACAAACATCTGCCTGCAAATGGCGTGTCAAATATTGACCAAAGAATAAAAATGATCTGAAATCTCCACTTTTGTTTATACAGATCATCTTACTCACCAGCCACCATTTCGTTACGCACCACATTTACTTTATGTGTAAGTAAAGCAATTTAAATTAATCGTCATTTTGTCCTCGACATAACAATTTATGACGATAACTTCTGTCTAAACATACTTATCTAATTGTGGCATGTTTACTTAATCCCCCAAAAAAATACTTCCAGTCGAGACAGACATCATTAAATTTAGACTAAATATTTCTAAAACAAGATTCTAGCTTTAATATCGCGTCAATCACCAGAAAAAAATACGTAATTCCATGAACAACGTGTCTACTGTTCTAGATGTCACTTTTAAGTCAATTTTTTTGTACCATTTACGTCATAAAAAATGCTAATGGGAATTTTAGGGATAGTATTTCACCAAATTTGGAACAATATTGGTAAATAATAGCCTACCCTAAATTTAATCTCGGGCTAAAAATGTAATTTAATTAATGCGGCGACATGTGGCCAAAAAAGTATAAAAGCATCCCATGAATTTGATCCTCTCTTCGTCACGATGAGTCATCTCTCAATCTCATCAAAGTGGTTTTGAACTTTAATTTCGACCATCTCATTCTGCATTAACGGGAAAGGAGGCAACAACAACAATATCGAAATGGACATAAATTCAGAAGAAGCGAATACAGAGGCGGAAATGGTAATTGCAAAAAACATGCCGGAGGGTTCCATCCCATTATTTCAGATAGAGAAGAAGTAGATATGTACCTAACTTCGCACCATTTAAACCGTCTTTTCCATCTCTGTCTCTGTTATGCGAAATGTCGGTTAGTCTATGTAGCAATCTTGCACCTGGACCATTTTCGCAAATTTTTTGCACGTTTCGAAATATAATGGTGGTTGGTTAAGTTGAGTGAATGATGATTCACTAGTACCACTAAACTGCACACTTGTTACTTTTGTTTAGTGGTATGCTTGGTTGTTCATTCAAGCTCGAATTGAAGTGACATTCTATTTTTGATGAATGTCAACTTGCTGGCAGTGACATTGTCGTTAATTCAGTCGTGACAATACATATGATTCAAACTACATATTTTTAAGTAGATGACAGAATGAGATGCAAAAAAATGAATCTGTTTCCTGTCCAGCTTGACTATAAATGGTCAAAAATGGTGCATCCCAAAAAATAATTATTTTCTACTGAATTTTGGAGCTTTATCCCCGAAGTAGAATAAATTTACTTCTAACTTCGGGAGTTAACCGGCTCACTTTTTATTTAGAGCCAAACTGCATTTAAACTAGCTCTCGGCGTCAAACAGTGCCAAACTTTTTCCAACTTTTCCATAAACTTCGTGTTAAATCAATGATGAGTAAATCGCATGGCATCCGGCATCCCAATTCGCATGTCTCCTTCTTTCTTACTAACTTATTGTCACCAAAAAACGACACTGCAAAAACATGAACTGAACCACCCATCGCTTCGAACCATCTTGGAAGGCAATGACCACTCGGGTACGACACATTCTTCCCTTTTTGTTTAGTTGACCACGGACAATGGTTGATGTCCCAGCACAACTTCATTAAATATTTTCCATCGCGAAGATATGTGTAACATGTACATATGTACACGAGATGATTGCGAATTTGCATGTTGGGTACTGACTAACTCGCAAAATTCGCACTTACTTTTTGCCATCCAACCAAACTGACTGACTAAAAGTCATCATATCCTCCTCGTTAAAAGGAAGTAATAATTTGTTATCCGTGAGATGATGACTTGCTCAAAAACAAGACAACAAAGTGCAGGTAAACTTATGGCTAAAAAAACGTAACCAGGTACATACTTATGGATTACTACGGATAGCTTATTTATGGAGGGTAGTAATTTAATACTTAAGAGTTGAGGGATCTTTTCCGATCTTCTTCACTTATAGATTTATCTATTGTTTTTCTTAATGCATTGTTTTTCTATGCGGATCTTAATACTTTTTTCCTGACAAATCCCTGGTAAAAAAATGCGTTGATTAAATACATGAAGAGTTCAGATTTTATTATACGAACAAAAATTAGTCATAATTTTTAAACCCATATTATATTTTCCCCTGATTGTTTTTTTTTCCTAGAGGTAAAAATAACACGGATCTGTAGTTTTAAAATAAAACTGGGAACTCTGAACGAAAATGCATTGCACCCAAGATGAAGTCTTCGTATTTACAAAAAAATTGTTACGGGTGGAAGTCGAAAAAGAATAAAAAAAATACTATCATAGAATTCGGTATATTGTGAAGATACAACGGTGGAAAATATTATATGTAGATTATGTAGATTCATTTATGTATATAGCTGCTAATAAAAATACATATAAAATCTGGATGTTCAATTTTCACTTAATTTTCCAAAATTTCCTAACACCAAACTAATTGTAAGTCATGACTCATCACGAGGAAGATTCGAACAATTTCATCCACAATTAAAAACTCCAGTTATTTTGCATGCAAAAAATTGTCAATTTGAAACCGTCCCAACTTACATTGCAACTCACATTGCTTACCTGCTGGATATCGTCGATCAACAATTCACAATGAAAAGCATGACAAAGAGCAAGAAGAAGAAATTTAAAATTATTTACACCCATATTTCTCAAAAAAATTACCCAAATTTCCATAAAAGATATAAATTAACCCACCAAATTACAAATATTATTACTCACAAGTGTTACTCTAAGATAAATATTAAAAAAACATACTACTGCAAGGTAAATTATTCCTCTGTTAGTTAACTACTCATTCCACTGCATGACTAATCTCCGCCAGCAATGACACATTCATTGTTTTCATCTCTTCCCAAGTACTTGCGTACATACGTAATTATTATGCAATTTTTTTGCACTCAAATTTTGCACACTTTGCTAAAACTAAATGAAACGAAATGTATTTATGTACTCACCATGGCATGACCGTTCTCGTTATTATTATTCTTGACCGGGGCTGCTGCCAACATGACGCTGCAGGTCAGCACACTTGCCAAAAAGAGGGACAGATTCGTCACCACTAATTTTTTGTCCAGGAGCACGCACCTCCATTTCGGGATCATTCTGTTCATTCTGCCGCAAAAATTATAAAGTGCACGACTACCAAGATAAGCGATCGATGAGTCAAAAATTTTAATCGCAATCACAAACACATAAATGCAAACAAGTTCAATCACGGTGCGTTTTTCGTTATCGTTAACAGGATGATGTCAGATAACCGGTGTGATAAGACTAACTGTACATTATATGCACAGCAGTAACAGAAGTGAATACTTGCAAAAATTTCCAAATTCACAAAAACTGTCGCAATTTCCCCAAAAATATTTGCATGCACTTTTATGTATGAATACTGCTCGTTATTATGAGACTTCCCTTTTATAACGAACAAAATGTGCAAAAAAGTGTGCAAATTCTGTTAGCTGAGTGAGCCTATGCTCTCTCCTCAGCAAAAAGACTGAGACTGGTAGCAAAACTGAGACAGGTCGTGCTTTTTACTGGGCATGGTCTTCACGTCCAATGTAAATGCATGCGAGAAACGAGGAATGTTTTATGAATGGTCATGAATGAAGTTGAACTGGCAGGGAACAAAATTGCACTTTGTATGGGATGGAGATTTTTGCACATATTAATTACGCATTTATTTAGCAGTGCGAAATAATTTGCATTGTTTTGTTCTACTAAATGATTAAATGTATTGTTATCAAAAAATCTATCCAGGTACATATTTAGATGAATGAATATTCATCCAAACTTGGTAAAAAAACTGTTCCAAACATAATTTGCATAGTTCCACGCCTGGAACTTGATGAGTTTTGACAAGTTTGATTGAATTTTTATTACGCCATCACAGGAGGATAATTACGGTAAATTAATTAGTTAATTAATTTTGCAGAATTTGCACAGATGTACCTACGCAAATATCAATTTGATAGAATTTTCGCATACGCGAATACTGATTTTATAGAATTTGGACATACGCAAATATTAATTTCTGATAAATATGAGCTCATTTATTTTAATAATTTGCAGATAAATGAAAAACGAAAGTTCTTTTTTTCCTATAGGTCAATTACGCATAAATAAGATTGCAAATTTTTTAAGGATTAGTCATCTCTTCACCTCTAATTTGAAAGTCCGTTATCCGGGTGCATCCTCTCTCTTCATCTTGCTGTTTGCCTACACCATTATTTGTTGATTGTAACATAATGTGAAGTGGATTAATTCTGCATGTGTCATCAGTTTACAGTAAATATAAATATTATCAAATCCTGATTGGATGTGTTTGATAACCCTGTTTTTGTTGGTGATTCATTTCCTATTAACTGGTGGTCTTCTTGAGGTGAATTCTGCTTCGCCCACGCCTTGTGAAAAGTTGCTCAATTTTTTCCCATGTAAAAAAATCAATACTTCAATTTGACACTATACACATGTGAGAATGTGTTCATAATTTATCCCATATCCATCCAGTCAGATAACACGCTAGTTGACATAACAAAAATCGGTGGGAACTAAAAAAAAATACCAAACAAAATGCCATTTGTGATTTTGCACGCAATTTTTCCATTCGGTGTTTTACAACTGATTTTTATGTCCAGCCTGACGAGTAAACAAAGTCATTCAGAGGATGCGACCACGATTGCTTGACTTTAAGTATCTAGGTAACGTTAGTCTCCCTTAACGGTTGCGACAAATGGTCGAGTTACAAATTAAAAATTCATTTTAAAATCGTTGGTTCAAAAAGGGCGTTTGAGTCTCCAACTACTTTGACCCTTAATAACTTTTGAATCGGCAGACATAGAGACTTAATTCTTGAGGATGAAATCATCGTAATTTTTTGATTGATTTTTTAAGCTAAAAATTTCGAGAGTATTATTTCGAAAATTAAACTTGAAATCTCCAGTGAGCCCGAGTCAGACTCTGTGGTTGTCGGTCAAACCAACCATTTTCCATGAAATTGTAATGTACCAAATGCATTTAAACTTGTGGAGTGACATATTTTTGAAAAATCTGTATGGATCAAGCCCTACGGTCTCACCCGTTCTGAAAATTTCAGCTAAATCGGTTCAGCCATTTTGGCTATCGTGTTCCGGAAGGACATGATGGTTCCATAAGAACTGACTTAGGCTAAAAAGGCAACAATTTTGCAGAGCCTTGTAAGATGGCATTATTCTGAGAGCAGGACTCGTAATGAACGATGTGCATATAATTTTGTGATTTATTTTTGGTATATAAACCATTACAAAACACGAACTTAATAAACTCGGAAAATTTTTCCTATTTTAATTTATATTGCTACGATTAGTTTTACGACAGTTATCGCAAGACGGACAGACGGACATAACGGGTACATAAGCCCTGATTCAGGCTAAAAACCTATATTTAGTTAAAATTTTCACCAATGCATAATACGCATTGTTTATTTGACAAAAAACAGGCGTAAAGTGCATTAGTAAAATGTATTTGGTACAATAAAATTCTATGCAAAATGGTCGGTTTGACCGATAACAGCGAGCTTGACTCGGGCTGCACACTGGAGATTTCAAGTTCAATCTTCGAAATAGTACCCTCGAAATTTTTAGCTTAAAAAATCAAGCTAAAAATTACGATGATTTCATCTTTAAGAATTAAGTCTCTATGTCTGCCCGTTCAAAAGTTATTAAAGGTCAAAGTAGTTGGTGTATTTGTAAGGGACTTTTACACCAACTATTTTAAAAATAATTATTTTATTTGTAACTCGACCATTTGTCGCAACCGTTAAGGGTAACTAGGCACTAAAAGTCAAGCAATCGTGGGATGCGACTTTATGAAAGATGGATGAATTGAGTACTTTATTGGTAACAATGGGGACGCAAACCGTGTTCAACTCAGATTATTTTTTCACCATGTCAGCTACAGTTTACTTTCAGTTTGAAATTTTGAAACTGAAACTTGAAGTTTACTTTTAGCAAGTAGTCTTTAGAAACATTATTTCATTAGGCACAGATGGAAAAAAAATAAAAGTTCGAGAGACGGGAAAAATCAGGCCTGGTACTCGGTCGTAAAAAAATCATGCGTTTTGCGAACTTGCTGATTTTTTTGCGTCTATCGATATTCCGAACTAAATGTTGTTGCTAAAGAGTTTGTCTTTCAAACTAACATGGTCGAAAAATAATCTGGGTTGAACATGGTTTGTTGCAAGTCAGAAACTATTTAATGGGACCACGCCATCCCCGTATGACCAAGTAAAAGCAATCAATTCGTACAACTTGATAAGTTCCCAATTTGTCAAAACTTCCGGAAAAGAGGATGACACGGCATTGCAGACTCATTCGTTGGTTAGACTGGCTGATTGTTTTTTTGGTGTCCTACTTATTTCATTTCAAATGACTGGTTCAATTTTCTAGTAAAATTGCGTGCATTTTAGCACTGTGTGGTTGTTTGAGGTAGAGTTTTTTATCTTCTTTTAGCAAATTAAGTAAGTATGTACGTAAGTACTTGTTCGTTTTTAGGTGACTAATTTATTTATTATTTAGCCGGCCAAGCCATATAAGTAGATGGGTGGATGAACTCTTATCAATTAAAATGCAACATCACATAAGGATGAGTTGTATACTGATGTGTAGGGAGCCGTTCGTGGAATTTGACGAGTTGTCCAATCCATTTTGTGACATATGTAGCTAAGCATACATAGCTATAAAAAAATAAATTGGACAAATTTCCGGGAATTTAAATGACATTTGATGGCTTTTTGGGCATATTTTGAACTAAATATAACCAAAAACAATTTCATGACATACAGAATTTTAATTAACTAAAGCAATTATTTATGCTCTATGATTATTTCTTTGGGGACTTGGATCTACTACTTTTGATGATATAAATTACTCTGCAGCACAAGTCATTTCGGCGTTGAGGACATGCAACATTGAATAAACTTTAATGGGTATATTTATTTGCTGGCCAAACCAAAATATCCTCCATGACATTGGCGCATATTAAAGATAAACGAGCCGGAAATTTCAAAAGGTTACAGCCGGAGCCGGAGTGTGGGACGTACCGAATTCGGGTCAATAAAAAATGAATGAATGAATGAATGAATGAAATTAATTCAATTAGTGGGAATTTGATTTAAACTAATCTCGTACTAAAAATTGTATTCTTCTATGTATCATTTCCATAAATCAGTTTGTCATTTGTACATAACTTATTACAAATCATGGCTCAGGACAGTTGCTATTTAATAAAAAAATTAATATTTTATAAAAATATTTTTTTTAGTCACATGGAATACAGAAATTCCAATACTGCAAGAAATTCCATTTGGATGTGTTACCTAACTTTGCAAGAATTATGAAAATCGAGGTTTTTAAAATAGGGAAAAATACTTAATTTCGTTACCCAACAATTTGCACATTAAGTAAATGCCATCATGTTACGCAATCTCCTCACTTGATTTAATAATTCAAATACTTGGTTAAGTATCTGCGATAAAGATAAGAACAATTTCGTCAGTTTAGCTCCATTCCATTAGACAATTTCCTTTTATCTATGCCCTATTGATTCCGAGGTGCTCTTTGTTACACAATTTCCACATTCTTTTTACCCAAGCCGATGTCCCGCTAAGACATTATCACTCCCAAAAATGCACACATTACCTGAGTGCGATAACAAAAGTTTAAAGTTGCTGCACCCACCCACAGATAAGTATGCAACTCAAACAAAGAATCGATTTCCATTGTCGCCCATATATATTTCTGACGCATTTTAATCCTGAAATTCTCCCGAATTACATCACCATTCATCATCACCATCGTCCAGTAAAATTCCGTCCCATTTAACACGACCCGTATTGTTGCCAAATAACCCAGTTTTATCAACAAGTTATCTTCATTCAAACCGGGTCACTGCTTATCATCATCACGGCACGGCGTTATTCATTCCATGCATGCAAACTGCACAATAAAATCATCCTCACGAATCTCAAATCTGATCCGGAATGCCATGGACAGAGATGAAAAAACAGCCGTAATTTCAATACTTAACTAGTCGTCGTCATTATCAATCGTACGTAACAGTCTGGTTCATTGCCTTATTGTCTGCAGGCACGAAAACACTTGACGAAACGATTCAGTTTAACTGAACACAATTAAATATAATTATTTGCTAATTCATAATTATGATCAAATTTCGATACCTGCTCATTTGTGGCGTTGCGGCCAGCATTTCTTCCGCTGCGCCCGTGTCGTCGCCAGGATTAGATCCGATTGTAAGTTTATTTATCGCCAATTTCAAATATGTGCAAATTTGTATACTATTTTATACTATTTGCGCAGAAATATTTGCAAAATTTTGGATGGTTGGACATCACAAGTATTGATGACACTCTGACCCTCGATTCTGACCAAGTGATCACCGCCCTCCAAAATTTCCAAGCTTTTGCCGCAATTCCACAAACCGGAAAAGTTGACGCCACCACGGTCAACGTTATGACGCTTCCTCGTTGCGGAGAAACAGATACTGATATCGTCGACGAGGACGTCGAAACGGTGGACAGGTCGCAAGGGCACAAGGTCCTCCGGAGAAATAAACGCTTCGTGCTGCAGGGAACTCGATGGAAGACGAGAGAACTGAAATACAACATTTCCAAATATACGAACGACATTTCGCACGACGAGGTCGACAAAATCATTTCCTCGGCGTTCCGACAGTGGGAAAATGTCGCGAATATTTCATTCTTTAAGGCAACCCAGGGAAAAATTCATATTGATATTCGTTTCGAAAAGAGATATCATAATGATGAAGAGGTAAATATTTTTTGGCTTGGGGAGAAGATTCACGGTCAGTTTGGCGAAAGTCTAATTGGCAGAAATAAATTTTCGCTAATGTGATGACAAAAAATATCATGAAAGTAGATTGCGAATTAGTCACATTTATATATCCTCATTTTCGCCAAATGGGATTATTTTGTGGCAAAACTTTTTGGCCAAAAGGGTTTTTGCAAAAAAACTGACGGTCTTCCGGGGGGGAGAAATTTTATATTAAACGTTAGCATTTTAATTTTCTACAGACTTTTGACGGTCCTGGTGGAACTACGGCACACGCCTATTTTCCAATTTACGGGGGAAACGTACATTTCGACGATGACGAAGCCTGGACGACCGGTCAGGACTCGGGCGTCAATCTGTTTCAAGTCGCGACGCATGAAATTGGTAAAGTCAAGTGGTAAAAAATTTTAAATTCAAAGCTTTGATAAAACTCGTCATGAAATTTACAGGTCATTCTCTCGGATTGGAGCACTCCGGTAATTAATTAAATAATAATTATGCTTAATTAACTAAGCGCTGAAGACTAATTATTATTAATTCTAATTTAATTGTTCAAGATGTCCAAGAATCAGTTATGGCCCCATTCTACCGTACGTTCCGAACGGATTTTAAACTCTATCAGGACGACATTTTAGCTATTCAGGTTTAATCATGATAAAAATATGCACATTTTCTTGCAATTTTACTCAAATTTTATAAAAATTTATAATTCCAGGCTTTATACGGCAAACGTGTCCTCACAATTTGTGACAATGTCAAAGTTGACGCTGCAACGACGATGATCGATGGAAACACGTATCTCTTCACGGGTAAATTTTTGAAAATTAAAAATTTGTACAATAATTTCCAAATCAAAATTTTAAAAAAATTTCAGGAACATTTGTCTATCTTCTCACAAAAGAAAATGAAATGTCGCTCGAATCTCCGACCGCAATTATGGTCGCATTTCCCGGCCTTCCAAACAATTTGGATGCAGCTTTCACCCGTTCAAACGGAGTCTCGTATTTCTTCAAAGTATTCAATTTTCCGAATTTAAAAAAACCTGATAAGACAAATTCCTAGCAAAAATTTCTTCCCGCAGGGCGACGAATTTTGGCGCGTGACAAACATGACCGTCGAAACGGACACGTTTCCGAAACAGATTTCCGAATATTTTCCCGGCGTTCCGACCCCGATCGATGCCGCGTTTGTGTATTCCATCGATGAAAATATATATTTCTTTAAAGATTCCCAATTTTGGAAATATAATCACCGCATCGCTCCCCCCGTGTCGGACCCAAAACCGATTTACATGTGGCCGGGTATCCCGGAAAACGGTCTGGACGCCGCGGTCAGCCTGTCGGACAGTTATGGGAATAATTTCACCTACTTTTTTAAGGATAACCAGTACTGGAAGTTTAATGACAAAGCGTACTCGGTATTCCTCTCACAGCCGCCGTATCCCAAAAGGGTGTCCACCCACTTGTTTGGGTGCAGAGAGTGACAAATTTTTAGTGGTATGACAGGTGTCAGATACTCACAGGTTTATGGGCGCATTTCTTAATTTTAGGGTGACAATTTATTTATACACAAAGCAAAGTCCTGATTTCCTAATACGCTTCTAATTTATGTTTATGTTTTACGACAATAAAAAATATTTAGCGTTTTAACCAGTGATTTTTTCCTAGCATGTTCGTGATAAATAAATTATTTAGTCATGATTTGTTAGCCTAACAATTTATACGCAAATTAGGAAAATAAGTACATTTCAAATTTATTTTAGGGCGTAATTTTAGCCTAACAAATTCGGCAAATATACATATTTCTAGTTTATTTCGACAAATGTACACGCTTTTTAACCAGTACAAAACACATCTCCAGCATTATTTTTGTTATGCTGTGCATGGATCTTCTTTACCCTCCGGCTTAAACAAACTTAATAGCTCGTATTTTTTTACACTCTTCTTTGCATGTCATGTATGAATGTATGCAATCATTCGTGTGCCTAATTCGCTACTAACTAATGGCTATGTAACCATATACTTCCACTTGCATTTCCACCCACCATATAATAAGCATTCCCCTTTGCGTATAAGTTTTGTACTGGCTTTTGCTGTATGTTTGTTGATCATCTTGATTCGTGGAATCATGCACATTGAAAATGCCATTCTTTTAACATACTTCTCAATGCTATACATATTCCATTCCGTGGAGTGATATCATTGATACTCTTCTGTATTAAATATTACTGGATAAACTTTAAGACGAAATCAACCGACAGTATTTACTGGTTAGTTTCACGTTCAGATTTCATTTAAGGAAAGTGCACAAGTTCAACTTACTGCGTTCGTCTTGAAAGAATCAAAATTCAATCGGCGTTCAAGTTTTTGTTTGTGTATTTCAAGTTAAAATTCACTACTGACAAGTTATTTAACTTTGCAAAGAGGAGTGAGTGAGTCAGTAACAAGGACATTACACTGTTTGTGTCAATTTTGTATTTATGTGTGTAACGTTAAGTCAGCTCATTTAACAAAGACTATTATAAATAAATATTATAATGCATGGGAAATATGTCGTGTTTACCTTTTTTGTGCACAGTGAGGTTACATTATGCGAATATAATATTTGGTCAATGTGAATGTGAAGGTCTTATGCAAAAAATTTACACCCACACATTTATTTATTCAGTGGTAACATAACATCCATGGAATAAGATATTGGAAATATTTTCCATGCTCTCAGGTTCAGTTTAACCATAAATGTGAGCAGACAGACACAGCCTTCTCTTATGCTCAATATTAAAAATTCGCACTGCGAATTAGTGATTAGTTATTTGCCAATATTTTGCCAAAGTTTAGTGACTGGATTGATATTTTTATCCCGTCGAGAAATAAACCCGTATACGATTACAAGATTAACAGACACATTTAATTATAATTACTCATTTTGCATGCATATGTGTATACGATGAGTAATTTATGTTTATGAGGGGATAGATAACATAACATCCTAAATTATTTGCATATTTGGGCCTGGCTCGTTTCTGTGACTAATCAACAATTTAATTTTGCCCTGCAAAAGTAACAATTCTTGTGCTCAGTGTAATTTTGTGGATAAAAGTGTCAAATTTTTGTAAAAATTAAGAAAAAATGACTTCCCAAACGAATAACTCTCGAAGTCTGACTCACAAACGGATCCTTATCACAGACGTGGAAAATGGTCAGTAAAATTTTAACCAGAAATATGAAAACTTTTCAAAATTCTGGTCAAAATTTTATTTTGTAATCTTTCAGAATTTGGAAAAGAGCTCTACACCGCGTTGCGAATTGAAGGCTGTCTGATTTTCACCTTTGTTCGAGAACTCTGCCGTTTGGCGAATGTCATGTCGGAGTTTCCCGACCTCGTCCCCGTCCTTCTCGACCCCACGGCTGCCACCACGGCGGGCGACGAGGGGCACAAACTCCTCTCCAGTTTCCCCTCCTTGGACCACGTCGTCAATCTTTCGGGCGACCCAGGACTCGAAATCGTCTCACGAGCACTCGGAAGTTGGAAGTGAGTCGTAAATTTAAAATAAAATAAGGTTAATTTGGGAATAATGATGTTTTTTTCTATTTTCAGAATTCACGACTTTGGCGAAAACAAGACGAAACCATTAATTTCAAAAATGAAGGATGCCGGAAATAGTCAAAACCTGATTTTTCACTCGTCCGCAGGGGTAAAATTTTTACAATTTATGAAAAAAACTGATCAAAAATCTTATAATTGTTTAAAATTACACACAATTTCATAGAATCTCATGAGCAAAATTTTTTACAATTTGTACAAAAATTGTTGACAACACAAATCTTATCATTTTTTTGTACATTTAACAGAATTATGAGCAAAAATTTTTATAATTTGTGCAAAAATTCATCTTATCATTTTTGTACATTTCACAGAATCAGAACCTCATGAGCAAACTAAAAGCAAATCTAAACCCTCGCTACACTGATTCCGCGACCGCCCAAGTTTCCACCAGTGTTCGGAAATCCTTCAAAAAATTCTTCTCAGGATCTACCACAACTTCAGAGACGAATAATAGTCACCCTCCTCCCGCCACAAGTAGCACGCTGGCACAATCCGTCACTTCCGGAAATAAGCATGCCAACGAATTCGCCTCGATTGCAGCCACATTATCGCAAAAGGTCAAACCCACCAAAGAATCGCCTCCATCGTCCTCCTCTCCTTCGCCACGATCCACCCCGACGCCCAGTTCGACACTTCCACCTTCCACCAAAGGTCTGGAAACTCTGCCCGAAAAGAATGAAAAAATCCGCTCCAGTATGCTCAAAGTTAACAAGAAAACGGTCAAGAAATGGGCAAAACTGTTAAAAAATATGGAAAAAGATCAATTCTCACAGTTAAAACAGCTCGACAAAAATCTCACTACGTTCAAAAAGTCGGAGAAAAAGTCCCTCATGGCGCAAAATGCGGGCGCCAACGCGGCCACCGCCGCCCGATCGGATGTCCTCTCAGCCGATACGACGAATCGAATCATGGCGTCACGCGAGGCCAGAGTGGATCGCGAAGTGGATAAAAAAGTCGAATCGAGGAGGGACGCTGACACGCAGAAAATCGCGGACGAGAAGAAAATCAAGATGGAAACTTTGACGAGGAAGCTTTACAGGAAAACGGTAGTGAAACAGATTGCAGAATTTAACAAGATTAAGCAAAAGTACTTGGTGTAAATGTAGTTTTTTTTTGCGAATTCAAATTTTTTGTACAACGAAAAGATTTGTATTTCCTAATAATTTTTGTACAATTAATGAGAGATACAGAATCATGGAGTAATAAATTACAAACTTTTTTTTAATTACTAACATAAATATTTCGATAACAAAAAAAATTTAATCAAACAGTTCATCCGATTTACTCTCAATTTCATCCGAATCCAATTTCTCCCCATTTTTCGTGCTATTTCTCCCAATCACTAAAATATGGTAGTGCATTCCCCTGTGCAATTGGGCCTTCAAAGTCACCGTCAAATTGGTCGGTTGAATATTGCAACTCGCTCCATCCCCACTGGTCCAATGATCCAGCGCCACAATTCCGGTAAGTTTGACCCCTGAAGGAACACTGCACTGCGTCGTGACAGTAATTTCCGGCGTGTCGGGTGACCACTGTCGGAAAATCGTAATTCTCTTCACGACAAAATCTAACTCTGAATTTTCCACGCCGTCATCCATTTTGCAGACGTGTCGAGCAGGCGTATCGGTCACGGTGGTCCAAGCCGTCCATGCGTTTCCGGTGATGACGGAGTTTTTCGTGAGGCCTTCCAACACGTCGGCAGCGTCCAAGAGAAGACCTGGGTCAACTTTCGTGCCAAGAAGTGACGATTCTAAATAAACAAGCAAGCTTTCAATTATGTTAATCTTTTAAGCATAAAATGCTAAAAATAGTTACCTTTTTCACCCTCAAAATTAAAAAGTTTGTCCCAATTCGTATCGTAGTTGAGGTCCAAATCGTTATCCTCGCGGTTCCGAGATGACCACGAGGATTGAAATTCAGTCATCAAAATGGCCCATGCAAACACGAGGGTGGCGATTAAGGTGAAAATTGCCCAGTACCAAAGCATAGCTAAAATAAGTTAACTTGACGGATAAGATGGTGATGATAAGACACGAATAATGACTAATTTCCATAAATACTAACCATGTCTCCCAAGTTTTGATGATGCCGTCACATTATCGGTTGCTTTCTCTTCAGGAATGTTTTCTGAAAATTTCAGTATAAGTGTAAAACGTTAAAAAAATGATTTTTCAAAATCCTGAAGTGCAAAACGTTAAGAAAACTGATTTCCTTACTCAGCACGGAATATCCTTTTTGCGTCTGCTGCATTTTTTGCAAATTTTTGCTATATTTTTTTGCAAACTATATTTTTTTTCGTTCTACTTTATATCACCGCTAGCTTATCACTCCGGTCAAGCCGGAACTCAAACTCGGTTTTATGCCAAGTATTTATCTATGCAAAGAAGAAATGTTTACCTTGTCGGTGCCACTCGATACCGTGTCTGGTTAGTAAATATCTGTAAATACATACACAATTTGCACTGGAGGAGAGTATGCAGGGCAAATAATGTTAGAATTTGCACGCCTATACTTCCGCCTTGATGGATGAATTTTTGTCTACTTTTTCGCTTCGATAAGGTCTGTCTGATTCTGACGTTATGAAACATTCTAGTTTGTTTTGCATAAAAAACCCAAATAATTTTTATTTACAAATCATTCCACAGCTAAATGTTGATTATGTAGAGGTAGGTGTGCATTATTTACTAATAATAAATATGTCAGTCATTGGTCTCTATACGAAATACTCCATTTTATTAATACTCAGCATTCATATATATTTATGTATACACATACTTACATTTTCAATGCGAAATTAATTAATAGGCAATTGGAGGCAATTGTGACTCGGTCATTATTAATTATTACAGACATTCGTATTGCTTATACCGAATTGTAATTTACATACATTTTTCAGAATCAAAATTGTACAATTCAGAATTCATGTTAATTATGAATATGCATACAAAATCCAAGGAAAAATAGGAAAAACCGGGCAGCTGGAAAAGATCTGACATCTGTAATTAAAATCGTAAGATTTGTCGAATTATCGATAACGACGTCAAAGTCACTCAGAAAAAAACGCTTTATGCATGAAAATCATGACGCATTTTCTGAATATTTAGAATTTAGAAAGCAGGTTGCCTCCTGCTTTCTAAATTCTAAATATTCTCTGCATTATAAATATTTATCAGTTATGTCATCTATTTATTAAATAATGAGGGTATTCATTACGAGTTCGCATGTTCGCATCGCAACATAACTTTTTCGACATTGCGAATTTTGCGAAGCAATGAAGTGAAGACACTTCGCAAATGAAAAAGTTCGTAAAATTTTATTAAAATGTCTCGAATTTTGCAATGGGAATAAACAAGGTCCCTAAAAAGGGGAAATCTTAGTGAGGGAGTGCAATCACAACTAATAAATAAAATTAGATTGGAGAATTTTTGCATCACCGCTCTCGGTACCATTCTTACTGGGTGCAGTATAAATTTTTCTTTGCATACGCATGAATTGTTAGTTTTATTGAATAAATTGAGGAAGGAATACATTTTTACTGTGTAGTGAACGAGAAGTGGGTTAAATTAACTGAGGTAGATATGTAAGATATGATGGCTAAATAATTATGAGCTACGTATTTGTTTAAAAAAATATACAAATTTCAACTTCATATATTAATTTGGCTACTCTATGCAAAATCATCGAACCTTTCGAGGGAGCAAGTGTTCTATTTAAAGGATTAATGCTTCCAGTAAAAATGGTACCGAGAGCGGTGATGCAAAAATTCTCCAATCTAATTTTATTTATTAGTTGTGATTGCACTCCCTCACTAAGATTTCCCCTTTTTAGGGACCTTGTTTATTTATAACTTTTAATTGGGTGATTAGATTGCCCATTGGATAACTGCATTGCACTACCCCTTTTCAGTAGTTTGATGCGGAATAATTTTATTAAATGCTGGGTGTTTAAAATTGAATAAATCCGTTATTTCTTAACCGATTTATATCATTTTGGTCAAAATGTCCGGCCTAGATTACTAAACACCAAAAGACCTGATCTGGAGGTGCAACACCAACAACAACAATTTCACGCAGTTTACCAAGCATGTTACAGAAGCAACGATTAGTTGTGCTGTTTACAGTTTTGAATGTAATTTGTTTTCAATTTATTAGTCTTGCGTCGTTGTCAATGGCAATGATTCGTAGCACGAGGAGGAATTTCGGAACTTCAAATTGGAATAACTAAGCCAATTCTTAACGGATTTTGATATATTCATACTTAAAATTTTCGGGATAAACTGCCCTACAATTCGTGGGTATCAAACTGTTGATAACGTTTGCTAGTAACTAGCAATAATTACAAATGTGTTTCTAAGGCTACATTTTTGCCCATAATTCCGGTCAAGATCACGTAATCGCTTAGTCGGATCAGATCCCGTTTCTATATTATGGAACAATAATCGGTGCAAAATTTGATCAAAATCGGTTGAGAAATGACTGAGATATCGCAGATGGTCACTTTTTTGGGGTGGGTCAAATGCGTACTTAGTATTTTTTTCGTTGTTAGGTATTTGCCTCACTAAGAAAAATACGTTAATTTCCATTAGTTACCGAAATTTTGCATCTGAATTAATCTGAAATTTACCAAATAAGAAAATTCAAAAATTTGAATGGCAAAACTTTGGTAACTAATGGAGATTTATGGACTTTTCCCATTGCGAAATTTGTGAAAAATATTTTGCTAACTAAATACTAGCCTTGGAGATGCGCAAGTTCGCAAATCAATTTTCAAGCCAAATTGTTTTGCGAACTTGCGAACTTTATTTTTTTGCGAACGTTGCCAACGATGCGAACTCGAAATGAATACCCTCAATAAGTACAAAATGACTCAAAAACTGTCATGCATATTATTATGTATGTCACACTATCCTTCGCCTTCTCCGTGTCATGAAATGTACACAATTCAATGTGACAACTTTTCCTTATCTTTTTTCAGAGGAGGTACGTATACACATATCTCAGAAGTCATTATTTAACGAAACTAAATACTTATTACTCATCCATCCATCCCAGTAACGATAAACATTTACTTTAATCTCCATTGTAAACTAAATCTATCCCAAAATTTCTTATCTTATTTTCCCTCATGGTAAATACACTGGAAGCAGTATTGATTCTAGTTTCAGTCAAATAATGACATTTTTCATGTTGGAAGAGACTTCTTCTGAGAATTGTTCATCAGTTTGGGCCGAATTTTGGAATAAGAATAAGTGTGTCACTAATAAAACTAGGCAAAAAAAGCAGTCAACGAGATAATAAAAATCAAATATACGATAAAAAAAAGTTCCCGACATGAACAAAGCATTTTTTCTCGTCACAGATGTCGACGTTGTCGGTATGAAAATTATTTTGAAAAAAAGTTGACAAAATTTATTTTAAAAAAATTCATCCGTTCAAAATTTTATGTTCAAAATTTCCTAGACGGATCCCACCAACTTGTCCACCGTCTCTCCGACCCAAACTTGAACACGACGGTGTACGCTCTGGTGCCGGATTTTCAAACGTTGCGAAACTACCGTGGTGAATTTCCTCACACGAACTTTATCTATTTGGACTTGAACAAGAGTGTGAACGTGAATAAAGAAGTGTTATCCTGCCTGCCTGAATTGGACTGCATTTTAAACTATTCGGGGGACACGTTGTCAAATTCGTTGCATCGCGTGAGGGGAATTCATGTTTCAAAGTGAGGGTTGATATGTAAAATTTTTGTGTCGGGAAAGAAATGTTTATAATGTTTAATGTATGACTCATCTCCAAAGTCGACACATTTTTAATTATTTGTGGGCTCTGGGAACTTATTTTAAAATTCAGGACGACAGAGTAGGGCGTTGCCAATTTTTTAAAAAATTTTATTTTTTTTAAAGATTTTTTTCTGTGAGTGACTTGGATTGATAATTTTACAAATCTTAAGATCATAAACATTTGTCAGATTTTTTTTCGTCGTAGCGGAGTTTGTATCCCGTTTGACCCTCCAAATTTTGACAGTTGTTGAAGGAAGAGATCTCTAGTTTAAAAAACCTTCAGAAATTTGGAACTCTTCGAAACTGGCTTAAAAAACTCACCGTCATTCTAGGCATCATTCTAGACATCCTATTAATCAACTTACTTACAACTTTGTTAGTATAAGTTTGTTTCGTCCAGAATTTTTAAATAAATTTCCAGAGCAAAGAAACGATTTAAAATGTGTTGATTTTGACGATGGAGTCTTGCGTTAACACACATTTTTTTAAAAATAGGACGACTTGCTTCGACGCCGACGAAGTTTCACTCACCACAATTTACGAGGTATTGGAAGCCCATAAGAAAAAAATTGGCACTGTGATCATAAACGTGCGGAAAAAGGTGGTACGACAATGATCTACTTTCCTAATATTTTTAATTCTCCTTAAGTTCCACTTAAATTATATAAATCCAATTAAATTTTCTCGCCTTTTTCTACCCTTATTTTTATTATACCGAATTACAGATAACACTCGAAATATTGACAAAAACTATATTGTCAAATAATAACGTAAACTTTTTTCCCCATTTTTCCACCAAAACTTCCTTGTAATCCAATCAAATCAATAAATTCCACTTGTTAAACGATAGGACCGCTATGACTGCTCTGGCGCCGAAGCGTTGGCCAAACTCGTCAAAAAAGAAAAGATCCGTCGTTCCCAGGAAAACTTCGAGGCCAAACTTTACTTCCGTCCAGGTCGTAAATTCGTCCTACCGACCTCATCTCGATCCCCATCCCCGCAACCCCCACTGCTTTTCATGGAACGATCCTCCCCCTCACCACCACGACCACCCTCCAGCTCAGCCCTGCTGGACCCCGTCCGTCTCATGAATATGGGACCCCTCTTCCTCCAAGAGACGCAACCTCTCATCCCCCCAAAATTTCCCGGAAAATGCACCATTTTCTCGTCCATCTTCTCGTCCATGTTCTGCTGCTGCTGTTTTAAACGCTGCTTCCCCCCAAAAATGGACCCCGTAACGCCCCGATTTCGATACGAACAGGAAATCCGAGCCTACACCAGGGGCGAACAACAGCTCGTTCTCCGCCGCAAGTTGAACCGAGTCCTCGACAATGCGGAAGTCGAATGGTATCGAGTCATGTCGCGGGTCGATAGTGACGAAGTTCTCAGGATTGAAGAGCTCTCGGTGCAGCATAGGGAAAAAAAGAGGAAGGCTGAGGAAGAGGAGAGAGCCAAGAATCCTGTCGCCCCCAGGAAGAAACCTGACCTTCAACTGACCCCCAGGTAAGTTTGGGGCTTATCTGTGTCGTATATGTCATACATATTTGTCATAAATGTTGTATTTGTCATAAATGTCGTATTTGTCATAAATGTCGTATTTGTCATAAATGTCGTATTTGTCATAAATGTCGTATTTGTCATAAATGTCGTATTTGTCATAAATGTCGTATTTGTCATAAATGTCGTATTTGTCATAAATGTCGTATTTGTAAATTTGATCATGCAAGTCACAATTTCAATGTAACCGACATTTGTGAGAATTTGAGCTTGCCATATTTGTAACAAATTTTGAAATTTTAAATGTCTGACAATTTGAACATTTCTAACATGTCAATTTGTCAATTACATGGCATCCCTACCCAGAACGAGTTGGACATCCGGCCCGATCTGCGCCTACTCGCCGCACAAGAAGAAAATGGTGTGCAACAAGAGGGTCACCTTCGTGTGGGACGAAGACCGCGATTTTCACGAGCGTGCTGACGAAATCAGGAGAGAAATGAAGTACGAAAAGCAGGTCAAAGAGGCGGAACACTACTCTTTGTGGGTGCATCGCCAGATAAGCACGTTGAGAGGGACGAAGGACAAATATTTGGCGAAGTATGATAAATACTATTTCCAAACGTTCCGAAAACCTCCACCGTTCGAGTGAAGTCGGGCTAAATAGTTTAGAAAAGTTAGTACAAATAATAATAATAATTTTTTAAATTAGTGGTCATTTCAGAAATTTCGTATTTTTTTTATTTACTGTTCTTAGACCAAATCATTGTATCGTTTTTATAAGATTTTTTAATAATAAACCACAAGTCGTCGTTGGTTGAAATGTCGCCTTGTTCTTGTTTCTGACTTGTTCTGTGATGGTAATAATTTTTAAAACGTGTGGTGGTGGGAGCATCTTTTTCATTAATGGAATTATTTTCCACGCCGAAATCCGGCTGTTTTTGTGCAGAAACTTTGTTGGGGGCGGGGGCATAAAATTGTCCAAACTAATTTCATCCCCAACATGACGTATGTCTCCCTCGTCACCAATCTCGTTGTCAAATTCGGAAATAAATTGGTCCCCTTCTGGTTCTCGGGCCCCGTAGAGATTTTGTATGCCACGGATATCATCTTCATGCAGGTGGAAGTTCATGGGGTCGCGTCTCGGTCGAATCAGCATGTTCATGACGGCATCCTCTTCCTCGGAATGTTCCAAACCTAGGGCGTGACCTGATCAGAAATGGAAAATTTTAAGTCTGAGAATACCTTTATATCTTTTGGTAATATTTACAAAAATATTACCAATTTCGTGGACACAAACATGCAAAAAATTGACTGCTGCCTCATCGTTGTTATTATTATTGTCGCTCTCGTCACCAGTAAAAATCCAGTGAATTGAATCATCAAGATGGATATCGCCCTGTCATCAAAGCCACAACTGGATAACAATAATTTTTGGGTAAAATAAATCCGCCTAGAATTTTGTCTACCTCTAATTCATGATGATTTCCACCCCCTTGTCGAGAAGGGAAGAACGCATGCGCCACCGCGAATCCCATCGCTCTGTCGCCAAACGGCATATTGTCGGAATGCTCACCTTCCACGAAGGCGATTTTAATTTCGGCGGGTTCCTAATTAATTAAGGTCATAATTACCCACGCAAAAAAAACTGATAACAACTTATCAGAGGTCAACGCCGACCAATTTTTCGGAGGCGTTGCGCAGCGTCTCAATTTTGAAGCAATAGAAAATCAGAATTATTGCCGGCGACGACACGCGGCGCAGGATTGGCGGCGTTGACCTCTGCAACGTATCTCCACATCTGCTTGATTGCGATGGGGTGACAAATATGTAGACGACATTTATGCAAATTGCATAAAAGTCGGTTGCATATTTGTCGTACCACCATTACTTACCCACCACCCGACCTGGACCAAACTAATGTTTGCGACTTGTTCCCAAATTCTAAAAGCTGTCTTGACATCCTCCTCGAAACCTTGTCGCCTTGCGGAGGACCGTCTCGGTAAATTTTGAACGGCATATCGTAACCGAGAGTACGTCCACCCCCGAGATGTTGACATGTCCCGGGTCATTTGCATGTTTCGGGTCAAGTCCATCCTTTCCGGGTTGGAACAGCGGGGTTGATTCATCATCGTGATGGAAGACTCGTCCAATTCCCCAGATTCGGGGAGGTGGTAGAATTTTTGGAAACTTTTCAACCCCTCGGACATCGCCATGCTCATATTGTTCCCGTATTTTGAGGAGAGATCGGACCCCTTCAGGTAGCCATACGTCAACAGGAATGACTTGGGTAAAAAATTCATAAAAATTTCATCGATTTTATTATTATTGAAACTTTGAAACGGTGCAAATTTTCACCAACTTTCTGAGTAAAGTTAGTAAAATTACGTATACTTTTAGAGTAAAACTAATGGCTGAGACAAAACGGTATCCAGTATTTATTATTTAATTCTCTAAAAGTTGGGAAATAATAATTTTACAAGGTTTACACAAATTACTGCAAAACTTTGTTGGTAACCTTTGTCATTTGTAAAATTGCGTATAAGTTTTACAGTAAATTACTCCTATAAAGTTGAAAAGTTTGAACGTTACTCTTAATTACTTACCTCTTAATTTTTCTAAAAGTTTGCAAAATAATTTTACAAAACGAATGTTTTCGTAATAACTTTTATTAATTTTAACTCTATTTGTGCTGTGTAAATTAACTTTCTGGGCAACCTTTGTCAAATTAATTTTATAGTAAATCTAATTTCAGGAACTCAGCATCTCTTATTTAAATTTCTAAAAGTTTGTAAAATAATTTTAAAGTTTATACCCAAATTACAAAGTAAGTGTTTTGAATAAGTGGTGTCAATTTTAATTCTATTTACTCTGCGTATGTAAATTACTCACCATTCCATCATCGCTACTTGATATTTCGGACGCAACGGCCCATAATTCTCGTCCTAATAAGACTATGATTTTAAGTAGAATTCCACACACCAAGAAAAAATTAGTACGCATATTATAGCGTCGGTAGAAAAGTGTATTTTTATTAAAAAATTAATATGAAATTAGTCTCGTCCACTAAACCAAGTTACAATTAAATTGTGGAGTTTGTGCGGAACCACCGGAAATGCGGTTTATATAATTAATCGAATTAATTATCGGATAATGCAGCAATGTGTGGTAAATAAACCCACAAGCAAATATCCATGATACATTTGCATACGTATTTTTGTAAGAAATTCATGAATACCGCAGGTACACCTTTTCAGTATATTTTTACACAAAAAATTACAAATTCACGAATCGACGTTTACACTGACCAAAATATAAATATTCCTGAAATTTGAGCTAAATTTTGTTTTTCCAGCTCACAAAAAGTATAATTTCTCATATAACGATTTGTCAGGAAGGAAATGGACAAATGTTTAAAATTAGTTTTTAAATAAATTTGCATATTACATAATGCATTTGCATATATATTTCCGTGCCAAATTCTTCAAATCTTTTAAATTAAAGTTATGTATTTACACACAAATTCCAAAGTCACTAATCGACATTTAATCTTGAAAGAAAATAAAAATGTAAATATTCCTGAAATTTGAGCTAAACTCGTTTTTTTCTCCAGCTCACAAAAGCAATAATTTTCCCAAATAACGATTTGTAATGTAAGGAAGGAAATGGACTAATGTTTTAAATTTATTTTTAAATCATTTTGCATATTATATAACGCATTTGCATATATATTTGCAAATCCAAATTCATCAAACCTTTTAAATTAAATTTGTTATTAAATAGTATATTTTCTATAAGAATTCATCGGGCAGCTCCATCATCTTTTAAATAAATATTTATGTCCTTACACAAAAATTCCAGATTCACTACCAATCAACGTTTAAACTTGAAAAAAATGTAAGTGTTCTTGAAATTTGAGCTATGCATGCTCTGTTATTTATCTTGCTCAAAAAAAGTATAGCCCAATTCTCATACAATGATTTGTAAAAAAGGAAACGGAAAAATTTTTTAAATGGATTTTAACAATCTATTATACATTCATAATAGATTGGCATACATATTTCTGTAAGAAATTAGCCATACAAGATAAATCTTCTAAGTGTACATGTGTGTACATAAAATTTTAAATTCACTAATCGTCGTTTAAACTTGACAAACATGTGAAAATTCCTGACATTTGAGCTAAACTTTGTTTTTCAGCTAGCAAAAGTACAAATTCTCATATAACGGTTTCTATTTAGTGAAGGAAATGGACAAACTTTTAAAATGGATCAATTTATTAAAACATGCCTTATAAAATCGCGTAATTAATTTTTTTGTCAATCATTTAAAGGTAAAAAATACTTAAAAATACAAGGCTAAAATTTTTCAAAATTTATATGAAAAAAAATTTTTTATAATCATGTTCATCAAGTTTTACCAATAAGAATTGTACAAATTAAATTATCTCCCTTGCAAATTACTTACACCATTAAGGAAGCCACCCTCCAAAACATGGTTTGATACAAGTATTCGATAACTTTAATATAATCAACTAAACAATTCATCCTCTCTTCTTCATCAAAATTCCTCTGCACTCCAAAAGATGGAAAGTCCTCCTGCATATCAAAGGCCGACGCGGCGAGGACGACCTGCTTCGTAAATCGGTCCGTGATACATTCCACGATATATTTCAAGTAATCCGTCTTCTCGCGTTCCGTATGTTTCCAGAATTGCCGTCCAGTTTGGTCGCACCCCACCGAGGGGTCCACCTTGCGACATCGAATCCACTTTGGAAACTGGCCCAACGGCGAGTCATGGCTTTCTTTAATGAAGTCACTCAACTCGTAGTGCGTCGGTGGTCCATGTCCGCAGAAGAAGCAGGGTTCCCTGTCATAAAAATTGACCAGATTAAAAATTTGACCATTTCATTCCTCAATAATTGTTTCGTGAGAGTTGGGCGATAATTTTTGCGAGCAGAAGAAAAGGTTTGGCTCAAATTTCAGGAATTTCAGGAACGTTTTTCAAGTTTGACGTTGGACTCATTGCCAAAATCGTCAAAATCTTTATTTCTCGGCTCTGGGAATTTATTTTAAACTTATGCACGACAAATTTGTAGAGCAAGTCGTCGCCAATTAGTTTAAAAATATACACCCCAGATTTTGACAGTTTTTGAAGGAGATTTCAATTTTTAAAAAACATTCAGCAAAATTGAAGCTTGTAAATTTTCAGAGCTTAGAAATGATTGAAAATCTGCTGATTTTGACAATTTTAACGATGACTTATCGAGTTCTACGTTAAACTTTTGATTGGTGAATTAAATTCACCAATTCCAAATTTTGGAATTTTTATGTAAATGCATATATATTTTTTTAAATCATTTACCTGTCATCAATCGAACGAACTGATTCACACGCTTCAATCCGTTCCTTGATGCTGAGCCGTTTGTAAACTTCGAGCACAAAGATGGCCTTATTTTGCAGAGTTGATCTCCAATCTTCCTCAATATTGGGATACTTTTTGCCAGCATATTCAATATAAACGACCATAACTGGGATAAAACCTAGCACGAGGGGGGACGAGTGGAGCGGATATTTCCGTAAAATTGAGCCCGGTTCGGAAAAGAAGGCCAAAATGTCTTCAATTTGGCGAAAACCTTCCACCGTGAAGGGAGCATCTTCATGAGCGAGATGCTGCGCACTGGATTTAAACGCTTCAATTTTACTCCGCATGTCCGACATTTTTTGCTCCAAGATACGCTTATCCATTTCGCCGGTAATCATACTCCAAAATATTTCGCTTTTGTGTTGGGTGACTGATCCGATAAAGTCCAGGACGTGGGCGAGGCCTTCAAAAACCTGGAACAGATTGGACAATTTTAATGCAGGACTGAACGACTTATCGCCAAAATCTCCATATTTTAAAGTATTTCTCGGCTCTGGGAATTTATTTTACAATTCTGGAAGACTAATTTGTAGAGCAGGTCGTTGTAAATTAAAAAAATATACTTTCTAGATTTTGAAAGTTATTGAACGAGGAGATTTCAGGTTTAGGAAGCCTGCATAAAAATTGGAACTCATCGAAACTGGCTAAAAAACTCGACGCCATTCTATTAATCAGCTCGCAGACTATGAATTTGCCGTCCAGAATTTTAAAACAAGTTCCCAAAGCTTAGAAATTACTCAAAATGTGAATTTTTTAACTCACGATGTCAAGCTCGGGAAGTAATCCGCCCAATTTCAACCCAGTTATGAATTTTTCAAACTTTTCTATTTCTTCCATAGATTCTTTATACTCGACCAACTGCCAGGTTTCTTCGGATGGTTTGTAGAACATTTTGCTGGTGTCGATGTCATCCATCGTCATTGCGAATGCGTGCATGATGATGTCTTGCCAGTCGGGGGGAAATTGGCTCATTGCGGAGGGCAGGAGGACGAAGGTCGAAAGACAAAAGAGTCCCAGACCAAAAAGTACTTTTTCACGGAACTTGGACATTTCTGGAAGTAAAATCGGAAATTAATCACCAAAAGCAATAAAAAATTAATTAATCCGTTATGGAACCTTAATTTTGATTCAGGTTTCGTTATTTTGGATTTATGTAAATGGCTTTTGATAGCTTGAAACTTATCGTTACTTTTGGAAAAATCTTGAAAATAACTAAGTCACCGAGACCATTTGGAAATTGGTTTAAAAACCGAATTCAAATTATTTACTTACCGATCATGAAATAATGCACGTAGAGGTTTGCAAATACCTCAATCTATCGCGAAAATAATTTGATTAGTAAGTTGATGAACAGGAAAATGACGAGTAAATAAGAATTTATTCCAGCATCTTTGGTATTTAAAGAAAAATGACAAAAATTGCGTATGTCATGAATTGCTTCGTTAAATGGATAGCTTTGACTTCAAACCGATATGTACTTATGTACCGTACGACCTCAAGAATAATGCAATTGCAAGCTCAACATTACTCTCAATTTATTCATACATATGTAATTTATGCATGATAATTAAGATGTCTCATCAACATAAATTATTGAACTCGTACTTAATTGAGATTATTGGTCAGATCACTGTAAACTCACTCTTCCTCAACTTTTGTCTTGATCAGCGATTATTGTTCTGTTCTCAAAATGAACACTAGCATATATATCATCAAACTATTTGTAAATACAGTATTCTGCAGTTTTTGATCATGCATTTATTTACATAACGTCTTTTTACATAAATAAAACCACCTTTTTACCAGCATGTGAAATAAAATTGATCCGAAAAATGCATGGTCAGATGTCCTCAATTTAATATCGACTCGGGTTTGATTCTTTAAAATCAATGAATTTCATCATTTTCCTGTTAGTAATTTAAAGTTGGATTAGTTATTGTTTTATTTTTCCAGTATTCCAGTAAATGTTGACATTTCACCCGACGCTCTGGGTCAGGGAGCAGTCATGAGTGACCCTACCTACATATATATGCAAGATATCTATATTTTGCATATATTTTATAAAAACTCTGCTCGTCGGCGTAATATTTTGTCCCGATGTGTACCATCATCTATGATTTGCTTTGTCCTGAAACGGCTTCCGCAATGTCAGCAAAATAATATGTATTTATCTATTTACGCAAATGTTGACATTATTTTGCTACGACGGTATTTTATTTATTATAAAAAGCAGAGTACATACACAAGAGGATTTTTAACGTCATATATTAAAGACATCCTCTCTGGATAAGTGAATCATTCCAATTTTCTCACCAAGATTGTCAAGCTGTGCGTCGCAAGATGGCAAAATTAATAATTTTCGCGACATTGTTAATTATTCTGTACAATTGCAACTTGGGAGGAGCGGAAAACTCTGCGAACAACGATCCGAACCCAGGTATCTTATTTTACTACAAATTGTTATACATTCTAAATCAAAATTGTATTTTAAATTTTATACCGATTATCATAAATTTGACATTATTATTTTTTCTTCAAGGATTTAACTTCGACCTTTCCTCTGCTGGACATTTGCTAATCTCAGCCATCAGGTACGCCTTCCTGCCAGAAATTTCCAGTGTCGGTACTAATAACGTCCTCCCACAAATTCGACCTCCCACCACCACCACACACCAAACACTTCGTTACAATGGTACAACCCATCTTCGAAACATAATGAACGACAATTTCTATGGGGTAAGCAATTCCTATGCACATTACGCTATAAATTGACCATTTTTACCATATTGATAAGTTACTGCACAACTTATCCATTCTAGGGGTTTGGAATTCAAAGCAAAAAAAGCAGGAAATGTGCCGACATTTATCAAGGGAGTAGCAGCGACGGTATCAAATTGGAAATCTGGGAATGCAACGATGGGGATAATCAAAAATTCTCTCTTGGTTTTACCGTAATTTTTTTTTACAAAATTGATAAAATGTCCTTAAATACTTGTGATCAAAACGTAGTGGCAAACATTTTTCAGGGCCTCACCAACGTTGTTGGACCTATTTTACCAGGTGCTCTATGTTTTGGTGGCCCTTGCCAAAAATCACCTAGACCTTTGTTTCAAATTGTTGGAAAGCTATCGAAGAAATGCTTAGACGTGGCCAATTTGGGAACGGGCGATAATACCGACGTTATTCAATACGACTGCCAGACGCCACCAAGGGAAAATCAACTCTGGTACATGCAATGGTGGAAGGCAAGTTAAAAAATAATAAAATTATGATTTTCATAATCAACTTACAATAAGCCAATTAATTGCAGGACGACATGGGTCTCGGATATTTTTCCTTGGTGTCGAAAAACAGTGAAAAATGCCTCACGGTTTTTGAAGGGAAAGATGTCGACGGAGAAATCCTCAACATTTATACCTGCGGCCAATCGGACAATCAACTTTGGAGCTTTTATTAATTTCAATTCATTAATTTCAGTTTAAATAATCCACATGTTTTATAAAATATTTATTTACCAAATTAAAACCTACGGTGCAGAGTGTGCAGACTTTATTTAGCTAGGGTCAGATTCGGTTCTGATTTTTTTTGTTCAGATGACCTAATTGTGTGAAATTCAATGGACAAAAATTGGCATTCACATGAAACAGTAGTAATCATAATCTATTTTCCCATATATTTATCCAGCATGAAAAATCTGCACTCCTCGACCATTTAATAAAGCTATTGGACCCCTGATACAAAATTTCTAGAAATTTTCTTCACATTCATAAATCATATTTATTTATTTAATGTCAAGATGCACAAAATTGATGACCCATTAAAGAACATTTCAGCTTTGGTTTCACGCTCATAGTTGATAGTGACACGAATTAAATATTCAGACGACAAGTATTTATATTATGAAAATATTGTAGTTTCTCCAAAAAATATTGCAATGAAAAATAAATCAAAATCTGATCAATATCACATAAAAATTCTAAGAACGCTTTATTCTCTACTCTAGTAAACACAATCTCACGCCTTTCTTTAATTGTATGGTTTATAAGTTACGAATAATAACAACTATGAAAAATCCCATGTTTAACAACAACCTTATGAAATAATTCAATTTACTTAAAAGTAAAACAAACGTAAAATAATGATTTTAAAAATTCTAAAAACATCAACATAACCGGATAAAATTATGTATTCAAGGCTGCACTTTAGGTAAAGTTGATGCTTCAGTCGCATCCTGCTCATTTTTGGGAGGCCGAGTCATCCCTTTGAACAAATTCATAAAAGTGCACGTGTGTACGTGATCTGGGCATAGTTCACCCATGCTAGAGTACGGTGCTTCCATTCTGAGACTTGTTGCCCTATCCCAGGACCACAGCATTCGATTCTCCATCGTGTCACTGAAAAAAGATTAGATAGTAAGTAATCTTGTAGGTTATGATTTCCATTTCAAATCCAATCCACACCGATAATTAACTTAAAATTCTTACAAGAAACTAGCCACAGCGTCCATTGGCGTGTCACGAGTTGAATGTCCAGATGCCGTGTTGAAGAATACTTTGTTGTTGATTTTCGGATCCAAAATCATTTGCCAAGGATCTAAATATTGTCAATCATGGATAAATAATTGAAAGAATTTACTTAATATCATTGATTTACCTTTTGTAATTTTTAAAAATAAGAAGCCTCTAGGAAATATAATCGCCGAATCAGGATTATTCATGTCCATGGGGCATGTAGGTCTGGGTGTACCACCCCTGATGAAGTCGCGCCCCTTGATCCTATACATATTTGCAATTCAGTTAGTCACACATTGATTTTTTTTTACGTTGAGGTTACATTTCAAATCTTACTTTTCAATAAATAACAGCATCTGTTCCATGCGAATTAAAGGCTTGGCCCGAATTATCAACCTTTCCGGTATTGTGAGAGCCTGTGCAAATTTTTCTGCCATTTCCAGCCTATTGTAAAAAAAATTGCAGAATAACAAGTTAATAATAAGAGAATAGCAACTTGTAAAAAAATAGATTAATAATTTTTCGTACCTTCGGGTGTAATGCATATTTCGCAAATCCATGCCGCCTAACATTAATGCATCAATAATGTGAAGAACCATGTCGAAATTCTCTACTGGACCCGACCTTTCACGTACTTCGAGCCCAAACTCGCCATAGAAAAGAGTTTTTGACGGCATCATAATCGACAGCGCCTTAGCCTGGGTCGAAGCAGAAGTCCATCCTGTCCCATTGTACTTGAACAATGAATATCCTCCAAGGGCTAAAATAATAACGATTTGAGCATAAGACACTAAAAACGATTTCAAGTCAGGGATAACTTACACAGAAAAAATCCTCGATTTCCTGATACCCTACCCAATGTGGTTGGAACAGCACGCCAATCATATAGTGACTGGAATACTTGCAAGTTTCCAGGAACCACGTCAATATTATGTCGCTTGAGAATCGCTTAATAAATGTAAAAACATAACAATTAATTTGCCTGTATTTAAAAGCAAATAGTAATTTACTGACTTTTAACTTAATTTTAATTTCTCACCACTTTTCAAATCTCCTTGCAAAACTGCATTTGCACCATTTTCAGGCTGTCGTAACATGGCAGGCATAGGAATTTCCGCCGGGATGCACCAATGCTTCATTGCTCGTGTCTTTGCTTTCCACTGCATTGGTTCATTGTCCAAGGATTTATTCAATACAAAAGCAGCCATTCTTTTAAGGGTCGCAATTTGACTGCTAATCAACCTAAATTAGAGAAACAGTGGAATTAATTACGACAATGTAAATATACCAAAACCAAAACAATTATTTTATCGAGTCGAACCTGTTGTTACAATCGAAAAGATAATTATAAAACGGATCGTCCAGATTGGCAAGAACTGAGACAGGGACAAGTTCCAAAATAGCCTCGTTATTGTCAGCAGCATTCTTATGGACCCACATTTTCTCGTGACAATCCTTCAGATACTTCACGATGGGGGATGTCACGTTCTCTGACTTTTTCCATTTACATATCAAATACCGTTCCGAGTTTGCTTGTCGACTTGATACCGGTTTATGAATCGTGACCGTTTCGAAAGAGCAGTACATAAAGTAGATGAGCGCCACTGTGAAGGGTGTCACCGTATCAAAAAGTTTGCATACTACATGCCCCCCTACTCTGACGATAGCGAGTGCCACATAAATTTGTGCCAGGATGATGTGCTGGCTCAATAATTCTTGCATGTTCTCTTGCCCTGTCACGGAGAAGCCCTGGATAAATTTTAAATTAATCATAATTAATAATTATCATTTTATTTCAATTTTAATTAGTTTTCATTTGTCAACGTACCCCATCCGCCATCATGAGATGAACACCTTTATTCCCTGTGTTGGAGAGGACATGCTCGATGAAACCGGTCACGTTGATCGGAATGTAAATATCTCCGGTTCCAGATCTCCCATAAAATGTGTCGAATGTCTCCGTTTCAGCGTGGAGATTTTGAAGATCAAAATCCAACTCCCCCTTTAAAGTCAACCCAAATCCTTTCGCCTCCCATTTCTTCATCCACAAGATGTACCTAAATTATGCATTTAGAGAGATCAATGATTAAATATATTCAACTTATTAACATACCCCGGACAAATATTTTTTTATCCTACCCTACTCATGTTGAGCTCAACACGAGTAGGGTAGGATAAAAAAATATTTGGCCGGGGTATGCTTATTAATTAATTAATCAATTACTCGGTAAATCCTCCAGGACCAGCGCACACATCAGCAAAGTAGAACAAGTCCGGCAAGCCTAGAACGGGATGTCCATCTCGAGTCATTGGATTGGTTAGCTCGTGGTTCAGGATAGCATCCAGGTTCGCCATCTTCATTGCTGCTCGACACAAGAAGGGCCCCTTGTCCACTTTTTCGAACATGTTTCCTTTTCCCCGCACAATTCGATAGTCATCTTTGGGCATCTTTTGAAATAAGGCCTATGCATACATGGATTCATTCAATATTGCATGAATTAGTTGGTTTTGGGTAGTAGTAAGTGGTCTAGTAGTGGTGGTGTAAATAATTTATTTACCTTGCAATCTATCAACTCGTAATACAGCTCAGGGTCAATGAATGCTTTCTCCTCATCAATTTTCACTGAAGTTATCGGAGTCCCAATTTTTCTCCCGTCAATCAGCGTGTCAAACGTCAGCGCTGATCTGTCACTCGAAATAATCCACTTGACATCTTCCTTCAACGGGACGTCCTAATAATTACCACAAAACAATGAAGTCATAAATCCACACGGCATACCTTTAACTCTTATCTTACATCGACGTTCTGTAGTCTCATGTCGGCTGCACTGATTTGAAGTTCTTTGACGTCTAATTTAAATCCTTGGAGGGAAAATTTAGGAGCATTCGTTGGATTATCATTCCACACGTTTCTGGTCCTTCCTCCTCGTACCGGTGGCAGTGGGATTACTTGTGGCGGGGCTGGTTTGCCTAGTTTTGGGGCTGGTGCGACTTCTAATTACAAATATTAAGTTTTAATTTCAACAACATGACTATGAGTCAATTAGGAAACGAGATCGTACCTTGTTCTTCTTCTTCTTCATCATCGTCATCATGATAATTTCCATCACGCTGTTGCCGCATCCTATAAGCCGTGTTGGGAGATGGGCGTCTAAAAGGCCGTCCTACAATAATGCTAGGCGGCGGCTTTGGTTGATTAACCGTTGGCCGTGAAACGACCCCACTACTGGAACCTGCAACCTGATTAGGACTCGATATATTGCCCCTTTTTCGGTCATCATGATCCGAACCTGTGCACAAGGTACGGCTTAATTAGTAATAAGTTGATCAATTTTGATGAATCTTTTATGATTAATTAATGATTATTATGCGTAATAAATATGAAATATCGTACCAATAGATGCGTCCATTTTCCTTCGAGGCATGTTTATTGGTAGTATTTACACCGTGAAGAACAGGATATCAATTCAAAATATTCAATTTTAGTAGAGCAAACAAAATTCCAAATTTCAACGAGGAGTGAACTCTGCGCGTGTGACTGCCACGAGGAGAGAGAGAAAATGCCTCCGAGTTTTTGAAGCTCACCGGTTCGCAGTCTCGTGCTCTCCATTGCATGGGGCTATGCAATACTTTACATTATGTACTGCTAATATAGATTTTTTACCCCCAGAGTGATGACTGATGATGATAAGTGACTTATCATGAACTGTGAGTCACAGTCTGTGACATGGACAATGCAATGCTGAATGAAATTAAGTTTCCGATGAATGGTAACAATGTGCAAATTAAATTTTATTTTCAATTAGAATCAACATTATTTTTCAAAATAATTATTATTTTGTCAAAATACTGCATTTCGACAAAGCATTTTCGCAACCAGAGACATTTTCTTCTTAAAATTACAATTTTTACATGAAATCAAAATTTAAAATAAATTAGGAAAAGAACAACAAGCAGCCCACTACTCCACCTGAAATTCGATATAATACCAGCAGCGTGTGACCGTGAGCTATCTCATTTGGATTATTTATAAGATACCATAAGTATAGTTTGGATATATCACATAATGATGACCTTGACCAGTATAACCATAATTCTGGTGAGAAGAAATCGTTGTGGGGGTCAACAAAACGTAAGTTACTATTTTATCAATCAGCACAAATTCCCCTTCTCCATCGGGATGCAATTCAATCTAAAAACATAATAATATGCATTTCATTTCATTTACATAATTTTCATATTTTGTAGAAAAATAACTAAGATTTATTTCCTCAAGACAAAAAAAACTTACCACATAATCATTCCCAATGTTATCTGTGGAAAACGTCATCCACCCGTCTTCTTGGTCTCCTGGCCTCCGTCTCAAAACGATGGAGTTACCAATTCGTATATATGCATTTTTATGAAGGTAGTACGAAATTTCCATCTTTCTCAAAATATGTGAGTTTCCCAATTTTATTCGTGCATAGGGCTATGGAGGAAGTCGAGAGTGGTACGCGACCCAGACTCCATCCACACCCCCAAAGTTGGAAAAGGTAAAGTTTGATGTTTCCGAAACGTTTTGAAAAAATTCTTCCGCATGTGAAGAATTAGTCAGGTCTGTCAAGTTGTCAAAGTAAAAGAACCAGTCGTCATACCGAGTCGAGCTGACGTACCAGCCGTACTGTTTCGAATCACAGAAGGTGTCCAACTTTTCGCGTGGAATTGGGTCGATATTTTCTGTCGTGTTGGTGGTGCTAATGAGACCGTCGCAGTTCGGCTCTCCATTTGTGGAAACGATGATTAAAAAGAAGGTGACGATTTTTAAACGGCTCATTTTTGCACAAATTATGATATCAAGTGGAACAATTAGCCAGCTTCTTGGTGGAAAATATTGTCAATTGAGCTATTTATGTAGCAACCCTTCCAGTAAAATTATCCAGGTGCAGAGAAAAGCCAGGTGCAAGTAACATGTGAATGAGATGATAAGCGTGAGAACTCACACACTGGTAGATAACAACAAGTTCATTGTCAATAATTAATAAAGAAACAATTTGGTGGATAATCGATAAGTCTGTTATACAACGCTTATACAACATATTTTGTAATGAAATTATATTGTTTTGCATAAATTAAGTATGCAAGTTACAATTGATTGATATTATACAAAATTATGTACAAAATTCTACACCATGTCGGCAACCAATTCTACCCGTTTTATGTAATAATACGAATTTCTTCTTGTTAAAAACTCTCAAAAATTATGTATGTGCAACTCAGTCTGTCCATCAGTCCAAAATTTTAAAAGTAATCTTACTAAAAATTACATATTCAAAACTAAAGATAATTAAATGGTTTTCTTTTCCGAACGTGTCTTATCTTCCTCGCGTCCGGGACAAAATCTGAGCATCCGTACCACCATTCGCCGGCAGAGCGAGGATAAGATGCCGCCTGGTAGATAAGAACTTCTTCAATTACGTAACCATTAAAAATTTAGTAGATCCATTTACCTCAATATCCGAATCTGGATCGTGAAACTGCCAATATTCTCCCCCTTTAAAAATATATGATCTTCCATTCGGAGCTCGAAACGCGTCGTCGATATCGTCCGGTATTCCTGGCCAATTTGTACTAATTCTTTTCGGATAACCTTCGATAAGGTCGTTATTAGCTCGTTTCCTGCCGTGGTGATGCCTCACAACTCTGGCCGGTTTTACGCTTACGGGAACGCCCCTTTTATTCGGGGTGTCAAAATTATACCTCCAGTAGCGGTTTTTCTTAAAGAAATAAACCATATTGTTCCACGACCAGGTGAAGCTTGCGTCTAAATTGTTCGGAATTCCGAGAAAGTTCGGGGCAATCTTTTTCGGATAACCGGAGTCCATTTTGGTACCGGTTGACCTCCAGTAAAGGCGTCCCTGTTGATCCCAAAATTAATTTGTAATACAAATTTTAACCAAATTTTGATATTTTTGAAAACCCCAACCTTGAAAAAATACGTTTTTCCCGTCCCTATGGTCAAAACGGTGTCTAAATTCGAATCCAAACCGTGAAACGTGTCATTTATCTGTTTCGGGTACTCTGCATAGTCGATCGGTTTCCCCATTTCGAACCGGAAGTAATACTCTCCTTTAAAAATGTAGACGAATCCGTCGCCCAGGGAGGAAATTGCGTCGATCGAGCCATTCATGCATAAATCTACTCTCTCCGGATTCGAGATCATCATCCCGGCAAACTTGCGGAACTTTTGGGGATACGATTTCACTACGTTTTCTTCACTTTTGTCCAAATCCTTAGAAATTTTGGGACCATAAAGTGTCTAAAATGTGTACAGTGGGAAAATTAGTTAATTTTTACGCCATACATAATTTCTTCCTCCACGTTATCAAGTGTTTCTTTTAATGCGAGCTTGCTACATTTTTTGCACTATAAGCCAAGCAATGCAAGAAATGCAAGGTACGAGAAACTGCAAGATAGTGCAAGAAATATGCGCCGCATGAACTACAGCGCCTGAAAGTAGTTTCATGCGCCTTGCATTTCTTGCAGGTCAAAATCCCTGCAAGAAACCACTTTCCTGTCGTTATTTCTTGCAACTTGCACCACCCGAGATTTCTCACCTGAATTGCATCAATGTCCGCCACATGAAGTTGTAGCTTATCCTTAAAACCTTGATACATCAAGTACATAACGGACTTTTTCTCCTTGGACTAAAATTTCAAATTAAAAGTAAATTAAAGTAATTAAGAAATTAAATAATTAATCAATATTACATGTCCAAGTCCTAGCGCATGTCCAATTTCATGAACCGCCACGGTCCTAAGATTATGCCCATGACGAGCATTTGCTGTCCTGCAATAAACAGTAAGAAATTTTTGAACTATTAATATTTTCTAAAAATAAAAACAACTAAACCACTCACCATTTCTCCGCATCATCGAAATGAATATCTGACCTGGCCGGATAAAAGGCGTGTGCTAGAGTTTTACTCGGACCGTCGAACGATTCTTCGTCACCGTGATCTCCAGTGACAAAACTGATCTCTATATCCGGCTAAAAGTCAAAATATTCATATTTTACTAATTATTTACTTAATTATTCCCCCGAAAATATTTAAATACTCACCTTGCCTTCCCAAATTTTTTTAAACGTCAGATTCGCCTCTCTCTCCCAGTACCGGAAAGCAATATCAATCTCTTTTTGCAACGTTTTTGGCTTGAGATTCAGCGACGATGAAAATTTCGCAACACGATATGTTAAAACGCGTTTATTCCATCGGACGCCGGGGGACGAGTCGTCTCTTTTCCTTCTTCGTCTTTTACTAAAATCGTCACTATTTCGTCCCAGATATTCGTCCCCTTCGGCGACACGGGCGTCTCGATTGCCACATCGCGGCTTGTTCATTTCACGGAGTGTGACACTGTTCAGTTTCCCGTTTGTTGGAAGGTTGGCGAAATCTTGAAATTCTTTCACGGCTTGACGCGCCTCGTTGAGATGGACGGTCGAGTCGGTCTCAAGATCGTGCAAATAGCCGAAATGGGAGAGATAAGTCTGAACAAAAAAATAAAAGTTAGGATTGACGTAATTATTAACGAGCGGAACGAAGTGAGGCGTAGTTATTGCAATCGATTTGTCTGTCCATCTGTCAGCACGATAACTTTTGAACAAATCAACTTTTTAGAATTCTGCTTTCGGATACCTACATTTTATTTTAAAAGTCGGAGGGAATTCGTTAACTGACCTTGTAGGTCAAAAGGTCACGGTGGCACGGTGATAATGACAAAGGTGAAAGGTGTCCCATTTTTTAATTTCATGGTTTTCGACACAGTTTAGGGCGGGGATTTCAGAAGTCACCATAATTTAGACGTGCATTGACCTGGGGACGAGGTCAAAGGTCATAAGATGCCTAAACGTCAAAAATGTCAAATTTTCCTAGCAAATAATGCACCTCAACGCACTCCGTTTCCGCGAGTTTATTATATCTGTTGTTCGATTTTATTTCTTATCAAGTTATTCACTTACCAAAGCATCCCCCGCCGTGTCGATGTGATACTGGGTGCAAGTGCGTATCATGAAAGAGAGGGTGATAAACGCAACGGAAAGGTCAGAGGTTAACTTGACTATCGACAGCCTCATTTCGTTGGATTTGATTTACTGGCAGTTTGTGTCACTATTAATTTCACATTAAACAACAACTTGTAAGTTTTGCAGGTTTTTATAAAATTAGTTTAACGAAAACGTGAACAGCTTATTTTCTCACTAAAAATTCGTACTCAACAAATGAACACGAAGCAGACGAAGAAAAATGATAACTTCTTATCTTCTCTTCTTCTTGATATTTGTTTTGTGTTTTGTATTTTTCAACCAAACAATAAAAAAAAAGTTATCAGCTAAATTATGTCATCCTCCAAGATGAGACTGAACTCCTTATCACAAAATGAGTCCAATTAATTGCCAATTTATTTCCTTAACACGTCCCATTAACGTTTAATGGACACTTTAAACTTCACCTTCTACCTCGGATGACCACCGACTTGTGTAACATTTCAAAAAAGAAAACTAAACTATTTTTCTTGCAGAAATAAAAGAACACAGATCACAATCTCACAAATACTAAATATCATGACCACGAGACATGCATCCTTTTCGTCTCAACCAGTTTTATCCAATTTTGTCCAAAAAAGTTACCCAAAAATCAAATCAATTTTGACACTTTTATTGTTTCAAGAAAGGAAAAAATGTCAATTTATGAACTCGTTCACTCACTCACATTGTCTTCTTTTCCAGTTAGTTACATACGCTATAAGCGATTAATTAGTTTTGTAGTCAAGATTTGGTAATATTTAAGTGCGAGGCAACTTGAGACTTTATATCTTTACGATCTTGTTTCAATAACAATAGTCAAGATTTTTAGTAATATGAGGCAACTTGAGATTTACGATCTTGTTTCTCCAAAAAAGAACAGAACACTTTTCCCTCTTTATGGACAATATTATCGTAATTGTTTTGTTTATGAAATTTTTATCGGACCAGATTTTTTATCTGCGTCAGTGGTCAAGATTTGGTCACTCGACACCAGACCACGGACTAAATAATATGTAAGACGAACGGATGAGTGAGGTTGACGTTGAGGTGGTCAACGCAATACTCGACTAGTTTATGTAATGAATGAATGGTTAGTTTGACTTTAACTTGTGAATTGATGAACTTCTCAAGCAAGTCACACATTATCCCAGCAAGTGACGAGGTGGAAAAGTTGAGTCATTTTTAGTAAGTAAGAAACACATGTATTTATGTAAGACACGTTAACACAATGCAATGATGACCATTTTTTACGTGGTGAGTCGACCCGTTGTGTATTCGTGGAATGCTCAATGAAGTTTTATTGAGGGAAATTTGTCAAGTATTATAGCGTCCGAGATGCGAGAATAGATGCAGTGACGCATATGCAAAACTGGTCAAAAATCAGTAAGACTCGAGAGAAGTTTAGTTTAAAACTGAAATGGTGCTCAAAAAGTTTTGAAAACCTGGGCTTATTTTTTAAACGAATGAGATAATGAGTTTTACAGATATTTGGACAAAAAAATCCAATCCACTAACTCATGCATATTAAGAAAAGTAGTGTGACCCAAGATAAATATATGCATTATTACATGTCTGACCCTTCAAAAAAGTTCAAGTGGATTTCCAATCAGACGGAGACAGTCATCTTTCCGCATAAATTATCTATGGCGTCATTTAGTCTTAACCTTTTTCATTTTTAATAATTGCAGGTAATTGTGTTTACCTTCACGTCCTGGGATTGATTTTTATGGCGTCTACAAAACCGTGTTGATATCAATCTTAAACTAAATAAAATCTTAACTTTTTTTCAGAAATTAAAAAAAAATTAAACATTAAGTCTCAACGTGGTCTCAATTCACCTCAACCTTTACATTTCTCTTTGTAAAAGCAATATTTGCATAAAAGGAACTAAAATAAGTGCTTCCAACCAGTTGATTATTTTGATGACTTGCATTACTTATTCATTATTTACGTGTGTGTTGTTAGCTCATATTTTATGTACACATATGCATTTAACCTGCAATATGCCGACTCCTTGACTGGGCAACTTACATAAATAATGCATTTTTCCTTTGTCAACTTGTCGTCTTCCATCTCTTGTAAGGTATAAATACATAAATACGAATGTAAATGTATGTAAGAAATTCAAAGTCTCAGATTTTTAACCCTTTAATAATTCCTACAATAAACCACTTATTTACCTGTCTCGACCGCAGTGGAAGTTCCACTGTGGAACTAATCCCGGATTAAAATTTTACAGCACGAGCTAGCTAACAAACTTTAACATAAACTTTAAAAAATGTGAAATGTCTTAAAAATGTCTCATTATGGACAACTTTAGCCTTTTAAGTGCATTATTATATTGCTCGTTAAAGAAGTGGTCCTAATTTTTATGTCCATCTGCATGTGTATGAGTGACAATCATGTCATCACAGCATCGTCACCTCTCTGGCGACAATTTGATTGACACCTGTTTAATCTGATTTAAACAACATAAATCTTTTTCTGATTTTTTTAAAACTTGACGTCAACAACACGGTGAATCAAGTCGTCTTGCAGGTCCAGGAAAAAAATGACGTGCCATATTTGGGCATCATAATTGAATTGTCGTCCAATTTATGGAAGATAATCTAAATATTTTTTGTCAAAGTTAATTAATTTAGTGCATCTCGACTCGACTGCAAATAAATATGTAAACGTGGGATATTTTATACATAGAATTTAGATTTTTTAGCATAGATTGGCATCTGGACACCATTTTTTTCTACATCTTATACATTTAATTCTGCAACAAAGAACTCTGAACTGGTTCAATTACTATTTAACGCTGTATTTTTTTAACTTATTTAAGTATTTAATTGCTCCAACTCATAAATTTTAGTATAAATATTTTTAATTGACAGTTTTAACTCTTTTTCTCTCGAGATGGATAAACAAATTAGATTGATTTAACTTCTGAAATGTAAAAATGCAACTAATTGGCAATGCATTGAGACGCAATTCGTATGCACATTTGCAAATTAGTATCGGCAGGAATACATATTCTGAACAATACAATTCTTGTCAGAATATTTATATGATTTACGGAACTCATATCTACCTGAAAGTGGCATTATTACTGCGAAAAATTTGCATAATCTCATCAAACCTTCGTACTTACCTGTCAACCACTCAATAACACGAGCATATCGTCAACTTCAGTAATTAGTGAGGCATAAAATGGCGATTTGCCATGCCAGTCAATAAATTAGATTCTTAATTGAAGGTTGTCACTGTTATAATTGGTTTCGTCTCGTGGGATTTGACGAATATTTAGCGCAGAAAATATACATAAATGCATTTCATGTAAGTAATACATAGAAATCAGGCTTCTGCAGCAGCAACAAACTGCATAAATAAATGGTCTCTTAATAACTCTTGTCTCCAGTGGCCGCGGAAGGGTGTGGGGACAGAGGGACAATGTCCCCACGATTATTCGATGTCCCCATCATCTGCCCATCTTATATAAACCCCTCCTTCCCTATCCTACAATGTTAACGTCCCCAGACTTGTCCCCACCACTTCCGCGGCCACTGCTCGTCTCATAAATTGTTGCCTGTTTTCCGAGGAATCCCCAAACAGAAATTAACTACTAGAACCACATTCTTGTCCTTACTCGGTAAATTAATTCTCCAAAGTTGAATCATTCAAGTAGGTATTTATTCATGTAAGTCATCCAATTTCATACGAATCCATGAATTTAATTAGTTAGTTACTGACCACATACTTTTGTGGTCTGGTTAACTGTGAACTATTTATTGTCCTCAATTAAAACCCATCTCCCCCAATAAATAAGTAAATACATAATTGTCCATTAATATTTTCTTAATTATTTTTAGCCCAACCACCCCGTTATTTTTTTGAATTTATAGTCCACATGTCCCACAACCCCCTTGACCACGTTGGACACGGCGTCCACCGCTTTTCGGATGAATCCTCTCTTTAATTCGCCAGCTTCGGGACGATACGCCGTACATTTGAACCACATGACTCGGGACGATTGCGGGTATGGAGGATCCGTTTCGGCCACCTGCAGGAATTCACGGTTACATAAATAAATTATTATTAACACGCCGACTTTAGTAAATAAAATCCAGTTTTAGTCTGAAAAGCAGGTTTACTTGATAAATAAAGCTGTCAACTTAATTGTGTAAGGAAATTAAGCCGTAAATTCTTAATAATTGGTTGCGCACAGAGGAAAGAAAAAACTACCTGAAAGTTGTCATCGTCAAAAAGCCAGTAGTTGTCAGCTTGGAAAAAGTACGTCGGACCGGCCGGCGAGGTGAAGACAGCGTCCAAATTTTTGGTAGGGAGTCCATACCATTGCGAAATTGGGAGGGGGTAGCTCTTCCCCACGGGGGGATTGCTGGTAGGGTCGAACGCCCAGTATTTGTCGCCTGGATTAATTAGTTAATTGGGTATTTAACTAACTTGTAAAATTGTGGATGTATTTGTATGTATGTACTTTTGAAAAAGTAGATGTGGTTATCGGACGACCAAGTGAATGCTGAAATTGTGGGAACATTTCAAAATTATGTAAAATTTTCTTTGCAAATTTTTAATCATGTAACCCACCAGCATCCAAATTGTTTGGAATTCCTGGAAAATCTTGAGCAATTAAGCGTGGAAATGTACCATCCAACTTTCTATTGATGAATCTCCAGTACTTGTCGCCCTACATATTTGCATATTATACCAAATGATAACTGGTTATCTTATACGATAAGGGTGCACACCTTGAAGAGGAAAGTTTTCCCTTCAAACGTCAACGCTGCATCGACGGGTCCCACAGCGCTGTAGAAAACGTATGAAATCAGGTCCGAACTCTGCACCCCACCACCGTTGGGGTCAATTCGGAAGGCATAGTTTCCTAAATATTTAAAGTTCAGAAACTTAAAAAAATGCTAGAATTTAAACAATCAAATTCTTGTTCGATACCTTTAAACACGTAAACTGACTTATCTCCTAGCGTCGTGATGGCGTCAATTTTCGAATCCTTGCACAAATCTGGCTTTACACTATTGTCGGGAACCATTTCCGTTGTTGATGTTTCTGGTTCTTCCGTTTCCGTTTGTGTGGGTGGTGGCGTAATTTCTGAGGTGCTGCTACGGAGCGATGGTTCTGTCGTTGTAGTTGTTTGCTGATTTCGAGTACCGTACATTGACTAATAAAATGTAAAGAAAAGATGGCACATTTATTTTTTGCTGGCTTTTAATAATTGCAGTTTTTAACCTGAATTCCCTCCACGTCATCCTCATGCAGTTGTAAATTTGGTTCGAACGGTCTCGCAAAAGCGTACATGATGGCTTCTTCGATATCTTCGTTATTAAGTTCAGACATCAATTAGTTAATTGTTGAGGTGACAAATACTTTAAACTACCAGAATGTCTCAACCCTAGTGCATGTCCTAGCTCGTGAACAACGACGTGCATAAAGTTGGTCCCCTGGTACTCTCCAGAAGTCCATTCTTCATCATCTGCAAATTTGCAATGTGCAAAATTTTACTTTTTTCCCTAAAAATCACGATTCTCCCCCAATCATAATAGGTCGCAATGCACCAGAAAATTTGGTTGGACCATGGACCACAGAGAAAATTGGTCCATTGACCGTTTGGACCCTGGACCATAGACCAATTTATTGCGAGCTATACCCCCCAACTAAATATTACCATCGAAATGAATATCCCCCCCAATCTCCGGTCCTGGCGGAAAAGCATGCGCCAACGTAATCCCCCTTCCATCAAACGGTTCTATATCACCATGCACCGATTTCGCAAACTTTAACTCAATATCCACCACGCCACCTGGACTCTTTACGAAATGTAAATTCGTAGCGTTTCCCCAAAGTTCGAAAGCCCTGTCGACCTCTCGCATCGTCACTTCGGGTGAGAAATCCGTCTCCGAAAATTTTGAGATGCGATAAGTCAGCTCTCTCTTTTGCCAGAAAAATGCCCCCGCCACGTAGCGTTTTTTCCTCCTCAACAAATTCCCCAGGCCAAGATTTTCCCCGTCGATTTGAATAATATCCTTATTTCCGCATCGGGGCGTGTTCATCTTCTGCTTCGTTGCGGCGTCAAATTCTCCAGAAACGGGGAGTTTCGCGTACTGTTGGAATTTCGTGAAGGCGATTTTCATCGCGGACACGGCCGGATTTCGGGGGTCGAAGGAGGTGAAGGACGGCTGGAGGAGAGACACGACTTCATTCAGGTTCTTCAAGTAGCCGAATTGGACGAGGTATTTCTAATCAGGGCGGAAAAAATGGGGGTTATCATTTCAAGTTTTTTTGCAAAAATTGTACAGAATTTGCATGAATATTTATTTACCAAAGCGTCGGTCAAAGTGTCAACTCGGGCATATTTTAGTTGAGCGTGGGTCGTCGGTCCGAAGAAAAGTTGGAGTACGACGATCGAGAAGAGAGCAAATAGTCTCATTTTTTAATCGGATTTTAAATATTCTTATCAATTTATTAGGAACAAACTGAACGATAATTAACAATTAATTATAATATAATTTTTAAAAATTTCCAATTTTTCCAATATTCAAAAAAACACCAAGCTATTCCCCTTTTATGGTGCCATGTTGACCGCACCGACTGACTCGTGACTGATATGAATCAAGGGTTTACACATATGATGTGCAAAAATTCCAACGAAATCTGCAATTAAGATGTACACTCACTCACCCCTGTTACATAATTATTAGTTTGAGTTCCTACTCGTCACACAATTATTTACAAACTGGTCTTCTCTACTACTTAAGTTCTAGCCGACAATTAAAGCTACTTTGAGATTCATGCAAATTTTTTATGTATGCAAACGGCTTGTTAAAGGACAAAGTAAGGATAATAGAATTAGGTACATTGAATTGACAAGGCCTCACTTTCCTGACACAATAATAAATAGCTTGCAAATTATCTTTTTCCTAAAACCGCAACCAAATCGACATCCCTTTCATTCTTAAATCGATTTAAATAGATCTGTCCCATTTTCAACGTGTGGTTTTACTTTTCGTTCTTTGTGGCCAATTAAAAGCTGCTGGAAATATAATTGGCGAAAATGTGCAAAATAATATCCATATTATAATTTGCAACAGGTTCATTCATCCATACTACAAATGTATATTTTATTTCACTATATACCGAACTCATTGCAATTCTCACTCACATAGCAAATAATCTCAATTTTCGACAAGTTAAGGTCATTAGATTTACACGACTTACCAAAACTCTGCAAAATTTGCATCAGAAAAAAATTCTAAAACTTATAATTCTTATTTCTAACAAATATGCAAATGTGGACAAGTGTCACACATCATTTGTGATAAATGTGGTGTATTACATATGCACATAAATAAATGTGTATGAAATTTTCACTGTGATTCACAGTCTGTGAATAGCGTTCATGAAAAATCTCAAAATTCCTAATAAGCAAGTCTCATCCAGTGAGGACATTTTACAGTAACCATGTCGATCTCATCTCATTTTGCCTCCTGCCAAAAACCGTATTGCAGTTTTTCCTTCCTCTTTCTTATGTACATACAAATGTACATACCGGCTCATGTACATACTCTCTTTGCTGGATTTAACCCTTTCATTTCACCAAAACTATTACGTCCCATGTCGTGTTAGCTACATATATATCGATCCTCGTACATATTACTTACTTAAATTAGGTTCTCTCTTCTGCCTCTTAAAACATAAAACAACCGGTTTTGCCCACTCTTCAAGTCTTGTGGTCTGTACATAGCCTGCTAAATTTTATTAATATGACATGACAGCCTGCCTGCCAGCTTTACATACTAAACCTCAGCAGTTAAAATAATACACCATCCGATTACACAATCTTTTATATACGGAAAATTTGTTCACGTGAGTGGTTTGGTTGGACTGTCGTTAAGTGAGTTCTCAAAGTGAACTTGGTATTAGTCAATCATTTAACTGCTCTGCTAACTCTATTTCTTCCAATTCTTCCAGTTATTAAAGAGTCAACTAACAAATAAAGATCAAAATGTCCACCTCTAAATTCTCCACGGTCGAGGCCGGCCCTCCCATCGAAGTTTTCGCCTTGACCCAGGCCTTTACCAGTGACACGTTCGAAAAGAAGGTCAACTTGGGCGTGGGAGGTGTGTGAATAGCATAAAAACAGACACAAATGTTGAATAAGTTAGCTTTAACCATGTTCTAAATTACTTAAATTTAGCGTACCGGACGGAACAATCGACCCCGTGGGTGTTACCGATCGTTCGGAAACTTGAAGCCGTCATGGCGGCGGATACCACATTAAATAAGGAATATCTTCCAGTCCTCGGCTTGCCCGCGTTCGCCCAAGCAGCGACCAAAATGCTGCTGGGGCCGGAGTCTAAAGCCATCCTGGAGGGGAGGTATTTACCAAGCCAATTTAATTTATTACTTGATTAGCGTAGGACGAGATTATTTATCGTCAAAATCAATACGTTTTTAGTCATTTCTCGTCTCTGGGAATTTATTTTAAAATTCTGGATGACAAATTTCTAAGTTGATTAATAGAATTTCGATGAGGTTTTAAGCCGGTTTTAATTTTTAATTTTTCTGAAGGCTTCTTAAACTTAAGATCTCCTCCAAAAAGTGTCAAAATCTGAAGTGTATATTTTTACAAAATTTGGAACAGCCTTCTCTACAAATTTGTCATCCGGAATTTTAAAATAAATTCTAAGAGCCGAGAAATGATAGGTTGACTCCATAAAATTATTAATATACAATTTAAACATTAATAGAGCCGTCGGAGTCCAAAGTCTCAGCGGTACGGGGGCGCTTCGCGTCGTGGGGGAATTCTTCGCAAAGACGCTCGGTGCTACCATGATCTATTCGAGTGACCCGACCTGGGGTGAGGAAATGCAGATTTATTTGTCAAGGTCAAGGTCACTGACTTGTTCTTTTTCCGCAGAAAACCATCGCCTCGTATTTCTTAACGCTGGTTTCACCACATATTCCTCCTACGCATATTGGGACCCTGTAAAAAAGGCGCTCAACATTGAAGGTTGCATCTCTCCAAAATTTCGACCGTTTTCAAAATTTCAAACTGCTTCTCGTTTTTTCAGGAATGTTGGCCGATTTAAACGCCGCTCCTCCAAATTCGATCATCATTCTTCACGCATGTGCCCATAATCCTACCGGGGTTAGTTTTTATTTGTGCATAAACTTTCACCTCAAAAGTGTAAACTTTCACTTTAAAAATTTCTGAAATTAATTATTCAGGTCGACCCTACGCAAGACGAGTGGAAACAAATCGCCAAGGTCATGAAAGAGAAGAAGTTGTTTCCCCTCTTCGACTCGGCTTATCAAGGCTTCGCTTCCGGAGACTTGGACGCTGACGCCTGGGCCGTCCGATACTTTGAGCAGGAAGGCTTCGAATTCCTCTGCTGTCAAAGTTTCGCCAAGAATTTTGGATTGTACAGTATGTCCCAATTATCTGTTCCATTGTGTATCTCATGCATAATTTATGAGTAAAGGTGCATTTATACTTTACTCCTTGATAACTTGCGCCGTAGTTAAATTATAACGTTGGCGCAAGTTACCAAGTAGTGAAGTATTCATAAACCCACCATAACATAGGACTTCATGATGACTCTTTCACTAAAATCGTTAAAATCGGCACATGTCTTGTCATTTCTCGGCTCTTCGAATTTATTTTAAAAATTTGGACGCAAGTCGTAGAACAAATCGTTAGCAATAAAAAAAATAGGTATACACTCCAGATTTGGAAAGTTTTTGAAAGATCTCTCAAATTTAAAAAGCCTTCAGAAAAATTGAAAGTAATCGTAACAGACTTAAAAAATTCACCGGCATTCTATTAATCCACTTATTGACTACAAATTTGTCGTCCAGAATTTTAAAGTAAATTTCCAGAGCCGAGAAGGGATTAAGAAATGTGTTGTTTTGACAATTTTGATAAATCAAGTCCCATGTACGCTAATTGTAAGCCTAACAATTCATTTTTCCCATGATAGACGAACGTATTGGAAACATCACAATCGTGACCAACGATAAAGACACGCTGCCCAAAGTCCTCTCACAAATAACCCTCATCATTCGTGGGATGTACTCCAACCCTCCACAACATGGCGGGAGAATCGTCGCAATGGCGTTGAACGATCCAGAATATTTCGCCGAATGGAAAGGTTGCATTCAAACGATGGCTGGGAGGATTAAAAAGATGCGCGCCGGACTGAAGGAAAGGCTCGAAAAGTTGGGAACGCCCGGAGATTGGGGTCACGTGACGAGACAAATTGGAATGTTTAGCTACACGGGATTAAATGGTGCGGAGATTAAATGAGATGAATAATAATTAATTAATGCACTAATTTCTTAAATTTGCATATTTTTTCAGTCCCGCAAGTCGAGTATCTCAGAACAAACTATCACATTTACATGCTCAAATCGGGACGAATCAATATCTGCGGACTGACCGAGGCGAATCTAGATTATGTTGCGGCGTCAATTGACGACGCGGTCAGAAAGGTGCCGGCATGATTGCTGCTGAAATGCAAGAGTTATATAGTGGAAAATGCAGAGAGATAAGAAAATAGATCCATTACCAAATTAAATATTTAGATTTGTTGAACTTAATTTTGATCAAATGCATATCATAAACAAGATATAAGAGCTAAAATAAAACCAAAAAAGCTTATTAGATTATTATGAATATAATACACGTGATCGATTTGTGGATTAATTTAATAAGAATAGTCATCATCCGAGTTCGTTATGATGGGGCCGGGAAATAAATTTCTAATGTCTCGGAAATCAGGTCGCCTTGAACATCCAAACCATGAGACTAGCGACGACCTTGGATAAGGTGGCGAAGACGTTGCCGCAATCTGAAAATAATTGAAAGATATATAAAATTCATGACTTCGAGTCAACATCCACGCATGCGCACCTTGAACGTCGTAGCGTCCAATCGATAATAAAGAGAATCATGGAAAAAATATAGTTCGCCATTCGGCGCCGTAAATGCAGCGTCCACCCCGTGGCGAAATCCCCAAATGTGGGTTGGCAGAGGGTAAAATGGCGACACGTGGGGCTTCTTTTTGGGGTCAAATCGCCAAAACTTGTCGCCTAAATAATTCATATGATTCAAATTCATAATGAAACGTTATCCAGAATTTAATGGCGGTATATGAAGTATGTAATTTGCCTTTTGTAAAGTAGAATTGTCCAAACCACACGAAAGCTGAGTCGACATGGTCCGGAATTCCACGGAAGTGATGGACCATAACTTTCGGATAACCAGGGTCCATCCTGGTGCCGGTGAATCTCCAATATTTGCTTCCCTTAAATTGAAGCATAATTATGTTTAATTAAACAAATTATTATGCAAATATTTAAACAAAGTTATATAAATTAGCGCACTTTAAAAAAGTATGTTCGACCATTCTCTCGTGTCGCGGCGGCATCTAAATTCGTCTCCAGGCCGGGGAACGTGTACCCGATGTGGTTCGGCCATCCAGGCAGGACCCCTTCGCCTGTCGGACTTATCTGAAATACGTACGCGCCTGGAAATAATAATCATATTAATTCAAATTCAAAATTCCTACTAAATTCTCTGGTCGTCACCTTTGAAGACGTAGATCTTATTATCGTTCAAAGTCGTGATGGCATCAATTTTTCCACCCTGGCATAAATCTGGACGACCAGTATTAGGATTTCCCGAAATTTTTGGAGTTTTCCACCTCTCATCGACTTCCACGTCCTTCCAATATCTCGTAGTGGGAGGCAATGTGGTCGTGGTCGTTCTGGGCGTTGTTGTCATCGTTGTAGTCGTCGTTCTGGGCGTCGTCGTCGTTGTCGTTGTCGTCGTTCTGGGTGTTGTCGTTGTCGTTCTGGGCGTTGTCGTCGTTGGTGGAGGTGCTGTTTGCTGCGGTAATATTTTCTGCGGTCGTAACACTTCTCGCTTCCCATAAATTGCCTGAATCCCGTCAATGTCATCTTGATGAAGTTTCAACTTTGGGTGATAACCTGATAATTTTTGGTTGAAAGTAGTTTAGTTTTTTTGAAGTTATATTAACACAGATTTGACTTTACTACCTCCGTAAAAGGCCGCCATGATAGCTCCTTTTGTAGAAGAATGACTTAGACCTGCAGCATTTTAGTTATTTATTTAATTGAAATATTAGGAAGTAATTATCTTAAGTATTTAATAAATAGTGACGTGACTAAATATGTACCTAATGCGTGCCCAATTTCATGGACAGCGACGAACAGTACATCGGTACCCTTTTCAATTTTAAAATTATTTTAAAACTCAAAATTGTTTTAAAATTCGAATGATAATCATAATTAGCCATTTAACTTTTACCTTTGGGGAGTGAACATGCCAATTTTCTTCATCCTCGAAGTGCACATCTCCCGAAATTGAGGACTCTCCCGGAGGGAAAGCATGAGCCAAGACTTGACCAGGACCGTCGAACGGATATCCATCTTGGGGATGATTTCTCGTCGTAAAACTTAGCTCGATATCAACCTAGAAGAAATTACACACTTATCATCAATTCGTCATTTTATTATTATTTAGCCAACCCACGCACCCTTTTTTCTTTCGGTCTGTACGCAAAGTCTAAATTTGTTACGTCCGACCACATCTGGAAAGCGGTATGAATCGCGTCAAGGACTTGTTTTTCCGTCACGTGTTTCTGCATTTCTTGCGAAAACATGCCCATCCGATAAGTCACGGAGCGTTTCGTCCACTTCAATCTGTGCTGATTTAGGACATATCGTTGAACCCGATTCGTCTCGAGATAATAGCTGTCGTCGTCGTCGGAATAATTCTGCAGGGGGACGCGCATCATGTCCTTGTTCCCGCAGCGCGGCGTGTTCATCATTTCGACCGTTTTCGTGTCAAGTTCTCCCGTTTGATCGATTCCGCACATTTTTTGAAACGCCATCAGCGGAGGGACGGCTTCCTTCATCTCCATGGATCGTGGCATATCGTCACGCTCGATGTAGCCGAATCGTTCCAAGTACATCTAAAATAAAATGGTTTTAATACTTTTACAATGGAGGTCTTCTAGCGTATGCTCTCAGATTTTGAGCAAATTAGTGTCAATCGATCACAAATTTAATTAGTATGAAATTTGCGAACGACGAGATCTCCCAATTGTCACGTTTAGCAGAAATATTTGCATCCGAAAAGGGGAAACCGCGTCCTAAAGTGGAGAAATTTTACACTTTCCAAATTTACTGGGCGTTTTCTCCTCTTCGGATACAAATATCTCTGCCAAACGTGACCATTGGGAGGTCGTGTCTTTCACACTCATTAAAATTGTGTTCGATTGACACTAACTTGCTCAAAATCTGAGAGCATACGCCGGGAAATCTGCGTATTGCGAGATCATTATGTTCGTACCATTGCCGTTGTATCGTTCTCCACCATGTAACAATTTCCTCCATCTTGATAACCCAGCAAGAACAGGGACAAAATTATCAAAAAAATCGACATGTTTAAAATAAAAACTCGGTCCACTCCATAAAACTTGTAAGCCGGGTGTGTCTTGTCTTAATCGATGAGGTGCGTGTACATTTTAAGTGGAAACCCCGTCACGGAAATTGGTGGTTTTTTTCTACACTCTCATTAAAAGTATGGTCATAGTGGCTACGATACGATACATTAAATATGCACATATAAATAATTGACACAAGTTTGCGGTAAGATTATAAATTTTATTATTCACTGGTTTTTAATCCACGTCATAAACATACTTAGAAATCCATCTTCTTCTTTTTTAGTTATTCATGCCCACCCCGAGCAACGAATTTGCAATGGAATGTCGCGGAACTGAGGACGCTCTTGGTGGCACGAGCTTATTCAAGCGTCGCTGAATTGATTTGCCGTGATACCGCTTCAGGTCCAATAAGTCCTTCATTTCCTCCTTTTCATCCTCCGACTGATTTAACCGAAGGACCAACGCTCTGATGTCCCCGTCCCCCATGGGCTGCGAATAGATGCACTGCTGCTTCCACCGCTCAGCTGGATGGACTCCTCGCTCCACGACGAGCACAATCCGCGCCCACTGTCGTTGCCATTCATTCTTGGTTTCAGCTATTTTCGTGTACGTGTTTCCCATCATGGCGATAAGCATGTTGATCAACAGGATGGCTACGATGGCCATGTAAAAGACGAAAAGTAGCTGGAAACGATAAATATTTATTTAACTTGATGAGTCAAATCGCCACATTTTTATTAAATTGCAAGGTTTTGACGCCTCAGCATATTCGTGCTGAAAGTCTGTATATTTTGTTAATTACAAGATTCCTTTTCGTTTGCTTGCGTGCGGGTTAATTAATAATAAGTTAACTGCAATTTTTTTAATGTAGGACCCCATAACTTATCGACAAAATCGCAAAAACTCAGCACATTTTTAATCATTTCTCGGCTCTGGGAATTTATTTTTAAATTCCGAACGACAAATTTGTAGCGCAGGCCGTTGCCAGTTTCCGAAAAATATACACTCCAAGTTTTGAAAGAGATTTTGGAAGTTTAAGAAACCTTCAGAAAAATTGGAACTAATCGAAACTGGCTTAAAAATCTCTATTAATCAATTCACTGACTACAAATTTGTGGTTCTAGATTTTAAAATAAATTCCCAGAGCTGAGAAATGATTACAAATGTGCTGATTACCTCACCATCTTTTGGTATTTATTACCTTTGCAATAAACTCGTGTTCCGTGTCCTTAAACCTGTCATACATATTGTCAAACGATGACAGTGACACCATAAACATGGCCACCACACTCTCCGCCGGTGTCCCCAACAAATTATCGTTCGGATTCTTGTACGAGAGAAAAATGATGAAGTACGCTTGTGAAAATCCCATCACGAAAATCAGATAGATTATCACAAATCGGAGCAGATCGCCGGACAACATGCGGTAAATCATGACCACGAAGGGACCCACCGTTTTGAATCTAGTATAGACCAAAATATATACAATTTTTGCATAATTTCAAGTAATATGTAAAGAAAAACGGTAGAATTACCCTCGACAAAAAAACAGAAAGTATGGCGCTGTCGTCATCCTGTTGATTAAATCAAATTCATTAGCTTACCCACAAATCACAGATAAATTTCATTTTAATTTTCATTTTAATTCAATTTTCATTTCAAATTTCAAATTTCAAACTTGAAACAAATTTTAATTCAAATTTTATTCATTTTCTACACGTACATGATACAAAGAGCGACAATATCTTCAAACTCGGGCACACACATGAACCTCAGCACCCCCATGACGATGACCAAGTGACACGAGAACAAGAACAAGACACGCGACGGGGCAGTTGCCTTTAAGAAGACATAAATTAAATTAACTATCACAATTAATCTCTAAAAAAATTCACCCTTTTTTCCCCTTACCAAATTCTCAAAGAACATTGACGCCCCTAAAAACTGACATTCCCTCCACGCTCCCAGAATAAAGGACACCGCGCCCAGCAGCATGGCACACTCGCACCCCAATCGGACCCACTCCACCCAACCTTTCGGTTCTTGGATGCAATTACTCCAGGAAAACAGGTATCTGATTTCCGTCCCGTTTCCAGTCGTCCCATTAATTCCGAATAAATCGGACGTTGCATTGTCCCCCAGTCCGAGTAAGGCTGTCATATTAAGGGCCAGCAGAGTGGTCACGTTGACCCCGCCGTCCAGCAGGGAGGAGGAATTCAGGGTGGACGAAGAATTTCCCAGGGAGGAGGATGCGTTCTTGCCCCCACCGGGATATGTCCCTTTTCCATGCGCCGGTCGCGTCATGAAGGCCGCGACAGTGACGAAAAAGTAGACGAGAAACATGATAAATTGCTTGTAAAAGCGGAACTTGACGAATGTGTTCCATTTCGCTTGGAGGAGGTCGATCACGGGTCCCTGCGTGATGAATTTGGAAAAAAATAGTATTTGTAACTTTGGTGTAAATAATTGTTAAGGTATTTATTTATGTACCTCCATTAAGTCAAGATGTTCAACCTTTTCGCCAAAAACGATCAAATTCAGGGCGGATTCTTTCTGGAAAATTTGAATAAAAACGTTAGCATGTAAAGAATTAGGGAATTTCTGAGTTTCTAGTATATAGAAACTTTGTTGTAGCATGATGCCGATTGTGATTTATTAGTAAAGTTAGCTGAACGGCGATTTAAGACAGGTAGAGAATGGATCGAATGGGAACGGATCAGCGAATACAGATCACTATATGATACCATGATCATTGGGAACGGATCAGTGAGGCATATTGAGACGTAGTTTCCAGTGTGAGTGCAATGCAATGCAATAGTTGAGCAAGTTGAGACAACTGCACAATTTTGTGAAAATGTGTCCCCGAATTCGTCTCCAATTTTCACATTTTCTAACTTTCTAATTTTTTATAAATTCTAACTTCCTTTCGTACATTTCCTTAAAAATCTTTAATTCGTACAAATTAAGGGAGTTATTAATTTACTCCACCTGAATTCCTCCCGTTTCCGATTCAATTGTATCCATCTTGGTCAGTGGATAGGCGGCACAGGTCACGGAACCGATTTGCCAGTAGATTTCTCGTTCAATGTTCATTATGTGGAAAAACATCTAGAGTTCAGAAAATGTAGAACAATTTCAGATGTAAATTATATCTTTCTAATGTCCACTGTTTTACATGAAAATTATTCTAAACGCGTGAATACCTCTTTTCGAGCCAGTTTCGCCGCCAGAGTGAGTGGGGTCAAGTTGAGGTAATTTTTTATATTTATTTCCGACCCCAACTCGTACGCCAGGTCGAACATGTGCTACTCAAAGTATTACCAGGGTCAAGTTTGTAAAGTCAACTAGTAATTATGTATTTTTATTACCATTTTATTATAATTCACGAGCACATGCAGGACGGTGTTTCCATTCGTGTCTTGCGCATCGGGATTCGCCCCTCGTGCCAAAATGACCCTGTAACACTCCTCCTGACCCAAACATGCCGCAAACGAGGCGGGATATTCCCCCCAGTAGGCGTGTCTGCAAAACCGGAAGTGCACGTGGTCACGATATACACAAATTAATTAATCACACTGTTAGAAATTTGGTATATTCAGGCAGGCATTGATTTCTTGGTATTAAAGTTGCTACCAGTTGGTATTAAAATTATACCGATCAGTAAAAATTTGCGACTGATACGGTAAAACTTTAATATCGAGCTATTACTACACAGTATTACGTATCAATACCACTTTTCTAGAGTCATATGTCACTACTGCTTGGTATAATTTTAATACCACACTACACTCACCCCTCATAATTCGTATTAAGATCCCTGTCCACCCATTCATGCTTGAGGTTATCGGTCCTCGACGGTTTTTGATCCTCCGGCCCCATGAATGCGCCGGAACAGGGCTGCTGAACATTCACCCCGGTATCGAGGAGGAACTTGACCATAGGAAAATCTTCATTGACGATGGCCATGTGGAGCACGTTTTCACCGTAATATTCGTCCGACTCGTACACGTCATTGATCATCTTTGGGTAAAAGCGAAGGAGGCGTTTCGCCAATTCGGAGTGGACCGCGGTCGCGTTGAGAAGGCACAAATGAAGGAGTGCCTCCCCCACCGCGCCACGCTCGTCCATCCTCCAACAGACCAGTTTGTACATGGCGGGGTCTGAAAATGTAGAAAATTTCGGGGCGTACAACTTGTCAAAATTTTGGTATATTTTCAGCCAAAATTTCGGCATCTTTTCAATCAAAATTTCTGGTTTTAAATTGCACTTCCATAATTACACAATTTACATCGCCACTAAAACTCTACTTATTTGAAAATGTGTAAAATTTCAGTGCAAAATGGTCAAAATTTCATATACTTTCCACCAAAATTTTTGGTTTTAAATTTCACCTCTGTAATTACATAATTTACATCGCCACTAAAACTCAACTTTTCTGAAAATGTATCAAATTTCAGAGCTCAAACTTGTCGAAATTTCGTTATATTTTCCACCAAAATTTCTGGTTGTACGCAATTTACGTCTCTGCACTAATTAAAATCAAATTTATTTACCTTTATCATCCGGTGGGACGTAGTTATCATATTCTGCGTCATTTTTCAACAATTGTAAATGTTTCGGTCGACACCGGTTCCGGAGGAGGACGATTTCCGAAATGTGCATCATTTTCCCTTCGCCCTCATTATACACAAATTTCGGCACTCGCGACTGGATCGCTTCGTCCAGGGCGGCATAATTTTTTGTAGCTGTTGCCTGCTTCGTTAATTCCACCAGTATTCCTCCACCTAAGAAAATGTACGTAATAAATTCCAAGTTCGAAAATTTTACCATAATTTCAGAAACTTATACACTGTTAGAAATCTGATAAGGTCAGGCAGGTATTGATTTCGCGGTGTTAAAGTTGCTACCGCTTGGTAGAAAAATTATACCGGCCAGTAAAAATTTGCTACCGATATGGTATAAAACTTAATATCGAGCTATTACTAAATGGTATTATTTATCAATACCGCTTTGGTAGAGTCATATATGAATACCGCATGGTAATATTTTATTACTGGATTTCTAAGAGTATGTGTAATCACCTTTTAAATTTACTAATTGATAAATTTTCTGCGTCGATCCTCCCGCTTGGGCTTTCACCCCGTCGGAAACGTTAGACTTGGCGTTTCCCATGGAGAGAAAGTCGTGGGGAAAGTTGTACTCGGGCTAAATCCAAAATGTGTCTGTCTCTGCAGAGGAGAAAGCAGCATCAACCCATGCATTTTTTTTGCGAATTCGTTTTATCCTGTGCCAGGTACGGGGAAAAGATGATTGTTTGTCAATTTCATCCCAGCAGCAAGCATGCACCGGTTTTGTCAGATTTTCACTCAATATTCTCTTAATAAGGAGAAAGGTAAATGTATGCACATTCATGTGTCATCTTCAGTTTTAGCTGTGTTGTGCCGTTGAGCGTTGACCAAGGACAAAGAACGTAATTTACATATTATGCTAAATACAACAATTAGTTCACAATGTGAACTTCACATTATGAATTATGCAACGGGTCAGCAAATAGCATAGATACTTGAGACGCTTTTAATGTACCTACATATCTAAGTATTGCTTAAACTACAGAATCTGTCTGAATATATCAAGATAAAATATTGATAAAATAATGATGTTTGAAAATATTTAAGTATCGCCCAACAATTTTGCTGGATCGACATTATACAATCATAAAATTTTTAGGATCGCCATCCCATATTTCATTGCACCTCTCAATCCTAAGATATTGTTTCGTTACTGCAAAACGTCTACTCATGATAACTAACGAAAGAGTTCTAGTGTCACAATTGGTAATTAAATTACCATTAAATTATCTTCTATAGCATATGCACATTTGCATAATTGGGATCTTATTATACCCACAATTACACATTACTGATACATATGTTTATATACACAACAGTTGTTTAAATAACAAAATTTTGATCGCCTACTACCATACATACATAACACAGTAGCACTAAAATGCAGCCCATTATTCATCATGACCAACTTTCACAAGTAGTTTCCGGTCTAAACTTGCATTATTCCACCTTAACAATAAACTTGTGAAAACAAAAAAGTAAGATAAATATCTCAAACATTGTGTGCAATTAAAATAAATCCAGTCCGCCCATACACTCATCACCTCAGCATGATGAATAGTAAGCTAAATTAGTTAACTTGCTGAGATAGCCAAATAATTCCAACCGTAATTTAATACTTATGCATACTTGTCCAAAACACGTTCACGTACATTTACATTTATACCATAAATTGATCGACAGGCACACAATCGGTCGACCATACAAGTACCAGACTATTAACATTACACAATTGTTTTAACCCATCCATCCATCCAGCATTATTCGGAGAACAATCCTCTTCCATCCATCCATCCATCTGGACAACCAACGAAATGATGTAAAAAAGTGAACCAGTTACACGACCCGTTCGTGCAAAACTTGGCTGTACACCTTCGTCCATGTGCCAAATAACGTGCTCGAACTCTCTTCTCTTCTTTCTATGCAGTTTACAGATTAAAGGACAATAATTGCATCACAATACATATAACTATAAGCCGACTCAAAGTTCAAGCCAAGTCATCAGCCGGGCAGATTCAGTAGTGAAATACAATGTAAATTCGATTCCAGCATTGTTAAATCCCTCTGCAGGTGGGTGGGTTGGGTTGATGACTTGATCATACTGCATTTGCATATTTAGTGCAAAAGTGAATCCTGTAATGCAATGCAGTTAAGTACTTAAGTCGAGTGTCAACGAAATTTTGTACGTAATGATTTTCACACAAGTTTTAAGATTAGTCAAGTGAAAGCTGGTAAATAAGTGAGTAAGTGGACGAATACATAAAATGGCCCGGATTTTCCACGTGGATGTTTTATCGATACTCTTCGGTCTAGGGACATGGCTTTGTGTCAACGGTGAGAAAATCAATCAAAATTAATCAATATGTACGTGATTCTTGATTTACATTTTTGTGTAGGATTGGCATGAATCTTAGAGGAATGATTCTAGGGAAAATGTCATGAAAAATATTTAACAAGCTTGGAAATAAATTCAAAGTTTTCGAGCTTGGAGATTTGATGTTAATTTAATACTGCGACAGGTTTAATTGAATTTTGAAAATAAAATAAAAATCTTGATTGGGAGAATTTGAAAAATCGTCAGTCACCGCATTTTGAATTGTCTAAAGGGTGAAAATATCTATGTGGGTGGTATCATCACATTTACAATTACCCTGATTTCAGTGATTTCATATACTCGAATTTATTCATATGATTCTCTTCGTAGAAACTTTGTGACTAGTCAAAAATTATGAACTTGGAGTATTTTTTTTACTTTCGACGCCGAAAGTAAAAATTTTAATAAATTTTATGTGTGATAAAAATTTAGATCATTAAACGGTTAATTTCATACATATATGTAAACAAAATTGCCACTAACACAACTATTGTGTAAAATTTACCCCGACAAAGGTAAAATTTACTCAAGGTTGAGCAAAAATCTTTCAAAGTTGGATAAATTTTAACTTTTATTGAATAACTTTTGCACAATAGTTGTGTTGGTGGCAGTAAATTTTAAACAAATTTATTTAGAGTGTACATAAAGTTTCAACGATCATATGAATAAAATTTGAGTCTGAAGTCACTGGAATTAAGGTCAATGGGGTCAGATTTCGAGTATTGAAGCAAAAATTGTACATAATTCCACCCGCATATATTCATCCTTTACAATGTTCAAAATTAGGTGACAATTTTTCAAATTCTTCAAATCCTTATTTTTAAATCAAGCGAATCTGATTAGCAAATTGATTGACTTGTTTACATCTTTGCATTTTGGAAGAACATTAAAGATTTAATTCACCTAATTTTTTATCAAAATTCTTTAAATATTCACAATTACAAATTATGACAACAATTATTTATAGGTTTTAATTTCTATTACTGCATTAAAGCATCATAAGTAATGTGCATTTCCGATGATATTTACTAACTAATTGCTGTTCGCTTTTAAATAGAGGTGCTTTTAATTATTTCATTAACTAAAATACTTTGACCATCAATAAATATGCAAATAAGGAATTGACAAATGGTTATGATTTCATGATTTTAGGATTATGGGTGCAACTTCCCCTCTTGGTCCTTGTACTGCCGGAAGCCTGGAACCTCCCGTCATACATTTCCGTCGTCATCCAAATTGCCAATTTGGGCCCTATCCTCTACACTTTTCTAAACTCTCTCCTCCCAAAAATGTATACATATGCATAAAATTCAATTAATAAGTTTCAATATTACAAATTTTTAACCTGAGTATAACTTTTTAATTTAAGCGTGACTGAAAAGCGGTCCATCTATTTCGTCATGGGCATCGGTCTCGTTACAACCATCCTCCTCGCCAATTTATGGAAAGAACAGACTACCGTGGGCGGAGAGAAGCATTCCACGGCGTTCCTGGGTAAGCAAAATCAACCGTCACAACCAATTTGGCAAAATTAACACTTATCTTAATTAATCCTAATGTTAATTAATCATCATTGTAATTAACCCTACAAATAATCTTCTTTAATCCCCAACCTACTTAATCCTCATTTTACTTAATTTCAAGCTTACCTAATCCTCAACTTAATTATTCCTCACCTTAAGTAGTTAATCCGCACTTAATTAACCCTCATCCTAATAAATCCTTATCTTAATTACAGTGCTGGTCTTCTTCCTCGCCTCGGTTGACTGCTCCTCTCGCGTCCTTTATCTACCCTTCATGTCGAAATTTTCTGAAGTTTACCTCATGTCGTACTTTATCGGGGAGGGGTTGAGCGGTTTCGTCCCCTCGATCGTCGGTAAGAAAATGTCGGCTTTTATTACAAAGTTTTAATCATATCAATTAAAAAAACATCCTTAAAAATAATATTATTCATTTATTAGCCCTGATCCAAGGCGTCGGAGGAAATGGGGAATGTCGCAATAAAACCGATGGAACGCCTGGAATGGAAGCGTTCACACCGGACCCACGATTTTCCGTGGACGCCTTTTTCTACTCCCTCTTCGTCTTCACGCTGATAAGCCTGGTTGCCTTTGTTCTCTTAAATATGGACCACGTCGTGGCAGGATCGCTCGTAAAAAGCAACGATGTCACGTTGAACGATTCGTCGCCATATTCGTCGTCCCGCGTGGACAAGGGCGGCGACGAGGATGGGTCCTCGTCCCGAGAAAACAGTCAAGTTTTTGGAGGGGACGTTTCAGTCTTTGAAATGCCCAAGGAAAACGATGGTCCATTCAATGTCGTCAGCAGTGGGGAGAGCAATGATAACTCCATGTCGTCAATTTTGGGGCTGCGCCAATCTACTTTTCTTTACCTGATTTGTGTTCAGGTGTTCATTTGTTTCTGGGCGAATGGATTTTTTCCCTCGATTCAGTCGTATTCTTCGCTTCCGTACGGAAATGTTGCGTACCATTTGGCCGTTACTTTGTCGAACATGGCGAATCCGGCGGTGTGTATTCTTGCCTTTTTTATTCCGACCCCTACAGCGAAAAGTATTTCTGGCGTGGCCGGAGTTTCTGTTGTGATCTCGGGGTGGGTGCTCTATCTCGCGTTGAAAAGTCCTAGTCCTCCCATGATGGGGACGACCGGGGGTGAAGTTATCATGGTGAGAAGTATCTGATTTTACCTGTTTTACTAAAAATCGGGGTCTTACAGCATAAGCTCTCCGATTTTGACGAAACTAGTTGGAGTCGATCACAAATTTAATTAATATGAAATTAGCAAATGGCACGACTTCCCAACGCGCAGATTTGGGAGAAATATTTGCATCCAAAGAGGAGAAAACGTACAGCAAAGTTGACAAATTTTGGACTTTCCTACTGCGCGTTTTCTTTTCTTTGGATGCAAATATTTCTGTCAAATCTGACCATTGGCGGATAGTGTCTTTTGCAAATTTCATCTTAATTAAATTTGTGATCGATTGACACTGGTTTGGCCAAAATATGAGAGCATGAAACCTCCATTCTAAGTCACTTATCTCAATTTTGAACTAATTTGTCTCAGGTCGCGTCCTGGATCATTCTCGTCGCCCTCTTCACTTACGTTCGTGTCTCGGTGGCCACCATTTTGAGGGAATATTTGGGAAAGAGTGGGCTTTTTTGGTGTGGTGCCGTCTCTCAAGTATGTAAATGACAAGTTATATGTGCAAAAAAATAACCAGAGACCCCAAATGTTTCGGTGTTTATGAGATTGATTATAATTCTAGTTCGGATCGGCATTGGGAGCGCTGGTGTCATTCTTCGTGGTCAACTATACCAACGTGTTCACTCCGTATTATCCATGCACGTGATGAGCAGAAATATTTTACGATTTATTAAAAGACCAAATTGATAACAAATTTAAAACATATTTACAAATTATTGTGATACGTAATCAAACAAAAAAACTTCTTAATTTAGATGAGAAATCGTTTTGGGTAGAAATAAATATATATATTTTTACGATTTTGCGATGTTTGTATCCTCTATTTCGGAATGAATATTTCTGAATGAAAAATTTGAAAAATATTGAAATAATTCATCCCCAATTTTTCAAAAATTTTCGAAAATACCTGATTATTTTCCTCTAATAGTAATAATAGTCATATCCCCAGCCTCCTCCCCCATAATATGGAGCTCCTCCAAAAAAGTGCTTGGTCTCCTTTTTGCCGACATGGTCCTGCGACCTTGATTCTGACTCCGCTTTGGCAGGGAGGATATTGACGCCGTCGTCCTCGTTGATGGGAAGACCCTGAACCGAAAAGGCGAAAATTACGACTAGTCCAACAATCAAGAGGCAAATCTTCAGCGACGACATGGCAATTTTTTTAAGAATACGTATTTCCAGGGGTCAAAAGGTACTAGTGTGTGTCTTGATAAAAATTTCGCCTTTTTAACCAAATTCCAGACCTTTAGGTTGTGATAACACACATTATAATTCTAATTTCCTGAATATTTTGAAATAATTTTTCAGTTACAAAATATTTTGCCTATTTGCAAAGTTCATGCTTTTATTGATAAGTGACACAAGAACCATTCATATGATGATAAATGATGGCATAAATCTCGCCATAAATTAAAATTCTATATAATATCTGACATCATAATTTAATGAATGGCATTGAAAATTAGTCTTCACGTTCATTCCTCTCACTCAATTTACATGTTCAAGGTTGTTTATTTATCCGATTAAATAATAAACTACATACAACTACTGCTGGTTAAATATTATTAAACATGATCAATACATGCATAACTTTCCCAGTGTACAAACTATCCAACCAACTAAGCTCAAGATATTGATGCGATGCGTGCAAAAAATACCTCAGTGAACTTATCTGATCTTGTTGAGATTCAAGTTAAATACAACAAACATCTGCCAAATTTGCATGAGATTGATTAAACTCACTCACTCGTCCAGGCCGAGGAGGAAGAAAGACCGACTATTCGTTATATAAATTTTTCTGAGGTAAGAAAAATAAGCAAACAATTCATATTTAAACTATTTAAATATATGATCATTTAATTCATTTGTAATTGTAACGAACAACCAGATAATTGCAGATTGTTTGTTACAATGGTGGGTCGACTCCAAGGAAAGAAAGTGGTTATAACTGGAGCGGGGGCAGGTATTGAATTACAATTAAACCAGAAATTCGTCACTTTTAGTAAACAGATTTCCCAAGTTAATGAATATTAATTAATTAGGAATTGGGCGAGCATCAGCCCTCCTATTTGCGAAGGAGGGTGCCCTCGTGTACCCGACGGATCGTGACCTTGACCTCGTCACGCAGCTCGTGGGCACGCCCGGAATCGTGAAGGCTATAAGGCTCGATATCCTTAAGAAGGAGGATGTCGACGCCGTTGCGAAGGAAATCGGAAGGGTGGACGTTCTCTTCAATTGCGCTGGGTAAGAAATTTGTGTGTGGGTTTTGGGCTTGTTTTATGAAAAAAACTATATTGGATTAAAAATTCGAAATCTGCAAAAAATGATGAGTAAAATTTCTTAGTATGATTTTTTGTGATAACTTTTATTATCTGAAACATGTCTTTTTGAATTCTTTATGAAATTCTTTAAGCTTTAACTTTTCAAATTTAGTAACTAAATCCATATAATTTTACAAAAAAGTAGTTGAAAATTTCGCAAAAAATTCTACCCTTAACTCTTCCATTATTACAATTTGTTAAATATTTCGAAATAATTGTATTTCGAAAATCAAGTCATAACTCAAATTCGAATCTTTCTCGTCTTCTTAAGTTGGGTTCCCGGTGGTAGCATTCTCGAAACCTCTGATGCCACATGGGATCAGGCTATGAATCTCAACGTCAAGGTATGCAATTAGTGGCTTAAACCGTAATACATAAGTATTTGCGTATCACAATAACTATCAATTAATTGCTTAACTAGGGAGCATTCTGGATGAGCCAGGCTTTCATCCCCCTCTCCCTTGCAGAAAAGAAGGGATTATCAATTGTGAACATGTCCAGCGCCGCCAGCTCGATTAAAGGCGTCCCAAATCGGTGCGCCTATTCTGTTTCGAAGGGGGCTTTGATCGCCCTCACGAAGTCGATCGCTGCCGTAAGGATTTAAAAAATCATATTTTTACCCCCAAAAAATCATGATTTTATTTCCGAAGGATTTTGTCGGCCAAGCCATCCGAGCAAATAACATTTGTCCAGGAACCGTCGACACGCCCAGCTTCCGTGGTCGCGTAAACGACAGCGCCGACCCAGACCAAGCCATGAAGGATTTCATTGCTCGGCAGAAAATGGGACGGCTCGGAACGGCAGAGGAAATTGCGGCCTTGGCGCTGTATCTGGCATGCGATGAGGTGACGTTAAAATTTAAAGCAATTTTGTGAAAAATGTGGAAATTTTATACATTTTTTTGTAAAAATTAACAGTCAGTCTACGTCACTGGACAAGAGTTCATCATCGATGGTGGGTGGTGCTTGTAAACAACAACTTATCGAAAGGAGTGGAGTAAAATTCCGAAATTTCTTATTTTTCTGATTACATAATTTGCAAAACTTGTCTTCAAAATTTGTCAAAAAATGAATACAATCTCTTCGTTCCAAATAAAATTGGGATAAAAAATTTAATCAAATTTCCAAAAATTGTTATTTATTTATTAAAAATCAGCTTAATGAAACCGTACTATTCTCATTTCTCGCCCTCCACTTGCTACTCTTTTTATTTGGGGAAGATTTCGTCAAGAACTGTTCCGGACAATCGCTTTGGTCCGTGGATACCAATAACTTTATGCTAAGTCCGTGACTCAATATTGCTCCGTAGGCTCGTCCCTTCACACTGTTCGGAGGTTCTCTTTCTCTCCCAAGAACCATAACGTTTTCTAAAATTTTCATAAAAAATTTCACAAAAAAAATCGACAAATTTTATTTTTTTCGAAAATAAAATTCTGTACGGAAATTCATAATCCCGGCATGCTGACATGACCAGACGACGCTGTAGGTGTCATAATCCGTGTCCAGGATCCAGTAAGCCTCTCTTTTTCCGCCATCCTCATCTTGTCCAGCTCTCTTTCCTATAATTTATTTTTATTAAATTATTAAATGATCACATATTTAATTAGATTTTTAAGTTGAGAGAATAAAAATTATACCAAAATTCATCCCTTTATAAATCTTTTCCATTCTCGCAGTATTTTTATTACTGGAAAAAACGACTCGTCCCGATTGTGTCGATGTTCGTTGAAATCTTCGACTAAAGAATACATATTTTGAAATGTTTTTTTTTTAATTTAAATAAAATTTCGAAATCACCAACTTTTTACGAATCCCCTTCCTCAAGAAGTTCATGTGTTGAACGCTTCCATCATGCTTGGTTGGGGTATGGTATCGAAAGGCGATGCAACTCAGACCGTTTATTTTTGAATGAATATTTAATTTAATTGATCGAATTTAATTATAATTAATCTTATTAATTTATTAATTACCATAATCCGCGAAGGAAAAATACTTGTCAATTTCATACCATATTCCGGAATACTTAAAAAACCGTGACTTTTACGAAATTATGAATTTTTTAAAAAACTATAAACTATTTTATAAACTATTCCACTTACTCTCGTAATATTGAAATCCTTCACGACCGAGTGATTTAAACAACTTCCAAAAAATGGGTATGATCCATGAGCGTATTTGAAGAGAAAGACTGTGAGTAAAATTTTCTGGAAATTTTGCACCATTTTAAATTTTATTAGACAAATATTTATGAATTGGAATTAAAATCATGAAGAAAGTTTATGTACGTGTATGGCTTAATAAATAATAAGAACCGTTTCTTGCAGTTCCGTTACGGTTACGCGTTCCTCTGGATTGAATGAATAACAGTTTTATTCCTTTGTGTACAAATATGCTAAAAATAGCTTACAAAGTCCAGTCGTGTAACAATAGTACAAAAATATGTATTATTTCAAATATATTTTATAGATATTGCATATAAATATAATCATTAGCACAGGGAACATTAGACAATTTATGAATCGACTTGTAAAAAAATAATTGTCAAAAATCAATGCTCATCAGATCTCGTCACATTTGACTTTTAAATTTGTATATAAATTAGTCTGGAAAAATTGTAGGTGGTAAGTAATTAGTTATTAAATCAGTCCCTGTGGTTTGTATTGTGTATGTGTACATACATACCGGTTTCATCGTCATACGTACTATTAATAGTTTTTTTTTACTACAAGGGCTATCATTAGCTTCACTAATTAAGTAAATATTTAAGTCGGATAAGGTGGTGGTTCGACATGAAACTTTGGTGAATATCCTCGATGCTCCCGGCGTGATGGGGGAGTAGTAGTAGATGTAGTCGTGTCAGGCTCATCGACATCGGATGGATTTCGCGCAGATGTTGATGGAATAGCTACTGGTTCGCCTGCAAGACCCACGGCTTGTGCTTGGACTGCCAATGTTTGTGAAGTAGTTCCGTCCCATGATTCTTCAAACAAGCGAGCGTCAATGCCTATAGTGGGCAAGATTCTGTCTTTCCACATAGCAAATAGTTGTCGAATTCGTGGAGCGTCGATATCTGAAATAAATGTAAATTTCAAATTAGTCATACAATTAAAGAACGATTAATTTCCGTTCGCTTAGCTTAGTAATTACCATCATTGTAAGTTATCTTGTTGGCCGAACTATCATAAATGATTTTACCATCGCCCAACGAAAATATCACATAGTTTAGATGTGGGCTGGTGCTGAGGGCCATTGCACGGTGCGTCCCACTCAAGTCAGACTTGGGACAGTTCTCCACTTGCGCCTAGAACATAGGTAGATTTTTTTTAATATACTAAAATTTTAGCCAACTTCGCATAGAATAACCAACCGTAACTCGATGGACACGAATAACATCTCCAACTTGGATTTTTGGCCCTAATTCTGGCGTAATACGTGACGAATGAATCCTCGTATATACATCATCCATCGTATCATCCGAGATCAGAATTCTGTGCGCGTTCTTCTCACTCAACTAAAAAACAAAATATAATAATAATAAAATCTTAAAAAGTATGAATACAATTTTTTTATTTTTTGCCTCCTTACTTTTTGTGGTAATACTTTAACCACCAATCCATACACATTTCTCTGATATGGAATCATCATATTTGGTGGTAAACCGGCATTCAGGTCATTTCTGGTCGCATTATTTAATTCTTGGTGTAGCTCTGCAAGCGTTTGATATCTATATCGGTCTTTTGTCTTCTGAACTCGAGGGCGTTCTTCTCCACCAACGAAATACCTGGCGTCCCAAAGTTTATCATAGTCGACTTCTCCTGTGGAACTGATAGCATTTGGGGGCGGTTGATGAGACGGAGACGCAGGGATAGGACGGTCAGGATTTATAATAATTGGGATGACCGCTAAAAATAAATAAAATTTTCAAGTTGCATATGTTGCAAAATTACATTTCATAAATTAAACTCGTAATCTTTCATACGTGGTTCAGCCGCATTGGTCTGCATTTGTTCTTGTGACCTTCGTTTTAGCGTGGCTTGAGGTTCCTGTTGACCAACATCAGCAGACGTCGCGCTTCCAGACGCCGGTTCACTAGCCATATGTGACTCTGGACTTTTGCGACGAACAAGAAAATCTGATTCGGGCTCAAATGGAACAAGTTGATAGGAATCTGAAAAAGTTTGATAAAATAACAGCAATGACTATTAAAGCTAAAATGGAAACATTCTTTTAAAATAACCTTTTCTTGTTGGAGTCATATCTTTCCGTGGATACGTGATCACGAGGGCAGCCGAGTCACGCGCAGGCTTATTTTGCAGCGATAACTGTGTCTGTGTACCCACCATATCGTCATCATCGTCCTGTTTTATCAGACAGGATGACACAATCGAAGCAAATTTCCATTTGGCGAAATCCATTAATGGGATGCTTTTGAAATCTTCTTTCTCCTTCGAAAGAAACAAGCAATATAAACTCAAAATCACAAATATAAATTATCATTAATCAATAAAGTTACTCACAAACATACGCAACGTCAAGCAGAAAACTTTCCTTTCTCCCTCGTCCGGGTTCACTTCCAAAGTAAGCTCGCCGTCGTTCAAAGTCCGCCCAAACAACAAAACCAAATCTCCGGGGAGCACGTAGAATACCAAGCAGCGACTTATTAATCCATGGAAGACCAACTTAACCATTTTTGGTCGTTGTAAAAAACCAGCCGGATTTTCACTTGGGAACTTTATTCCTTTCAGGACAAGTGATCCCTCGGCTGTTCGAGCTCTCTTTATGACTCGTAACTGCAGCCAAAAGAAATCACGGATTAACTTAAAAATTTTCGCATACGAAAATTGTGCGAATTAGTTATTTATTCCGCTTACCATAATCGGTTGAGATAAGCCATGCTTGATCGACTTTGGTAGATAACCGGACCTTCTGATAAGTGAGATCTGTTTCTGAGCAGTTTCGACAAGTTTGCCGTCGTCCACTTCCTCCGAGACAATGGGTGGTCCCAGAATTTTTAACAGGCTAGAGTGGAAGAGAGTGAAAACCGTCCAATTTTGAAATTCGTTTTCCTCTTGAACTTCTTGACTACTGGAACAATGTCAATTAACACAAATCAGTCGCAAGAAAATTATATTGGCAATAATAAAATAATTTATCAATTACAGAGTTTGAGATTGACTAGTGGTCATCACTTCCACGGTTCCATCGTCGTCTGCCTGACCAGCGCAATTAGCAGTTATTTCCCTCCGAGACCTTTTTGGCGATGGTGGTGCTGCATTATCTGAATCTGGCGAGTCCATTACTTGTCGTCGCGTCGAAAGTCTTGACGGCGTATCGATTCTTCGGGGGCTGCTTCGCTTCGTCAAAGGAGATCTAGGCGCACCAGTAGGAGCTTTGGTTGTAGTTTGTGGTACCCGTTTTGGCGGTGACGAAGAAGTCGATTTGGTTCCAGAACGTTCCAATTGATTATTTTTGGGAAGTTTTGAAATTTTGTCTACAAAAGCAATGATCAATATCGTATCAATAACAATAATATAAACAATTCATATGCTTGGCTTATCTGCATTACCTGGCGGCTTTGCCTCAATCTCCCGTCTGGGTGATGATCTTGACGATGATTTGGTGTAAGTGCACTCTACTTCAACTGTAATAAATACGAGTTAATTAAGCTCGACATTACGAATACATTGTTTATGTAAATATATCACCTGGCCTCGGCTCTGACGACGATGATGATGAAGATGATGATGAGGACGATAATTTTCTTGCACGACGCCTTACTTGCAAATTTTTGTTGGATTTCGCTTTACCAATTACAATACATTGTTATGTCAATAACATTTAGAATATTAATATAAGCAACTCAACTCATAATCCAACTCTACCTGCTGGTGTTTGCTTGCGTCTTGGTGGCACCGGTGGTTCCTTTTCCTCAGGAGACTTAAGTTCCAATCGTCGCCTACTTTGCCGTTGTGGCTGTGGCGGTGAAACTGCTTCAATTTCTCGCCTCCTTTTACTCCGATTCGGTGAAGAAATCAGAGTCGTACCGAGTTCCTTATTTCGAGACGATGTCACCTTTACTGGTCGACTAGTTGGAGGCAACATCGCCCCCTGATTAGACGACGGTCCTGCTACCTGGTGTTGCAGCTTTTTTGGTGACGACCTCAAATTCTGGCCTTCCACCGTTGTCCCCCGGTCTTCATCTTGCCGCTTTTTTGGTGATGACCTTAAATTCCTCCCTTTTACCGTCGCTACGATCATAACCTCTTGCTGCCCTCGCGCTTTTACAGACTTGGGCCTAGCAATGGGCTCAGTTTTGCGATTGTTTGGATACTTTCGTGCCACCATGGCGAGATTGTCGAAATTTAACCGTCTTGGGAGGTGTAAATGTTTCGAAGTACTTGGCCTTTCATCGTCCCCTTCATTTCGCGAAGTTGGAGTTGAAGTTGGAGTCGCAGACTTTCGTGGACTCCTCCTCACGGGAGATGTTCCCTGTGGTAACTTGCCTTTTCTTGACGACATGGCGAAAAATGTCGCCACGTATCGTGGACGTGGAGGAGGATAATTTAAAGTTTATTACATTCCAAGAAATCGAAGCACGAAAATATGACGACAATTTTTCGTCCCAGAATGTTTTTAACCCGGGGTTTTGGATTTTGGGTTGAGTGAGACGTGTGATGGATTTTTGTGTTAAAAGCTGATTCCAGATTTGTTTTTTGATTATGGATATGGACAATTAGTAAGTGTCAATTAATTAAATTTAATTAAATGGTTTGTCATTAAATGTGTCTGACATTATTCGTTATTCTTAATTTTGAACAACTTATGGGATAATTGGATTCGTATCTCTGTCATCTGTTGTGTTTATTGTAAGTCATTGTACAAATTGTACTTTGTATTTTTCTTGTAGATAATTAATTTTTGTATCAATCAATATGCTAATTTTTAAGCTGTCTGTAATGTTACTTTGTACTGTACTGTATGAGTAATATTATACTAAGATTTAATCCGGATTAAGATTACACATGACATGAGTCATTAAGGTTGACGTCTTTTAATAACTTGCACAACTTGCTATTATTTTCAGAGTTCAATAGCAAGCAAGTCCAACTTTCCATAAGGAAGGACCGCCTATAAATTAAGGTTATCTCTCGAAAATGCAAAACATCGTAAACTCTGTAAAAAGTTCGGCGCTTGGCGTTGCCGAATATTTAACTCCGGTCCTGAAGGAATCAAAATTCCAAGAAACTGGAGTTATCACGCCGGAAGAATTTGTCGCTGCGGGTAATAATCCACATTGCTAACAAAACAATTCATTAAACTATTAAAGTTGAATTAATTAATTAATTAAATGTCTGGTCTGCTGAATAGGCGATCATTTGGTCCACCACTGTCCAACTTGGCAATGGGTTGCTGGTGACGAGTCCAAAGCTAAACCATATCTTCCAAAAGATAAGCAATTTCTTATCACGAAAAATGTCCCCTGCTACAAAAGATGTGAACAGGTTGGTTGTAACAATTTACAATTATTACAAATTCTTTACTCAAAATTTGTAATCTAATATTTCCCAACTTTCGCAGATGGAGTACGACAGGGAACAAGAAAAACTACTCGACGAAGGCGACGAAGATGGCAAGTGACCTAATACATAATTTACTATTTAATCCTTCCATTAATTAATTAAGCATTTAAAATTATTCAGGCGGCTGGGTCGACACTCATCACTATGAACCTGCCCTCAACCAAAAAGTTCAAGATATGACGATCGACGCTTCATCAAACTCCCAATCTAGCAAGGAGAGTCCTACCTCCTCGAAAGATAAATCTGCAAAATCTTCTCCCCCCGTTGCCTCCACTCCCGTAGGTGACGACGATGACGAGGAGGTCGCCGTCGACATGGAGGAATTTGAAGCGGCCGGACTTCTGGATGAGGATGATGTCCAAACTCGCGTCACTAAACCTGACGCTATCGCTGATCTCAGCGGTGGTGGTGGAGATCACGGCGAAATCGTTCAAACTCGAACTTACGATATGCACATCACTTATGACAAGTACTACCAGACACCGCGACTCTGGCTGTTCGGATATGACGAGGTGCGAGATTATTTATCTTTAATTAAAAGCCATTGTTCGATTACAATTAGTGAGACAAAATGTATGGTTAGTTATTTTAATGGGAAGCTGATGTATTTAATTAACCAAAGTCTCTTCTCTTTTCCCACAGAACCAGAAAGTGCTCCATGTCGACGAAATGTACAAAGATGTGAGTCAAGACCACGCCAAGAAGACCGTTACAATGGAAAGTCATCCTCACCTTTCAGGCGTCATTGCCGCCTCCGTCCATCCCTGCCGACATGTAAAGAGACTATAGATTTTGAAATTTTTAATACAATTTGTTTAATTTCAAAAAATATTTATAACAACAGATACCAATTTTTTTTCAGGCTGAAGTGATGAAAAAGATTATCCAAACTGTGACGGAAGGTGGAAAAGAGCTTGGCGTGCACATGTATCTCATCATCTTTTTGAAATTTGTTCAAGCCGTCATTCCAACCATTGAGTACGACTACACACAAAACTTTTCTCTCTAAAAAAATACGTGGGGTAGTTGCCTTTTTGTCAAAAGTTCAACTAAAACTACCCTGTGCGAACTTACGATGAGGTGACGGGTTCCAATTTAAATAACCTTTGTACGACAGCAATATCAAAATTATTATTAATTCGTGTACAATTAATTAATGATTGTGATCCAAGTCTTCTTAATTAATTATCTTAATTATCCAACTGTATTTATTTATTAGCGAGGAGTCTTTTAGTGACAAATATTATATGATAATAAATTTAAAAACTGCTCAGTAATAAAATTCGTTTTGGTACCAGAGCCACTTTGGTTTCGTTCTGAGAATTAGGCGACGAATTTCGTCGTAACTGACTAAAAATATAAAGAATGGGATCGACGGAAGCCACCACCAGAATCTGGAAGAAAATATTTAAAAATATCGTCATTAGCATGATAATAATTCACAATTAAATATTATCTCCTTACTTAATAGGCATGTAAGATATGGCGACGTTAAGCCCTGGCGTGTACGTGAGTACACAAGCGATAATCGTCTCCCCAAGTATAGCGACAAAGACGACCCAGTTACTGCGAGACAACAATTAATTCGTCAAAACTTATCCAATTTATGTTCCATTTAGGTAAAATCTTACTCAAAAAACTTTGTGTATAACGGTGCCCTCCTAACTTTCGAAATCAGCACGTTCCCCCACTGACAAATCACCACGGTGCAAAAGTACCCCGTCCAACACGTCTTTTCCAGCATTTTCCGTTGAGAGTAAGTCTACATAGAAAAAAATAATTCATAATATTGGTCATAATTTCAGCCAAGATATTTCCTAGAGCCTGTATTTTTACCCATTCCTGTCCATACGAATCTACCAAATCGTTCACAACCGGAGAGTCCCAATCCGCCTGAATCCCGAGCAACCTATCAATCCACCACCCATTCTGACCCAAAATTACAAAATAAGTGAACAGTCCTCCAAAGAATTCAATCACACCGAGTTGTCCGTATGAGTAAGAGATCAATCTAAATGTGCGCACATACATATCATCATCTAATTAGGCATGTATGCATTTATTTAATTGTATCACTATATTTTAGCCTTTACTCACTTATCAGTCACCAACTTGTCTGTGACTGGGTTTCGCGGAGGTCGTTTCATAATGTCGCCCTCCGCTTTTTCATACGAGAGGGAAATGGTGGGCAAAATGTCGGTTCCGAGGCAAATAACCAACCTGTTATCAAAAAATACATTAAATTTTCACAAAATTAGGCAAAATTTCCTTATTTTTTTTACATCGGAATCGTCCCCAACGGAAGAGGAATCCTCATCGTGATGTAAACAATGAATGGCAAAAGTTCCGCAATATTGGCCGCGAGCAAGTAGCAGATACATTTCTTTAAATTTTCAAAAATCAGACGCCCCTCTTCCACCCCGGTAACAATGGAGCTAAAATTGTCATCTAGAAGAATCATGTCTGCGGCCTGTTTGGACACGTCAGACCCCGAAATCCCCATCGCAATACCGATGTCGGCCTTTTTCAGGGCAGGAGAATCATTAACCCCTGGAATTTTTGCACCACGTACTTATTAAGAAAGCCCTTAATTAAAGTCTAAATAAATGTTCTAAATATTTAAATATTTACCATCGCCAGTCACAGCGACGATCTACCCAGAAAAAAATCACAACGTTTAACCCGACATAAAAATACTTTTCGTCACTATAAAAAACCCACCTTTCCGAGACGTTGAAATCCTTCCACGATGACTACATATTCAAAAACAAACACTCATAAAACATCAAAATTTCTGTAAAAAATCAAAATCATCATCTCCTTACCCAACTTTTGTTGTGGGGACACTCGGGCAAATACGATTTCGGTGTGATTTCTGCATAATAAAAAAAGTAGCCAGACATTCATTTTCGTGTCGTCATACTTTCCACCCAATTAAACCAGTTCAAACTGGACAATATTTAACTAACTAATTATTACCCTAACTAACTACTTACTTTAGCACATCATCCAACTCTGGCGTGCTCATCTCCAATAGTTCTGCCCCATTAACGACGGCAGCCGTGCATGTGGCCGGGTCTACGTCTTCCATATCAATATTCAATCGCTTAGCCTTGTCCTCCACCGTCTCGTTTCCTATTTGTGCAGACAAATTAGTGGAATTTACAACAACCATGCCCGTCACACTCGTTTCGTAATGAGAACAGCAAATCACACACCTTCAGAAATTATTCCGACTTTTCTCGCAATCGCTTTCGCAGTGATGGGATGATCTCCAGTCACCATTACGACCTTAATGCCGGCCTCGCGACAGAGGGAAATGGAATCAGGGACGCCTGTGCAAAAAAAAGAATGTCAAAGGTCAGGGGACAGATTTCAGAAATTTGACCTCGTGTTTGTATGATTTTTTTATTTTTCAAAATTTGGAATGCAAGTTGTTTTTTTTAAAAAAAAGAGGAAAGGACGGAAATTTGTAATATTATTTAAAAATTGCTACAGTTGGAAGTCAAAAATAAATAAAAAATATATCACTAGATGCAGAATTACAAATTCAGATTTTTCAGAATCTGTACTTAAATAATAATGCGAAGAGGGAAGTAATTATTTCTAAAAATATATGAAAATTGATTGTAATTTTTAATTAGCGAGAGATGCGACGTTTAAATAATTAATTTATGTTTGATCTCATATTTATTGTACCTGGTCGGGGTGGATCAATCATGGAAATCAGTCCGATAAAGGTGAGACCATCCTTGACATAAGACGTGTCATCCGAATCAAATATGGTTCCTTTAGGGTACTTATCACTTGGGAGCAGATAATCGCAAAATCCTAGAAAAAAATGGAGGAGAAAATTGAGACGAGGAGGTGAAGGTATAAACTAGAAGCAAAGTGCGACTACTAGAAGGAAAAGTGAGTGAGATGATGATAAGAAAAATTGAGGATGGGCAAATTGAGATTATATTCTTTATGAAGGTAAATAAAATAGAGGCAAAGTGAGATTATTAGCAGGCAAAGTGAGTGAGAGATTGGGCAAATTGAGACTACATTATTTGTAAAGGTAAAGTGGAGGCAACGTGAGATTACTACCAGGAAAACTAAGACTGGGGAAATTGAGACTACATTATTTTCCTACCAATAACTCTCTCCCCCATCCCCCCAATTTCTTCATACACCGTATTAAACGTCTTCTTCCACTCGTCATCCAGATCAAAAACGGTTTCCCCTATGCGTATTTTCGTACATAGATCAATTATCCGTTCCGGAGCGCCCTGAGTACATACATAAACCCCACGATATGATATTAGCATCACACTAAAATAAACCGTTACAACGCATGTAACCAAGGGGTGAAAGGAGTGTCATACGTCAATGTGAATATCAAATTGTTCGAAAATTTGTTAAGATTGACACTTCTGACGTGTTTTCGACGTCTTATTTGTGTCAAATTTAACAGTTGATAACCCTTATGTGACCTTTATATGACCTCTGAGGTCAAAATGGAGGTCACCATTGAATTCGGGGTTAAATTTCAGTTGAAATTGAAATAGATATGTCCTATGACCTTTACATGACCTCTGAGGTCAAAATGGAGGTCACCATTGAATTTGACATTGAAAAATAGTTAAAAATGACGTGTCACATGTCAAAACTGACAAGTGACACTTTTTCGTCACTTTTCGTCACTGTGACGATGTCATCGTCACAGGTGACGTCCAAACTCAAAATGACATGAATTTTCGAATTCCTCGTTGAAAATTAGTTAAAAATGATGTGTCACATGCCAAAACTGACACGTGACACTTTTTCGTCACTTTTCGTCACTGTGACGACGTCATCGTCACAGGTGAGGATGTCACAGTGTCCATCTTCGAACTCGTCCTGTCCATTGACGTTAGGAGTTTACGTTCAAAATTTCAAGTGTCTATGTTTTTTCGTTCAAAAGTTATCGGAGCTACGGACAGACAGACGGACGGACGGACGGACGGACGGACAGACAGACGGACATAACGATCTTATAAAGGGCTTTCACCCCTTAATAAACTCATAAATTGACCTCTGACCCACCCACCCACCTTCATAACCATCAGATACCTCGGGTCGCTCGGATCGTTCAAATCATGAATCGACAACTGCCACTTGGTCGTCCTAAAAAATTCAACCCAATTAAATTACTCAAATTAATTAAACTTAACAATTTAATAATTTACGAGTTGAACGGAATCTCAAAAATCTTCTTCCTCGCGTTCTGATATTTTTCCACTCCATTCAAATGCATGTCCATACAGCGCAAAATCGCCGACTCTGACGCGTCCCCGTTAACTTTCCTAAAAAAATAAGCTAAAAATTAACCCCCAATTTTTTTAAATTTCCAAATCAAAATAGATTTTTTACCTATCCTGCGCCGGCAAGTGTCCCTGATCCGGTAAGAATTTCGCCCTACTGCATAACGACGCCACCCTCGCCAAATTAGTGAACCCTGCATCATCCCCGGAAAACTCTTTCGCATCCGGACTTGCCTCCACAATCCGATTTCCGAACCACATGTGCGACGCCGTCATCAAATTCTGCGTCAATGTTCCCGTTTTATCGGAACAAATGACGGAACATGACCCCAACGTTTCCACGGCGTGGAGCTGTCTCACCAAGCAGTTCTTGCCCGCCATCCGTTTCGCCGTGAGGGCAAGAATTACCGTGAAAGTGACCAACAAGCCTTCCGGGACGTTGGCTACGATGATTCCGATAAGGAAGAGGGCCGAGTCGATGATTTTGTACCCCATGGTGAGCGACACGATGAAGAAAACCACCCCGAAAAAGACCGCAACGCCGGAAATTAGTTTGATAAAGTGAGAAACCTCGCGAGACATGGGCGTGTCGACGGCATCCATGCCTGTCGCGAGGCCGGCGATACGACCGATAAAGGTGCCATCGCCGACAGCGACGACGAGCCCTTTGGCAGTTCCTGGGAAAAAAATAAATATCTGGCGTCAATTATTTTTTTCGATTTTGCAGTGTTTCATTATTATTGCGGGGTTGCTTCATTTTTTGCACTGCAAAACAAGAAGTGCAAGAAATACAAGGTGCAAGAAACTGGGAGGAAGTGCAAAAAATATGCGCCATTTAGCCACGTGACCTATGAACTAAAGCGGGAAGTAGTTTCTTGCGCCTTGCATTTCTTGCAGGTCAAAATAACTGCAAAAAATGACTTTCTTGCCGCTACAGATATTTCTTGCACCCGAAATACTGCGAATTTTCTTATGAATTGAGCTAATTAAGCTAAAAAATTGCAAAATTTTAACAACGAAAAAAAATAATCACCTTCTAGCGCATTTGTCGAGAAGAAGGCAAGATTCTTCGTCTCCATCGGATTTTCGTCGGTGCAAAGAATTGACCTCGACTGGGGCTCAGACTCTCCGGTGAGTGACGAGTTATCCACTTTGAATCCGGAACACTCCACGATTCGAATATCGGCAGGAATCCTGTCGCCAAACTTGACCTCGACAATGTCCCCGACCACGAGCTCGTTCGCATTTAAATTCATCAGCTTTCCTCCACGAATCACGTTCGCGTAGGACGGCACCATTTTCGAAAAAGACTCCATCACCTTCCCACTCGAGTATTCTGCACGTATTAAAATTTACAAAAATTTGTTTTAAAAACATACCAAAATGGAAAATAGTCATCTTGATTATAAAAATCGATACCAAATTTTTCATTCAATTTTCCACAGCGTGAAAACCTTACATTTTCACAATTTTTGTTTGAAAATGTGTTACGTAAATGTGAACACATCATAATTTGTTTCAAGAGCATGCAAAAAAACAAAAAAACCGTGCACCAATCTACATTTAAAAAACTGACGTCAATTTTTAATTTAATTTTCCACGGCGCAAAAACCATACATTTTCGCAATTTGTGCAAAAAAAAATTTGTTTCAAAAACATGAAACAGGATTAATCTACACTATAAGAAATTCAAACCCAATTTTTCATGTAATCTCCCACTGCGTAAAAACCTTACATTTTCGCAATTTTTGTTTGAAACTATGTTGCAAAAAAGTGCATATATTACAACCATTCATTTCAAAAACGTTTAAAACCATGAATGGCAGGTACTTTTATCATCTACATTATAAGAAATTGACACTCAATTTTCCATTTAATCTCTCACGGCGTGAAAACCATACATTTTCCCAATTTTTTACAAAAAAAACACAAAATCCTTACCTTGATAGAAGGTGAACATTCCTAAAACTATGACTAGAACGCCCAACACAATTCCCAAGTATAACTATTTCAAAAAAACATTACTTCAAAATTTCAAAAAATTCCTAAATTTTCATCAAAAAAATTTTTTGTAATCCTCACATTATCCGAGGGTGGATCCGCACTTTGGAAGCATTGTGCAATATAAGCCGCAAAACTGAGGACCGATCCGGCCCACAGGAGGAGTTGGAAACCACCGAATAACGTTTTCATAAATTTCAACCACATCGGTTCCGCTTTCGGCGGAGTGAGCTGATTCGAACCATACTTATCTTGGTTCTTATCAACTTGCGGGGTATCGAGACCCTTCAGAAATAAATTTTCAAAAAATATGTTCAAAATTGCAAAATTTCTGAAAAAAAAATTCATCTCACGTTTGCCGGATGACTGCCATATCGGTTGAACAAAGTGTTAATCTCAACTTCATGGTAATCAATTTCCATCTCCTTTTTCAGGTAGGAAACCGACTTCCTCCGCACGAGGGGGTCATGCCCCAAATGAACTTCTTGCATCTGTTCAGAATTTTAAATTTCTTAAATTTCCAATTTTTTTTCAAACCACATTTTCCTTACTTGTGCCGCCTCATCGCGAACAAAGGTTAAATTATCGTGCTGCTTTAACTTGTCGGATGCAGAAGATTGACGCCGTGAAGAGTTGGACGATCTCCGCTCTGGCGCCCAGACACGATCGTTCGCCTACAAGAAAATTTTTTCAAAATTTTCAAAAATATTTTTCAAAAAAATCCACAAAACCCTCACATCAATCACGATCGACACCCTCCGCGACGGTCGGCGTCCATGCTGTGGCGTCACTTCGGGGTCCATATCTCCCGACGTATTTGCAAAGAAAATCAACTTGACGAATGAATTTTAAAAACTCGAAGGAAAAAATGATTTAACAAATTTACTCTTAAAAACAAAATGTCCTATCCCAACAAGAAAACAAATGCGCTACGATCTTCTTATCTGTCTCCTTCAACGAAAGAGTCCAAAAACCGACTAAATCAAATCAAATCTCAGAATTACGGTTAATACAGGAAAAGCCACGACTTATTCAGAGGTACAAAGCTCATATGTACAGAAGTAACTGACTATGTACATACGTAACCTTCATCCTTTTGCCTAATTGCTACAAGATAAAACCAGGTAAAAGTTGGTTTCAAACAATTATACGATACATACAATCATCACTTCGTCACTTAATTTCATGCAGCGTCATATTCGTCATCAGGCCATGCCATGCAGCCACATATTGTATGTATGTGTGTGGATATAAATATACCTGTAAATTCTGGTCAAGACTTTCATACACGCAGAGATAACCACATTAACATGAGAATTATAGAATTAATACGAGTTAGTTACATATTTAAAGCATCATTACTTACACTTAAGTTAACGTTCAACTGTATATACTCTTTCATAATGAAATCCTATCCTTATTTAGCTCCAAGAAATATATATATACTTCGAATTCTTTGATTTTTAATTTTAACAAACCACCAACGACCAGAAGAAGAAGAAGAACAGGAACAAAGAAAAGAAGGCCATGCTTTGCCATGTTCTGGGCGCATTATGTATGCATATATTCGCCTAATTTTACTATGTGTATATTGTACTTTACTATATGTATTTGTATATATCCACACAATTTCATAGGTAAATGTATCACCTTCCCAAGTTGTGAGACTAATTTACACTTTGCCCTCATCAATATAAATGCTTATATATCAAGATTTCCTTCCAGAGAGTTGGTCTAATTATTATTGGTCGTGGTGGTGGTGGTGGATGCAATTAGTGCAGATCTGCTACTTATTTTGTCGGTATAGGTATACGTACAAAATTTATGTATGCATGTACGTATTTTGTATGTGTGTACTTGTTTGCAGTTTAAATTTGGATGTAACAGCAGACTTGTGATGGAAAATTCGGAATAAATTTGCCAATCCAGCCCAATCATACATTTTTAATCCATGAAGCTATTTACATTTCTTTGCGGAAAAGAACAAAGAAACTTGTAGGCTTTTTTCATGAATGCAAAAACTAGATCAAACTGATCACATTTATTTGATCAAGTCACCCCCTCTCGTCCTCGTCGTCAATTTCAATCTTAAACAATGGATAGAAGGAAAGGTGTAAGAATTATAAATTTTGTATGCAAAAAGAAACACGTGTGAGGGTCATGAATTTATTTATTTTGAATTTTGAGTTCTAACTTGAAAACGTATATATTTAAATGTAATTATTTATGTACCCTATGTACTAATTTTCATGCCTTTGTGAAATTTGCGTTGCGAATGATGATGCCGCTGATACGAAAATTTTTTAAGAATAAGTTCAAATGGTCCGGACCAAAGAACTTGATAACTTTTGGTCACTTACTTAAAATAAAATTTGAAACACAAAACGACAACTTTAAAACAAAAAAGGCAAAATTAACAAGAAAATCAGGATTAAAAATTGGCCGATTTATTTAAATTAAAAATCAATCATTACATAAAACCGTAATACTGGACAATTTGCAATTGTAATTAAATTACATACTTTCCATATATACTTCATCTAAATACACGCTTAAATTCAACTACTTTTTTCTTAATGTCCCTTCCAGTAGCTATAAAACTAGTATAATTATTATATTTAAATAGTCACCAGATCCAGCACATTCTACACTAATTATTTAGCAGTGATTCATTTGCTATGGGCTAAAAATATAACATTTCCAGTTCAAACAAGATCTCCTTCCACGAAGAGTTTGCACTTTGTCCTCATCCCGTGATTATTTTTAGCAACTAATTTCCCAAATTTGCATTACAATTCGATTCAAAAGCTAAAAATAGATGGGATACTAATTTCGGGTCTATGACATTCTAAGCTGAATTTAATGGTAGTTTTCTAACTTGAAAGTCAAAAGTTTTGACTATGTGCAAGGTTTTGAGTCAAAACCTTGCACAAAACGAAATCGATTGTTCAAAACCAAAACCTTGCCAAAATCATAACGTGTCCTGATTTCTCCAGATTTGCTCATTGATTCTTTTTTAACTGCCGAGTTGGAGAACTAGTCCATTTCAATTTATTCGCATATGTATTCGCATATTTCAATTTATTCGCATACATCGACATGAGCTTCAAGCATGGCATGCTCAACAAATTGTGCAAAATTAGCATATTTTTAATCGATCCGTAATAAAGCTATTTATACGCAAAAGTATTCCCATTCATGCGTAAAAACTATCATTATTACGTTCTTAACATTATTATTGCACACCGTAATGATCCTCATATGTAAGATGAAAATATTTATAAGGGTATAATTTTAACTTTAAGATTTGTATGTATTTACTATTTATGTACAGACTACAGATGAATGAGTTTCTGAATTTAGCTGATTATCTCATCAATCTTGTCGGAAGTTATCCAATTTTTATGAAATTTCTACAAAATTCAATTCAATGTCTGTCCTGTTAAACTGTAATTCAGCGAATGATTTTAAAATATGGGTTATGAAAATAGTTTACAAATCTCGTATTTATATATTTTACACACACTTCACACACATTTTACATATGCAAATATGTATTTATGTATCTGACCATCCACAACCCAATTCGGCAGGTTCATTTCATTCATACGTGCAACATCTGCTTAAATGTCATTGTCTCAATTGAACCTCATTAAAGTAATTAAACGACACAACATCCTGGATGGAGGGAACACGCCCCATGCAAAACGAGCCTCATTCATGGTGGGCACAAGTTTTCTGAAAACTTTTCCATAATGGCCACCGCTTTTGGATTTGCGTCTTATCTCTTCTCCGGATTCGGGCTTCTCACCCCGGACACGCCCATAATTGACTTGCCATCAGCAGGTAAGCTGCAAGGGCTCGTCGCCACTTCGAGAGGAGGGCGGCAGTACTACCAATACCTCGGGTAATTTACATATTTACCTTCCACACAAGTTTGTAACAGAGGTCAACACCGCCGCCTGGGGCCAGTAGCATTTGAGTCGCCGCCGCCTCAGTCAAAATTGGTCGATGTTGACCTCTGGTTTGTAGAACCTTTTGCATTGATATATGTACAAATATTTCAGCATTCCTTACGCCAAGCCTCCCGTGAACGAGTTGCGATTCGAAGTATTTTTCTCTTATTACATGAACTGCGATTTTTAGTGATTAGTTTAAAAGTAAATTTTTTACAGCCCCCCGTTCCACCAGAAAAATGGAAGGGGGTCCGTTCTGCGAAAGCGTATGGGTCACCTTGTCTCCAGGTAAGCACATAATTGGCTAGAAATACTTTACTTACTTAAAAAATAATAATTGTCAGTTTGACGCCATGATTTACGGGAGTATCATTGGGGAAGAGAATTGTCTGTATCTCAACGTCTTCACAACAAAGGTGAGACCTTCATAAAATTAATATTTGCACAAAAAATTGCAATTTTTGTTGCAAAAATAAGTTTTCTTTAGATTTCTGGAGGAAAGTTACATCCAGGTTGGTCTTCAGTTTTTTGCCATATTTTGAACTACTTTGGTTCCGAAAAGTATTGTTCTGTCTGACATATTTATTTGTCAAGTGCTCGTTACCTTTCACGGGGGCGGATTTACTTCTGGCGACTCGAAAGATTTTGGTCCCTCTTATTTCATGGATGAGGACTGTGTCGTCGTCACGGTCAATTTCAGGCTGTACGTTTTAGGTAGTAAAGTACCGCAACATTCGTAATTTCCCTAATAATTAATTACCCTCTAATTTCATTAGGATTCATAAACACGGGGGATGAATTAATCCGAGGAAAGTACGTGTACATACATCTGAAATTTATTACAAAATTCAAATTCAAAAAATCCATATTTTTGCAGTATGGGATTCAAGGATCAAAACTTAGCTTTGCGATGGGTACAAGAAAACATAAAAAAGGTCCGTGCGGCGTCAAAATCATACATTTGTTTTTACAAAATTACACTCTTAGAAATTCAGTATTAAAATAATACCCTGCGGTATTCATATGTGACTCTACCAAAGTTGTATTGCTAAGTAATACCACGTAGTAATAGCTCGGTATTAAATTTGTACAATATCGATAGCAATTTTTTACTGACCGCTATAATTTTAATACCAAGCGGTAACAATTTTAATACCGAGAAATCAATACCTGCCTGACCATACCAGATTTCTAACAGTGTATTCTTCCTCAGTTTGGTGGTGACCCTGACAAGGTCACGTTATCAGGGTCAGGCTCGGGTGGGATTTCAGTTCACTATCACATCCTCTCCCCCTTGTCGAAGGGTCTATTTCACCGCGCAATCTCGCAATCTGGCCACGTCGCGGTTCCCTTCGCGTTCGTGAAGGACTCCTTATCTCAAGCGCAAAAGTATGGGAAACGTATCAATTGTCCGACCAGAAATACGTCCGCGCTGGTGCGATGTTTAAGATCAAAAAGGGCCCGTGAACTTATCCAAGTCGCGCAGGATCTCATGGTAATTTATAAATAATAATAAGGTTATCAAAATTCTGGGCTTATCGAACATCTTTACAGTCTCCGATTCACACGCATGACGAATTTTTCACCGGCACGTTGGAAACGATCAAGAGGGAAGATACCTTTTTAATCGAGTCCCCCTTTGACATCTTGGAGCAAGGAAACTTTAACAAGGTTCCTTGGATTTTGGGCGTCAATTCGGGCGAGGGTGCTTTCAAAGTGTCACGTAAACTAAATAGAGATCTAAATTTTGTAATAATTAAGATAAGCCAAGTTGATTATCTTTTAATTAATTGTGGACATATTTAGGACTCCTCGCCTACCCTGAAATCCAATCAAACGTGGGCAAGCGGTGGAAAGAGTATGCCCCAATTTTTGCACATTTTGACCCCAATAAAACAGATGTTTCCGACCGGGTACGCATGTGTATAAATGACCTTTGACCTTATGATAATGACCTTTGACCTCTTTCCTCCTCCAGCTTCGTCAATACTACTTTGGCGGAAGTCGCTACCTAAATCCTGGCTACGACCTGGAAAATTTGACCCAATTGGTGTCTGACGGGGTCTATTTTCATCCCACCCACTGGACCGCGATTCGCCATGCTCGCCATTCGCCAACTTTTCTCTATTTCTTTACTTATCAACCGGTCCGATTCCCCAGCATTTGCAGCGCTTATCGAGCCTTGAGACCTGATTCGTGGTTTCCGGCACAGCTCAAAGTCGTCGGCGCAGTGGTGCAGGATGCCGCGAGGAATTATTTTACCAGGAATTATCCAGATTATCAGGATTGGAGTAGGTTTTCAGAAAATTTTGTATTTAAGAAATTTAAAAATGTTTTTGAGAAAATAGTGAAATTCTTAATATTTTAGCTGGAGTATGCATCGATCAGCAAATTCCTCTCTTGTGGAGTTCCGACCTGGTTTCGGACATTTGGAAATCCAGTCCGGACTATCAATTTTCCAGAGATTTAATTCAAACCATTGTCAACTTTATGGACACGGAGTATACACATTTTTTTATCAAATTTGAATATTTTTTAAGGATTTTACAAAAACGTAACAAAATTTTTCCAGAAACCAAAAATTGAAATTCAACGGTCTTCCCTGGCCCTCAATCAGTCCTAAAGGTCCGCCCGTTATGTACATGCGGTTGGATACCCCACCTCGAATGATTGGTAATGAAAGAATACTTTATGATTTATGTATATTGACTAGTTTGTTTATTTTTATTTATTTATTACTAGATGAACCGTTCGCTAAATATCTACCGTTCTGGGACTCGCTAAGTATAAGGAGTGGCTACGATATGGGAAATTGGTGACAAAAGATTTATCTTTATGTTCATCTTTCACACTTTTATAAAATAAATTAGAAATTCATTTGTAGTAATCACCAATATTTTTCATTTTGCAAAAATTTTTGCCAAAAAATCAAATCTTACATCATGACCATACTTACATTCAGACACTTTTCTACCTGAACTGTATTTACGATGAATTGCATAAAGTCATTTTATGTCTCCGACATTGCATTAGATACGTACAAATCACGATCCTACACATTATACGGAATTTTATGTATCTTTTATTATTCTCCAGATCAAATGATTCAACATATTTTTTTACTATGCAGTTTACAAACGTATCAAGGAATGAATGGCTTGCTAAATAATATTTGTAAACATTTGTACATAAAAACGAGATTGTCTTATGTTACCATATGTAAAACATTGTGCATACAAATGTCGATTCATCGTCACCTCATTAATTATCAATAGTCTCGATTCGATTATTTGTAATTCAACCCCTTCAAGAACAGATGGCAATAAGGAACGGAATGTCACCAGGTATTTAAGATTATCCAATCAATACAAATATTTATGTATGTACCACCAAATAAAGGCATGTTGACATTCTTCTGTGTATTTGTAGACTGACAGGTGAGGTATGTATTGCATACATACACATCCATTTATTAATGTCAAAGCCAAATTCATCAGTAATGTTTTCCACCGTTGATTGCTAAATCATAAATCAATAAATTTTGCACAAGTGACCAGAATATTTATTTCCGCAAAAGAAGCGAATGGAAGTCAAGTGGCAGAGAAAGCACCACTCGCAAAACAAAATTTTATGCTGTTTTTTCGTGATTTAAAAAATGAGAACATATTTAAATACATTTCTATCAATGCGTTTAATGTGGATATTGTTGTTGATCTTAAATGATCTGTGTTCTGGTGTCGTCGTAAAAACTACTGGAATTATAAGACTTGAACTTAACGCCCAGAGAGCGACGGGAATTTGGACGGCTACAGGAAATAATGCGTCTCATGGTAAATACGTCTTAGAAATTTAACAATTTGATAAATGCATTATTATTAAAGTGAGTTAATTTATTCAGTTATCTCGATACCGGCTGAAATACCCGGGTGAATATTTTCCGACCTGGAAGCCAGTCAACTTCTGTCTTCCGAAATATACCATGATTACAATGACATGGAATCCAAATGGGTTGGTCGAGTTAATTGGACTTTTTCCAGGAGATTTACAAGTACAGAAGCTTACAATGGAGGTCTCCCAGTGTATGCTATCCGATTTTTATCAAATTAGTGTCGAACGATGGCAAATTTATTAATATGAAATTTGCAAAAGACACGATCTTCCAATTCTCACATTTGGCATAGATATTTGCATCCAAGAGGAGAAATCGCACAGCAAATTTTGAAAGTGTAAGAATTGTCAAGTTTATAACCCGTTTTCTCATTTTTTGGCATTTAATGTAAATTTGAGCATTGGGAGGTTGATGGACACTCGTTAGCAATCGAAAAGGTTAATCAAAATCTGAAAGCATACGATGGGCGACCTGCATTAATACTAATGCAAAGAAATTCATTCAATAAATAATAAAAAAAATGTCCATTTTGCACTTTTACATATTTTCAGTAAAAGAACCTTTATTTTCGAAACGAAAAATCGTCCTAGTTTGTGAAGGATTGGACACAATTTCCGACATATTTATTAACGATATATTTATCGGAAGTAGCAAAAATATGTTTGTCCGCTACATTTTTGATATCAAGGCAGCTTTGACGGTAATTCAAAACTTTTCATTTTTCTGCATGAATTTCAAATTTGACAAAATATTTTATAAAAATTTTGCAAGGTGGGAACAAACACGATAAAAATAGCTTTCACGTCCCCAGTTGAATATGCATCCAAAGAATACACAAACCATGAGGAAGCGTTCGGTTATCCGGTAACGCCTCCGAATTTGGTGCGAGAATATCGAGGGGAGGATAAGGCTCAGATGATTCGGAAGATGCAGGCGTCCTTCTCGTGGGACTGGGGTCCTTCATATGCAAGTTCTGGAATATGGTAAATATTTACTAATTTACATAATATGTAATTATGCTTATTTAATAATATGCATTAAGGCGGCGGTATAAGTAGTGCAGAGGCAAACGAATTTTTTATTCAATAACGCAAAATACTGAGACAATTGAAGAAATTGGACGATTTTTTATTTTTTCTTAGTGAGGCAAATACCTAACAACGAAAAAAATTACTAAGTATGCATTTGACCCACCCCAAAAAAGTGACCATCTGCGATATCTCAGTCATTTCTCAACCGATTTTGATGAAATTTTGCACCGATTATTGTTGCATAATATAGAAATGGGATCTGATCCGACTAAGCGATTACGTGATCTTGACCGGAATTATGGGCAAAAATGTAGCCTTAGAAACACATTTGTAATTATTGCTGGTTACTAGCAAACGTTATCAACAGTTTGATACCCACGAATTGTAGGGCAGTTTATCCCGAAAATTTAAAGCATAAATATATCAAAATCTGTTAAGAATTGGCTTAGTTATTCCAATTTGAAGTTCAGAAATTCCTGCTCGTGCTACGAATCATTGCCATTGACAACGACGCAAGACTAATAAATTGAAAACAAATTACATTCAAAACTGTAAACAGCACAACTAATCGTTGCTTCTGTAACATGCTTGGTAAACTGCGTGAAATTGTTGTTGTTGGTGTTGCACCTCCAGATCAGGTCTTTTGGTGTTTAGTAATCTAGGCCGGACATTTTGACCAAAATGATATAAATCGGTTAAGAAATAACGGATTTATTCAATTTTAAACACCCAGCATTTAATAAAATTATTCCGCATCAAACTACTGAAAAGGGGTAGTGCAATGCAGTTATCCAATGGGCAATCTAATCACCCAATTAAAAGTTATAAATAAACAAGGTCCCTAAAAAGGGGAAATCTTAGTGAGGGAGTGCAATCACAACTAATAAATAAAATTAGATTGGAGAATTTTTGCATCACCGCTCTCGGTACCATTTTTACTGGAAGCATTAATCCTTTAAATAGAACACTTGCTCCCTCGAAAGGTTCGATGATTTTGCATAGAGTAGCCAAATTAATATATGAAGTTGAAATTTGTATATTTTTTTAAACAAATACGTAGCTCATAATTATTTAGCCATCATATCTTACATATCTACCTCAGTTAATTTAACCCACTTCTCGTTCACTACACAGTAAAAATGTATTCCTTCCTCAATTTATTCAATAAAACTAACAATTCATGCATATGCAAAGAAAAATTTATACTGCTTCCAGTAAAAATGGTACCGAGAGCGGTGATGCAAAAATTCTCCAATCTAATTTTATTTATTAGTTGTGATTGCACTCCCTCACTAAGATTTCCCCTTTTTAGGGACCTTGTTTAATACTTCGACGTCGATATTTTTTTACATAAATTTTCTACTTTTAATTAATAACAATAATTACATGATAATTTATGGAATATGTAATTGATCTAATTATTGTTATCAATGAGTACCATCAAAATTTCTAGAAAGAAGGTGAAGAAAAATCAGGCTCACAAGACAAATTTCCGCCTGATATTTTCCTTCGTAATATCTTCAAAATTATTGATACATATTATGTTGAATTTAGAGGCAATTCAATCAGTCATTGGTAGCTTGTAAAATTCGTAAGGTTCGTAAAATAATTGTACAAAATGAAAAGATGTCCTTCATCTGAGCAAGTTTATAAAAATTTGGAAGCTAATTTTCATCAGAAATATTTGTAAAATTTTGGAAAAGTCTGTCAGTTACAAGACTTGCATAAATTGGTTCACTAATTTTAAAATAGACACAAGACACAATTACTTCTGGCTTCAGAGAGTATAGGGAAGACCGCTATGTTGGTACTTGGCAGGACAATAATTAACTGCACGTATACCACCGTAATTATTAAATTGTCCGATGAGGACCAGCCCCACACACGAATTTATGTACATTCATCCACTTATTTTTTTGTGTCCAGGAAAAACATTTACATTGAAGGAATCGACACCGCCGTGATCCGAGATGTGCTTATCTTCACAACTCCAAACAAACCGATTCCGGATGAAACGGCGGAAACGGAGTGGGCCCTGACGGCTCGCGTGTATTTTGACGTAGCCCGAAACGATGAACGCGGCACGTTGACCTTACGTCGTATTTCGCCAGGAATGAGCAATAGCAATCCTCATCCTGTTCGAACCACGGTCAGCTTATCGTCACGAGGAGGGTCGGATGATGAGTCTCAAGACATCGTCATCATTATACCTGTGCGTCCATCAATTAATTTGGTTACATACGTGGTGAAGGAGGCAATTTGAGACTTTGATATGCATTTATAGGGGAATCATGCCAAATTGTGGTGGCCGAATGGTTACGGCGATCAAAACCTGTACACCTATGAAATCTCGTATGTTTCTCGTACATCGGAGGAAACTAGCAGTCAAAGAGTTCAAGTGGGATTCAGAACTGTTAATCTTGTCCAAGATTTAGTGAACGAAGAGAAACCACAATGGGGTAATAATTACTTAATAATATAATACCAATAATTGTAATAAAGCAGTGATTAATTACAGGTCGAGAATTTTATTTCAAAGTGAACGGCATGAAAATGTATTCGAAAGGATCAAATTCAATTCCGATCCACGTTCTACCAGAGAAAGTTACAAGAGATATGACAAAATGGTTGCTGAAATCCGCGAAGGAGCTGAATTCTAATATGATAAGAGTTTGGGGAGGTGGGATTTATGAGTCGGATTACTTTTATGAGGCAAGTTATCCAAGCTACGTATGTATGTATTTATTTGTTACATTTTAAATATATGGGAGTAAGAGAACTGTTCTAAATGAGAGGTCGACGCCGACCAATTTTCCCCGACGGCGCCAATTTTGGCGATTCTTTCGGCGGCGTCCTAATATTGAAGGAATAGGCAATCAGATTTTTCGGTGGCAGCGACGCCTAAGATGCGACCGGCGGCGCGTAAAATGTGACCGGCGACGCACGGCGGTGTCGACCTCTGTTCTAAATTTACCATTTGAATTTTAGTTGGCCGATCAGCTTGGAATTTTTATCTGGCAAGATTTCATGTTTGCTTGTGCCATGTATCCTGCCGACGACGTGTTCCTGCTGAATGTAGTGGACGAAGTAAAAACGCAGGTCAAACGACTCCAACGCCATCCAAGTTTGGCGATGTGGGCGGCAAACAATGAGAACGAGGCGGCCCTTCAGGGAAGTTGGTACGGAACTTTTGGGAAGTTCGAAATCTACAAGGCCGACTTTATCAAGCTCTACGTCGATACTATAATTGGAAACGTGTCGCAGTTAGATCCTTCCAGAGAGTGCTTGTCTTCCAGCCCGACAAACGGGATTCAGACAAAGTTGGAAGGCTGGGTTGCCCAAAATCCGGGCGATTCACGATATGGCGATGGTATGAAATAATGATTCTCTTGTTAACATTGTAAAATTCGTAAATTTACAAATTTTTCCGAAATTTTACAAACATTTCTGAGGAAAATTAGCTCACAAATTTTTGTAAACTTACTCAGATCAAGGGCATCTTTTATTTTGTAACAGCTTGTAAAATTATACAAGTTCCCAATGACCGCGTGAATTGCTTCACTATTAAAATTTATAATTTTGCATCTTTTGAAAATTGTATCAATTGAATTGATTCAAGATTCCTAAACTTTTTAGCTCGTTTCCGTGGAGTGAATGTATTAGGATTATGTAATGAGGTTGTCCAAGGATGAGCCATCTTTTAAAAATTATTAAAAATTTTCGAGTTGGGGACAGGCACGCATTTTTTGGCGTTGTCACCCGTTGTTGGGTGAGTGAGAAATTATTTTTAAAATTATTTTTGCTACATTTTCTGGGGACTGCTTTTAATTTTTAACTCGATTGCATATTACATATGTGATATTGATGACCATTTTTGTCCCCGATACTTTTATATATTTGTACACGTATTTATATGCATATTTTTATAAAGAGCACAACCAGGTAGATAATTCGAGTTCCGGAGAAAAAATTTTCATTTGTCTAAAACTTGACAAAATTTTCATTATTAAATTATCACTCCCACGATAACGGTGGACCTGGAGGACGAAGAGGAGGAGGATAATTTAGTTCTGGAAGATTTTGTAATTGATGAGGTAGCAGCTGCTGGTGCAGATTCAGAAACCACTCCTGCTGATACCGAAGATGAGTTGTTAACGGTATAAGTTTTTAAAATCATGAGGATGTCAATTTTTGTCAAGTTTTTTTAAAGATAAATAAACATTTCTTTATCTGGAACTCGAATTATCCTCCTGGTTGTGGTCGCTATCTTCATAAAAATATGTATACAAATAAGTGTAGAAATATACAAAATTATCGGGGGCAGAAGTGGTCATCAATATCACATAATATGCCACGATTGCTTGACTTTAAGTATCTAGGTAACGTTAGTCTCCCTTCACGGTTGCGACAAATGGTCGAGTTACAAATTAAAAATTCATTTTAAAATCGTTGGTTCAAAAAGGGCGTTTGAGTCTCCAACTACTTTGACCCTTAATAACTTTTGAATCGGCAGACATAGAGACTTAATTCTTGAGGATGAAATCATCGTAATTTTTTGATTGATTTTTTAAGCTAAAAATTTCGAGAGTATTATTTCGAAAATTAAACTTGAAATCTCCAGTGAGCCCGAGTCAGACTCTGTGGTTGTCGGTCAAACCAACCATTTTCCATGAAATTGTAATGTACCAAATGCATTTAAACTTGTGGAGTGACATATTTTTGAAAAATCTGTATGGATCAAGCCCTACGGTCTCACCCGTTCTGAAAATTTCAGCTAAATCGGTTCAGCCATTTTGGCTATCGTGTTCCGGAAGGACATGATGGTTCCATAAGAACTGACTTAGGCTAAAAAGGCAACAATTTTGCAGAGCCTTGTAAGATGGCATTATTCTGAGAGCAGGACTCGTAATGAACGATGTGCATATAATTTTGTGATTTATTTTTGGTATATAAACCATTACAAAACACGAACTTAATAAACTCGGAAAATTTTTCCTATTTTAATTTATATTGCTACGATTAGTTTTACGACAGTTATCGCAAGACGGACAGACGGACATAACGGGTACATAAGCCCTGATTCAGGCTAAAAACCTATATTTAGTTAAAATTTTCACCAATGCATAATACGCATTGTTTATTTGACAAAAAACAGGCGTAAAGTGCATTAGTAAAATGTATTTGGTACAATAAAATTCTATGCAAAATGGTCGGTTTGACCGATAACAGCGAGCTTGACTCGGGCTGCACACTGGAGATTTCAAGTTCAATCTTCGAAATAGTACCCTCGAAATTTTTAGCTTAAAAAATCAAGCTAAAAATTACGATGATTTCATCTTTAAGAATTAAGTCTCTATGTCTGCCCGTTCAAAAGTTATTAAAGGTCAAAGTAGTTGGTGTATTTGTAAGGGACTTTTACACCAACTATTTTAAAAATAATTATTTTATTTGTAACTCGACCATTTGTCGCAACCGTTAAGGGTAACTAGGCACTAAAAGTCAAGCAATCGTGATAATATGCATTCAAGTTAGAAATGAAAAAGTCCACCGAAAAATAATTTCTCACTCACCCAACAACGGGTGACAACGCCAAAAAATGCGTGCCTGTCCCCAGCTCGAAAATTTTTAATAATTTTTAAAAGATGGCTCATCCTTGGACAACCTCATTACATAATCCTAATACATTCACTCCACGGAAACGAGCTAAAAAGTTTAGGAATCTTGGAATTGATTCAATTCAAATTCATTGATCTTGATCTATCTCCTACTTTTTACAAATTCAAGTTACCCGAAAAAAAATTAAACGGCGTAAAACTCAGTAGTGGTATTCACAGTAACCGATTATTGCGATTATAATCATTATCGATTATAATCACCCAAAAATTCTCTATGGGGAAAAATAAACCAATGTGATTATAATCGTCAAAAAAATAATCCTCTCCCAGGACGATTATTTGGATTATAATCCTTCATCCAAATGCAATTTTTTAAAGCGTCCGAAAAAGTAGCCGTTGCTATGATACTATTTAATGAATCCTGCTGGATATTTTAGGCGAAATAATCAAAATACAACAATAATCTGGTGCGTTCATGGTATATGACAATATTATTTGACACTTTATCATTCTATACATGTTACGACAAATGAATTGTTTCCAACACAAATTTTCATTTTTGAAGAAATTAAATTTTAATTATTATGTACTGAAAAAATAGTGTGAGTGGACCGTTGCTAAGTTGGATGATTGAGATGACCCCCTAGGTCAAATCCGGGTCAAGTGATCCCACACCCTCCAGTGGGGTGTCAATCGATCGATCTAGATCATACGATGACTTTGGTATATTATAGAATTTTGTGAGATAAGAATTGGCTGAAAAACTTATATTTTGGAGATATTCTTCAAAATAAACGTTTTAGCTATCGAAATAGTACACTCGAGATTTTTAGCTTAAAAAATCAAGCTAAAAATTAGGATGATTTCCTCCTCAGGAATTAAGTCTCTATGTCTGCCTGTTTAAAAGATATTCAAGGTTAAAGTCGTTGGGCCGGACAAGGGGACTTTCGGCCCAAAGATTTAAAACCTACAGTGCAGACTCCATATAGCCCGAGTCAGGGACAGAGTCCGTGACTCGATACGTCCGAGTCCTCTTCTAAATTCTTATCTCAATTGACCTACATACTAAAGCTGCATATAGTCCAGAAGTGGTTTTTGGTCTTCATACCAAATTTCAGACGAAAATAACAACTTTTTAAAACGGTATGGATCCCCCAGGATCACTCTGGTTGCATTTTGCAAACTTTGAACTTCATATTATTTCATGCGAAGCCAACACGGTATCACCGTGTTGGATTTCATCCTTTTAAACCACTTTCTATATCGGTATGGGTCATCCCATAGGGTCGCTCCAGATAAAAATTTTACCAATTTCATTTCATATTCTTCCATTAAGACCTACACACAACCGTGTACCAAATTTCAGCTTGATATGACGATTTTGAAAAATCCGTATGGGTCACCCCCTAGGGTATCTCAAGATGAAAATTTTTCCAACCTGAAGTTATTTTTTTCTATTAGGAGCCATTAGCAACCTCTGTACCAAATTTCAGCTTTCTACGACAATTTTGAAATTTTGGTGCATAATACCCCACCCACTCCGATGACCCCCACCGGTCAACCACTTGACCGATTTCGCCCATCTTCGAACTCGTTTCCTAACTTTGTCAAATATGGACATAGTAAAAATTTCAAGTCAATCGGTTCAGCCGTTTTGGCTCTATCGTGCCGGACAGACAGACAGACGGACGGACATGACGGTTCCATAAGCCCTGACTCGGGCTAAAAATGAAAATTTTTTTTTCAAAATAATTCATTTGTCGCAACCGTATGGGGCACCGCCCATAGAAACGATGTCAGTTAATCGTGGGTATATGATTATAATCGATTGTGATTATAATCGTCCTCACGATTATAATCGGTTACTGTGAATACCACTAGTAAAAAAATTCTAATTTTGATAACTTTTTAAATATTTGATTCCTTCGAAGTTTTGCTAGTAAGCAATTAAATCTTATTGTTTTAATTTTAAAATGTCCGAACCCAATCTTACAATTGTATCATATCATCATGGACCACCGATCTCTTACTTTTTACTATACAAAGCTCACTGAACTGCTTTTTATGGCGTCAAACTCGTTCAAAAATAAATTCTTATTTCAATAACTTCCTTTAACACTTGATCCCTCCAATTTTTAGAAATCTATTTTTTTCCAATGTAACTAAATCTCATCGTTTTGTCGTATGAAATGAACCTTTAAAATGTCTTCAAACCCATGTTTTCGTACGAGTAAAGATAAGTAAACCCCATCAACGCGGAAATGCGTGTTAGAGAAAGTTGAAAATAGTTTTCTGGGTGAAATTGCATCCAATTTTGAGAAAATGCGGATCAATTATCTAACTCACAAATTTTTGTAAACTTACTCAGGTCAACAGCATCTTTTTATTTTGGAAAACTTTGTAAAATTACTTTACAAACCTTACAGATTTTACACGTTGCTCTTGCCTCATATGAGTTACAGGTTTGGTTTTAAATATTGTTTTTTTTCTAATGACACATAAATAGTTCATCATTACGACTACTACGGGGACACGTGGAATCATGAAACTTTCAAGAGGAAGACGAGATATGCGTCGGAATACGGATTTCAGTCGTTCCCATACATCGGGACGTTAGAAAAGGTGTAATTATTTATCATTATTCATAATTTTACCTGACAGACACGTTTCCAGTTCTAATAAACTTTTATTTATGTATTTCTAGATTTCTAGCAATTTCGACCAATGGACCTGGAATTCAGCCATGGTCGAACATAGACAACATCATCCAAGGGGACAGGAAGAAATGAGAAGGCTAATTCAGACCCATTTACCCTATCCGAAAAATTACAATTCCACCGAAGCATTCCCAGCCATGATTTACATGGCTCAAATTGTACAGTCGATGGGGCAGAAGACACAGACAGAATTTTATAGACGCCTGATGGATAAGTTGGACGAAAAGGATGGAACTGGTCACAACATGGGAGCGTTATATTGGCAGCTAAACGACATCTGGGAAGGCTGCTCTTGGGCATCATTCGGTACAGAGAAAAATATTAATTAAACAGAAACAATTCACGCAGTTATTTGTAACCTTGTAAAATCCGGAAGTTTTGCAAAATAATTTTACATACTTTTACAAAATGAAAAGACTCTTGATCTGAGTAAGTTTACAAAAATTTGGAAGCTAACTTTCCTCAGAAATAGTTGTAAAATTTTGGAAAAGTTTACGGAATTTACGGATTTTACAAAGTTACCCATCACTGCGTGAATTGCTTCAATGCACATCTTAGTTATTCAACTAATCACTACATGCATAAATTAGTCATATTACAAATTACCACTATAAATCATCCTGAATTTACATATTTAACGCAGAAATCAATGGCAGGTGGAAAATGTTTGCCAGCTATATGAAAAGGTCGTTTCATCCCGTTCTACCGTCCCCTTACAAGAACTTTGACGGGGACGTAGTCGTGGAACTCATTTCTGATGCTATTGATGACTTCAGTGGTCATATGCGCGTCCGAGTCTTCAAGTTCGATAGTTTGACTCCATTGTTTGATGTGACCACATTGGTCGCTGGGGTATGTTCAAAAAATATATATTTTACAAAATGTATATTCACGCAGTCATTCGTAATTTGTAAAATCTGTAAATTTTGTAAAATTATTTTACAAACTTTAACAAAACAAAAATACATTCTTGATCTGATTGTGAGCAAGTTTACAAAAATGTGGAATCTAATTTTCCCAAGAAATATTTACAAAATTTTGTACGAAGTTTACAGAATTTACGGATTTTACAATGTTACCAAGCCCTGCGTGAATTGCCTCATTATTTAATTTGATACTTAATTTGGTTTGATTTGACAGACATATTTGACGTCGAAAGAAGTATTTCGAATCCACGAAGAAGATCTGGAACGTGTTGGATGTGATGACGGAAAATTAGATCCGTACCCTTGCCTGGTACACGTGACCATGCCTGGGACCCCCACCAATTTTTTGCTCCTCCACTACCCCACTAACAAGTCACACCTGAAATTTCCGAACCTCCGGGTATGTAATATTAACTTGTCATACACCGTTAAAAATTGGGCATAGCCAGGCAGCTCTGGTCAATTTGCGAAATTATTCAGCCAAGACGAGGGGAGCTTGCGAGGTTGATAATAACAGATCTTGGTGCCCTTTGGATATGTGGTAGGGACCCATGAGTGTACTAAAACCCTGAAGTAGTTTGACTCCATGGCCACATTTGCGCCCGCCACACCCACTCAAAAATGTCCAAAAAACGCTTTCACCCCAGTTTTCACTCACTCAAATCCACGCCAAAAATCCAATTTTACTCGGATTTTGAAATTTCTTTCACCATTATACTCCCAGATAGTTGCTTTCTTCAATCCAATATCAAACTCAATTTTTTCGAAATTTTTAGTATTTTTAAAATTTAAAATTCTGAATGAGCATTGTTGTAGTCATCAACAAAACAAATTATGTTTGCGAAATAATCATCAATAAAATTGAGTTTGATATTGGATTGAAGAAAGCAACTATCTGGGAGTATAATGGTGAAAGAAATTTCAAAATCCGAGTAAAATTGGATTTTTGGCGTGGATTTGAGTGAGTGAAAACTGGGGTGAAAGCGTTTTTTGGACATTTTTGAGTGGGTGTGGCGGGCGCAAATGTGGCCATGGAGTCAAACTACTTCAGGGTTTTAGTACACTCATGGGTCCCTACCACATATCCAAAGGGCACCAATATCTGTTATTATCAACCTCGCAAGCTCCCCTCCTAAGTTAGGAAGGAAGCCTAATTTGATATTCTGAAAAATTTACAAAGACATTTAAATGTAACATTTGATATGAAATAGGAAATTTATCAATTCCACACAATTTGTCATGAATGCTTTCACTGTTAGAAATCTGGTAAAGTCATGCAGTTATGTATTAGTTTCTCAGTATTAAAGTTGCTACCGCTTGGTACTAAAATCATACATGTCCGTAAAAACCTTAATACTGAGCTATTACTACACGGTATCAGCTATGAATACCACTTTGGTTGAGTCATAGTTATATGAATACCGCTTGGTGTTATTTTAGTACTGGATTTGTAAGTATCTTCGGATTACAAACTTTACTAAATTGTAATAATTGTAGGCAGTGGAACACACGGCTTCCTCGGATTTGAAAACGTTTACAGTGACCCTTGTCACCGACGAAATCGCTCCGTTCGTCTTTCTCAACCTGAGGGATTCTACCCATGGACGATTCAGCGACAACGGTTTCATCATGGTCGACTCACAACAAGTGGTCACCTACGAGTCTCGAGATCCAATTTCTTTGCATGATTTTATCACACAGTTGGACATCATGTCACTTTATGATGTTACGGCAGTAGCACAAGATTAATGTACCATTTGTTAACTTGTCGTTAACTTCTTGTTATTTTCCCTGGATCTCGCTTTACTACAAGTGCTTTAGAAGATTGTTATGACATGTTGACGTACTTATGGCGTAAGAAAGATGATATCAAATAAATCTAAAAATTTAGTTGAAATTTGACTGGAGTACAAGTAAAGAAGTCATTTTTTGGAATATTTGCTATACTCCAGCTTTTCTAAAAATTTAGTCTTTAATTTACTGCTTCTACATTCATTAAATTGCCAAATTAACCAAACCAAATTAACCAAACCAAATTAAATTCATTAACTTAAATTAGTCAAGAGTCAACTTAATTGAAGCAAAAGATTCGATCGAAGCCTTATAATTAATTAACCATGGGTAGCTCATCTTCAAAGTAAAAAACATCAACGAATCCATAATAATTTTACAAAGCATTATTGACCAGTTTGTGAGAATTATAATTTTTGGATAAATCGTTTCGTTATGTAATTGTAGGGCGTTTTATTTAAAAGAATAACTTCATTGAAATAAAACACGCGCAGAAATTAGATTAATTTAATCTGACGCTGGCTTGTCTTATTTGAAGGAGGACGATATGGGCCGAGTGTTGCTGGTTCCAGGTCCAAATCTTCGTCCCCAACGTCATTTTTATTCAGTGACTGTTTTTGATACCGAGCCATGGCTTTAACTTCGAAAAAATTGTCGGATTCCTTTCTGAAGCATTCGGACACCGGGGGCCACACGAGCATGGAAATTAGAGAGACTGCCATCAAGAATGCCAACGTTCCAAACACGTATAACGCAATCGTCTTCAGTTTTAACGTTTCCTGAGGAAATTAAAAAAAATATGTTAATTAACGGATCAGCAATTACTGAATTTTGATATTTTTACGGGTTGTTCTTCGACATCACTGTCTGTCAACAACGAGTTAATTGGGACCACTAGATTATCAATATCTTTTGATTCTTCGGCCAAGACGGGTCCCCAAAATCTGTGAAACTGTGGAAAGAAATGCAATCTGGATTACATATGCATGGATGAATATTACATACATAAAATTGGAAAGGTAAAAACTTACAATCATGAAGACATACAAGAAAATGTACGTAATCATCCATCCAATTACCACGTATGAAAAGTGGCAGGAAAGCCCAGAGAATTGAAGTTCCGGACTGGATGCCAACACTAGATCTGCAATTTTGAAATATACCATTGAGAAATATTCCATTAAAAATATCATAATTTGAGAATGAACGTGTACAAATTTGACGCCAGTATACAAAATTTTAATCATTCCTGTTCTAAGCAGATTTTAGATTTTTGAAAATGATTAATTTTTCTTTCACAAATTTCGGAAAGAAATTTCCGTCACAAAAATAATCCTTCTCAGTGACAGTCTAAGTTGTTAAGAAGTTGCGTTAAGATTAAGATGGTAAGTACGTATCTACATACTTGATAAGAAGTGTACTGCATGTGACGATACTTTATGAACGAGTGTTGGATAATGAACTTTGTCCTCAAAGTCGGATAAGCGTCGCAAGTCTTTCTTCTTCCTTAGGAGAAATCCGGATAACAGGCTGACGCAGTACAGAGCTACGACACCGTATCCACCCACAAGGTGCATGTAGTTCTTTCGAACATGGCTCTTCCAGCCTATTTTACCAACGACGTGAAAGTAGATTCCCATTCCGAACGGGATCAGAGCCCCCACGTGGAAGACGCAATGAATCTTTTAGCGATATACATATGCATAATTAATTACCATTAATTAATTAAACGACCATTAGTTAACCATTGCTCACCCACCACGAGCCAAGTTGCCAATTTGAAGCATGTTTCTTTCTTCTTAAAAATGTCTTTGTAAAAGCTCCCAACAAAGTTTCCAATCGAAACGAAACAAATCCAAGTTAAAATCATGCAAATTCCGTGCACCTTAAAGTAAATTTTCTGGCTGGCGGTAGGCTAAAAATAAATTTCGCTTCTTAAACAGTCAAAATATGCAATGCATATTTTTTTTAAATTGGCAATGATTTGTTCTACAATTATGTCGTCCAGAATTTTAAAATAAATTCCAAAAGCCGAGCGAGATTATTACCTGGAAGAACATGTCAAGTTTCCAACTATGTTTGCATGGCCTTCGACCCCCAAGTTTCCCATTTCCCTTTCCATATGTGGCGTCGTGGTCAACGAGTTGATCTGTTTGATTAAATTTAATGCTTAATTAATGAATTAAAAAAAAGTATACCTTAGTTTTTGAGTTTACAGAGAGAGGCATTCGTAATGTTATACTTGTCACTCCATGCTACCGAAAAAAAATGTGTAAGTCCAACTGATCCATTGTTATTTTCTTGAAAAGGTCAGAATTTGTAAGACCCTTACCTGCGAGTATGCAATACTCTTTGCTTAGATCATATTCACGTTTGCGATTTTCGTAAGGATCAATCTTGGTAAATTTTTTCTGCATGTAAAACTTGCAGTAAATTTCCCTCCTACTCACCAGTGTTTGAACGACAACTATGTTCGACACGTCGGTCTTAGGACAACGGATATGGTTTTAGAATTAACTTTTTTTATATACATACTTAAATTGTAATATATACATAAGCACGCACTATAATTTTATTTCCTTTGCCAACTGGTGCAATATCGGGTGCTTTGTTCCAGGAGTTCGTCACACTTGGGAGAATGTCCCCATTGCCCACAATGGTGTCCGTAATCATGGAAATATTTGGCCGACGACATGAAAGCACGTAGTCGTCCCCCTCGAAAAAATGTAAAGGTTGATTACCTTCATGGATTGCTTATCTAATGACGTAGGTTTCCCAGTGTATGCTCATTGCTCTCCGATTTTGACCAAATTAGTGTCAATCGATCAAAAATTTAAATAATATGAAATTGCAAAAAACACGATCTCCCAATGGTCACGTTTGGCAGAGATATTTGCATCCGAAGAGGAGAAAACGGGTCCTAAAGTCGGGAAATTGTACACTTTCTAAATTTGCTCCATGTTTTCTCTTTTTCGGATGCAAATATCTCTGCCAAACGTGTCCATTGGGAGATCGTATCTTTTGCAAATTTCATACTAATAAATTTGTGATCGATTGATACTAATTTGCTCAAAATCTGAGAGCAAACGCTGGGAGACCTCCATTGTAAGCTTAGATAACTAAATATTTTAACAAAATATGCTAATATGCACTTACCATGCTCACGTCATTGGATAACCCAATGCTGAACCAAGCCTTAGCTTGGGAATACATCTCGATGACCACTTGATCCTCGGTATTATTATCCTTGCCATCTCTGCCCCCAATCGCCACCAGATTTTTGCAGCTCACATCCTCCATGCAGTTAGGGTTCTCTTCTGGAATGTCCCCTTCTTCCGGCGAGTAGCAAAACTTGGTGGTTAAACAGCCAGCAAATATCTTTTCAGGAGTCCTTCGATAGTTGATCTGCAATCAGAGACGTTTTATTTTTTGTTAAATGTACCCAACATGCAATAAAGCCTTTACTTTTCCGCTACTCTCAACTACCACGACGGTGACAATTAGACATGATAGTATTTTCATGAAGAGCAACTGATTGGAATATTGATACCTCATCTTGGTCTTGGTGCAAAAATGGTCTTAAATTAATTTTATTGTCGTCACACGCTATAAAACAATCAAATTACCACTCATATGCTATATGCATGCATGCATACACAGGAATAAATTGCGTATGTACCCGTAAGTAGCTTTGTTTCGTTGAAGATGCATAATTCAGAATCTAATACGACACGATTGCTCGGTATTTAGTGTCTTAGTTACTAGTTTTGCACGAATTATTTTACCTGTTTCGTACAATTTTGCGCTACCGATTGTCCGATTGTGGTTGGTATTATGTTCGTGTTCTTCTATAAGGAGGGGTTCCCTTTCAATTGATGCAAAAAAACTCATTCATAGAAAACACGGACGGACAGACAGAACAAGAGGAACTCACTAGCTCCCATATACCCATATCGAGTTAATAATACGCTTCAAAATATTATCCTCATTTTACCAAGGGAAAGATAATCTATTTAGGTTTTCCCAACCCACCAACATCGGGTTTTTCCTCTACTCCCCAAGCCAACTAAGTGTATTTCATAGTTTATCAATGTTTATGTTAATAATAAATAATACCCTCTAAAAAAAAAATCTATTTAGAGTTAACATATAGATCACAAGTCAAAAATCTCGAAAACGTTGTATAGTCATCACGTACCATGACCATGACTATGAAAAACTAACATCCAATCCAATCCCTTAATCACATTAGTTCACAAATAAATAAATAAACACCGTCATGATAAGGGTCAAACACTGATAAGATAACGAAACGATTCACCACCATGTACATAAGTACTTCACTCAAGCATGTGATGTTCATTCTCAACACGGCCCAGCTCTAGAACTTGCTTGCTATTATTTAATAAGTAGAAACATTGTAAAATTTATAGTTAATATTTTTAGCCAGAAATTTATTTAAAATCAATATGGCACACGATTTTCTCTTCAAATTCATCCTGGCTGGAGACTCGTCGGTCGGTAAGACTGCAATACTGCAACGCTTCACGGACGCAGAGTTCAAATCAGCGACTGAATACGAGGCGACTGTGGGGGTGGATTTTAAAACTAAGAATGTTTCCATTGAGGGCAAAGAGGTCATGATTATGGTAATTAGCCTAAAATAATAGAATTGATGTGACCTTTAATTACGGTGTAACAATTCAATGAAAAGCGATTCAAAATCAGGATGTTGCTTATCGTTGAATTGTATATTCTTTGTAAATTACAAAAAGTAACGCGAGGCCTGATTTTTTTTTGTAAAACCTGCAATTTTCCTGTATTTTGTCTTTATTATTGAGTTTTTTGGGTTCCAAACATACGAGTGGATCGCTTCAAGTATTTTTAAATCGTGAGGTCATTGACCTTTTGACCTTTTTAGACCTGGGACACAGCCGGGCAGGAAACGTACCGTTCATTTACTCGTTCTTATTTCCGGGGATCTGCAGTCGTTCTTTTAGGTAAATACAATTTTAATTTACAGAAATTTTTGTATAATTTATGCCCAATTTGAAATTCTGAACACGAATTTTACTTATTTCTGATTTTAATTAGTTTACGATGTCACCAGCCGATCCTCCTTTGACAGTATTCCCTCCTGGATAAAAGACGTTCTAGAACACGCCGACAACCCGAACCTCGGCCTCGTCATTGTTGGAAATAAGAAGGACTCCGCTTTACGAAAAGTACAAACCGACGAAGGCGCCGCGCTGGCCGCACAAAATGGCGATCTCCTCTTTTTCGAAACTTCAGCCAAAACGGGGGAAGGCGTTCATGAAGTTTTTATCGACGCGGCGAAACAATTCTATAAAAAGTTTCAGGATGGTTTGGTCGATTTTACGAGTGATTCTCAAGGCTTAACTTTGGGTCCGAAACAGATAAACCAGTCTGGAAAGTGCTCCTGTTAATTGTTTTATGATGTTCAAGAATTTCAAGTATTTTTAAAATCCGACAAAATTTTAATATCTAATTTTTATCGAGAAAATGAAAATGTCATTATCTTCCCCACTTTGAACAACGCTCAAAAGTTCAATTAAATGCGTTACAAAAGCTTGTATTTTACTAACCGATACAATCAAACAATTATTTGTTTACAAAATTTACTGTTTGTTAACTTAGCATTAAATTTTTATAAAATTAACTCAGATTTAGTTATTTTAATAGTTAATTATTTTAAAATTAATCGATAAACTTTATCCTGTTTGTGCTAATAAATAAACTAACTTTAAAAAAGCTTCCTTAGGTGAGGCGCTGCTAAAAGTGAAAAACAAGATTTCTGGCCTTATCTTTTAAATATCTCGTCCCCTCATCATTGTAACAGGAGATGGTGGCTTTGCATCACCGCGAGGCCAGTCATTTTAGCCATATAACATATCACGCCGTTTATTACACACCGCAACGATAACAAAAATTGCATTTACCACTAAAAAAATAATTAAAGCATTGCTAATTAAAATATATATTGATGCATAAACAGATTATTTCGAATTATAAACTTGAGTTTATAAAAACTATTTCGGAGGATGAATATGATTAGATTAGCAAATAATTTATTTCACAAGCTAACCAGTACTTCAGGCAGCTAACATAATTTATGGATGGCCCGTAACAGAATTTAATTGGCTTGTACAATTTTCTGCATGTGTTATGCAAACTACTTCAACCACCTTTGCTCAATTTTAAAAATGCCCCGTTCGAAAATTTAAGGGTAGGATTTTCTTCCTTAAATAATTTATAAACAATTGACCAAGCCAGCGGCGGTAGTACGTTAAAGGTTAATTGTATTTACTAGCTCCCAATACTAGTTCCCAATACGAACGTGAAAGTAACAAATGATAATTTTGAGAAATTCGTGAACCTAGACTTTCTTCCAGCGAGTTGCGAATTATTGCGAATATATTCTTTATTGGCAGAAGCTTAGCGCAAAATGACTGGCCTCACGGTGATGCAAAGCCAACATCTTCTGTTACAATGATGAGGGGACGAGATATTTAAAAGATAAGGCCAGAAATCTTGTTTTTCACTTTTAGCAGCGCCTCACCTAAGGAAGCTTTTTTAAAGTTAGTTTATTTCGTGGATTTTAGGTGATTCATATTTTCAGACAATTAATTCCACTTGTCAAAATTTTTAATCTATTCTTCAAATATTGTGAGCTCTTTGAAACAGGCGATGCGATTTGATTATTCTTTCGATGCAAAATTAGTTGAAAATACCTATATTAGGTAGTAATTTTTCACCAGGATTAATTAATTTTCTAGAAACACCTGGATTTGAGATTAAGATTAAATATAAATAGATAAATCTGGATTACTTTTTGTGATTAAGGATTGGATTTTAAATTGCAAAATGACCACATAAACATTTAAAACCAAAGTATGTGTAGGACATTCAAATATAAAATGCAAATATGCATGGTTGCGTAGCAATAAAACGGACAGTAAATTTGACAAAGTAATCTAATTAAATTTAAAATTTTCAATAGAATTTACAATTATCCCTAGTTCGGATTAATAATAACCAATCCGATATTTCCTAACTCTGACCAGAAAGTGTGTGTCTAAATGTTTTATACCAGAAATGTCTTAAAGACAACGACTATTATTTTTAGTAAATTGCTATATTGGCTGCTAATAGCAACCAGCTACATTGCAATTTTGATGAAGAATGCTTAGCAACATGAAATAGTTTCAGATGCCTCCATCAAAACTCTTTCAGTTTTGAACCGATCTCAATCGGATTTGTTTTAAATGATGCATAACCGATTTTTACACAATAAAATCAGGTTTTATGCATATATTCCTTTGACACAAGTGTCTCAAATTTTGATTGTAAAGTTTCAAATTGAAATTTGGGGGCTCATAATGCAACTTTTCAATCGGGAAAGCTGTAAAACCGCATCTCCTCAATCTCCTCTGCACGATTGCTCTTTACACCATTTGCGTAGGATTAACCGTTTAGGCTCTAGCCTTGTCGACAGTTTCAAAGGGTGTATACGAATGCATACTTAGGCTTCGCCGTAACCATGGTGACGCATTTTTTTTTGCGGGCACCCATTGTTACTTTTGCCTCACCTAAGCAAGGTTGCACGATTGCTTGACTTTAAGTATCTAGGTAACGCGTCTCCCTTAACGGTTGCGACAAATGGTCGAGTTGCAAAAAAAATATTCATTTTAAAAATTATTTTAAAATTGGTTTTTCTCCCATGGACGAAAAACCAATTCTCCAGCCAAAATATTAAAAAAATAAATTGTAACCCACGACAATTTTAAAATGAACATTCATTTTGTAACTCGGGCATTTCTCGTAACCTTATACAGCGATAAACTGTCAAATAATCTTGGCAAGGTTGCTTGACAACTTTAGTATTACAAGGTTGCGACAATTGCTTAGACGACTGAAAAACCTTAATTTTCGAAAAGCCTGGAGTCTGTAGACTCCAGTGTGCGCCGCACAAATTTTCACCCAAAAAATAAAACGCCCAAAATTTGTCAACACTCACATTTCGTTCCCTTGAATTAATTTCGTAACCATGGATACAAGAATCAGTGCAGTTGTAAATGTAAAATCGGCTATTTCGGCGTTCCGGCAAAAATTTGTGTGCTTTAATTACCGTTAGCGACGGCCCAAATAATTAGCGCTTCAAAAATGAAGGTTTTTGAAGCTCTCGAAGCAATTGTCGTAACCTTGTATTATGATAAATTGTCAAGCAATCTTGTCACCTAAGAAAAAATTTAACCAAACATTCATCGATTTCCATGCGTTTCGCAGCATCGATCACTGGAGCCCCCCATGACGACAATTTATTAAAACTTGCCACTTCAGTCTGACAAACTTTAAAACTTTTCCCACAAAATTAATCTGATTGTCTAACCCACTTAAAGTATCAGTATGGGGTCATTGTTCATGGTGGTCGTCCCCATACGCGATCATGAAGCTCTCCTTCGCCAAAAAGAGCATCGCATCCAAGTCATCGAAGCTGGCAGCATGTAAATAAGTCGCAACTAACTTTTCTAAATAATTTGCTAATTAATTAACTAAATCTCCTTTCCGACAGAGACCGCGCCGAATTCCTCAAGGAAAATGGAGGCGGGCTCACGATTCACGTCCCCTCTGGGGAAGAGGGCCCTTCGAGCGGCAGTACTAACGCGACCCTGGCCTCGTCGGCCGGTACGATTCGGTCCCATTCCACGGGTGGCAATGAGGTCGACGTTTACACCGCGTTGGCAGACGGCGCTCCGGTCCGTGTCGTCGTCTCGGGCGACTCCATGGCCATCATTGGGGCGAAGCAGGGCGACCTCGACGAGCATTTCGGCAAAATGATGGAAAGGAAGAAAAAGTCGGCGGAAGATGCGGAAGAACTCGCGATTCAGGATGCAATTGACAATATATTTCTGGAAAAGGTGAGCAATTAATTATTATGCAAATTAGTAAATAAATAATTCCTAGTAAATTTCCAGCACTTGGAAGAATGTCTTGCCAAGTATGACATTATGAACGCGTGCTGGGGTCAATCTGTAGACGGGAACTATTCACAAGTTTCTTTCACCGTGAGTGCCGACAGGTCAGAGGTCATAATCAAGTTTTTGCAGACGGTGGGAATCGGAAAGAGGCATAATTCCACAATTTGGTAAAAAATTACAATTCAATTTTGGTTAATTTTTGCAAATTTTAACAAAATACGCATTCTTAGCGTGTGTGCCTCGTCTGTTTACTATGAACCGGAAACGGGTAACCAGAAGGATAACGAAAAAGGATCCGAGGATCCTAATGATCCTGAAGGGTGAGCAATTTGCAAATTATATTGGCACTTGTAAATTTTAATTGGGAATTTAATAATTTACAGGAAAAAGGGGTCGAAATGGGTCGAAGATTTTGTAGCCTCGATTAAATCAAGACTCACCGTGGCCCAGGTTGTACAATCGGTCAAGGCAAATGCTATCCTAACCTTTGACTATATCGTTTTAATCCTCGTGGCTGGGTGAGTGGCAATAAATATTTACCTTATCGAAACAGATAACCGAAAAATTTACATCTTCTCTTTTCCTACAGGATGATCGCCGGTCTTGGTCTCGTTGATGATAGCGCGGTCAATGTGGTCGCGTCTATGCTAGTCTCTCCACTCATGGGTCCCATCATGGCGATGACTTTTGGGGTTAGTAAAATACACACAAAAATTAAAATGGGCACAAATTTTGCCAAGTTTGCTAAAGAATAGCAAATATGTATACTTGGCAAAATTCGTGTTATGATGCCAGTGAGAATCATGCATTTTTATTAATTTTCAAATTCTTAGTGAATTAATGTCCAATCTTGATGACCAATCCATACCTCAAAATATAATATTAATAAAAATATTGATCCTTATCAGGCCGTCATCCGGGACTGGCAACTTGTCCGAATTGGCATAATTTCCGAACTCGTCGGCCTTCTTCTCTGCCTCTTGGTCGGTTTCATATTCGGAATCCTTCTCCAAGTTCCTGGACCGGGTGGACCATGGGACAAAATCGACCAGTGGCCGACACCTCAAATGGTCGCACGGTCCGAAACTCGTGCCTTGATCGTCGGAGTCCTTGTCGCCATTCCGTCCGGGGCAGGGGTCGCTCTTTCCATTCTTGCCGGAAATTCTGGGTCTCTCGTGGGCGTCGCAATTTCCGCCAGTCTCCTTCCACCCGCGGTCAACTGCGGAATTTTGTGGGGTCTCGCGACCGTCGTTGCAATCACGGAGCGATATCTTGGCTTTCCTCCGGAAAATTTGGGCTGCAATTCCCACCTCAAGGCCCTCGCGACACAAAACTATACACACAACCATGTGAAAATCTATTGCGAAAATACCGTTCAGGAATACTTTTTCATGGGATTGAACTCCTTTGGTTTAACTTGGATTAATATTGGGGTTATCATTGTCGTTGGGGTTTTGATTTTGAAGGTAGATCATATTTTCTTTAGTTTTCATAGAGTTTTTGCAATTTTTTTGCACAAATGTTTTCAGATCAAGGAAGTCGCACCTCATACAACGCGTCAATCTTTGTCCCGATTTTGGAAACAGGATCTCAAAATTGTCCGAGATTTAAATAGTATGGGCAAAAATGGAACGGGGTGAGGTTTATGTTTTAATAATTTACATATTTTTGACTAGTTTTTTTGCCCGTATTTATGCATTGCCCCTCCCCTGCAGCTCGCTCATGGCAGACCTCGAAGAATCCGGAAAGGTTAACGACATCCTCAAAAATTTGGAAACTGACCAAACCTTCAGTGCCGTCAATCGTCGCGCAAACTACAACATATTGAACGACGTAAGACAACGGAAACAGTTCGGTTCTACGGAAGATGTCACTGGAGGTCAAAACGCGGAGTCAACGCCAAAATCCGGTGGTTGGTTTGGGGGTTGGTTTGGCGGTGGTGCGACGAACGAGGCAGATAACGCCAAATCGGTCGAAGAAGGGCAAGGCAAACGTAATAGGCCAAAGCTCATGTAAAACTTGGATACGTTTTGTAATAATTATGTATTTTTTATAATGACTGGGTAATTAATGAGATATTGACAAATTAGTGTATTTTTTAAGTTGATTTCTCATGTATTAATCAAAGAGCACTGTCATCCCGCAAATTTGCACTTTTCCAATAATCTAATCTTATCTCCCAGCCGGGATCGTCCGCCATGATACTCGTGTCAGCGTCGATAACGTACCAGTTGATGGTCCCATTGTCACTGGGAGAATACTGCGGCCAGTCTGGTTTACTTCCCCAGCCTTGAGGAACCCTTGAAGAAATTGCATCCAGAAATATTTAATTATGCCATTTCATTTTTGAGACACGATATTTCGCCCAGCTTTCTAAATTTCGCTATAAATTCTGAAATTTTTGTAAAATTTTTGAAACCTTTCCAAGCGCATGTATGACCTTCCAAATTTTACCATCAATTCTGAACTTTTTTTAACTGGTAATTTTAGTTTTTGTAAACGTGCCAAAATGTAAGATTTTGACACCTTTACAAAATTTTACAAAAATCTCAACCACCAAAATTTTGTATAGGTTACAAATCTGGTGGTTGCAAACTTTTGTCACGAAAATTATTTACGTTACGTAAATTACGTACCCCGTTTCTGCAAAAGTGACCCACATTTTGACCAACTTTTTGGAAAAGTTCGTGTACCAAATCTGTTCCAATGTCCACTCCCAGTTGAAGAGGTAGAATAACTCGTCAAAATGGGAGGGTGCTTAATAAAGTATGACGAATAAATTAATTATTTCACCCCAACAATTAGCTTAATTAACTAATTATTTAGTTACCCCTCTTAATCCTAAATTCTCCAGTAATAAATCCCGTATAGTAGGTGAGGTCACTCTTGTACTTCAAAATATAGGGGTACACAACACCCCCGTGACCTTTGACACTCTCCATTATTCCAGACAAGTAATACCTGTCCGTGTACAAATTCGTGTAATTTTCCCACGTGTCCCCCCGACCAATGTAGCGTCCTCCGAAATACGTGTTTTGTAAACGTGACGAGAAACTATCTTTTTCCGCCTGCGATGGAAAAATGTCTTCATAAAAGAAGGAAATGGGGGCGAGAGATTTCCAATTTGTGTTCAACTCGTTCGTCAAATATACGCTGTTTAGAACTGTAAAAACAAAGGTCCAAAGTTAAGTAATGGATTTTTGAAAAGTTTTAAATTTGACGTGACCTTTTGACCCGAAATAGCGACCTTCTTCCTCATTAAATCCGACAATCCAAGGCACCATATCGCCCCCTCGGGAAGAAATGAGCTCTCTCGGCGTCTTATCCAGAAATCGATTCGATCCACTTTTCTCCACCGTGGGGCCAAACGTCGCGTACGGTTCGCCATTCCAAGTCGAATTCTTTATTTTAAAATTAATAAAATAAATAAGCTCTTTTAGCTTATCAATTATTGAAAATAATAATTAATTAATTAACTTTGAAAAAAAGTTTTTCGATTTCTAAAAAGTTTCACTGAAGGTGTAATATCTTAATCTTGGAATAAATACATTAGCGTTATTTTAAAGCAATCACGTCGTCCAATAAGTCCAAATTAATTAATAATAAATTAATTTTTAGCAATTAATTATCAAGTCGACCTTCATTTTCCACTCTGCCATGACCACTTCTTCCCCACTTTTTGACCGGATGCAATCCAACTTTGATTTCGTAGAGGTTCCGTTACAGTCCAGTTGTTCCGCTAATGAGGCGAATTTTGAGGCTGCGTTATGCATTAGTGTCCACGGACAATGGGCTGACCCTGATTGGGAGATGGCACGGTGGAAAAGGCCTAAAAATTTGCATAATTAATAATTGTGCAAAACTATATAAATTGGGTCAAGGTTTCTCACTCTACCTTTCGACATGGGTGACAACATATGCAAATGAACTGACGCTGCACCGCTGTCCGACCCGAAAATTGTGACACGGTCGGGATCACCGCCGAAATTTTTAATTTCTTTCTTCACCCAGGTTAACGCGAGGACTTGATCTTTCAATCCAAAATTTCCTGACCATCAATTATTTAAATTAGTAGAAAAATGCATGTACATATTTTCTAACTAAATAGTTTTCTCTACCTTGAACTTCTCCATCGCCCGAGCTTAAAAATCCTAAAATGAAAATTGTATCCCCATTTATTTCAAATTTTTCTCAAATTATGTATGTAAATATCTACCAAGGGACGACTGTCGAAAGTTGAACGTGACGAGGACGACTTTCTCATCCATAAAATTCTTAGGGTTGACCTTGTCCCCAGAACCATGCTGCCATCCGAGCGATCCATCAATCCAAACCATAACTGGGAGGAGGGAATCGTTACTTATCTAATATTTAAGATAACCTTGTCAATTATCCATTAACCGCGCTTATCAATGAATTAAGAAATTAAACCTGTGGCGAATACACGTTGAGAAACAGACAGTCCTCCGAACCGGAAATGATCCACTTTTTCCGATCAACTTGAAGACATACCGGACCGAACGTGGCAGCTTCGCGGACTTCGTCCCATTTCGGATAAGGTTTCGCCGGCTTTTTTATACAATTTTAAAAATAAATCAATTTCCTTTACGTTATCTTAATGTTTTTCAGCACTATTTTCACCTCAAAACGGGTCTCCACTTGTGCATACGGTATCCCCAAGAAGGCTGAGAACGCTTTTCCATCCCGCGACGTCCACGTTACGCCACGAACGTCGCCCGATCCCGTCGCCACGATCGGTCTCTGTCCCGTGGTCCAATAGTAGAAGAACTGATTTCCATTATTATCTGGACACATGGACGGATTGTCGACACACTGCCTCGAAATTATGAGCGTCGTGCCTGCGACAAATCCTAAAATTGCGGCGGCCATTAAAAACACCATTGTTGTTGTGGTCAATGTCATCTCTGCGAGTGGAATGAAAAGCCGAGTTGTTTTGAATTTTGGGACATACTCGTTATTTCCGTACTATTGGGAACATATATGATTTTGCAAAAAGAACAAAACAAGATGAGACAAAAGGGTAGTGTAAATATGTAATGGGACGTGTCACGCATCTCTGGACGTGACCTCTTTACAGGTGCAATTATTTCCATTATCAACTATGCTTTCTTCGTCATCTCATTACGGTAATGACCAATTAATTATTATACCGACAGCAAAAAATATGCGTGAAAACCAATAAATAATAATGTATTGTAAATGGACAAACATAAGTTTTTACAACAAAATTGCCTAAATTCCAACTAACTTTGCAAGGCATGGATTTTTTCAAGCAAATTTTGGTATTTGATTTCTTTATCTGTTAGTTTTTGGTATTCTCAATCAAATATTTTCCCTTGTGGGTACTATTAAATTAATGACGGTTCACAGCAGGGTGTCTCACATTATTCTGTCAGAACGGAAATTATTGAAGTTTGTATAGGCAAGGGGTTATGTATGAAAGCATAAAATTAATTAGACTACTTTCTGCTCTCTGAAATTAATTACGGGTGACAGGTGGACATGTTGAGGACGAATTTGACATTTTTTGTTGCTCCATAAATCAAGGGTGTATCGTATACTTGTGTTTTCTATTGTTTTAGTGAAAAATTGTATAAAAAAAATACAGAAAAAATCATCTCTAGTGCTCTGAAATCCTACTGATTGAGGTATGTCAAAATTTTTGACTCAAAAAATAGTTTCTAAAATCGAGTTTCATATTCCGAAAAAATGCTATTTATGAATACCCATTTTTATTTCAAGATTTGCAATGAATTTTTCTATAATTAATTTTTATGAGTATTATCATATTATATTTGAGGTTTTAACTGGTTCACACCAGCCAACAGAGCCTTCAGGGCCACCTTCCGCGAAAAAAAATATGTAGAAGAGCAGGAATCAATCAAACTTTTTTACTCTTTTTTTACTTTTTACTCGTTCATTCAGCCAGCAGCAGAGCAGAGATTTTTTTTGCAGCTAGAGATAATTACAAATTGTTCGAAAATCTTAGTTTTTTTCTTGAAAAACCGTTGGAAATATCATTTCGAAAGCAGTGTAAGAAGTTGAGGAAGGCAGGACACAAGTAAGTCTCGTAGGATTGTAATTAAATGAATTGACAAAGTTTTTTTAATTCTAAAATTGTGCGACACAATTTGTGTACATATACTTTGTTTTTAACTTCTACTAAAAAATTAAAATACTGTTTAACTTAATTATCACATGTTTTTAAATTCAATAGTGGATAAAATTGAGGTCAACCAGGATGGTCGTCAGTCGTCCAAGGAATCATCCAACGAACGAGCCCAGGAGGTAAGCACATTTTATCGGATCTACGATATAAGATAAGATCAGTGATCCTGCTTTTACTTAGGAAAATGGGAACTATTTATTATGATAGAATAGGATATTAAGCTCATAATTAAACTAGGAATAACTTGATTTCTACTATTTTATTTTTCCAGCTGCTCAAGGAGTATCGAGAGTTATGCGAGAAAAATGCAAGTCTGGTTGCGGATAATACTCGGCTCCACCAGGAGAAGGACATGTGGCAAAAAGCGATTAAAGATACTGAACCCGCGTACAAAGAGCACATCGAAAACCTTCGGAACACTATCGAAATGGAGCGCAATAGGGTTGCCGACCTATACAAGGCCTTCAGGTTGTACATCCCTTACTTATTTGCCTGGACTACTCAGAATTACCCCGGCGACCTGCACAACATGAACGACTACCAAGTCATCTTCCCTCCAGTCTTGTATCCTGATCTCATTGATAAGGGGCACCAAGAGTTTATGCTTGTTCGCCGCATAGCGAAGGAAGGGGAGGAGTTGGGGTCATCGCCCGAATAAAAGTGTCAAAGGTAGAACATTGTAGTTGAACTTATTCAAATTTCAATGTATGTGATGAATTGGGAATGACACTTGAATAAAGATTTTAAATATAATGCAATGCAAGCTAGCTAATATAATTCAGTAAGGGCGCATACATAATATAGGAATTGCCGTGGCGTAAAGTAACATAGCAAAAATTGTAACATAATGCAAGTTTTAAACTTTATTAATTATGCGAACGGCATGATAAATAGTGGTATCTTTCATTTTATCTTAATGCATTAATATCGAAGTTTTAAGGACCCAGCGGAAAAGTTGAGAGTTGAATTGAATTGTTTCCTGAGTGGGGGACCAAGGAGGAGGAGACTGCATTTCATTTCCTATCATCATAAAGTACCTGTTTAATTTATAAAGGGAGGATTTGCATAATATAAATAAATCTTTATTTAATTACTAAATAGCACGAAACAGGAAGGTAGAATAAGCACACAAATAAATATGCTCACAAACCAAAATTTGCTTGCAAAAATAGGTACAATTTATCCACAAGATAAATACATATAGCAAATACATCATGTGTTACACATTACACATGAGCTTATCAAGATATCGAGGTACACCATAAGTAAATTTAGAACGTTAAGACTTAATCACTTTTTCAACAAGGCAATTCCCAGCGACCAGGGCGCCGGCGTAAATAGTCCACGCGGCTCCCTTCAACGCCCAGTTTCCATCTCGTGTCATTTTATTCATGTAGTGAAAAAATTGCATGCCAACTCTCACAAGCTTAATTTGCATTTTGATGTGTGTGTGTACACATATGTAACTTATTTGGACAAGTACATCCTCTTCAATCTTCAAAGGACAACATTACTTAAACTACTTTTGATTACCTAATCTACATATATTCTACATACAAATGTCGTTGTACACATGTCAACATTGATTTATTCATCTATCTTACTCAATCCAATCCAACACGTCCAACACTAAATTTTAGTCGACTCTGGACAAAACTGGACACACCAGTTCTTAATCGCGTGGAGTCTACTAATATTTAAGTACTGGCAAAATCCTTCTCATTGTCATTCTGTTTTCTCGTTGTCGTTCTTGTCTTCAAATTCTCTCGGTATTTTTGTATCCCTACCGAAAATGACGGCACAACCATCCACATCAATTTCAGAATTTCAAAAAGTGTTTCAATCTTCGAAATTCATCGTGGTCCTCACCGGAGCTGGAATCTCGGCAGAAAGGTTAAACTCAAATATTTTCACTTATCCAAGCAGATGTATCTTATCTTTGCAAAAAATTGCCTGTTTTTAGTGGGATTCCTACATTCCGCGGTGAGGGGGCTTATTGGCGTGGCTTCTCTATTGAGGACATCGCCATGATGAGCAAGTTCACCTCGGATCCATCCCTCGTTTGGGAACTGTACCATTTTCGGAGAGAAGTCGTATTTCCAAAAATTCCTAATGTGGTATTTAATTGTAATTATATAATCACACTTTCACAATTTCTCTGTAACACGTATTACCCAATTTTTTAGGCGCACACGACCCTCACCGAGGTACAGGAACGGCTCCAATCTGAAGGCAAAACGTTGAAAATAATTACACAAAACATTGACGAACTCCACACCAGAGCCGGATCCAAAGACGTCATCGAACTCCACGGCACTTTGTTTAAGACGCGATGCATAAATCCCAATTGCGCTCATGTCGCGGATAATTATGACTCTCCGATCTGTCCAGCATTAGATGGCAAGGGGTCAGTAGGTCCAGAAATGTCATGTCATGACCAAATTTCATTATTTTATCAATATATATCTACATATGCAGATGTCCCGACAAGGACACTCCAGACGCCGCCATTCCTCCCGAGAACTTGCCTCGTTGCGTCAAATGCAGCGGACTCGTGCGTCCTCATATCATTTGGTTTGATGAAGACCCGACCGATGAGGATATGAAGACGACCTGTACATTTTTATCCTAATACGTAATAAACTATGATTAATTAAACACTACAAGTACGTTTTGTTTTAGATGAATGGCTGGATAAATGTGACCTCATGATGATCATTGGAACATCCTCAATTGTTCCACCAGCAAACGAGTTTGGCCCTTACGTCGCCAAACGTGGCGTTCCCGTTGCCGAGTTCAATTTAGAACACACTCCGGCCACGCTGGGATATCAGTAAGGGAAAAAAGTTCATTTTAATAAACATTTGATTTAACTTCGATAAAACGTTAATGAATATTTGCACAGGTTTCATATTTCTGGGCCGTGCGGGACAACTTTACCGAATGCCTTGAAGAAATAATAGTGTACATGAATTTCATTAAGGTATATTGAGGGTATTCATTATTTCTTCGTATCCATCGTATCGTAAAATAGTTTACGAAGAAAAAACAAGGGGTCAAGCTTAGTAAAAATCGTAAGCGTAGTAACGTGATTTTCGATGACAAAATCTTACGACGCTTGCAAAATCTCGTAAGCTTCGTAAGTTATCTTACGATACGAAGAATACTAAGGATACGAAGAAATAATGAATACCCTCACTAATTGTTTGGTTATTATTCATATTGATAATATCTTTGATTTTCATCTCTTCACAATAAAGATCAATTCATATCACGATCTATAATAAATTTAATAGCTCTCTATTCGCCAAAGTACTAGCCTCCAGTTACATATGCTTTTAATCAGAATCACACTTTCACCGACCATCAGTTTAAAATCTCACCTTACTTTTAGGCACTACAAATACCATTACAAATTCATTATTACGACATATCTATAATATATATATAATTCAGTACGGGCACATAATAATATAGGAATTGACGTAAAGTAACATAACGAAAATTGTGTATAATTCAAGCTTTAACCTTCATTACTTATGCGAACTGCGTGATAAATATTGTTGTCTTCTTATATTTCATCTTAATTCATTAATATCGAAGCTTTAAGGACCAGAAGAGTTGAGAGCTGAATCGAATTATTTCCTGAATCCTGAGTGGGGGACCAAGGAAGAGGAGGAGACTGCATTTCATTTCCTATTTATCAAAAAGTACATAGTTTCATAGTTTAATTTATAGAGGTAGGATGTGCATAATTTTATAAATGTTTACTTGCTAAAGAAAAAGCACGAAACAGGAAAGTTGAAAGTAGAATAAATACATAAATAAATATGCCCACAAAACCAAATTGCTAGAAAACGCCAAAGTATCTAGATACAATTCGTCGACAAGATAAATACATATAACAAATACATAAGCTTATCAAGACAGTATGTTATCGAAATACAGCATAAATAAATTTAGAGCGTTAAGACTTAATCACTTTTTCAACAAGGCCATTCCCAGTGCGACCAGAGCGCCGGCTGCAAGTAGGCCACCCCCCGCCATCGCGGCTCCCTTCAACGCCTCAGTTTCCATCTCACTCTTGATAGCTTTCTCTAGTTCTTGAGCTTGGCGATTACCTAAGGCGATCGAATAAAGCACAAAATTAGACTAATAGTTCCAACAATAACCATAAGTAGAAGAAGATTATGGTCTCTTACCAGGTTCCAACTAAAGAAGCGGAATTAACAAATCAATTAGCAAACTGATGCATGTATAATAATTAATGTTCTAGTGCTCTAAATGTTAGCTACCTGTAAGAGACTTTTGATATACTTTCTAGCCACTGTGAAATCCTTCATTCTCGTGTATCCGACCGCCAGATAGTACAAATAATCCCGTTTGTGGGCCTGGTCCGTTTTACAACCTGAAAATAACTCGACTTGGTTGATTTTGCCTGTAGTAGCGACAACAAGTAAAATCTCACTGGCTAATAGTTGTTCGAGAAACATGACCCCTTTCTTCACATCGGACAACAGTCTGGATCGGGTTAGACACCAAGCCTGAAAATAATAACGAAGACATCATGACGATGAAAAGGGTAAGATAACCCAGCCATTTGAAGCCAACTTCTTAATGATAACACTCACATATTGAAATACCGTCTCGTCGTTCGGTTTCCCATTGCTGTTGGCTATCTCATCGTTGTATTTAACCTCAAATTCCTAAGTACAAAATACTAATTAAATCACAAATTAACAATTGGGTACCTATAAATTATTACCCGAAGATAATCATCCGTCACGAAATCTGTAAGTACTTCCATCCTTATCTGAATACGATTTCAATAACAGTTATCTTCCTCTCGTCTCCTGCAATTTACAAACATCACAATTAACTTTTCGCGATGAAAACATAAAGTCTATTATTAACCAAATTTTAAAAACCTTGCCAATTTATTCAATTTAAAGTCAAATTTCAACCCTGACACTAACTTGGTTCCTATCGTCCTCGATTTCTCACACTGTTTTCGAAATGGAATTTCCAAACGTTTTAATTTTTATAAAGTAAGATTTCAAAATAATTGCAAATATCTGACGTAAGAAGTCTGACTTGAACGAAAAATATATTTGGCTGACTCAGTCCTCGTGACCAAGGATGAAGTTAGCCGAGAGGAGATCTTGCAAAAACATTACTCCGAGCAAGAAAGTACCCGATCGAGCCGAAATCAAAAATATTTTTGCATGCGATTCTATTTTTTGCAATTTTTTCCAGTTTTCATGAAACATGCTAGTGCTTTGTCAATTGTCAATCCAACTGGTAAAATGCATTTCATTTTAGTCGTCTGCTACTATAGGCAATCAGACATTTTCCACATTTTCCAATTTATTTCGCTTCGAAATATGACTTTGCAAACAACGAAACAACGCGGATAATTTTGAAGCATATTTCTTACGAAAAATGCGTACTTAGGGCCCGTTCATATATTACGTCAACAAGAGAGGGGGGGGAGGGGGTCTGACCACCAATGATATCGTGCCTATCTTGCCCATGTTAAAGGGGGTAGGGGGGGGGGGGTCTGGAAATCCGATTTTTTTGATGACGTAATATATGAACGGGCCCTTACACTTACGTCCTTGGTGCGACCAGACAAATAAATCTGACTAATAAAACTAATTTGTCACTAAACTAAAAGTTTATGTATGCCCTTGACTTGATAGTTCTTGATTTTTGGAGCTGTAAAAAAATGTCAAATTCTTACCTAATTTCATCCTCAACATGTCAAATTGTCACTTAATTTCAGTGAGCGTAAAAAGTAGTGCAATAAATTTTACGCTTTTTTACATTCCTAAAAAAACGTGCGCACTTTAATAATTTTAGTTTTGACAGAATAATGTGAACCTCCTGCTGTGAACCATTAATTAATTTAGACGTAAATCGCAGTAATTATACCAATGAACATTTAATTCCAATCTTTTATTTAGATGCTTCCAACTACCTAATTACATTTTTGTTAACGAGCTTATGATCTCCTATTTAATTAAAATAAATTCCATCTCAAAATTACTTTTATCTGGCGTAACAGTATAGCAAACTTACGTAAATCAAATCAACAATTAAACTTTTCTATATAATTAAACAGACGCATCTCTGTCATCTCTCCAGTAGAGTGTAAACAAGGTTGAATACTTATGATCTATAGCATGTAGTCATTTTTAAGTGAATTTGTCTTCTCTTTCGCGAAACTAACAAGTTTTTATTACTACGCATTATTATGCAGTCATTGCCATTTATGGATAATTAGGATTAGCTCATTATCCATCGTTGTCATTTTGCGAAGTAATTATGTAGACTTTGTCCTGCATGTGGGTGCGAAAAGTATGACTTTGTAATTTAAAACCATGTAAATATTGTAATTTGTTAGCATTTTATTTTGTCTCAAGTTTCTCGCAAAACAATATCAAATACCGGCTTGTGTTAGTTTAATATGGCACATGCAAAAAATTACATTTATTGCGAATATTTCTTATGTATCACATATTACACAATTCTATAAAAAGACACCTTAATAGTAACTCTATACGCAAAAATATCACACTTAAAGCCACAACTTAGCATCCGGAAGGTGCAGGCTTTCCCAAAACATGACACGTTTCAAATTTGGCGTTATCATTTTAATGTCTTCGTCAAACTGGAGTAAACTAATTTTTCTCGGATTTACCACCGGTTCCCAGATTGGCAATTGACTTTCCTTCAACCAGTTTCCACCCGAGTCGGATCGAGTGAAAGTTGGTGTTCTGAAAAATATTGAGTTCTTAAACATTGCAAAATTCAACCTACGACAAAAATTGCTCACCCATTCATGACGAAATTTGTGGCGAAATTTAGCATAATTTTACTCAATTTGTATTCAGGATCCCCTCTCTGAAAACCTGGGAAGTTTATGGTGGAATTAAAAAAGTAATGCTCGTCCTCGCCATGACCGGCTCCTGAGGATGGAGCATAATTATGTTAACTGGTTATCAAATTTAATTAGATAATTAATAATTCATTAGTATTTAAATACGCACCCCACTCTCTCGGCCTATGCAAATTCCAATTGCCCAAGGAATAGTTCCCTTTACTAAAGGAAAAATAATACGAATACGTCGGAGCAATTTCAGAGTGTGCTTGAATCCCTTTGACAATCGGAAAATGGAAATATCGATCAGTAATCATCTGAAAAAGTCAATTTTCAAAATTGAACATTAATTCGGAAAAAAATTTCTATGAAATTCACACAGAGTAAATTTTGTAAATTGTTGGTTGTTGCAAAACAATTGAGTAACATCTTTGCATAAAATTTTACAAAATAACGAGATTGCTTGATTTTGACGTTCGAAAGTCGAACATTAAAGTTAATTTAATCAATTAATAACTAAAATTCGTCTCACATTTGAATAATCGAACTGCGTCCCTTCCGTACTTTTTCGATTTCCGAGATAAAATCGTGTAACTTTGTCCACAATTTTTCTCACATTTTTCAACTCGAGGTAATCCAAGTCTAACACGTATTTCGCGATCTTGTTCCAATATAGCTTAAACCCAGACCAACGCATTAGCAGTTCCACAGCTTTATGGAAATTGGAAGACAATTTTGTAAACTCCTCAATTCCGATAAGATGTTATCAACCCATACGAAGAAATACCTAATATTGCACTTAGTCCTTCATGCTCCGTGGTGGAAACGATCCACGGTTTTTTCTCGACTAGTCCCTTTCTATATAAATCTTCCGGATATTCGGTCAGAAATTCGGAGCCGGGGTCCTCCTCGTTCTCCAATTCTAAAGTCGGGACGAAAATTAGGGGTGGAAATGGTATCCATTTCTTTGGAAAAAAATCGTAAAATTATCGTCGTTTTTAAAAAGAAAATTTGGCAAATTGTGCAAAAATTACCAGCAGATGCACTTGCGCAGCAACAACGCTGACAGGGTCGATCGTTTTAAGACAACGGACCATTTCTTCCGCGTTGTTGATCGGGCAGTGGAAATATTTAGCGAGATCTTCCGTCGTTCCGCGAGCCCTCCAGGGTGGGGAGACCACCCAATGACAGCTAAATATTTTGAAGCGTGATTAGTAAGCAGTTATTAAAACTGACATGGAGGTGTCCCAGCGTCTGGTCTCATATTTTAGGCAAATTTGTGTCAATCGATCACAAATTTAATTAGTATGAAATTTGCATAAGACACGATCTCTCAATAGTCACATATGGCAGAGATTTTGCATCCGTAGAGGAGAAAACGCACAGTAAATTTGGAAGGTGTAAAATTTGTCAACTTTTTACAGAAATTTACAGAAATGCAATCAAAGTGAATTTCCTCGTTGTTTATAAATTTTTGCAAAATTATATACAAAAATCTTTGGACAATTCATAGATAACTTGTAAAACAATAATTTTACAAAAAATTGCGTATGCAAAATGGATAACTCAAATTTCTCTCAAAATTACAAAATTGCTTAGTTTGCGAATAAATGAGCTTCGCAAGATAACAAATTTAGTAACTCACAAGGCTGAGGCACTTTGAGAAATTGCTCTCTTGAAGAGATGCTTGGTCTGGTTGGACATCATATGAAGGTGAACGGATGCTCCCCCCTGATAAACACACTTACATATGTATAAGTTCAGACAAGATAAATTACTACCCAAGACGTAAAATCCTCTTACTGCCGATAAGCCCCACAACGTAATCTGATCCGGATCACCGCCGAATGCCGCTATGTTATCCTTGACCCAGTGAATAGCCAAAGCTTGGTCTTTTAAACCGAAATTTCCTGGCAAGACGTTGTCCCCCGTGCTCATAAAACCTGAAAAAACAGCATGTGTAAATTTAATTCGTATTTGTTTCGAAAAAAAATGAAAATTTGGAAACAAAACCAAGTTTCGTTACCCAAAACTCCTAGCCGGTAGTTCAAGTTGACCAGTACGACGTCCTCATTTAGCAAGTAGGATGGCCCATAATCACTTCCGGATCCCTTGTAATTCACAATTAAATCGTAAGTATGTACAACAAATCGTGTCTCAAAAGTGCCCCCGCACTCTAACTTACAAATAGGAAGCTTCCTCCATGAATGTAAACCACGACGGGAAGTTTGGCATTTTTCTTATTTCCGGAAATCTACACAAATCCTCAAATTTACGCATCTACCGTTTTTAACCAAGGCATTCGGATATTTGTAACCCAGTAAAAGTCGCAAAAACTTGTACACAAGTTCGAAAGAGAGAAATGCAAGTCTCATTATTTTCAAAATATTTGCTAAATTTGCCCACATCTTTTACACGGTGAATTTTCCTCTCAATTTACCGAGATGTTTGTAACCCAGTAAAATTCGTAAAAACCTGTACACAAGTTCGAACGATATAAAATCAAGTCACTACACATCTCATTATTTTTGCAAAATATTTGCAAAAATTTTCATACTTTTTTACACGGTTACAACCATCCGAGTCAATTTGCCTATTTACCACAGGTGTATAAACGTTTAGAAACAGACAATCTTCTTTCCCGTAAATGCTGAGAAGTTTCTTGACATGAAATTGCAAGCAATCCGATCCTGGCGCTTTTGCCTGTAACACGCCTTTCCACCCTTTTGTTGCTAACGCTTTCTGCATATCAGAGTCATTTTAGCAAAGTTTTGAAAATTTTTCCAAGTAATTAATTTCCCACATACCTCCCACCGATGCGCCTGTCCGTATCGGATTCCTTCAAACGCTCCAATTTTCCTCCCTCCAGACGTAGTTTGATAATACCCTTCGAGCACGCCTTTCTCCGTTTCGACCAAATTCTTCTCCGGGGCGAGGACCGGGTCGAAGAAATTGTTGTCTTCACCACTACCGTCATCATCAATATCGTTTCTATTACTATTCATATAATTCGCTGAGATCAAATCGTTCCCGTTATCATAGACGATTTCCGGAAGTTGATAAGGCTCTTTGCAGGTGAACAAGCGGCACAAAATATTCACCGCGAACACCATCGGCGGCGCGGGTGGGACGAAAACCATGTCGAATTTGAGTCAACTCAATTATTTGTTTATAAGTTTAGAAGCCTCTAAAATCCCAGCGCCAAATTCAAATGGTAACGAACACATACACGCCACTACCTAATTATTCTTTCAACAATTTCGGGGAAATGTGAGATCCCAGCTCCAAATTCAAATGGTTACGTACACACCACCACCTAATTCTTATTTCGATCATGTCCAGGCTATCTCGCCGACTGGAGAGATGCATGAAAACTCTCCGGATTCTTATACATGGAAAAATCCTGGCGATTTCATCTACCTAATGGAACGCCAAATAGGTAGATGGACAGACAGGGTCAATCCAGCCAATTCCTTCCTACCAATTCTTTATCATCATAACTATGTACATACTGCTGCGTTCTTTAAACGAACAATTTTTTGTGCATTAGCCGCTTTTTCACAGACCAGACTATCAAACAAAACCATATCGCAGACATATTATTTATATGATTACGCAACGTCACATTACGTTATAGGAGAATATTTTAGCAGAAAAAAGTAACACCTTCAAGTCCAAGTCCAAGGAAAACTTGAAAAGTTGCAGATTTTGGGATGGAATGATATGATACCCAATGAAACTGCACTTACAAATTATTTATTAGCATCCGTCTTATCCAATTCACATCAATGCGCTACTTACAACATTGTTTATGTACTGGCACACAGTACGAAATTCCAGTGCAATTTGCACTTTGGCATTTGCTCTGACGTTGATGTACATGTAAGTCGGACCAGTTTTATGTTTTACCTGGAAAACACGGTGTAAATAATTGCCATTGCATAAATCCGCCTTTTACACATTTATTACGTATCGTCTCATCTTCTATACGATGCATTATGCACGAATTATGCAAATATTTGCCAATTTTTCTGCACACCCTAACCCGGAATGCACTCTTGTACGTACATGTGTTTCCATATGTAAATGACCACTAATTAATATTGATTGATTGGCCACATATCGATCCCATGACTGCATCTTTGACACCATGATCGAATACCTGCATTGTATTTCCACCTCGATGTGACAATGGTCATGATCTTGACAAAATAGATACATATTTGCATGAAAAATTCATGGAAATGCGACGCATTTCATGAACCTTCATGACATCCATGAAACAAAATTAGCATGCATTAAATTATCGACCCTGTACCCTGTCATGGGCACACTTTTTTTCAATTTTTGCTAATTTTTAACCATCGTAAACCTAATTTCTCCATAATTTTCCTCCATTTCTCACGTAGCCTTCAACTTCAATTACTTCTTTTCTGTGACTAATTGTAATCTCACATCATATGATTTATTATTTGACTTTGACGAGTAAATCATTCCGTTTTTTCAGCAAAATCTTTTTTTCGATTAGATTTTCACAGATTGGAATTCTGTCAACTTTAGCGAGAAATGGTCTAAAACCAAATAAGGTCCTTGGTCACTTGTGTATGCATTATGGATCTGCCAAATACTCCCAATCAGCAAATCGGTTAATAATATGCATGCATTTTTGCTTCCGTCATTGTTGCCTTAGTCATTATTAGTCCAAGTACAAATCAAGAAACGTATGTACGTGGAGACAATTAGTCATCAAGATCGTCGCAAATATGTATTTGCACTTTTTCTAGACTACCTAAAACTCGTGTGCCAGCCAGCCGGACATGAATTCTTATTGTAATACAACTATTTACGTGTTGTCTTTTGTCAAAAATCTAGTCAAAAATGGTCAAAATCATCGCATTACGCAGGTTGCTAGTTATCTACGTAATTTGAAAACGGTACGACGCCCGTCACCCGTCGCGTAGGGCGTGAGTTTCGCTACTTTTAGAGTCCTAACGTTTTGACGTTATTATTGCGAAAAAATATGCTAACGTGCCCTGAAAATGCAGGCTTTCTATTATTAGTTTGGTACACGTAGATAAGTAGGCATCAAGATCATCTCAATTTTTTCAATATATACATATTTGCACTTTTTTTACAGACTAGCTCAAATTCATGTCAGACTAGTCAGAATCAATTGTGAATTTACAGCACTACAGATTGTGAATATGTAGTGCTGTAAATTCACTTTAGGAAAAACTGACTTCACAGCCCCCAAAACAATTAATTTCTAGAGCTATGCACAAATCTGTAGCTTAATTAGAGCTTTAACTTCACATCTAAAAGCCGTGAATTAACCCATGATTCCAAGATTGCACGTGACAGCCAGCCGTACATACATACTTACACATATGTAATTTAATGCACTTATCGTATTGTACACACTTCTTGTAAATGCAAACATTCAAAGGAGACTTGTCTCTCAATTATTTACACACGGCAAATAAACGTGAATAAATATCAACGTATGGATTTTAAGCGTGATTATTAGTTAAGTATTACATAATTAATGCAGACACAGAAGAACAAAAAGTGATGAAACTTTAAGAAATGTTAACATTATGAGAAACAATTTGTTACACGACACATACGTTTTTCCATCCATGCTCTTCTTCTTCTAGAAGGATTGGATACCGTTTTTTGTTTAAAGATTGATTACAGAAGCTGAAATATTTTCTGAATATGAATTTTATTTTATGTGTTGTTATAAATTTGATCAAAATTTTATTCTGCAGAAGGATTGAAAAACCCATATTTTTTAAGCGAAGATTGATTACAAAAGCTGAAATATTTTCTGAATATGAATTTTACTTCTTATGTTGTTATAATTTTATTAAAATTTTATTACAGGCTTTAAATGCTACTAAAATTTCCATTAATTTTTTTTCATTATCAACGCACATGCCACCACCACCTTGATGATCAATTATCTAAGTAAGTACATACATATGTTGTTAAATACCTAGTTTATTAACTAAACGCACCACAATTCATTAGTCACGGCATCATCCCATTAATTTAAAGTGCACACAAAACACAGATAGATAAATGTACCTACATACAACAAAGTAACAAAGCATGGGCAAAAGCTACGCAAAAAAGGCAAATGTATCGCAAAATCACTCAATTCCCACGGGGCATGCAATCCACAAAATCAAGCACATTTCTCATTTAACTAATCGTAAATAGTGGTAAAAAAACAATACAAAAGTTATTTACATAGTAGTAGGAGCCACATAAGGAAATCTAGTTTTTTTACACTAATTTGTTAAATTTTTGGCCATTTTTTAATGGACATCGAACAATGGGTCTAACAAGAGCGGGTCCCCTTTGCCCAACCCCCTCCAAAATTTTGTCCGCTTTTTGAACGGTTCCGGAATCATTTTGATGTCACGATTCAGCTGTAAAAATTTATACGAGGGGGATCCCACCGGTTCCCAGAGGCGAGTGTACACGTGCGTTTCTTCTTGGGGGAGGAGGGGTTCGCTGAAAGAGTGCAAATTTAGTATGCGAATTATATATATGCACTCTTAGAAAATTGGTATTAAGCCATTACTGAGTACATATGTAACTCTACTGGCATTTGGTAATAAAAGGCATTACGGTTTAGTAATGTTGTGGCAATGCAAAATTTACCAATCAGAAATAAACTACTACCAATCGGGTAGAGATTTATTACCAAATCAATACATTCTTAGAAAACTGATATTAAATCATTTCCGGAGTACATACAACATATGTATGTCACTCTACTGGCACTGGTAATAACGGGTATTACCGTTTAGTAATGTTGTGGTAATGAAAAATTTACCAGTCAAAAAAGAAACTGCTACCAATTCGGTATGAAGTTATTACCTAATCAATACCAGTACGTGCTATGTACGTAACTCTACCAGAGTTTTAACAGTGGATAATAAATTTGGCACAAAAAACTCACCCCGTCGCTGCAAAATTCGCTAAAAAAGTGGTCATCACATTTGACATTGATAACTCTTCGAGGTCTGCTTTTTTAAATCCGGGTTGGTACGTGGAACTATTGAAGTAGTAGAAAAGGTCTGCAGATCGGTTGCAAAAAAATGAATAAATGTTTTTAAATTTGCATAGCTTTCGTATGAATTTGTATAAATTCGCACAATTTTGCAAACAATACCTTCTCCACAGCCGACGCCCCAATTTTTTGCATCCCGTCCAACCACACGACCAAGACTGTATTTCCCTTTATAGCCAAAAATATATCCGTACGTTGGTGCCACCCTGGAGTGGGCGTGGATCGCTTTATGCACACCGGACAGGGTCAGTCTATCACCGTAAATCTGAAGCAAAATTAGCATATTATTCGCAATAAATAAACAGAATGTATTGAACTAATTCACGCAGATGCTTGTAAACGGTGCAAATTTTGTGCAAGTTAATTTCGCAAACTTTTTACCGATACAGGTTACAAAATTTACATGACGTAAATTTTTACAGTACAGTTACCAAAGTCTGCGTGAACTGTCTCTTTATGTAAATTTCTTAAATTTGCATATTATTCACAAAAACGGGAAATGTTGAACCAATTCATGCGGATTTTTGTAAACTGTGCAAATCTTGTACAACTAATTTCGCAAAACTTTTTCCCTGTACATACATTTATACAAAAGTAGTAAGTCCGCGTGAACTCTGTTTCTTTATGTAAATTTCTTACCGCAGCAATCTTACTCTCGGCCACAACTTTAGGATCACTCCTCCCAAAGTAAAACTTGGTCAAACTTTCCGTCATTTCCGTCACATTTTTTGACGTGTACTTGTAATCCAAATATATCGGGGCAACTTCTTTCCATTTCGTTCGTAGGCTTCCTTCCGTCACAAAACTTTGTAACACTACGTAAAAAAATATGCATAAGTTTCCTTAAAAATTCAAATTTCTTCGACTTAACATACTCGATAAGCCGAGATAACCCTCTTGCACGACGTGACTAAAAATCCATGGCTTATCCAAAATAGCGGCTCGTTTCCGATAAATTGTTTTAGGTTTCTGGGTCAAAAACGGTTCCTCAACGCCGCCCTCGGTCTCAATCACCGGCGAAAATAGGGTGCTCGGAAACGGTGAAAATTCCTACGCTCAAAATTTCTCTTATTTTTCAAAATTTTTTAAAACCTTCTAGGACTCGTTGCATCACCGCTAAAATCGTTAAAATCAGCACATTTTTAATCATTTCTTGGCTTTGAGAATTTATTTTAAAATTCTGGACCACAAATTTGTACTTACAGATTATTGCAAATTAAAACAATATACATACACCCCGATTTTGACACTTTTTGACCGAAAAGAAAATTGACACTTATCGAAACCGGTTTATCTCAATTTAAAAAATCATTACCATTCTATTAATCAACTTATTGACTACAAATTTGTCGCCCAGAATTTTAAAATAAATTTCCAGAGCCGAAAAATGGTTAAAAATGTGTTGATTTTGACCATTTTTAGTGATGCGTCATCAAGTCCTACATACGTTAAAATTAAACAATTACCAGGAGAGAATACTGTGCTGCTACTAAATCCACTGGATTCCTTTGCCGTAAACAATTCATCCCGATTTCCCCTCCGATCGGACAGTGGACCGCTTTCGCCAACAAATTCGTCAACCGGACCGATTCCTTCCGCGATTTAAATGCCCAATGAGTAAACGCTGACCCACTCAGCGACACGCCGCTAGAAGTGTAGGGTGACGACATGTTCGACAAGAGGTGCATGTGGGTGCTTGCAGCGCCAGAATTTTGCCCTAATAAATTATTAGTTAATTAATTAAAAATCTTTAATTGTAATTAAGAATGGAGGTCTCCCAGCGTTTGTACTCAGATTTTGAGAAAATTAGTGTTAATCGATCGCAAATTTAATTAATATGGAATTTGCATAATGGCACGATTTCCAAATTGTCGCATTTGGCAGAAATAATATTTGCATCCGTAGAGGAGAAAACGGGCAGTAAATTTGGAAAGTGTAAAATTTGCAAACTTTATTACTCTTTTTCTCCACTTTGCATGCAAATATTATTTCTGCCAAATGCGACAATTTGGAAATCGTGCCATTATGCAAATTCCATATTAATTAAATTTGCGATCGATTAACACTAATTTGCTCAAAATCTGAAAACAAACGCTGGGAGACCTCCACTGTTTTGTTAGTTTATTACCCACCCAATAAGGTAATTCGATTAGGGTCACCCCCAAATTCAGCAATGTTTTCATACACCCAGCGAATGGCGAGAGATTGATCTTTCAGCCCGTAGTTTCCTGGCGAATGGGAGTCACCCGTACTCAGAAATCCTAAATTTCAAAATTTCGAACTTTCATAAAAAATCCATGTTCAATTTTTTCACAGTTTTTTGTTGTTTGTATACCCAAAACGCCCAATCTGAAAATAAAATATCAAAATTAAACTAGATTAAATATCACTTTAGGTGAATTTTAAAGTCCTGAGAAAAATATTAACAATTTGAATTCTCGTTTACGAATTTCAATATTTTTTTCTCACCTGTAATTAAACGTGACCAAGATAACGTTCTTATCCAACAAGTATGCCGGACCTAGTTCGTCCCCCGCCCCCCAGTAGAAGCTCCCCCCGTGGATAACCATCACGACCGGGTACAAGTCTTTCCTCCTCCCCACAACCCCATTATTTTCGAGATATCCCACCTTTCAAAATCATCACGTTTCAAAATCAAATAAAATTTCCGAATCAAAATTTCCAAACAAAAATCCACCACAAAAACTTACATTCGGTGAGTAAACATTCACATATAAACAATCCTCCGACCCCACAACTCTCAATTGTCTCGGCAAAGATAACTGTAGACAGGCCGACCCTGGCTTTTTCGCGTCACGAATCCCATCCCATCCCGCAGGTGGGCTTGGACTCTGAAAAAAAAAAACCTCAAAAAATTCATTTCCACTTCAAAAAAAAAAAAAAAAAAAAATTCCAAAATTATTTACCCTAAATCGTCTCGCTGTCGCGTATGGAATCCCTTCAAACGCATAAATCGCCCCATTCCCCACACTTCGCATCACATAACCACGCAATTTTCCATACCTCGTGGTCACCACGGGGTCAAATTTTACTATTTTCGTCGAAAAGGACGACGACGACGACGACGACGACGACGCCGAACTCAACCCGTCCAAGGAATCATGACCAAGGTGACTGTACGCATGCCCCCCACTACCAATCTCCGGGGGAGGCAGTTTCGGATCACAGGAAACCAGGGAACACAACAAATTGACAAGAAATGTGGCCACGATGGCCATTTTGACGTCAAATTCTTGGCTTCCTTTAACCCAACATTTCACAAACTGAGACCCAAATCTTTTACATATTTCGTCCAACCAAACCGGAAATGAGTTCAAATCTCATCACGAAATGATCTCTTCGTCTTCGTCACTTTCCCCAAAATTCTGTCGTTAAAACTTAATTAAATCATTAACTACTCACTTAAATGATCACACATTCAATGATCTTTCAAATAAGTAATTTTATTTGCACAATTTTTTTTGCACAACTTTCAATTTCAAATAAAAACAACATTTCCTTCCGAATCCTTCCACTAAACTGAACTGGTTGAAGAGTTGATTAACTAATTTTAACGAGTTAATGGCTCGCATGTTGTCAAAATAAAATTCGAATTTCATGCCACGCCAGGGACCTATTATCACGTCAATTCACAACCACAACCACGCGACGCCATGGCACGCTTAATTTTGCAGTATTAAAACACGACTAAATAAATAAACGGGTTAATTAGTTTGCATTGTGATCCAAAACTAAATTAATGAGTAAATAGGAATGAAGGTGAATGTTAATAAGGTTTCGTTGCATTTATCGCTATGCGTAAAATCTTGACAGAATTGGCAATACCCTGGGAGGCGAAGTATGTAAATATTTCGTAATTTTGCACCAATTAAATTAAATCCCACGATTAAATAGGTAACACAACTGTGAGTGAGACTACATATAAATATGTGTAAATTTATAATAAAGGTGTACATTTTGTCAACGAGACGAAATGAATGGTAGAATTTTCTGTATAGATTTAAATGCATAGATATTTTATTTGTGTAACGATTTTTAATTTTGAGTCGACAAGGGTGGAATCGAAATATGTAAGAATGAGAGACAAGATTTTTTTTGGAAATTGTACAACTTGACGTCGCAATTAAGTTTTTTGAGTAATTAGCAACGATTAACTTTTAGATCATGTATGGGTTTGAAATAATTTGCAACTTCATAAATTCATCTTATGATTTTTCAATCTTTGCGCAGGTTTTTTTTTAATGTCTTCACTTCTTAAAAGCTAAAACTCCTAAAATAAGTACGTAGTCTCTGTGAACAGGCATGCTTTAAAATATAAGTGGTCAAAATGGTCAAAAATCTGGTAAAAATTGAATGTTTGATGGACATGCGAGTGAGTTTAGTATTTAGTTTTAACGTATTTGATTAAGTTGGTGGGGTTATGCAGTCACACCACTTCATGGTTTTTGTGGAGTACTAAAACTAAAACATGTTCAAACTATTCAAAGGACATCAAAATGGTGACTTGGAATTTAAAAATAATTTATTTTACGCGTAAGATTAACGTCGTTATGCGTATTACATCAGAATTTAAATCCTAAAACTACGGCGCAGATAGAAAACGCCATGGAACAATATCTACAGTAGTAGGAAAACGCGTTGCATTTCCTACTAAACTACCAGTAATTATAATGCATTTGCATAAGCATATTTCAAACTATCAGAAATTTATTAACCCTTTTTCACCCAACTTTATAAACCCACAACTTAAAATATATTATGTACATATGATTTACTAAACTAAATATCGAAACAATACATTTGTAAAACGAGCAATTTCTCATAATACTCGATTAAGTCGTCTTATCCACGTTGTTTTTTTTCTACTCTTCACTTCAACCCCAATATGCGAACGAGTACATGCATCTCCCACTGTGAGAACTTTCTTATGGCGACAACCGCATTTCGAGGCTTGGATTTCGAGTCAAGGTCTTTCCGATGACTTTTATTTGTCAATTTTCTTCTCGTCCCCTTTGTCTCCTCGAAAATACAGATATTTACATACACGACCCAACTAAACTAATCAATATTCAAGATAATTACGATGTTCTACACGTATTTTTTGATATGATAACTGTTTCATGATAAAATGCGTACAATCCTTTTCTTGATTGGAATAAGAAAGGAAACAAAATATGTACAACCCCCGAACAAAGCGGCGTCCTTTTCATATGTTTAGCGATAGGAATTAATTGATAATCATGTAATTTACTTACATTTACTTCCCCACTTGTTTTTTCATGGGGGACAATTAGCTTGAAATTGGTCTTCATTCCTGTGTCACAATTCTATCGAGTGGACGTTGTATTTAGTCAGCTAATTTTATAAAAGTGTGTTAAAAATTTGGTGGGTGATTACAGATCGACGAAAATTTGCAAGTTTTCAGGAAACTAAAATTAACAAGGTATTTATGTAAAGTTAAGCTCAGTAATTATCTAGCAATATTTATTTCCCTCATCGTGTCTAAATAGTACGAATTCGTGCAAAATTTGTATAAAGGCCAACAATTTTTGTTCTGATTGATAGCAAATCAAAAACGTATCGAACGTTGTGCATGCAAACTTAATCTATATTTGCAAACTCACAATAGTTCACATGACTTACTTTTGAAGAGTTTCAAGTGGACAGTTGGAAACTTAGAATTTAGACCAAATTACTAGAAATTTACAAAATTTGAAAAATTTGAAAACTTGACATTTTTTAAGTTAGGTTTAAATTAGCCAAGTTAAAGTCCGAGTCGACATAGGATACAAATTTATTTAATAATTTATGACACTACTGATCATTAAAATCATTTCACTGAAATTTCAAAATTTAAATTTGCAAGTTTAAGCATATTGAGATGACGAATTTTAATAATGCAACGTGTTAAACTGAAAAACGAGACCAATTCCAATTTCTTAAAATGCCAAGGTCGTAACATTGACGTTTTTTATTATTAAAAATAGTCTTTTTCTCATCCGTATCTCACGCCCCATCTTTTTGCTCAGATTTACATGTACAGCGAATAATTTAATGTTAAGCTATATAACTTTTAATCATTGTAAGCCAACATACGAAATTTATAAAAAGAAATAAATTTGCATCTTGGTTCACACGATGATAACGATAAGATACTCATTTCACATGAATTTCCCCATTAAATGCAAGTCAAGTCATGTTAACAATGCAACAATGAGTACAATACAATTCACACCATTTAATCGAATGAACTAGAAATACGGATAAGATAAAAATTTCCGAGTTTATCTTTCCAAATTTTGTATTTGTATGTACATAATCAAGTAATTAACGTGTCTAAAATTTGATCACTTTTTTCTTTCAGAAATATAACACAATCAATTCACGATGCATGTCTTGTCCACATTTTCATCCCTGTTGCTTATCACGGCCGCATTTATGATCTCTGATTCTTACCAGACTCGTAGAATTCGGGATGTTTCAGGTCACCGTAAGTCAATTCTCAATCAATAATGAAGTGTGCCTTGCATAACAAAATAATTTCACTGGGAATAAATTGGGTACTAAATCAATGGCATAAAATATTATTATTTTATGTCAATTTAATTTTGTACAAAATTACACTTTTCGTTAAAATTTAAATTGTAATTAAAAAATTATAGTTAAAGTTCAATGCCGAGTTAAATAAATATTTATAAATTCAGTCGCCAACGTTTAATTACAGGTTTTACTTGGATAAAAAAAATGTTAGGCAATGTTTTTACGGAAATAATTTGAAACAAAAGTTTAACCCAAGTTATGAACTGGTCATGTTTAATTACCGATTTTTCCGTATTTTACCTACCACATTTTTAAAACTGTCTTCTAATTTGAATTTATTAGATTCTGGTAGCGGTGCAATTGCAAATTTTGCCATGAAAGCGCTCACTAGTTTTCAATCCTTTATGAAAGAAGGGAACAACGAGTTAGGAATTCCACGCCTTGATCCCGTCCACATGGACAACTTTAACTATTCCTTGGACAATAATCCAGTCGGGTTTCGGATGGAAATCGTGTTCGAAGTGGGTCATAAAATTTTCGAAATTTATTTACTTACTTTTTACCAGATCAGTAATTAATTTTTAATTTGAATACTAGTCACCTGCGTTGGTGGGCCTCTCCTCGTACGAACTTAACGGTGCGAGTGAGTTGAGAGGACCCGATGGTTCAACCGTGGTCCAAATGACGATTGTTTTCCCGACAATTCAGGTAAATTTGGTTAAAGAATGATTAATTGTTGGCGAATAATAATTCACAAGGATATACTTAAAGTTCGGTAAAAATAATTTGCTAGTGAGCAATTCACACAGGTTTCGGTGACATTGTAAAATCAGTAAATTTTGCAAACATACCAACTTTTACAAATAATTTTTAAGAATTAGCTCAAAATTGTTTGCAAACTTGCTCCGATCAAGGTGCCCTTTTATTTGGTAAAAGTTTGTAAAATTATTTTGCATGAATTTTATGAGCTACCAATGAGTGCTTGAATTGCCTCAGTATTTTATTGGAAATTATTACCACCGTGGTAACGAATTTTAGTGTTAAAGGCAATTGGCCCGGATATGTGTAACCCAGTAAATTCTGTAATCTTGCTAAGTCAAAGGTTAACAAGAAAAATCAAGTTATTGTAAACTTCCACACATTTTTCGTACGTAGTTTTCACTTTGTATAATAAGTATGATTGCAAGTTATGCCGTTTACAAACATCGAGTGCATTGAAACAATTCACGCAGGGTTTGGTAATGTAGTAAAATTCGTAAACTTACAAAACTTCATAAAACTTTACTAATATTTATAAGGGAAAATGGGTTATGCATTTTTTTGAAGATTGACTCAAATCAAGGGCGTCTTTTTATATCGAATTGTCATTTTATCGTGAATTGCCTCAACATTGAAACCAAATTTGACATCTGCAAAAAAAATTGATTAATCAATGCGTTGCACTTCCACGACGTTTCGTAACTTTTGGAAGGTGGAAATATCTCAAAAGCTGTTTAGATAGCCAAGTTTGATGGCAAACCTTCACGCCAATTTATGTAATTTGATGAATTACTAGGCGACAAACATTTTATGTAGGTTTGGATTATTGGTAAAAAAAATTGGGAACTTTTCAACCTAAACTAAACTGTCAAATATTCAGTTTAATTGAATTTGTCATAGATTTGAAATTGCACATTTTTTTTACTCAAGTTGTAAACAAAAGATAGCTTTTTAAAGTATTTTTTTTATAAATTACACAGGTTATATAATTTGTCGAAAAATTATAATTTTACAAGTTTATTCGATTTTTAAGTCGTTGATTATATTTTTTAAAGCAGGAATAAGTTAAAAATAGTTTAGACCAAGTTGTGTTGAGAAATTTTAATTTGTAAAATTTATAATTGATTTTGTGAAATTCTTAAAAATTTGTTTAATAAAAATTAAGATTTTGCGTTAGTTGCATAGATTTTGCGTAGAAAACCATTGTCTAAATTTTATGGCCTTCCAAATCGGAATTAAAAACAATTAGCTACATTTCAGTGTAAAAAAAACTTGCAAAAAATTTGCCAACAATTTAATGCAGATTCGAGGACGCTACAAAGCCAATGGAAATATGTTCAGCTTTTTTAATCTGGCAAGTTCAGGAGATTTCGAGATTATCGGATCATCTCAAGTCCTTGCAGCGGAAGCGAAACTACGGGTATGCAATTTTTTTAAAAGAGCATTGAAATTCCCTTCAAAAAAATTATCGAAAAAAATCGAAATTTACGTTTCGTTCTTCCAGCCCGTAAACCAAACCCTGTTCGTGGACTACATTACCTCCCAATTTGTCGGAGGACGGGTAAAGTCTCAGTTTAACGATGTTTCCAATTCCGGTAAGAAATTTTAAAAAAATCAAATTTTGTCGCAAAATTTTACAAAAATTCGTACAATTTCTAAGGACATTTTACCACCCTCATGAACGAATTTCTCTCCGCAATGGGGACACATGTTTTCGATAAGAAACTCAAACCCGTCATCACAACGGCGATGAATGATTACATGAAGGTAAGAAAAACTAATTTTATGTTCAATCTCAAAAGTTTGGCAAAGTTGCATGCCAATATTTATTTTTTCTAGTTTCATTATTAGTTTGTAAAATAAAATAGATGGTTCAAACATTGGAAATTTTTAGTTTCGAAATCTCTAAATTTCTAGTTTCGAAATCATGAAATTTCCAGCCCCGCTCTAAACCATTTTAATTATTATAATATTATCAAAATTTGTAATTCAATTAAAAATATTATAATTCAACTTTATTTGATTTTTTTACTTGATCAACGATTTTATCCTAATTCGATAAATACTGAATGTCATCAATTACATAATTTCAAAAGTTTGTCTTTATGCGCAACTAATATCGCATTTTTTTCAAAATCTCTTATCATTTATTTCTTTGCAGGAATGGCTAAACGGAGCTTTCAGCAGTGTCACGACCAGTGAGATTTTAGGTCAGCAAAGTTCAGGGGGTGCAACTACCCCACAACAGCAACAATACAGTCCACCTCCCCAACCACAACAATCACCTCAACAATTCATTAACCAGCAACAACAACAACCTCAGCCACAACAACAACAAAGTCCGAGCTCTAATGTCCACCAGTTTCAACCTTTTGGCAAATAAATGATACATTCACACGCGATGTCAAAATCTGTAAAAAACACAAACGTAATAAAATCATTTCCTGATAGCCTTCCTCATTCTCGCTTCATTTACTTAATGAAAATCATACTTTAGTTAATTATTATTTAGCATGGTGAATATAAATTTCTGACAAATTTTTTCCAATATTTAGGGAAAGAGTGTCAAAATATTTATTTATTTATGAAAGAAAGTGAAAGAAAATGAATTTTCGAACATTTTTTTGCTATCCAAATAAAAAAGCACAATAAAATTCCTTCAAAAGTTTAATCATCATGTTAAATAAAAATGCAAATATTTATAACTCATGCTTATTAATTTTTCAAGTGTTTGCTGGCTAAGAAATAATCAGAACTTACATAAAGAGAAAATTATTGTGGAAGAGCTCGTCTAAAATCTAAAATGACTTCAATATTTAATTCATCCTCCCAAAAATTAAAGGTATTTATCAAAACAAAACAACAGTAGCACGTACATAATAAATGTACATATGCATTACGTGCATCTTTTCAAAGCATGGTGCAAAATTAATATTAATTTTTAACCTTGCCAATTTCCACTAAAGATTTAATTAAATATTTAACGAGCTCTGTATGTATGTAATAGCTTAAAAATTTTAACTAACTAATGAACGAGAGGTCAAGAGCAAAGTCCAGTCCAATGCCACGCCACGCCACGCCACACTCATTCGCCAGACCAGACTGGAGTGAAACAAAGTCCATGGACGGACGGACGGAATACCGGATTTTAATTAGAAACAGCGTCATCAATTTACTAATGAGTTATGAGACTATCGTATTTTAAATTGGTTACACAAGTCGGTGGTGGTGGTGCTAATAAATAACAGCGCAGCCAAACGAATTAGCAAATTCAACCATTTGCACTAATGTGGTTTATATAATTTATAAAAATTGCGACACTAGAAATTATGGATATTTTCAAAATCACGCAATTTGTATTGTGGGATTTTCGGAGGATTGCATACGCGTTGAGAGCAAAAATAAGAAGGAAGTGTGGTACGAGGAATCGAACCTCGTGTCTTTCTCATGCCTGGAGAACACCTTACCACTAGGCTAACCGCCCTGCTTCCTATCCTTGCTCTCTTTTGCAACCACCAAATTCCACTATTCTCTCCTACAGTATAAATACGTTCTTAAGTTCTATTCAAACAAAAACTTTAAATCTTTCTCATTCCAAAAACCGTTGAAAAACTATTACAGTTTTTTAATAACCCAAGGGGAACACCGTTTTGAAAAAAATATGGAATTAATAATTTCATAAAATGTATTACAGATGGGATCATGCGAAACTCTTCAGTTTACTAAACTGCCACTAAACTACAAAAGTTGTTGTACCTCAAAAAGTTAACAATTTTGCCTGAGGAAATTATAAATTAATATAATATTAGCCAAAGTTTGATGCCGATTCGAAAAAATTGTAGAATTAACAATTCCGTAAAATTATTTTAAGATAATACAAATAAAACTTTGTCAAAAATTGGATTAGAAAAATGATACCAAGTAATTTTATGTAAGAAATCTTAAAATTCTAATATTAAGATACTTCGATAAAATTAACATGCACAGTACAAAAAATATCCGTTTTGTAATTAATTCACTATTTATCACTTTCTGCAATTAGCATTGTGTTCATATGCAACTTAGATAATCATAAAATGATTCGTGTTAAAAAATTTTCAAAACAAAATTTTTCGGCCAAATTCGTCCTCTAAAATTGTAAATTTAGACTCAATTTCTAAGTCAAGAAGGATTTTGGAAAGTTGCCTAGATTTAAATTAAAACAAAATCTTAATCATATTAAGGAAATAGCAGAAAAATAAATATAATTAATGACGTGATGTCATTCTAGCAAGTTTTAAATTGTATATAAAAAGAGATGACACGAATTTCCATATTTTAAGAACACGTTATACGATTATGAACAATTATTTTATTCGAATTTATAAACAGATTTATGAATTCCGAGATCATTGTGAATGAGCACTTTTTAGCTGCACGGCAATCAAGGTGTTCGTCAAGAAAATGCTGAGCAGCTAAATGAACAAAATGCCAAAATTATGGTTATACACGATTTTATGTACAACAATTGAAAATTTATAGGATAATTATTTACCGAGGCGAAAAAAGAGTACGAAATGGTGCTAAATGGTCCACCCCTAATGCCGGAGAGTGATGCTCTATCCCGTAATTCGGTAGCGATAAGGATTTCGATCCCGTTTAATGAGGTCATCGCATTCCCTTGGTCACATTGTTTTGTCACGAGTCGTAAATGGGTGCAAGAACTTTGATAAATCTGAAAACAATTGGTACGTGCTTAATTTAGCAGTAATAAATAGTTTGCATATTCCTAAGCGTTTGTTCCACTTCGGAATTTTTATGTTGAAAAAAATCGGGAATTTTTGTCTGAAAATTGGAAATTTAGGTCTTTTATTTCCTATTACGAAGAACATGGATTTTGCTAAAAAAGACGAGATTTCTACTGTTTTTTTTTGTATCTAAATAAAAAACAAGATTAAAACCAAATTTTCTTAATAGATAAACAGTAAGGCAATTCACGCAGTCCTTGGTAATTTTCTAAAATTTTATAACATAATTTTACAAACTTTCACTAAATTAAAAGATGCCCTTGATCTGAGCAAGTTTACAAAAATTTGTAAGCTAGTTTTCTTCCTAAATATTTGTAAAATTTTGTGAAAGTTTGTAGGGTTACTGAATTCACGGATTTTACAAAGTTACCTCGCCAGCAGATTTATTATTAGGGGTCAATAAATGATCTCGGGACAAGTTTGTGACCTTATTTAGGGCATTATGCAAAAGCTCGGCTGGATAACTACGATTTAGAAAAAATTGGAGCATTTTATAACTTTGGATTAAAAAATCGCTATCATCGCTACAAATGCGTTTTAAACGTAAAAATTGAGAAAAGGGAATGCTATCAAGAATGTGTTTGGGATGACACGAGTTGTATGGAAGATACGAATGTGAATCAGTGGGCTTATAAAAAATTGAGGTTTTGATTTTAAATGAATCAATGCTAAGTGTAAGGTCAAGGAAAGAAACGGTGCTCGAAGAAACATTGTTCTCATATTTTAAGCACGGGTGCCAAACTGAGAAAGCGTTTAAGAAAATATGAATTTCGCTTTCAGTGGCTTGAAAGAACATTAAAATATCGTCAATAAAGCGTTTGTATACAAGGGGAAGGGGACCGACATAAATTTCAAAGAATAATTTCTCTTGATATGCAAGGAAAGAACAAGCATAGCTTGGGCCAACTTTCGTACCCATCGCCACGCCGGAAGTTTGGGAGTAAAACTCGGAATTGAATTCGAAAGCGTTTAAAGTGAGGACTAATTCTAACAAACGTACCAATACGTGAGAAGGGGGATCGTTTACAGGTCGGGAGTCAAAAAAGAATTTTGCGGCTGTCAAGCCATCAGCATGGGGAATGACCGTGTAAAGCTGGGTCGCATCCGAAGTAACAAGGAAAGTTGAGTTATTATGTGGGTCAAGGGGGAAGGAAAAATCTTTCAGAAAACACAGCAAATCCGTCGTATCCTTAAGATATGATGGGGTTTGCGCGATTATGGGGTGTAAAACAGAGTCAACAAAAGCCGAAATTAAAGAAGTTGGACATGACACTGTCGACACGATTGGTCGACCGGGGTTGCCGACTTTGTGGATTTTAGGTAACAAATAGAATTGGGAACAGCGAGGGGACTTTTCAATTAAACGTTGAGCAATTAAAGGAAGCTCACCACTACCAACATAATTACCAACAGTTTTAGAAACTTGTTTTTGATAAATTGGAGTTGGATCGTGGTCAAGTTTACAATAAAATGAAGAATTATTAAGTTGGGAGAGAGCCTCAGCTATATATAGGTCACGTGACCAAACAACTACTGAACCACCCTTGTCCGATTTTCCGATGACAATGTCATCACGGGAGGTAAGACTTTTTACGGCTGAGAGTTCGTTAGGGGAGAGGTTTGAATGTTTAGATTTAAAAATGGAACCGTCGTCGGGAAGGGCAGACCGACAAGTATTAATGAAATATTCTAATTCAGGGATCTGATTTGAAGGAGGGGTCCAGGAACTCTTTTTTGGGGCAACCGAATTAATTATTAATTCAGAGTTGGACAGATTAGAATCAGGGGACGAGTTGAAGGAAGAAGTACCAAAATAACCATGAAGGCGCAAGCGGCGGAAAAAAAGTTCATGGTCCCTATGCAAATCAAATAAATTGGACTTCTCAGGGGTCGGAGAGAAACTAAGTCCACGACTAAGCAAAGATTTCTCATCTGGGGAAATAAATAAATCGGAGGGAATAGTGACGACCGCTTTATCGGATGAAAAATTGGGGGCGGGTGTCAAAATTGGGGAAGGTGGGCTTGGAGGGCAAAGTTTGTTAAATTTAGAGTCCTTCCTGCTCAATAGAAAATTAAAATACCGATTATTAAAATACCGGGCAAGATCTATAATTCTACCATAAGTGTTTGGTGAGGCATGTCTCCTCAAATTACTACGAGAGTCATAAATTTGTGAAGAGAGTACGATATTTTGCTTAATTGAATGTTGTAGAGTCAAATTAATTAAAGAAAAAGACGCATTACGTAAACATTTACCGAACAGGTGTTTTTCATTCACAGTAGGAACGAAACCGGGACTAAATTTTAGTTGAAACCCAATTGGAATGACTTTTTTAGAAAAACAACGACGTAAAAATTGAATATGAGAGGAGAGACGACATTTCTTTAAAAGCAAATTAAAGTAGGACTTTGCGAGTTCAATAATGGAGAAAGGGTAGGAGTTAATTGAATAGAGGAATTTATTGAATATTTGGGATTGGGTGGCCATTGTCGAGAAATTTGGGAAAAAGGGATGCACAAAAATTGAGGATAATAGTTGGTAAAATGTGCGAGTGAGTATAATAAGGAGTAAGGACGGGGATGAGACTCACTGTAAATTGTAGAATCCGGATTTAAGGGCCAATGGTCAACGTTTCGAACCTTCGTTCTTCTTCAGGACCGGAGGGAGAATTTTTGGTGACTGCTCACGGGAAGAACCAATGTGAGTGTGAAGGAATGGGGATAGGAAGGATGGAAAGGAAGACTGCCAGACCACGTGGGCGTAGCAGTTACGTTGACCATTGGCCCTTAAATCCGGATTCTACAATTTACAGTGAGTCTCATCCCCGTCCTTACTCCCTAAAGTCAGTTAGATACTTTGCCTGTCGACTTTGTGTTTGTCAAATTTCAATAAAAATATAATATTGAGGCAATTCACGTAACCTTATAAAATCCGTGCGTTTTGTAAAATAATTTTAAAAACTTTTACCAAATAAGAGTAAATTCAAAAAAATTCTATACTAATTTTGCTCAGAAATATTTGTAAAATTTTGTAAGTTTACGGATTATACAAAGTTATCAAGGACTGTGAATTGCCTCATTGACTTTCAGTAAGCATGAATGAAAGTTCAGATATTCACGAACATAATATGAATGGCAAAAATAAATTGCAATGCGTACAAGCATTTCATTTGATCCATGCTAAAATTACGCCGTACTAAAAATAAAATTCTACTAACAATGGAACCTTTTTTCAAGCTACACGAGATAAGCTTAGTGACTTATGCTAAAAAATCAAGCTAAAAATTAGAAACGACGTGGTACTTATCTTTCCGTTGAATGGGCACTTGGAGGTCAAATATTTGAGGGCAAAGTTCACAGGAGCGGCCTGTTTTTTTCTCAAGCGGGCGAGCGGAGGAGTGAAAATTTTCTATACGAGGTCACTCCGCTCCTTTCACTCTCGCGCTAGTTTCGTTACTAGTATGCAATCAATATGCATTTCCAAAAATATACAGCGAAATGTGGCAATAAAAATAAGTCAACTTTAAGGATTATGATTTCTAATTAATTAATACATTAATTAGACGCACTTATAATTTATTGAACCCATCGTCACTTTTTTATTACGGATCGGTGGATAGTAGGATCTTAAAAAGCAAATATAAAATTATACGAATGTATACACTAATTTACCAGATTGTGAAATTTTGGCAAAAATAATATTCATTGAATGAAGTGCGAGCGTGCGAGAGTTGACCTCGAAGGATAAAATTTTCACTCCTCCGCTCGCCCGCTTGAGAAAAAATAGCCCGCTCCTGTGAACTTTACCCTCAAATATTTGACCTCCAAGTGCCCATTCAACGGAAAGATAAGTACCACGTCATTTCTAATTTTTAGCTTGATTTTTTAGCACAAGTCACTAAGCTTATCTCGTGTAGCTTGAAAAAAGGTTCCATTGTAAGTCAACCAAATCCTGGAAAAACCTGGCCACTACATGTTACCAATTCGTGTCAGAGATTGTCTCTCCAAAAAGTAAAGTGTTGTTGAATAATAATAATCGTGCCTATAAAATCGTTGGAATTCCATTCTCTCCAATGTTAATAGTCTGATTGAGCTGGAGATAAATACTGCAACCCTAGCAAAATTTTAGCATAATATTAGCCCAACACTTGCTCAAACAATAACAACAGAGATTGTACCATCTTTTTTGTTATTTGTTGACTTGGAGTGACGCAAAAGGATGCAAAAGCCATAAAAATGAGAAATTACATATTCGCTAAAATAAAATTACCTACCAGGATGTGTTATAAATTCAGAGAATTTTTTACCCTTCTCTTTAGCTTTCAGGTATTTTAACGGTTTCAAGTAAATCTCGAGTTGAAAATTATGTTAGTGGTAGATTTCGTATAAAAATATTAATGATTTTCTCAAAGTCGTAAATGTATCCTTTTTTCGGAATGGTCATGTAAAATTAGCGAAATTTCTGCTATATACACTGTTAGAAATCTGGTATAGTCAGGCAGGTATTGATTTCCAGGTATTAAAAGTGCTACCGCTTGGTACTAAAATTATACCGGTCCGTTAAAGAATTTGCTATCGATATGGTAAGACTGTAATACCGAGTTATTACTACACGGTATTACTAATCAAAACCACTTTGGTAGTCATACATGAATACCGCTTGGTACTATTTTACTACTGGATTTCGAAGAGTACATGATTAATTTAAGAGTCCTCTTAATTTCTATGTTGTCTAAAAATAGAAATGTGTATACGTCTTGATTGACATGATGAGCATAAAATATTTATTACCACACCACACCGAAGTCTGGTGGACAGGTGTGATGGATCGTCTCTCAAACAGAATGTGGTAAATAAATTAAATGCAGAACATTATGCCCTGTGTATGAGTTGAGACATTGCAAATTCCACTTTAATAAGAACAATCTACAAATAGTGCTAAATTTAGGAGCGATAATCAGAGTAGACCACCCATCGCAGACCACCTGACTTTTTATTAAGACCATCGTAAGACGAGATGAGTGATGCACTGACATGCTAATCATGCATCTATTTTTAGATTTTAATAATGGTAAGCAAACATAATTTAACCCGGCCTGAATTTACTTTCCGGTAATTTTTTTCGAGGTGGTTGTACTAACAAGGACAGATATGTAAAGCAATTTGAGGCAAATAGCAGAATTATATGCTCAATTCCAGCAGATCATACCTGATTACTCTAAATCTAGCCACAAG